GGCGAATCCGCTACTGCTGGCAATCGAGAGCCGCAAGCGAGCCCAACAGCTACCTACTACTGCTCATAAACGCGTTGAAAGGCCCTCAAAAAGAGCCCAAACGGATACGTTCTCCCCTACATACTCCTCCCAAGCCAGCGGTAGGTGAGTTAAACTAACATTCAAATATTGTTAGACCAAACGCGTGCCGGACGTCATATGCTCTCCACGATTCCACATCAAATCATCACTCAGCAAGCGGAGAACACGACTGTAACTTGGCCTGTCATCCCCACTGCATTGAGGAGTAAGAGGAGGAACTACAACAGGCAAATGCGGAGAACACTGCGGAGAAACCAAGCGGCAACAAGGCCACCATCGTCAAGAACACGGCTCAGCTCCCCAAGATCCCACGTCATATCAGTTATCCACTCAGTCAGCCACTCAGCTAGCTCAGCTTTCAGCTAGCCACTCAGCTAGCCACTCAGTCTGATACTCTACAAGAGGAGGAAGAAAGAGGAGGAACTACAACAGGCAAATGAGGAGAACACTGCGGGGAAACCAGAGCGGCAACAAGGCCCCCAGCACCAAGAACACGGCTCAGCTCTCCAAGATCCCACGTCATATGCTCTCCACGGTTCCATATCAAATCATCACTCAACAAGCGGAATAACCCCGAATTTATGATTGGCTGCACATACAAATTCAAGGTTTGTTCAGCCTACCTTATTCTTTCAAACTACCTTTTTTTACATATTCTATATATGCTTTTTAAAAAATATATTAACTATCTATTTAAGATTAAATAATAAAAAATAATTATAAATAAAAATTATAATTTAATAGTCTAAATAATTTTTAATTAATTTCTAATAAATTTAATATTTAATTTAGTTTATTAAATCTTTTTATAAGTTTATAAAATTAATAAGTAGAGAAAAGAAAATTATAATTTATTATATTTTTAATATTTATAATTATTTATTTAATTATATAAATAAAAAGCTTAAAAAATTAAAAAGAAAGAGAGTTTCTTAAAAAAAGAACTTTTTAAAGTTTTTAAAATAACTCATGAGAAATTAGTTATTTATTATAATCGAATTTAATTAAATTTAAACTATCTATATAAATAAGTTACGCTTTTATATTTAAATTATAATAATATAAAATTAAAAAAAATTAAATTAAAAGATAAATATTAAAAAAAAATTATAAATAAAGATCTACTAAAAAGCGCTTAAAAAGATATTTTAAAATTATTAAAATATTAATATAAGTAGTTAATTATAAAGAGCTAAGCGAATAAATTAATTAAATAAAAATACGCTTAATTAAATAATAAAATTTAAGATTAAAAATTTAAATAATAAAAATAAATATAATTAGTTTTAATAATATAGATAAAATAATAAATCTTCTAATTATTATTCTAGTTATAATCTTACCTCTAATCTTTATAAAGCTTTTTTTAATAATTTAATAAATCTTTTAATCTTAAAGTAATAAAAGAAATTAAAATTTAAATATATTATAATTACTCGATTAATTTATAATATTCTTTATTTTCTTATAAAGACTATTATATATAAGCGATATTTTTTAATAATTAAAAGATATTATAATATTTAAAAGTATTATTTATTAATAATATTTCGTATTTTAATAATAATTCTTTATATAAAGTATTATAAAAATAAGTTTAAATAGATTAGATTTAATTTTAAAAGAGATCTTAATATATCAAATTAGATTAAAAGAGCTAATAGTACTTTATATAAAAACTTAATTAATATCTATAATAATTATATTAATAAAGATAATAAGCTTATAAAAAGTACTTCGATAAATCTAATATTTATAAATTTATTAAGATATATCGCTAATACTTTATAATATATAGAGAGATAATTAATAGATTTATAATTAGAGAAAATTAATAATAATAGATCTAGTTTTAATAAAGAGATTTAAGATAATTTAAAAAGCGAATTTATTTATAAATAGTTAATAAGTTTAATTAGATAAAGATAAATTTAAGATATTTAGAAGAATTATAATAGAATAGAATAGAAGAGTAGATTAGAGTTTAAGAGAAGAATAAATATAAAATTTATTAAGCTTATTTAACGCGTTAAGATAAATATATAAATAAAGATAATTATAGAATTTTATTCTTATAATATTTAAAGATTTAAAATTTAAAATATTCTTTTATATTATAATTTTAAGAAGAAGAATAGAGACGCTTATAGTTCTAATTATTATTTTAATTATTATTATTAATAAGAAGATAAATAGCTATATTAAATTACTCTTTATATTCTCTCTCTCTTAATAAAGAAGAATAAATATATTCTATATATCTTAATCGAATTATTCTATAAATATAGAAATCTTAATCGAGATATTTTATATATATATTATTTTATAATATAATATTATAGATATATTATATCGTAAGATATTTCGCTAAGATTTTAAATTTATATTAGAAAAATAATATAATATTCGACTCTATTTATATTATACTCGAATACGATATAATATTACTTAATATAAAATATCTTATAGAATATATTATATCTTTTCGACTAGTAGACTTATAATACTTATTTAATAGCTTTCTCTTTATATTCTTTAAGATTCTTTAATTATATAATATAATCTTTAGCTTTATATCTTTAATAAAGTCTTTTAAATTAATATATATTAGATTGTTAATTCTTTACTTTAAAGTAATAAGAGTTATTATTACTCTATAATTATAAACTTAATTAATTAAGCGTTAAAAGACGTAATAGCTATATATAAAGAGTTCGGCTTTAAGATATAAAGATCGAATATCTATAAGATTATTAATAAAATTCGATAAAGGCGTAAGCGTAGAAAATTAAATAATTATTATCGAAGAAGTAATAGTAGAAGCTAGCGCACGATTTTCCTCCTATCTTTTATTTCTCTTTTTATAAGTATTATTCTTTAGATTATTCTTTAATTTACGCTATATAGCGATTACTATATTTATAAACGATTAATTAATAATAAGTCTATCGATTTAATTCTCTAGAATAATTATAAACTAGCTAACTAGATTTTAAGACGTAATAAAATAATATCTATAAGAATCTTTAGAGTAATTAATATAGTAGACTAATTTAGAATAATTCTAATTATTATAATTCTTCTTAAAATACTTTTAGCGAGTATAAATATTACATCTAATAGTAAAAATAGAATTAATTTTATTCTTTATAGTCTATATACTAAGTAGTTATCTAATAAAATATAAGCTTATTAGAATATCGATAAGGCTTATAAATCTATTATCTTAAGTCTTATTACTATAAATAATTATTAGAGAAATTATTTTAGTAGTAATAGACTTCTTCTTAATAATATTAAACTTATTATAAATATAATAATATATTAAACTAAGCTAAAGCTTTTTTTTATACTTTTAATTATATAATTCCTCGAAAACTATATCTAAAATCTATTTATACTCGCTAGAATAAGTTTTCTAAATATTAAAATACTTTTATTTAATAATAATAAGAGAGCTATATAATAAAGTTATAATAAGAGAGACTCGATAATATAATATATACTTAAGCGATATAGTATACTTATAATTTTTACTATTTTAATTAGCTAATAATAGATATAATAATAAAAATTCGTTATATAGCTAATATCTCTTAATCTTAATATTAAATATAATCTTTTCGCTTTTTTAAAACGACTTTACGTTAAGTTTATATAATATAACGTCCTTCTTCTCTTACTTACTAAGCGAGTTATTTTTTTAAATAAAAGAATTAGAAAGCTTTAATTTCCCTCTTGATTTAGCTAATTTCTTATCCGCTAATTTCTTATTCTTTAATTTCTTACTCTTCTTCTATTATTAACTTTCTAAAACCTCCTAATAATTTCTTTTCTCTCTATTCTTCTTATTATTAATTATTACTTATAAGTCTAATTAGATAATAAGCGAAGTCGCTTATATATTAAGAGGAGAAAAAGAAGAAGAAAGATTATAATATAATAAGTAAGAATTATATAAACTATCTAATTATCTTAGAAGAGCTAGACTCTCGCTAATAAGTATTTAATTAAAGATTAATTTTAAATTAATAGAATATTATTTACTAATTAGAAGATCTAGCGAAGATATATTATTTAAAGACTTAGAAAGCTAACTTAATAGCGGCGAATTAAATCTTATAAGATCTAGAAGAGACTTAATTATTAATTTAAAACGCTATTACTTAAAAGACTTCGATTTATTAAGTCTTAATAACGATATTATCGACTTATAAGATATTATTACGAGTCTTAGACTAGATGCTTTAAAGGTAAATAGACGTAATAGAAATATCTATTACTACTTCTCTCTTCATAACTATATTCTAGAAGAGCGAAGGCCGTTTATTATTAACGACTAGCAGGATATTTATACGCCTCTTCCTTACAATAGGCTTTTTAAGGTTACTAAGCTTCTTCTTAGATAATTATTTAAATAATATAGCGGCGATAATATAATCTATAAATATAGTAAGAGGAGGATCCTTCTATATATCTATACTATATCGCTAGTTAGATAACTTTAATTCTAGCCTAATTAGGAAGGTAGAATAGCTACTGCGATGCCTATATAACGAAATACCTCTTGCGCACATTTGGCGGTGGTCACGGCGAAAATTTGGTGGGGTGGCTGTCAAACGGGCGCTCCCGCAAATGGTTTTGCAAAAAGGAGTATGCGACCCGCAGAGAAAATCGTAGATTTCCCCACGAACCTCGCATAGATTTCGAAGCCCAAACTTCATCCGCCCTAGGATTCATCATGCGAAACCCTTTTTCCAAGTTCGCAAGAGTAGAATATATAAAGTGTACGGTTTCGTTCTAGATTTGAAGTATTTGGAAAGTTGTGTGAACCGGAAATATTCAAGGGGTACCGGATAAACACTGGTGGTGGTAGTAGTGGTAGTAGTACTTCAGAATTGAACCGTCTGCCTCTCGGTTCATTTCCGCCTCTCCTTCTCCTTCCCGAGTAAACTCCTAGCAGGCTCGCGCAGCCAGATCTCCGGACCCGTAGCACCGTTGCCAGCTCTCTCCACTATGACTTCAACCTGCTTGGCAACTGTCCGGTTCGAGCTCACCGTAGTCATACTTTGCATCCACCCGTACATGAAAACACTGCGATTGATATCCGTCAACTGCTCGGCCACTTGCAACGCGACAGGCGGTAGTGTGCCTCTTTGTATCGCGTTCTCAAGATCATACTCGGAGACCTCAGCTTGAACAATGCGAATGGGTAGGCCCAAGGAAGATGGAATAGCGTAGTCGCTGTACTTAGCGAACGCTTCTCTCAAACCATTCCCCGACCGTGCTGGCCCATCCCCTATCAGCAATACTGTCCTCGCTTTCTCGTTTGGCATTCCAATGGTGTCCACAATCTCCTTCATTCGCTTGGCTGCTTCGTGCGTGCATACTAGATCTTTATTCGCCATGGCTGGCCAGAGGCTTGAGGGCAGAAGGTGTTCCCGGGTTTCCATTTCAATTTGCCGTGTTATCGCTGAATTGTAGTTGGGCAGAATTGGATGATTGGCTGTGTGAGATAAGTCGGAGACGAGGGCGAGTAGTATCGTGCAGTCGATGTTTAAAGTGTCCGTCAAGGGCGGGTGGGGAGAGGGCAAGAGACGGGGAAAGGCACTTTCCTTGAACAGTCCATTTGAAGCGCTCTGATCTCCAAGGTCAATGACTGCACCGGTTGACCGAATACGTTCAAGTACCGGCATCAGCTCTGGTGGAGGACTAGACGAAATTTTTGGGAGGACAAAACGAATCCTAGGGTGCTTGTAGTGGATTCGGTGGGCCTGAGATGCGCGAAGCAGGTCATATGCTACCTTCATCAGTTCTATTCGATCAACATCATCTTCGTCGGAGGTGCTGTTGCCATTCTCTTGTTCTTCATCTTCGCTGGACGAGTCTGCCGCTTCCCACTTTGCTTTGGCGATCTCCATTGAGAGACGGTTTCCTGTAATAGTAGACACTTTAATCCACTCTTCACCGTCGTGGGCCACTATATCCACCAATGCACACCTCTTCTCCGCTGCTTTCTTGCTGTCTCTTGTAGGTCGATTGTCCCAATAGAATCGTTTGCCGAATGTCACTAGAGCTTTGCTTGCTTTCGCAGCGTCCCAAATGGCAGCATAGAATGGCAGGTTTGAGGAGCGAAGTGTATGTATAGTTTTCTCGGCTGTGAGATCTGCGTATGCGAGCTTCTGTAGAGACTTATGCTCCGTCGCTACCGATGTCTGAAACTTGTGTATGTCGACTGCAGGTTCTTGCTCTAATCTTTGCTCGGCCACGAATTTTTTGAAGTCCTCAAGCTCGTTGACGAGGCTTTGGCATCTCGCGAGCAGGTCCTCGACAAGAGAACTTCCCTCTGTACTCGCTGCTTCTGTAGTTGCGGAGCCATTCGTGATGCTTGATACCACGCCACCAACCCTCTCCGCATCGGAATCGTAGTCCTCGGCCATACTGACACCAGTGTTCAGTCGTCTTCGAAGAAATGGTCGTCTCAGGCCCCACGAGACTGCCAAATTCACGGCCCTAAACGCCGACGTAGACTACTCTATCTCCGGCCTTCCACATTTGACCTGTGATGAGGAAGGCATCTTTACAGTCACAGACTACTTCAAGACGCACCATGCCCTACCTCGCCACCGCTCAATCATACCTGGAGCAATCCGCCCTCCTGATATCCGCGCGCCCCACCACCGTACGTCCTTCTTCTTTCTATGCCCATCAATCTACCTATTGACCAACCCTGTCCTCGCAGACCCGAATAACAACTAAATACACAATCTCCGGCCCTAAGCCTTCTCCCTCACCCTCGAAATCAACGTCTTCTCCCCCACCAAAATCCGAGCCTTCGGAACACCAAGTCCCGTCACACCAAAGTCAGGCGCCAAAAGCGACGCTTACGCTTAAATCATACGATCCAGTATCAGGCACATGTCTAAAATATAAGACTGATAAGGCGGCGGAAGTGGGGCGGCTGGTGGCGAGTTTAGGAAATTGTGGGAGGGTTATGGCTGCGCTACCAGCGAGGGAGCAGACGGAGGTCAAGGAGGAACCAGGAGAGGAGATGGAGGGTGTGGCTGCTGTGAAGCTGGAGGATACGAAAGTCCCTACGAGTAAGGGTGGAGCCAAAGGTGGGCAAGCGCAAGGGAAAGGTGGAGGTGGAGAGAAAGGAGGAGGTGGTGGGGGCGGCGGTGGGAAGAAGAAGAAAGGGAAGAAGTGATGGGGATTTGGACAACTGTATTATTGGCGATCTTTGCCATTCGATTGGAGCATGTATATTGTAAATACGATCTGTTCTAATCGAGGGCTGGTTACCAAAAGCATCGTAGATACCCAGCCATACCAAACGCCTTTGCTCGATGCTTGGAATCCATCAAGTAACGCTTTGAACATACTCGAAAAGAAATGATTTCCTGACACATCTCTCGCTACCGAAATCTCTCCGTTAGTCATTCTTTCCCGTCAACCTCTTGTGTTCCGCCGAGTTTCGTGGGGATTCATCGTCGTCGGACCACTTATCCCCGTCCTCTCCCACTGCGAATATGGTCTCGCCATCTAATGACTGCCGTTGGTGATGGCTGCCATTCATTGGTTTAGGAGGCATGGGTGATAGTGCTCCATCACCATTCTCCATTGCATCTGGCGATCGAGCGTCTTCCTCGTCTAATGAGCCACCAAAGGAAGCAATTTCGAAGCCCTCATCATCTTGGGCAAGCTGCAGACCGGTCAGCATGAACGGATGGAATATCATCGCCGACTAATTACCTCGTCGCTCATAGCAAATCTTCGGTTGTTCGCCGTCGGCCTCCACAGGTACGCGACATAGGCTATATCCACCAAGTACACCAGATTCAGCCATCCATCGAGGATGAACCACCTTGTCTTCCAGTGGTCCGGCACGAAATTTGGATCGCTTCTTCCAGCGAAGGTGAATGAGTTGAGGAAAAAGAAGGCGAAAATGACCACGATACTACCCAATATGCACCACCAGAGCTTCTTGTACATCATTGCCTTGACACTCTGTTTCCTCTCGAGCAGATCCTTCATCGTCAGGTTCAAAGAGTTTAGCGTCCAAACGTAGAAGGCCGTTAGAGTCGCTGCCAAAGGTAAGATGACCAGAAGGACAAGAGGCCCCGCGTTATCTGGCGTAATCGTCAAGCTCGCAACGGCGTAGATGACTCCAAAGACGAAGTGTGTCAGAGCCAGAACGCGGACATACCACATCGTCCTGCCGAGACTAGGTTTAACAACACCGTAACCCATGCAGACTATGAGAAGCAGGAAGAAGGAGAAAGAATTCCTGCCAGCATTGAGTATGGCGACGATTATCATCAGACATTTCGCCAGCGCGTTATTCCCATGGTTATTGGAGTAGTCTAGGAGCATCAGTCCGCAACGAAGACAACACAATGGAGTAAGCATACCATAGAAACCCCATGTCATCAGTTGCTCGACTATAAGGAATACGATGATTGCCGTGATATAGTTCTGGACGGGTACTACCCACTGTCAGCTGCTGCAACTCGAGTGATACGCATGCTTAAACTTACATATATCGTGACGGTTCTGAACATAGAGGAAGCCCCAAAATCTGTTTTCCGTGAGTAAAGCTGCAGCACAAACGTGTTGCTAGACCACATACATCGACATAACGGCATAGACAATTGTGAGACCCCCGTAGAAAGGTAGCTTCGCAATCTGGGCAGCTTGCAACTCTCCGTATGCATTCCTGAACTCGACAACCGCTTTGTAATCTTCCGCAGAGAATCCGTAGGTTCCAACACAATAGTACCCTGTCCTCTTGACTGGGTAATTCACTGGCTGGGGATCCTTCAAGTGGACCGACTGGGTAATGACCGGGTTTTTCGATGCTTCCGACGCGTTGGAACTTAATATGAATTCCCCAATCTGTGAAGCCTCGCAGAAAGAGGACTCCACACTTGCATCGTCACAGATGAATGCTTTCTGAACCGCAGTACGGATCAGCTCGAGGCTCCCAAAAATGCAGGGGATCCGTTCCCACCTTTGGAGCATCCTCTGAAGGCCACACGCCCACTAAATCCTCGTCCTTCCACTCAAATATGACAAGGCTAACTATCGGGTCTTCATCACCTTCTGGTGTAGCCTGGATGAACTTGGTGAGTATGAACGGGTCCACACTGCCGCCCCATGCGCTCTTGCTGTACATTCCATTGCATTGCTGCCTTTTTTGCTCTTTTTGTGTCTATTGCAGTATTAGCTTCGTACGGCTCGCGGGGTTTCCTTCATGCTTACAATCTCAACCTCACTGGAAAGGACACTCGATATAAATAGCGCAAGCGCGAGCAAAGCTCCACGCAACGCCTTCATCTTGGCTTTTGGACTGCTCGAGCTGACTGAGAAATATTTTCTGATAGCGAGAATCTAAGTCTCGTCTTCATCTGGCTTGACAATTGACAGGCCAGGTCAAGGCAATCATAGAAGCCTGCTGCAAGGCGAGAAGCTCCGCCGAGGGCTTGGCGCTGATTCCGCTAAGGCTGCAGCCCTACAATATACGCCTTGGCAGGAAAAGAACCATACCCTTAAGACTGAAATGTGCACTTAGAAGAGCCGTCACAGCGAGAAGGTCAACTTTCGTACATCTTGTTTATATATGAGTAATATTCACCATTTTGTTTTTGGGGGGAAGGGAAGGGAGGAGGGGGCCCTTGGGTAATTTTGAAGGCCAAAGAGTCGAACATATTGTACATATGCTGATGTATGATGAATCGGCTCACTAAGAAGGCAGTTCATAAATTCCACCCTACATTCATTTCTCTCTCTTCAGACCCAGATGCTACACTCTGTCAAGCGTATCTACCACTTCTTGTGCTCGATCTCCGTAACGCGCGATCCCTTATGATTCAGCTCGACCGTTAGGGTACCAGGCTCCGGTTCTTCAACAGCTAGAACTATATCGAAGCGGCGGTATTTCGTACGGCGAAGAACCTCGACCACGCCAGCGTTCTCGACAGACAGTTGTATTGGGCTTGTGGTCGTGAACCACCCAACAGTCAGGGAAGGGTTGGACCGCCCATCCCAAGGCTCACAGATGCTCGTTAGAGAATGCTGCTACAGTGCGGTCATTTGAAATTTAGGAAAAAGAGTGCATGATAGCGGACACAAGTATATCATCAAAGTCAGTGCGAAGTGGTTCGTCACAAGGTCGCTTGAGTTTTGAGCTCAACTCCGAATCAATTGCGAGCTTTTCCTGTGTTGCATCCCCAGCTCTATCAGTCATGGCTTATATAACCAAAAGCTGTAATCAGCTTCACCGACTTCGAAAGAAGGCCCCTGGCTTAGTTCGATTTGATTGCGACTGTGCTTTGCTTGCAGGTCACACCAGAGCTGGAAAGCACCGTCTTCCCGTCGTCTGTTCCCCGAAAACGAGAAGAATTCTTCCGGGTCTTCAAGAATGATTCGCCATGAGACGAGGTCAGCAACTATATGATTTGCTGTAAGGAAACAGAGCTGTGAGCCTTTGATGTTGAACAGGGCTCCTGCAAGCATTGACCTCTCTTGAAAACTAAGCCAAAATTCTATTGTTCAGGAATGGACGAACAGTATGCGCTATGTTTCTTTTGACAGTCATGCTTCCCTTCCAAGAGCTTAGAGCTTCGGCGTCAGGGTTCATTTTCGCTTAGCCTCCGATGACTTCACGCAAGCAAAGTTTGACTTTAGGAGGAACCGAGGCATTCCATGTCCGTATCTCTATCACGTCTTCTTGACTGATTATCTCAATACCGGCAACCTTCTCGATACATTGAACACGACGCTGGCCAAATGAAATGGGCCAATTGATTCAAGATGCGCTGCATTTGCTTTGGGTCAATGGCTCGGGCGTCATAGTTGGCCTTGACCTCCAAACCATCAGGTACAACGACACATTCCACATTCAATGCAGAAATGAAGAATATTGGTGATTCGGCCTCGACATGACAGCTGTACATCGCGGTGTTCTGATCCCAATCGACTAAGTTTGTATGACTATGATGTTCTAAAAGCTGCAGGTCGTACAAAATCCATCACATAATCTTCTAATATTTTGCAAGCCCGTATATTCCAAGAGCATCATGTCAACGTACTGGTTTTGCACTTCTTGAAGGCTCTCTACCAGTGTTCCTCCAAGGCGGAAGGTATTGATTGATGTACGCTACTTTACAGGACATTGGGAATTTCTGGCGTGTACGACAGCTTCTGTCACACGTGACCAGGTAGAGATGGACTTCCCATGAGTCCTTCATCCCACTCAGGAGACTGCCATGCGATATGTTCTATGCGATTGCTATGAGACCCGCTAACGCGCAGTCCCACGGGGAGGAATCCTCATATCACCCTTCTCCTCGCGGAAATTCTTCGCTGAAGCCTCTTTTCGTGGACCTTCCTCAAACATAAAGCTGACAGCTCGACCTGCGACAAAGTCTCAGCTATGTCATATGCGTCGTAAGCAGCATGTTTGAAGAAGTATGTAGTTGGTAGCTATCTAAGTGTGATGAGCTATGAGAATTCTACCCATGTGGGGTGGCGCAAATCTGATTAGGCTAGCTAGCGTACAGCGGAGGGAGGTTTTTATGTTCAAACAATCAGTCTCCGTAGTCTTGCATATGCAACAAGGCATTGGTGCTACCACTAGCACCAGATACATCCCAGAATCAATGCGATCAGTCATTCCTCGCCGAATGAGGGAGAACACCGTGCGTATGTTGGGGGTGTTGATACTCGGTTGGCACATGCACTCGATGTCATCAGAGTGCTGAATGGTTGTTGATGGATAGGTGGAGAGCAGCACGCGCAGCGCATGAACTTGGGGATATCCAATCATTTTTTCAACCATGCAAGTATCAGCCCAAGGCTGCATATTCACTTTCATGTCCGAATATAGCGGATGAAGATAGGCAGGAGATCCGCTGTGCTGAGCCCCGTTATCACTGCACTGATCCCTTCGTCTTCCCCTCGATGCTTGAGTCCCCTCCGATTTGAATCTAGGGCTGATTCGACAGTCACCAGTACCATCTATAGCCACGAGAAGACTCTTGAAGCAACACCAGCCTTGTATCTATCGCTTGCTCCCTTTCATCTTTTTTTTCCTTTCTTTCGGACATTATCCAAATCAAAGCCTTGGATCCAAGATTCGACGATGGACAGGGCGGTACTTAGAGTCCGGACTAGAGGTCAAGTCACCTGAAAGTCCAGATGTCGCTCCTCAATCAGATCGAAACAAGTACTATACAGGAGGTCCTGTCTCTGGTCTGCCGGATCAGTCTACTCAGTTTCAAGCAAAGAGTCAAGGCCGATCGAGAAGCATTTTGGTGTTAGCAGTAATGGCTATCGTATGTCTGGCCGTCGCAATTGGTGCAGGACTCGGTGCAGGTCTGGCAGCCCAACATAAGTCGACTTCATCACGGCAGGCCAATTTTCATAACCTGCTTCTTATCCGTTCATGTCTTCAAACATTCAATTCTTCTAACTAGTTCCGCACCCGTTGACAGCACCGAGGCGAGTAACGCATCTGCTACCATCATACAGTCCGACATCGTCACCACGATTACCTCAACGTCACCTACTCTCCCATCCTCAACCTGTCCTATCGCCAACGACTCCACTTACATTGCAACCAACAAGCCCCTCCCAACAATAGCTTCGAAGTTCCGATTGCAACCCACTGAAACAAGCTTCTCGTTCGAAATGCTCTGCAACACCAACCTGGCCGTAGAAAGCTCTGTCATAGACATAGAGCTCATCACTAATGTCTCTATCCTCAACGAGTGCTCGGATGTATGCACGTTATACAGCCTCCAAACGAGGTAGGAACACTTCCTCGCGTACGCGTGCACAGGAGTTGCGTTAGGGACTGGGGCCAATCTGCAGCAAGCAGGTGATACATCACCTATTTGTTGTCTGAAGAGTAACGTCACGCTGGAATCACCGAACGAGACTGCGACATGGCCTGGTCATGATGGGGGTGTTTTGTTGCTCCAACCTGCGCCGACTGGTATACCTGGGGTTGAAAAGCTAAGGTTCCAACGGCTTGTGCTCTTTGAGGGACCCCTATCTCTTCATGCGTTCACCCTTGGGCTTTTTTGTAGGGTGCAAATGCTCCGGTATGATTGGTGACTCGATCTGCCATTACTTGTTTTCTACTCATGGGAATGCACACGTCACGGGTATATGGGCATAGCTGAATTTGTGATTGGCCCATCTCAACGCCGTGGTAAGCAGACCTAAAGAAACATATTCTCGCACCTCAGCGTCAAAAACCTTTCATATATGTACGGCGTAGATCGAAATTAGTAATAGTAGCTATACATTGACGTGAGCGAATAAGATAAAAGGACGCATAAGTCAACTAGACAAAGTGACCTTGTTGTAGGTACCCAGTTCAACAAGAAGTAGCCAGGAGGCTTTACCAAGGCTTGAGTCATCGCAAGGCAAAATGGGGCACACCAGGGCGCAGGAAGATGGTTGATGCATATCCACTAGAGCTGCATTGGACTTCAGCTAGATAGCGTCCAATGATTGTTGAATCCGACTCACCATTGTACGAAGCCCAGCCACTCTCTAAAACCGCAGCTGGCGAAACAGATCTATTTTCAACAATAAGTTTGGGAAAGAACTCTCCCACTCCTTACATTTATATAGATAGTCACACAGGTGACAGAGACGCCCCATTGCAATCTTGTTCTACATTAGCGATTATCTTGACCAATGTCTGCAGACCTCTCACATCCAAAGGCCCCATTCAGCGCAAAGGCGGCCGTTTTCCCTTGTCTGATTCTAACCACCCTCGTTAGTTGCCTTCTGCTGGGATTGACCTGGTCCAATTGGTACAATGACGGCTTCCTCTACAACGTCCAGAATATACGTCGAGCTACCATCCAGATCATCGTTCAAGTTCTTTCCACTGTCTTGGCTGGTCTCCAATCACTTTCCCTCTCTACCCTGATCATACATGACACTAAACTGAGAATTGGACGCAAACCGATGACACTTGATACGTTAATGTTCAGAATGCTTTACAATTTAAGAGCCTTGACTTCGACCTACCATTCAGACATACTGTGTCTCTTCTGGTCTTGCTCGTTGCCATTCAATTTCCCTCCGCTTTGTGGGCCGGTGCTCTTACGCCCGTCTCAACCAATGTAGAGGTCATTCGACAGTACCAAGTCCCTCGTTATAGTCGCCCCTCGGCGTCATTTTGGGACCACCTATGCGCGCCCGCCGGTAGTAGTGACTGTACCAGTATTGGGACTGAGTACCCGAACATAACGAGACAAGGCACTTTCACGTATCGCCCATGGAGAGGTAAGTACGTGCTATCATCTCCCACGATCACTACTAACCCTATCGCATCTCAGATTCTAGTGGCGTGCTCCTCAATTCTGTAGCTTCGGCGTCAAGTCGCAATTCATCGACATCCAAACACTCCACACTGAACGGATTTTCGTTCACTTACCACGGTCGGTCTTACGGTGCAGCATCATCTGTTGGCCCGATCGATAGATTAGCAGACTCTCTCTCTCTCTCTCTCCGAGCAAGAATGTCAACATATCCCAAACCAATGGCTACAAATTTGAGGAAACAGGTTATCTTTCCAACGTCGACTGCTATTACAACGAGTATAGCAATGTCACAATCAAAACTGCGACCAACAACGAGGAAGTCTACGTATTGGTTCACGGCGACACTCCGAACATATTCTGGCCAACGGGAACCCTATCCACAGGCCAAATCCCTCGGCTCCCATAGATATCAAGAGCGCCATTCTTGGAGCTTCGGCTGGAGGCACCGCCTTGTCAGATGCGGCCGATGCTCGGACAGATGAAGCGGCAGATCGGGGCGCGGGAGCCTTAAGGGCTGTCGTGGGACCGAGGGAAGGGTTGACGACGATTACGTTGGGGCAGGGTGTTGTCAAGTAATGGCTCATTTCCTATTGTTAAAATGATGTAGTACAATTTTAAATCGGGCTGCTCTGGATCACAGCATATCCTTAGTATATGCTCAGTATATTCGGACAGGTCGAGTCGCGTATGCTCAGGGTGTGCCGACCGCTGCCGAGCTCCTTTCCAACCAGATCCTAATAACTGTCGTGGTTTTACAGATTGCCTGTGCACACCATCTGCACAGGGGGTCTTGTGGCACATGCGGAACCGTACTTTTAAACCATGTCAGCGAGGTGGGTGAGGTTTCTGGGTACTATAGCTTAGATTCTGTCACTTAGCATTGCTGGATTCGTGCAGGGCAAGACAGACGAGCATTGGGCGATGCGTACAGATTTTCTTGTCGGTAGATTGCCGAAGATGGAGAAAGAGTTATTCATGAACTTCAAGCCTCAATGGGTGCCGAAGCTGTTACGTGATGTCCTCAGTCTTAGCCACGTCCCAGGCTTCGACGTTGCAGCTGCGGCTCAGAATCGACTTATAGAAAAAGGCAACGGAGCAAAGAGATTCGATCTGTCGCTGACGGGCGATAGAGACTACTTGAAAATACTCGTATCTACCAATCTAGCTTGAAAAAGGTCGTAGTCATCAACAACAGTTCTGACGCTATCTTCTGGAGCAGATAAAGTCTCAGCCCTACGCCTTGGCGCCGTCTCGAAAATTGTACCATTATTTGAAATCTGCCACTTCAATCATTTACAACAACGAGAAGTTGCTCAAGATGCCCAAACCGGTCGCTCAGAATGGCCAGAAGAAAGACACAGTGTCATGTGCAAGATGTCACACTGCGGAGACAGCTTTGGTGGTGCGGACAGAGCATCTTTGCAGGTGCGTTCGTAAGCGAAATCCTGCTCAGCTTCATGTTGAGCTCATTTTCCAAGGGAGTGCTTTATGAGATATGTTGCAACCAAAGTCCTGAAAAGGCTGGAGACCAACAAGCTGCGTGGGGGCTTCAAGGATCCGCAAAGGACTCTGCTAGTTCCCATTTCATTTGGAGTATCATCCATCGCTCTGTTGCACGTGCTTGATCAGCAGCTCAGTAATAGGGCGGAGACAGGCCGTCATGCTGGATACAACCTTCACGTCCTGTTTGTGGAACAGTCCGTAGTGCTTGGGCAGCCGTCTTCCCTTGAATCATTGGACGTGCTCAAGCAGAGGTACCCTTCTCACACTTACACAGTAATCTCGCTGGAAGACTGCTTTGATTACAGCATTGGCTTCGACACGTCAGCATCCGCTGATGCGTTGACGAATGGTTCTATCGCTCTGGACAAGCGGACTTGCTTGAAGCACATCTTGTCATCTGTTCCTTCGGCAACATCAAGAGTCGATATGATTGAAATACTACGGCGTCGACTGATCCTGGCATTTGCAAAAGCACACGCCTGTGATAGCATACTTTTCGGCGATTCGACTACTCGATTGGCAGAAAAGACACTCTCGGAGACGGCCAAAGGCAGAGCTATCGCTCTTCCATGGCTGACAGCTGATGGATCGTCCTCTGACGGCACTAGTTGCACATACCCGCTGAGAGATCTGCTAAGAAAGGAACTCGGATCTTATGTGAGCATGACCTCACCTCCACTGACTCCACTGATCTGTGAGGCTCCATTTCAACGGCCCACATCGTCCAAGGATACTACTATAGATGGCCTCATGACTCAGTACTTCGAGTCTGTCGAACAGAACTACCCAAGCATTGTCGCGAACGTGGTACGAACTGCAGGCAGACTAGTGGCACCTTCAACGTCTGAGGGTACGAATACATGCGCTCTTTGTGGATATCCAATTGTGAACGAGGCATGGGGTGGAGACCAGTTGGACTCTGGAGTACCACAAGTGGCTGATAGCAACGGGTCCGAATACGGCAATTCTTTTTGCTATGGCTGTGCGCGAACAGTCTGAGAAGTTCGACCAGAGAATAGGGAATATGTTGGATTATCACTTCGATGACCTCAGCAGAGCTTCAATAGAAGCCCATCTGTCACTAAAAGACCATCACCTTGCTCGTCAGGATGGAGAGCTCTCGAACGCTGATCTCATAAGCACGGCTGACACAGAAGAGATCAACATAACCACCGGATGCAGCCACGCCAGCAAAGTCAAAGGACTTCAGTTCCCGCACCATGTCCCAAGCCTTCCTCGTCGCCTGCGGGAGTCTAGCAGTAGACTCGTCATCTTAGTGGGACAAACCACGCATGACATCCTCCTGAGAAGGCATCTTCCAAAAGGCGAAAATCGGCCGTCTCCCGAAATTATCCAAACACGATCTTAGAGACCGAAGCGAAGCCGATGTGTTTGCCAAATCGATCGTAGGTACCCAACCGATATGGTCCCTAATCCGCAGCTTCGCACGGGTTCCGACAACGCTTCCACTCACTCTCCTGGAGGCGTATGACAAGGCACATATTGCGTGCGAATTGACGATGTATGCGAATCGGTGGACGGAACCGCATGGAGTCAGACTACCAACACTAGTCGAGATCCCCGTGTTACCAACTTTGCCACCTTGCTAGCAGTGAGCAACGCAGCTGGAGACGACGGGCAGAATCCTCCTTTCCATGTGGATGTCGCCGCCCTCTTGTTCGGTGATCTTCACGGCGGTAGTCATTTGGGCGCACGGGCTTTTCATTTCCCTACCTATGTTCAGATGTCGATCTGGCGAGCTTGCGGCATCACCTTGTGTACAACCCCTATTGTAATGGGCATACCGTGGCTACTGAATCATCCGTGGATAGAATCGACGCTTGAGACGGACGCCGGTGGGACTTTTCTGCTGATTGAATCAGTCTGGTTCGACCTCCTATCCCTATGCGAGGCTTTTTCTTTTGGCGGAACCGTCAGTGGGTCTGAGGAGTCCGGTGAATGGGAGTCACAAGCCTGTTGATTGAACGCAATTTTTACCGCATATTCTACAGCCCCCCTGGGTTTCGGTACATGGGTATCGCCACTAGATAGGGATGAGATGGGTGAACTGAACTAAAATACTGCGTTTATTGGAGTAGGGAATGAAACCATAGCAGGTCTTCCTCGTTCCAACTATCCTTCTTCAAGATCTAGAATTGTGTCACCAGAAGTCATGCTGTCAACGCCAGTCCGAAAATCTTGCATTGCAAAGACAACGGCTGTTTGCGTTGGTGTGCTACAACGAGTGCCAGCCGTGTCAGGCCATGCGATAGCATTTTGGCAGAAGAGTTTGTAAACGGAACACTTTGATTTATGGCATGATTATTATTCACTACCAGTACATCTGACCGTTAGGATCAGCAAACAATATCGCTAGGAAATCATGATGCAATGCACGCTTCGAATGCTCAGGGGTATCATATCGCATGTAGCTCTATCAGAAATGACCACCGCGCTCTTGCACTGAATGCTTTGGCCGAGACGGGCGGGCCGGTGCGACCTCTTCCATTGACATCGCCACGTCCTGACCGCCCTGCGGTGCCCCTCGACGTCGAAAGAAATTGCCACCACTTTTCTTCGGCTGAGCCTGGACCACTGGCGCTCGCGCGTTTGCTTCTGGCCTAGGGTCCTGACGTAGATCATTCGCTGTGATATATCTCGGAGGCTGATGAGTTGGAGGTTCGGAGTGGGGATGTCCGTTGGTCGCTGCAATGTGACGTCCATTGGTGCCCGTATGCTGATATCCAGTCGTTCTCCCGACTTTCTCTGCATCCCGTCCCGTTTTAGCGGCGTGGTCTACGCGCTTCAAAAGCATTGCCTCTAGTGCATTTGCGTTCTTGACATTGAATTTCATCATACTGTCAACGATGTCTCCACCGATGGGCAGCAGGCCGATGACAAAGCCTCCCAACAGGTTGGACACCATAACAGCCCTCAATTTCTTCCTGTCGGGACCTTTGGAAACGCTGGAGCTGGGTAGGACGACGAGCACAAAGCTTAAAGCGCTACCAACGAAGTCACCAGCCCTGAGAAGTGGTCAGTATAACTCATATAGCTATGATCATGAGGTCGAGCTCACCCAGGAATCAATTCGATGAACGTGTTGACACCAATCTTGTAGCCGACCACAGGGAGGCGGATGCCGTTATCTAAAAACCTCGCGCTTGCGACGACGCTTGAGAGGATCTTGGCATCTTTCTCTGGTACTCCCATGTACTCATAGTACGCACTGTCCTTGCGGTGGTTGTTGGCAATTTCGTGGTCATTTAGGAAGAAGACCAGTTGCCCGTCCTCCTTCTTCTTTTCGATCTTTGCGCCCCGGTAGTGAGCATTGTCCTTTGCAGTGGTCAGTGAAGGTAGGTAGAAGTAATAGTTGATGTGGCGCCTTACCACGCTCCTTATTGTAGGATCTTGGTGAGCACTCTTGCCGCCAAACTTTTGAAAAGCGCCCTTGCCGGCCTTCCAAGCCATGTTGCCTGACATGTTGGACTTTGAATTAAGATGTGCGAGCGTCTGAATGATTTTGGAGAGGTATGTGAAGTATGAAAAGAGAAGAAAGAAGAGAGCAGAAGGCCGGATTTTGTAGTTCTTGACGACAAAAGAAGCGCGCTTCAATTGAGAACAAAGACTTCCCCACTCACAGATGGCCCGTGATACATTGATGAGTGCGCGCGCGTTAGAAATCTATTGTAGGATTGAAGCGGTCGAGGGGAAGATTAGCTTTGGTAGAAGAGAGGATAGGAGTCATAGGACCCTTTTGTTTTATATTCGTACATTTTGTTTGTCGCAGATCTTGTTTGGGGAAAACATGTCATTCGCGTTCATTCTTGGTGGCAAGACGCTAATGTAACGTATAGCAGCGGCTGCTCCCGTGCAGCGCTTGCGGACTATTTTGAATTATGAACAGCAATTCCCTGTTACTCCTTGTTACATATTAGAAACGCTGATGATGCAACTGCCTGTATTATCGACATATTGCGCCTCTCTCTTTTTCTCTCTGCTCCCTGGGCAAGCTTGTAGACTTCAACTTTAAGTGGCAATCGTCATACGTATCCCCTCGGACACCGAGGATTCCCCGGCCTCTGGTGCCACACATGCACAGCCACCGCTAAAAACGCCCGCCCGGCTATTCACTTTGGAGATCTCCCCCAACCTCGCGCCAGCGCATTCGCCGAATCATCAAACATACTCGTTGAAAACACTCATTCATTATCCACTTCACTGCCTACCCATAGCCTATTGTTCATTCTAGATTCATAAATCATATTTGCTGGCCCTTCCCTTCCGCGTCAGTATTGTGGCTGTACATGTTGGTTTTCCTTGTCAGCTTCGTCACAAAACAGCTTGCTGTCATCAGCTAGCTAGCTCTCATTGCACACCTTCGGCCGCTTTGCCGATCCACTCACGATAGGCAGAGATATGCTTGGGTGGGGAGACCAAGATGACAGAGAAGAAGATGCAGCTAGTCGATTGTAAGTCTGCCTGGCCTCCATTCAACACGGCGTTTGCGAGCATCCTCCGCATGGTAATTATTGCGCGATATGTCTCAAGCACCGTTCTGGAGTCACTATCTCCTCAAGCCAATGATAACATCCTGTATGCTGACTATGAACCTGCTCAGGGCTGGATGACTTATGCGTACGCTTCATAATCAACCTCCCTAAAGAAGAGCTCGAATCCGTTGAGCGAATATGCTTTCAAGTAGAAGAAGCACAATGGTTTTACGAGGACTTCATCCGTCCTCTGGACCCGGACCTGCCTTCTCTCAATCTCAGAAATTTCTGCCTCCTCATATTCCAGCACTGCCCAATGTTCTCGTCATACTCGACATATCACCATGCTCAGGCATTTTCGGAGTTTCTGGCGTATAAGACACGTGTACCGGTGCGGGGAGCTATAATGCTCAATGAACAAATGGATTCGGTAGTATTGGTCAAAGGGTGGAAGAAAGGCGCCAACTGGAGTTTTCCTAGGGGAAAGATCAACAAAGATGAGCCGGATTTGGATTGTGCGGTCAGAGAAGTTTACGAGGAAACGGGATACGACATCAAAGCGGCGGGTCTGGTTGGTAGCGAGGAGGAGACGAAACACATCGAAGTCACGATGAGGGAACAGCATATGCGGCTCTACGTCTTCCGAGGAGTCCCCACGGACACATACTTTGAGCCGCGCACGAGGAAAGAGATCAGCAAGATTGGGTGGTACAAATTGTCGGATTTACCGACCATCAGGAAGAAGAAACAGCAGCAGGAGGGCAAAGGCGAGGATCTTGCGGTCAACGCGAATAAGTTCTACATGGTGGCGCCGTTCCTGGTGCCCTTGAAAAAATGGATTTCAGCACAGAGAAAGCTGGAGAAAGCCAAACAATCAAACGGCACAGTTGCCAACGCTATTGCTATAGACGAAGAGCCAGTTCACATTGCGAACCACGAGGTTGAAGAGAGCACTGTACTGCACCCATCCAGTGAAAAGTTAGGGAGGCTACTCGACAGTCTTCGGCAATCGGCTTTACCAACCAAGACGAGTGATCTTCCTGAAGCGTCTGGACTTCCTGTTGGCCCAAAGGACATGGCCGCTCAATTGAAGTCAGTCCTCGGTGTCCCATCAACGCAGCCTGCGGACTCCGTGGCGGAAGCGGCAGCAGCAGAACCGCTTTCGACAAGCAGGACGGAAAATCAAAAGTCGAATGCTTTGCTTGCTTTATTGCGGGGCGGTCCTGCCGCACAATTGAATCAAATTCCGCAGACCCCATTCGAACAAGTAATCGAAAGTCCACCTCCGCCTGCGTCTCCCCCTCGCCCACATCAACAACCGCCACGCATCTCTTCGCTATCTCCTCCACCTACACTCCATTTTCCAACAACTCACGATCGACCTACTATGGCGTCCTCTCTGGCCATCGGACAGCCTGCGATGATGCCTCAGGCCCCAGTCGGCCAATCGCTGCAACCTCCACTGGTCAGACCTATCCCACCACCACAGCAGCCGGCTCAGCTTGTTCCTCGAGCTTCTACTCTTCGTCAAAAGAAGCCAGTCCCCATAGTAAATTCCAAACAGCAGACTCTTGCTCCTTATCAACGCACTGGCGATCCTCAATTCGCCCAGTACTCTCAAGTACCCGGTAACAACGCTCCATCAATACCTCCAGCCAGCAAACTACCACCACCGAAGCTCACAGCACAATCTTCTGCACTTCTCAATCTCTTCAAGGATAGGCCGCCAGCTAAGACCCCAATCGCGGATGGCGACATTAAGATGTCAGGGAAAGTCGAGTCACAGACAGCACCTGCAAATCCATCTGCAAATGTTGCCCAAATGCTAGACATTCTCGAAGGCCATGGAAAATTTGCAAGCCCGGCGAGTCAGAAAAGGCCAGACATGGTCCAAGCACCAATTTGGATTGACAAACCCAAATCAGAGCATCATGACAAGCTGCTGAGCTTATTTCGTAGTCCATCAATTCCAGCTGCAGAGCCAGTGAAGCCGGCAGCAAATTCCTTGCAGCCGCCATCTGGGCCGGTGGAGCTCTCTGCACAACCGATGACCCCTGGACACTCTAGAGAACCCTCTCGAGCTGACATACTACCTCAAGAGCAAGCGGCGAAGATAGTTCGAAATGGATCGGCCAAAGCCCACAAACAACCGCGACAAGACACTTCCAAGGCAGACAATCCACCTGTGTCTGCCACGGTCAAGGGTCCTCTAAATGTTCCCCAATTCGATATGCTTGCCAAAGCGGCGAAAGAAGCGAAACATACTGCTCACGGCAATAGCCATAAGGATTCACCCGGAAAGTCACCAGTCATCATTCTAGCTCGACCATCGAGTTCGAATGCCCATCCTCAAGCACCTCTCAGCTTGACTGATGCCAATACTCCCACACCACCACCAAAACAGCAGAAAGCCGCTGTTGCTCCCAAACTGCAGACTCTCATATCTCCTATCAAGACTATGCCTCCTACGCCCGATCTCAAAGGCCATGCCGTACCACCCAAACCATTCCACCCTCAGATCCTCCGCCGCCCACCACACGCTGAAGACGCCAATGAACCTTCTCCCATCCAACCACTTCCTTCACCAAAACACAGTCTCCTCGCCAACCGCACTACTCAACCAACCGATCACAAGAAATCCCTCCTATCCCTATTCACGAAACCCTCGCCAATCGTCTCTCCCGCACTGACCGCTCCATCTAGCGCCATCGACCCGGCAAGCTTCATAAGTCCGCTATCAGAGAAACCAACACCGCGCGAGCAAGCTGATGCAGCTTTTGCGAAACTGACGCGCGATGTTGGAGGCTTCTCGCAGAAACCCACCGCGCCACCTGTTTCATCGTCAAGAGCCAGTAGCGTCAATGCCATTGTTGCGGGTATGGGAGGCAAAGAGAGAGTGACAGGTGGTACGAAGACACCGACGCCTAGGACTACGCCCGTAGATCGGAGCTTTTTGCTTGGGTATTTGGAGGATGTTGCGAAGGGTGGGAGATGAAGAAGGGGGATGTGGTTTTGGTAGAGTACGAGGGGGGTGGGGTTAAAGTTTGTTGGTATTGGGATTGCCGTAGAGGTCTGCTAGAGGTAGTCCTCCTGCTTAATCGGAAAGAGGGATTTGACTCTGGGCGATGCGGTGACACCTCTGAATTTGCTCCGATTGAACAACGGCCCCTTTTATTGGGTGAGACACAACAGATACAGAAACTCCCAGATAAAATCTGCGAACTTCTGAATCTACAACAGAAATATTACACATCCTATCCAATTTCAAACCCCAACTCGACAACCCAATTAATTACCTCCTCCTCCTCCTCCTCCATCCACCGCCAACCCCTCACTCAACCCTCCCTCTCCGCCCTCCTCTCCTCCCTCCTCCGCCTCTCCAACCGATCCAAATCGCCAAACCCAAACTCCACCCTCCCCCTCCTCCCCGCCCTCTCCTTCTGCCCTCTCGTACTCCTCGCCGGTCCCGTCACAACCTCTTCTCGATCCGCGACGCGCACATACGGCCGACGAGATTTGGGTTTGGGATTCTTGTGCGGTCGCAATTTCCGGGCATTGGGACGGCGCTTCGCGCTTTGGCCTTTACCGGAGGGGTGGGGGTCGGATGATGGTCCCGTAGCGGCCGAGGCTTCGGCACCGGGGGTTCGGTGGGTGGAGTTCGCGCTGTTGGAGTCTTCTTGCTTGATCGTACGCTTCGCGGACGGACGGCGAGGTGCGGCGGGTCCAGCGGTCCTTTGGGGAGCATCGCCCGCTTGAGCGGTGTTGGATACTGTTACGGTAGCCGAGCCCCTGGTGGAAGGGCGGCTAGGCGGAGGAGTCCCTTGCGCGGTTCTGGGCCTCGAACCTCGTCGGCCTGTTCCTGGTTGGGGCGGTACGGGAAGGCGGATGAAAGGGTTCACACCTGGGGGACCTGGTGGAGGTGAACGGAAAGGGTCTGGTGTAAGACGAGCTGGGTCAACGTAGAGACGTCCAATTGATCCTGCGGATGGGTCGATCTCGGTGGAAGATTGGCTCGGCTCATTGTTGGAACTCCTAGGAATAGGTCCTGTGGTTAGTTAGCATTTTCAATACTGGCATGTGAATTGAAGTAAGATTACTTGATGGCCCGCCTTCCGAGTCGTCTGAGTTGGGAGACCTAGATCTGTCACGGTATGTCTGCTCAGGAAATTTGGGCGCGACTGGAGTGTAGATTGGACTATTGGCTGGCGAATCATCTGATGTATTGTCTGCCATACTAAGAAACTTCGGCCTTCCAAAGTGGTGCGGAAAAAAACAAGAGTAGAAGAGAGTGCCCAACCTATTTGAGCGATCATCCGCAGCAGCAACAGGAATGTATTCCAACTGTTTGCGGGATGGAAGCACATTATATGTTGAGAACAATGGCATAAATTAGAGACGAAACTGAATTGTTTGCTTGCGGAAGAGACCTTTGGAGAGACAATGTCTTCACCAACAAGGGCCGAGCAGTCAGTCCTGAAACCGGAAGGTAAACACAAAGAGAATGCATTGGACTTTTCCTTCGCCAAATTTGTCTTAGACGCATATCGCATGAAGCAAAGTGCGTCTTTCATGAATCTCAACTCCTTGTCTTGCGTCTGATAGTTGCCATTAGCATCATAACGGGCTTTGAGTCTCAAATGCTGAAATAGGAGCGCCAAGGGGCCAGGGTCCAGGAGAATAAAAAGGCCTTGGTAAGAATTGAGCAAGCAGACAATGAGTGTTGCACTGAGTCTATTGAAGCCAAGGAGGCAAATTCCAAGTCTCGACAGACAGGGCTACCACGGATTCCTTCCTGACACTAACCTATCCGCAACCGAGTAGGCGATCTTGTACCGCTGAGAATCTTCTCTACGCGGGGGCGCTGGCTAATTGAGCTGTCAGCTTTGTCGCTGGACTAGGCTGGAGTATCCTACATCTGTAGCCGAACGGTCAACTCCGCCCAGCGGTGTAGGCTCGTTATGCGTCAAGTCCTCCTCGGTCTTTGGCTGATTCATTGGAGGAACCTGAGGAGCCACTGCAGAAGCCACTCGAGGGGCTGGCTGGCGTATGTCGGGACCAAGGATGGAGGACGGCTCGCTCACTAGGGTTTTGCCGGTCAACGGCCCATTTGCGGTCGATGCTGCAGTAGGATTATGGTAGGTGCCCGGATCGTTATTCTCATCATTTTGGCGAGCCTGCTCGTACATTCCTTTGATGATTTTCATCTCGTGATCCAGATCCAGCTGGCAGTCCAGCTGAGCAAAGTCTCGCTCCCTCTGCTCGATGTATTCTCGCACCTTGCGGAGAGTACATTGATATTGACGTAAGCGGTTGGGTAAGCCTGAGCCCTTCGTGAATGTGAGAATGGCTGCAATGACGGTGTTCGCTGCACCGAGGACCGTGATCTGGATATGCGACCCACCGCCAGCGCCAAGAGCGGTCAAAGCTGACGCAAAGATCACCTGGGTAAGGAGACACGCGTTGATGACAAGAGCGCTGGAATAGTACTGCAGCTTAGCTTTGTGTTCCTCTGTTGAGACTCGATTGTAAATGCCGAGATTTGGAGCTGGCCGTCTCGAAGCTCGAGGGCTCAGTTCAAGAACATCGCTGATGCCGACCTGCTCGCGGAAGACACTGAGTCTATCGGTGCTACCAGCCTTTTCCAGGTCCCGGTCGAACGTTGGCGTTGGCTTGTGATATGTCAATTCAGGCTCGGTCTCGCCCATCTTGGAAACACATCCAAGAAAGGTGGTAGAAGGGGCTAAAGGCTAGATACTGGTGAAGGGGATCTCCGAAGGGATATCTTAGAGGTAGAAATATGCATCCGTTGAAAGAATGTTAGGTTGAGAGCGCGGTGTGAAACAAAATACAGGTACTGTACTTGTAGAGAGATTGGACTAGCGAGACGTTGTGGTTTAGCATTTTAACTGGTAGTACTTGCTCTCTAAGCAATCAAAGGTTGAGAAAGAACGCCTGCGCCGGACATAATGGAAACATTCGGGTGCACGAGACTACTAGACAGTAACGGGCTCTTCTCCACCGCCTTGAGATCATCCTGCCAGCGTCATCTGATGAGCAACGTTTTGTGAACAAAGAAATGCATGTTTGAGAATTTGTTACTTTCCTTTCGTTAGACAAGCCACACGAGAGACGAAGCGGCAGGGCGAAAGCAGAGACATTGCGCGCAGCCGATCTAGCAGCTGTAAGATATGACACAGGTCATTGTTGAGCGGTACTGGGTTCCAACAATTGCATGAGGGACGTGTGAAGACGGTTAGTACAGATGTCAGAATTTACTAGTCGTGATAATACAGCACGCTAGTAATATATATAACTAAAATTACATCCCGAGTCCACGATCTCTCCGCTCTCCCACCAACCAGCGCGCCATGCCTCCACGTACATCTTCGCTCTTCTCCGAATCTCTTTACCATTATCGCAGAGCTCTCCCACGTCTATCCCGTAGCCATACTACCATCTCCTCGCCGAACCCGCCCGTCCCCCTACATACCGCATGCGCTCAGCTCCCCACTCGCCGCCTCGTCTCGCTCCGCGGCCATGATGCATCCCGCTTCTTGCAAGGTCTTACAACACAAAACATCCCTAGTCAATATATGAGGTCCTGCTTCTACAGCGCCTTTCTGAATGCCTCAGGGAGAGTTCTGCACGATGTATTCATATATCCGGACGCGGATGCGGAGAGGGAAGAACCGGGTTTCTTAATCGAGGTCGACGCAAACGAGGTGGAAGCGTTGGCGAGACATCTGAAGCGGTATAAACTACGAGCGAAAGTGGGGATCAGAGTAATTGACGAAGGAGAGCTGAGCATCTGGGCAACCTGGGGAAAGCAGTCACCGTCCGGAGCCGACTCGAGAACGGGCGGCTTAGACCAGCGAGCGCCAGATATGGGGGAGAGGGTCATAGTGTCTGGGGACCGTAAGCTTGAGGGCTCAGGAACGCAAGTTGAGGGCGGCAGCTACGATATAAGGCGGATGATGATGGGGGTAGCAGAGGGCCAAGGAGAGATACTTAAAGAGTCAGCGTTACCGCAAGAGAGTAATATTGATTTTATGGGTGGGATTGATTTTCGGAAAGGCTGTTATGTGGGCCAGGAGTTGACAATTCGGACGCATCATACGGGCGTTGTCAGGAAGAGGATACTACCCGTACAGATATACCCTACTGAAGGGGACTCGAAACCGCCGGACGGTTTGAGGTATGATGCAAATATGAAGATACGATTGCCGCCTAGGGGAGCGAATATCAGTAGGGTGGATAAGAAAGGGAGGAGCGCAGGCAAATGGCTAAGTGGTATGGGTAATATTGGATTGGCATTATGTCGGCTAGAGATTATGACGGATACGGTGCTGACGGGGGAGGGCAGTCAGTGGAGTCCAGAGCATGAGTTCAAGGTGGCGTGGGAACCAGAAGAGGGAAGGGAGGGGGGAGAGGTAAGGGTGAAGGCTTTTGTGCCCAGTTGGCATCAGAGTAGAGCTGAGGGTCAGAAGCTGCATCGAAGTTGATGCACATGAAGATATAAGCAGAAGAAATGACTGTCCAAATTTCAGATTCGGTGCTGCGAAAAGCTGGGTATCTCTGTAACGCCTGTGCGCCAACGCTAATTTTCAGATGCAATGCTCTTGCTGTCGTGTTCATGCCTGCTTTGCCTCAGCGGCATCGTCTTCCCTGTCCTGCCGCTCTATCTCGGCGGCCAATCGTTTCTTCTCTGCGTTCTTCAGCCGTATCATTGTCATCTCTTCAAGGCTAGGACTATTAACCCCCAGCCCTTTGCCAAAAGGTGAGCCTTTCGGCGTATTGAACGCTGCGGATGAGAAGGACGCGAAAGATGGCATCTTCTTAAGCCCACCATCACCTGCTTTAGGCGAAGCTGCGGGTGTGGATGCTTGGCTGTCAAAGCCGGAGAACGCATATGTGCTTTTGGTCCGACCATCCGGCGTGGGCGTTGCCGGTGCGGAGGCCCTGTTGTCTTGGTGTGCAGTTATGAAGTCAGGCTCCCTGTTAGCGGCCCAGAACACGGAGTCGAATGTTCGCCATTCAGGACCATTTTGTTTTGGAAAGTCTTCCACTGCAGCATGCGCGCCGACAACTGATTTGTACTGTATCATGCAGACTACGGCGAGCTGCTTCTTTTGCTTCTTTCCGAGCCGGAGCATCTTTGAATTGAGCAAGTCCGCGCTTTCGATGGAGCCAAATTGCGAGAATAAGTTTCTGACGCCTTCCGCTGTTATGGAGCCCCCTTCGCCTTCGACCGGCCACCGTACTTTTACGGTCCGATCGATCTCAGACACAGTCGACTGGGAAGTGCTTGCTCTATTCATGTGGCTACTGCTCGAGCCGGGCGTCGGTGCTGCAGCGTCAGCGTTCTCGGCTTCATTCCGCATATCCCTTCTCAGCGCATCCTCCCTCTCCTTTCTCCTTCTCTTCCCATCCTCAGCCAACCTCCGTATCTCTCTCTCCAGCTTCTCTTCGTCACCTTCATCTTCCTCCCTAGGTCTCTTGACACCACGTTCCCTCGCCTCCAAGTCATCTTTCATCTGCCTCCTTCTGCCCTCAAATAAATCATTTTGCCTCTTTCTCTGTAATCTAGCACTGCGGGCATTATCGTAGATAGCCTTGCTTGCCGGATCAGATAGCAGATCATATCCAATTTGCGCAAGGTGAAACTTCTCCTTGGCGACTGGATCGTTGCCGACTTTGTCAGGATGATATTTGAGTGCTGTTCTTCGCCATGCTCGGTCGATATCTTTCTGGGAAGTCTCGAAGGTGACGCCTAGGAGGTCGTAGAAGTCAGTATCGGATGTGGCATAGATCTTGAGGTCGTCCGAAGGCATGGTAACCCTGGATAACTAGTGCTACGGTCCCACAAGGAGCAAGGTTGTCGTCCGCAGAAAGCAATCTGAGGCAGGAGTTCGACCCAGAGTTTACGAGAGAAAAGAAAGCCGCTCAGCCCTGTGGCACGGTAATAAACGTTTAGCGCCAAAAACGAGACGCGTATCATAACCAACGTTACGGAATACGGATAGACGAGCCAGAACCATCAGGATCCGTACCCGTCGAAAGCCTACCAGGTAGGTATGAAACGCCGTAGGTATACCAGCTGTGCACTCAGCGTGCTAACAAAACCTTACCGTCCTTCCCTATGGCAAGGGACGCGGTCGCGTTCATCGCAGCTTCATGACTCGGGCAAGAAAATGGCAATATCAGCCACCGTCAATAGCCGTTGACGAAAGCTTCTACAGGCATTACTATCCGCATTGATACTTTCGCATTGTAGTCAGCCTCTCAGCCTCGCATGTACACAGCCAGACACCACCGCGCTGGTCTGTGACCATGGCATGAGTGACGCCGGGGTTTACTGTACAGGACTCAGCCGGCCAGAGAGCTTTTCAGACTCTCCCCGAGCACAGTCATCGAAGCTGGAACTCAGAAACTGCCCTTACAAGTCGGAAGCTGTTTTTTTGCGGTTTTATGGTCTCCAGGAAACCTTCACGCCATTGAGGCTCGAACGCCAGCCCCTTTGTCAAGGACACTTTACTACAGCAACCTCTCCGTGGCATGTAGCCTCCATCAAAGGCGTACTACCACCTTTGTCTTCCGCCTCCAGGTCCGCAATGTCAATGTCGCACTCCCATGGCCCTTCTCCGCCGCCCAAGAAAGTGCGGTTATTCCTCCCTTGTTAATGGCATTGACGTCTGCCCATCATAGCGCCTGTGTGGCCCCGTTCTACCGCGTAAACAAGTGCACTCTTTGCTCCCTTGTCCGTAGCATTAGTGTCCGACCCTCCTTGAAGCAAAGTCTTCATTGCATCTGTGTGGTCGCATTTCGCCGCGTAAAGAAGTGCAATCGTTCTTCCATTGTTAGAAGCATCAACTTTCTGCATCTGATTGAAGCAAGATCGTGATAAGTTGCCAAACAGCAACGCGTAATGCAGTGCTTTGTGCTTCATGTTGTCTGCAGCACATTTGCACCATTGCGAAGCACAATCTCAACAAATTCTTGATGCCCATTGAAGCTTGTCACAGGCAGTGGCGGCAACCCCGAAATAGCATCCCTCGCATCTAGTTCTGCCCCTGCTTCCAAGAGCTAAAGAACAAGATATTTAAACCCACATGCTATAGCGTACCGCAACGGCGCTGCTTGCTGTTCATCGTCTTTCCCTCTACGTCCGTCCTACACCTGAGCAGAGTTGTTATCGTGGTTTGGACCTTCGGTTCTTCACGAGCAAAGGCAAGGTAATGGAGAGCGTCCGCCACTCTGGCGCTCCTAAAGTAAGACTTGCGCTTTTGCCAATAGCAGCTTAACCGCTTGAACTTGGCCGTTGAGTGTGGCTGTATGGAGGGCTTTTCCTTCACTGCCAAACACGAGGTCCAATTGCACATCCTGGCTCAAGAGGTATCCGATGGCGTTCAAAAGTTCACACTCAGATGCGGTATGTAGTGGAGTTGATGTAAGGTAGTGCTTAGCTTTTCTTAGGCTCCCCACTGCTCTCTCAAAATTTATTATCTGCAGTCGAACCAGAGCATCCATCGACTGGCGGTAGGATCCAAGAATGGTTCACAATAGTGGCTAGCTCCCGAGAGGTTTCTAGCAAGGAAACAGTGCTGGTGCCACGAATCAGCTGGATACCTCAGAAAAGCGTGATTCGTCGATGACTTGAATATCTTTTTTTTGGGTGAACGGTCGTCCCGGTATGGATCCTCGTAGCATAAGTAGGTCAGACACATTTGAGCGATTACCTCATTCGTGTGGGTAGGAGTCTTGCCCATAGGCTCTTTTTTACACAATAGGATAACGTTTTCAGTCTTCAACAGGAATTCCTTCGCAGAGGAATGGACGAACTAGACAGTCATCTCCGCTATGGAACAGTCGACAACTTGACCGCGGATTTCAATCAGCTATCTGCATGGCTTGCGTATGGTCTCATTGGCATAGAACTCATTCCAAGCATCTGGCAAGTCATCTTTAGGGACTGAGCCCGACATGTCGTCGATATCGACCAAGAGGCCTCTGTAAGCTCTCGTACCTAAGTGGTCTGCATCGAAAGAGCACTCATTGTAGAAGGGAGAGTACGCGGTCTATTTCATCGTCTGGAAGCTCGGTGATGCCTTTCAAACCTCTTTTATACGTTTGTTCCAGTCCAGCTGGCGTTCCCAATATTACTCGCTGTAGCTGCTTCGTACTTTTTCCGGCCGCTAGGTGATCATACAAAAGTCGAATCCACAAAAACTTTCCATCGCATTTCTCTCAGGCTGCCTGTGCAAGATCTTCTAAAAATTCTCCAGGCTTATTGGGTAGCCGAGCCGCAGCTACACTGTCAGCGAAGGACTTGATGCCATCCTTCGTATCAGCCGGTGTTATCTGTTAGTCCGAGGACATTCGATCACGATTCGAAGTACAAATTCCTGCAGACCGCTCGTTCGGCTAGGATTGCTTGCATCCTGCCAACCTCTCATGAACTCACCCTGAACCTCCGGACTTCCCCAGCAAGTCATCAAAACGCGGTTTCCAAGATCTCGGCCAGCTGATGCGGGAACCCAGCCCGCTCGTCTGTTATAGATTGCTTTGTATCATCTTAGGTATTCCGTAGGCATCCGTCGACAGCGAAGAAACACGACCGGATAGCAAGACTCAACTTTCGAAAGATGGACCACAAGTCCACCTCAGAAGCGGTGCGGTCGTTCTGGCTCCGGCGTTAGTTGGTATGCTTCGTTGCTACCTCATGTTTCACAACGACTGGGCTATCCATGATCGAAGTACGGCCTGAAGATGTTGTTTAGTGTCAGTTCCACGTATTATTAAAGAAGTAGCACACTGGTCCTTCAGCGTTGTGACGTAGAGACTCTACTAGGCTTGCATGAAGTATCGTCTCACCAAATCCCAAGGATCTTTGAAACGTCGGGTTCACGGTCGACAGCTCTCCACAACTGGAATACAGACCGCTGGAACTTCCATTCGCTGCGACTGTCTCTGGTAGCACACCTGCTGGATGAGTTTCACACCCGCTGGTCGTAGTCTGATTTCGTGGTCTTGAAGGATATCGCAGTGCAGAGACCACTATGGAAAGTCAATCAAAAGGATTCCTATTGATGCCTTCTATCTTTCTACATAATAATAGGAGCGCAAGCACACCCTCCATAGTTCAGTACTACCCATCCTCTCGAAGCCCTCACCCCTTCAAATCCAACTCCCTTCTCACATACCTTCCATACACTCCATCCGTCGCCGTCGCACTCGCCGTCTCCACCACCTGATCCCCCTCTGGTGGCACACTCGTAATGGGCGCCGTAATCGCTGCTGTATAGCTTAACAGCGAGCTTCCATTCCCCGTAACGGTCGGAATCGCGACATATGGCTCAGTATGTGTCGCATTGACCGTTCCATTCGTCTCGTAACTCCCCGTCACCACCGTCTCGCCAGTCGCAATGTCCAAGTTCCCGAGCACACGGCTGAACATAGCCAGTGAAGCGATCGGCTGGTAGAACGGGACTTCATGACCTGCTTCATATATACGCATGAAGCTGTAATTCCCATATTGCCGCACTTCGCCATACTCAGTCCCGTCAACGACAAAGGGCGCGTAGCCTGCAGCGCGGAATTCTGCCGAGTGCGTGTAATCAATTTGGAGGGAGACGGCCTGCCCGCCGAACCAGTTGCAGATGTAGTCAGCATCGCCGTGGTACATAGCTACACGAACGGAGTTGTCCAGAATCATTTCGAGGTCTGTGAGGAAATTTGGGTAAACGAAGTCGCCCGTTTTTTGGAAGGCGTAATAAACATCGGTGTTGGAGTCTGTGTAATTTAAGTTGACGCCCAGGGCGGCTTGGGTGGAAGCGAGGTTGAGATAGTCGACAAAGTAAGTAGGGGGTGTGGGATCACTGTAGGGGTGACGGATGCTGTAAAATAATTAGCTGACCATCCAGGCATCAAGTATGAAGACAGTCTCTTACTCGTAGACTCCGCGGCCGCTGTACATGTAGTAGGGGGATTCGACGTTGGTCCTGCACTGGTCGGTGGCTTGAAAGCATGTTTGCATTCCCACGTCTGTTGACCTGTTTACTTGTTCGCATTCTACACATTGATCAAGACAACCACCGATCATGTAGCAGGCGAACTTCATGTACTCGTAAACAGTGTCATTGACAGCTTTGATCCCGTAGGTATTGTTCACAGCGAATTCAGGATACCAAGGGGCTTGAATTGACTCAGAAATGATGCCGTTGCCAATGCCTAGAGTATCGAAGATAAGGGGCGTGCCGGTCGTCGTGCCATTAGCAATCAGCTCGTTCTGGTCGTAGAAGTAGTTGTAGAATGCAGGGCCATAATGACCACCGTACGACTCGGTCCACAGGTTGAACGTCTTACTGGCGACCTTGCCGTCCAATTGAGGGAGAGCACTGAGAAAGCCTTGAAGAACATGCCATGTAGCGACAGCAGCGAGATCTGTCGTGCTGAGCTCTGTAGCGTTGATCACCGGCCATTCTCCTGTCACTCCGTAGCTCGAGTTCTCTTGCTCGCCGGTGTACGGATTAAAGCTACCGGCCTCTTCTTCAGAGTAGGAGAAGCCCACTCCGAGTGGCTGGGAAATGAACAGCATGTTCGATACTTCGCTCCACGAGTTTTCGTTCACGACGGTGGTTAGATTCTGGGTGACGTTGCACGGTCCGAGTTCTACGTACTCTGTTCAGCATGATATGTTCAAAACACCCACAGCTTCGTAATGTGTATACCTTGGAAGAGGCCAATTAAAGAGTCACTACCGGGACCACCATTCAACCACAGCGTAAGGGGCGCCGTTTCTGGATTGTTTCGCGCTTCGAAGAACCAAAAGAATGTGTGTGAAGTTGGAGAGAGGTCGACATAGCCAGCGTATGATCCGACACCAGGAGTCGTTTCACAGACGCCAGCCTTGCCAGGCTCTTTGTAGCGAATGGTTACGCCTGTGGGCGATTTGATAGTAGTCACGTCAGTGGCATTGGCAGGGATTTGTCTGGGTTCCAGGCTTGGTACAGCATTCACTGTAGTGGAAATAGAAAAAAGCAAGCCCACTGCGAGCGCAGTGAACTTAGGCCTTTGAAAAAACATTTTGGGTAGGAATAATACTTGTCAAAGCTGTATAGACGTCAAAGAGGATGGGAGTTAATGGGTGCAGGAAATATATAAAGCCCTGGCCCAACCTTCTGGTGTGCCCTGATGTGGAGCTCGGTGACAGCATGACGCTGACTCGCGTCTTGGCTCCATCATTGTGCGTCTTTTTTCTCCAGGGAAGGAGCAACGAGAACAGATTTAGTACCTGCCTAGATGAGACCTAGGCTATGTTGAGGTCCCCTGCTGAACGGGCGACTGCATATTGTCCTGAGACGCGATAGGGACAATGGCTGAGAAAGACGCATGCGAGAGCTGTTTTCCCAGGAAGCAGATGGATCGCCGCATGGGATCTTGAATCTCGCAATCCTGGAGGCACCCCTGCGGTGCCGAATAAGGAAGGTGGTAGCCGTCTACCGGAAGTCCTTTCCCCGCGGTGGACGAGGAATTGCTGCCTGCGCCATTGCTCTAACGAAAGGCAGGAGGAAATGACTTCATGTTGCAGGTATCGAGGCAATGCGGAGAGGAAAAAGGAAACACCATCTTTTCTGCAAGGGTAAGAGACGCTCAAACGCAGCCACACGTATTTTTACTGCAAAGCAATAGTAGCAGCAACACAATCCTAGATAATGTTAACCAAGGGAACATCCAAATACCTTCGGACAGATAGTTGATAGAGTATGCGCCTCAGCGTTTGATGAAACATCCCAATGATGAAGTGCAGCACGTGATCACGTGCCGCACCAGAACACGTTTCCTAATCACCCCATTTTTTGTTCTTGTTCCATCACAAAACTACCTCAATCACTACACAGCTTCTACCAGGTACCCCTGCAACCCCTCAAAAGTACCAGCATCCTACACTTACACGTTCTCAGCTCTTCCTATCCTTCTCCCTCGCAGACCCTCTACCATGGCTTCCGAAGCCACCCCCCGCGTCAACGCCAAATACCTCGACTCCTTCACCAATCAAACCGTCCGCATCCTTGGCAAAGTGGTGTCATTGCGTGGAGAAACGGCTACTATCGATGCGAATGGTACCATAAATGTACAATTGAACAGGGTAAGCTGTCTTAGCCCGGTCAGACCAGGGGAGAAGGCGGGAGAAGCGGGGCATGTGGAAAATGGGGAGGCGGGAAGAGGTGGAACACCGAGAAGGACGAGGCGCTAGAGGGTGTAGGCAAACGGTGAAAGCGGCTGACAGATTCCATAGGATGCACACCTCCAACTCAACAACGCTGTAGAGGTCGTGGGTAAAGTGCAGCAGGATTTGAGCGTCAAGGTGTTCCAGGCTACGGATTTTGGCAGCAACATTGGTACGGGCATACCCGCTTTCCTGCACAATGGTCAGGGTCGTTCAAGAGGGATGATCGATGGCTGATCAGGTGTGTGCAATCCAGATTTCAATGCCGTCGAAGCAGTCGTGGATGCCACACATAGGTACAAGGAGATATTCTATGATAGCAATGACTGAGCTGCCAGTTGTGGGAAAAGAGCATTGGGCATGGTCGCGGGCAGGCGGCTATGAAACAATGGATGAGTAGTCGGAGAAGGGCTTTATAATGACGATAACGCGCGAGTATGCGAAAGAACATTATTGGCACTCTTCAACAGTGATTTCGCAAGCGGTGTTTGCTGGGATCTGAAGCTGTAAAATTTATCATGACTGCCTGTGAATATCACAGGTACAAAGCTCATGTATGAAAGTTTTTGCTAGAGATGTATTGGTGGAAACCCGAGCTACCCCAGCAATCACTGAATGCAAAAGTATGGATATCCTACTGATACTTCTAGCCATTCCGCTCATTCCCCAGAAACGATCTTTCGCCATCAACTGCCCTCGCAGGCGTCTTAGAACAATATGTACAAAAACGTCATTAGCATCATGAACCGCGTCTCATTATGTCCAAGACGAACCCTCATGTCATAGCTTGAAAGTCAATTCTTGCTCTCCCATTCTCATCAACAACCAGACCTGGAGTCTTTGGTCGCTTAGCGCCATTGACTTCCTCCTCATCGTCTGATGGAGTAGAAGCCGAATTAGGCAGCGCGTAGTCTCCCCACAGCGATCCAGCACCATGCTCGATCGGATCCTCATATACGCCGAACCAGGCTGGCGGACTGCTGGGCATTGGAACATCGGTGCTGAGAAGATCCTGAGAATCGAATTGCGAGAAGTCGAAATCCATGGTACGACGGCCAGGTGTATTATGCAAGGAAGGTAAAGAGGGGAAATCGAAACCATTGGACCCGGGACTGCCATTGCCGTTATTCGCGTCGGACAGCAGTTGGTTGAGGTGGGCAGTAAAAGGAGTCAGCTCTCCGAGTGGTTGAATATCCTTGGTCGGAGTGCGCTTGGGCGTGTTAGGAGCGCGGAGGAGTGCTTTGGCGGCGGAAGAGAAGAAGTCGCCCGTCGTTGGTGGAAGCCGGTTGGGTGACCTCTTTGGAGTCTTGAAGGTGTGTGCTCGGCTTGAGCTGGTAGGTGTCGGAGTTGTGGCACGGGTAAGGTGGGGATCTTCTGTGAAGAGGTGATCTAGGCCATCATCCTCAGCAGGAGGGCAATTCTCCTTGTCGGCTTGGTCATTATCAGGATCTTCAAACAACTTGCCAGGAGTTTGATGGCGTCCTTTACCGCTGACCTCGACAATTGAATTACGTTTCGATTTGGCATCTTCAGACAGGGTTGGCGAAGGGAACAGCACTCGTCTGGTGGGCTGCGGCGTGAGATCTTCTACGTCGATAGGGACATGTTCAGTGCCCCGAAACTTGTGTGGAGAGGATCTGATAGCCCTTTCGAGTGCCGCCACCGCGGAAGCTTCTTCTGCAATTCTGCGCTTGGCCTGGGGCGATATTGTGTGCTGGCTAGATGCTCTTCGATGTTGGAAAGGCGGCAGCTGAGATTCTGCCTCTCCACACTCGGTTTGTCCGCCGTTGTTTGCTGACGAGGAATCATAAGAATGCAGAGCTGAACCATTAGGTGCGGCGTCCGCTGCCTGGTCAGATGTTGAGTTAGCCCTGTGCCTCTTCCCATTTGCCCCTCGTTTTCGCTTTTCGTCAGGACCATTTTGTGTCTTGTCCCAAACCTCCTTTGGTCGCATACATTTACGAGTATGCAGCCAAAGCCCACAAGCTGCCGATTGATTAGCGTTTTTTCAGAACTTCTTCAGCAAGCAAAACTTACGGTTGCATAGCAGGATTTCGGTAAAGCCTTCATCAGTCTTTAGCACTGACTTCTTGACGATCCTGTAGAGGCAGATGATCCCGTTGCAATCTGTCTGCAGAGTTTGCCATGCAATGATGCCTCCCTCTTCTTCGGAGATGACGACATGTTCTGGCGTACCGCTGTGTATCTTGACCCACGCTTTCCTCCATGTTGGAGTTTCGATAGCACCACAGTTTTCACAGAAAGGTGGCATCTCCCCTGCAGCGACAGACAAAGCCAACTTGCTCTGAATGGCTTGTTTTCTTCTAACGCCAGAACCAGTCCCGATCTCACTGCCTTTTCTAAGTCTTGGCACGGGTCTCTCGGTTGTCTCCATTACAGGAGGAATAGGTGTCATATCAGAAGCAGGATGTGGTGCTTGACGGCCGGACCAGGTTTGTGAGCGGTTCAAAGTGGGCCGAATTGGGTCACTCGCGTGTATTGGTGGCAGAGCCAGGTTTCCCGAGGACGCCGTCCGACTAAGACCTGCTGCGCCCCTAGCAGGCTTCCTAGATACCGTAAAAGCGTTGCCCTCTTGCTGTTGAGGCTGCGGAAGCTCGTAAGGCTGATGAGTCTGCCGAGAGAGGATATCCGGCCGCTGAAGCCCGTGAAGCTGCTGATTCTGCTCATGAGGAGCAGTCGGCTGTTGAATGTCGCGAATTTGCTGAGAAGTGTTGGGTTCTGGAAGCTGAGCGGCTGGCTCTTCCTGGGCAGGAAGCACTGATAGATTAGGACGTTTACTGTATTGAGCTGCGACGTCAAGGTCTTCATCATCAACGGGCCGCGTCTCGTCATCTTCGAAAAGTTCATCTATGTTACCACTCATAAACCCCGAATCTTCAAAGTGTCGAGCTTGAGTTGTCTGATTCGGACTCGAAGGGCACGTCGAAGTCCCACGATAAACGGGCGGAGACGACGCAATATCCACCGGTGAACTCTCGGCTTGACTTGCTTCAGGAGATGTCATCGCAGATTCCGCTAACTTCACATTCGCACCCACGGGATCATACGGGGAAGCATAATCTTTTCTGGCAATAGCAAAAGACTCACGGCGAAGATTGCTTATGGGCACGGGCAGCTGAGGTCTCTGCATGCGATTTGAAGCATCAGCTATTGGGGTGGGCACTCTTGGCGGACCCTCCAGCGAATTGGCTAGGCTGTTGTTTGGACGCACTGCAGTCGGCTGATGGATCCGTATCGATGCTGCAGTACTTGCCGCAACCCTTAGAGACTCTGGCTGCCTTCCAAAATCAGTGTTGCCGGACCATTCTGCTTGCATGATTTTTGCTCTTTTCTTATTTGGTCCATCCTCAAATCGCTCGTCATTGCTTGCGTAGCTAGTATCCACAGAAGCCTGCCTAGTAGCGGTTTTCACACGGCTCTTTCTGGGATTGGGACCTGGAGGCCTCCCTCTCCTCTTCTTCGTCGCTGCGGACGCTATACTTGAAGCCGGGCTCGGCATCCGAGGGATTTGCCGTGCTGCATCGGAGATTGCATAGTTGTTGTTCTGAGGTGCTAAACGTTGTGGCTCCGGTTTTGCCTGTTGGGTGCTTTGCGATTCGATGTTTCTTTGCCGGTAGCCTTCGCCACTTAGCAGCCGCTGCACATGTTCAATGCCAAATCCACTAATCTGTCCCTGCCCCACCGCTGGAGACTGACTTCGGCTCTTGTTTGCAAGCTGCCAGATAGCAGGGTTTGCTTGTACAAATAACGTCCAAGCTTGAGGGTCGAAACCTTCAGGCATCATCTGACTTATGTCCCTATACTTCTTCATGCTTTCGATGTATTCGCTCTGCAGCGATGTTGGCACAGGAACTAAGCGTAACTTTACTTCAAGGGTCTCTTGTGAATTGCTGGAGAACAGTCCAAGAAGATTTTTGCAGACACGTCCAGTGACAATAGTGCGAGATTGGTGAGCGGGAGCGGAAGGCGTCGAGGACGAAGATGCAAGAACCCATGAAAGCATCCCTTGGCCGACAAGAGGTGTCTCGTATTCTGAGTAATCGTACGCATAGACGGTGTAATCCTGGCCAAGCGCCGCAACTAATTCTGGGCTAGCAGCCACAATAGCTTGGATGCATGTCTTCAACTCGATGACCCCAATCTGTGTGTTTTCATCGAGATATGCTGTTCGAATATCGAGAGGCTGCGGCCATCGTGCCAAGCAATTCGTCTTGTTCTCGTTGTCGAAAGAGTAAAGCACCTTGACTGAAATCAAAACTTTCAGCATGCTTACAATCGATCATGGACTGTTCTGATATACTTACGTCTCATTGAGCGTACGGTGACATCGTCGGAGCTTTGAGACGGTCCTGAAGGCTGAGATTGAGGCCGGGGTGGTGCTGGAGAAGACGCGGCTCCCCTGAGAGGCCCATGATCTGGCATTGTGGAGCCGGTGGACATTCAATCCCCACACAGCAGATGCTAGCATTGAACGTCATCCATACAAGACGAATGGCAGTAATCGTGAACCCCGAGGTGTCCGAGAATCTTGAATATTTGCCAATCAAAGTGTTGATGACGCGCTTTGGTATCGTTGAAGACGGAGTGGAGGTAGATTTGTAGATAAGTGAGGAGGATTTGGGGGGCAATCGGTACTTATGCCAGCCTGCAAGGGAGATTGGAGCGAATTGGGCCGACTTGACCTCGTTGAGGCTGCAATTCAAGGACTTGAAGAGCGTGTATCTTCGTACACGCGCCAAAGCTTCAAGACGTGGGGGACATAATCCGATGAGTCAGCAGGGCTGAGCTAAGCTCGAACCAATGAAACTCTAGCTTTAAATCTCAGGAACATCTCTGAGTCGATTACCTTCACACGACGAAACCACAGTGCAGCGAGTCCTCCCTTTATAGACGATGGCGGACGCAAAGATCCAGTATGTGACTCATCCACGTGCTTTATGACGTCAGCTCAAGTAGTCAAGGCTAACAACGCTACAGAGACTTGTTGAACAAGCCTCGTATGGAGCTCACGTACGTCTACTTTGCACCCATCCAATTCTACTCAGCGGCTCCTCTTCTTTCCGCTACCGCCGCTGCTGCCTGGCCAATAATGAAGTCATACTGACAATCGCGCAGCGAGTACGAAATCTCCGTCCTTGAAGAGCACGAGTTCACCTCCGGCCCACTCTCTATCCTACAGACCGCCGTCCGCTCGCACACCCAAGTCCTGATATCTTGCCGCAACAACCGGAAACTGTTGGCGAGGGTGAAGGCATTTGATAGGCATTGCAATATGGTGTTGGAAAATGTGAAGGAGATGTGGACAGAGACGCCTAGGATATCAGGGGGAAAGAAGGGCAGGCCAGTCAACAAGGACAGGTTCATAAGCAAGATGTGAGCACTTCCCCGGTCTCCAATGATTGGTGGTCATGAGAAGGAGAGTAACGCTGGTTTCTAGGTTCCTGAGGGGAGATTCGGTAATTCTGGTGTTATTAAGTTGATCTGCTCAAAGCGTTCAAAAGCACAGTATGATACAGTCTCCGACGATATTCCGACAGCACTCTTACAGGGCTCCCGCAATGCCGGACAGGAATATGCTCAGTCCATGGGCTCCTGGATCTGGTACTTCTTCGAATCCTGTACCACCAACATAAACAGATCTCCCCAAACTTGCTTTCATTCCTTTCGTCTTGTCGGCGCCCTCCTTTGCAGCCTCGGCAGCTTTCTGAACGTTTCCTGTCTTCTTGAGCACATCCACAAATGGAGCCAAGGCATCCATCAAAGTCCGATCTCCCGGTTGCGCTGGGGTATATTTGCCGAGGCCTTCGATTGACATTGCAAGAGCTTTCGCCCAGATTTCTGTTGTGACTGGAGTGGGCGACGACGAATCCTGACTTCTCACGTTGGAAGCCAATGAATTGAGGAAGATGGCGTACAGAGCGCCAGAAGTGCCATCCATGTTCTGTTCCACAGTCGGCACAATCTTCGCGAAAGTCATCATGGCATCGTGGGATGACAAGCTAGGCAGCACCCTGAGGACTGCCTCCGCTCCACGTTTGAGGCCGAGACCGCAATCGCCGTCTCCAACGACGCTATCGTATCTGGTAACTTCGGCCTCGGCTGCTATGAGCTTATTGAGAGCAGGCTCCAAGGCCTTCCGTAAACTCGTTGGATCGACTGTGCGTCGTCAGTCTGCGAAATCCTTGCACGAAAGGATGTGACTCACGCTTCAGATTGCTTGGCTCTGTCTCATCTTCCTCTTCTTCGGTCTTCTCTGGTGCCGGCTTATAGGTCTTCTCCCACGTATCCCCTGTCACGCACCTCGGCCACCCTATCGCATTTACGGGTGCGTCTATAAGGTCGAGTAACGACTTACCTGTGCCAAGGCCTGTGTCCGCCAATCTGAGAACGGAAACAATGAAGCCAGGTCCATCCAGGCTTCCAAAAAGCGTTCCCGATATTATTCTCCGGGGCTTCAATTCATATTTATTCTCCAGCTGTGTCGTGACTTCGGCTGTGATGGCGCCAAGTTCCAAGTTGCTCACTCCACCAAAGTTGTTGATCAGCAATACTGTCTCATCGGTCTTAATCATTCTCACATATGCCCGGTTTTTGTCGCTTTGATCGAGCATTTGGCTGAGCATGATCTTCACCAAGCCTGGCAAATCTGTTTTGACTTTCTCGCATCCAGGTTCATTGTGTATTCCCATCCCAATCTCTACCAGGCCTGGTCCCAATCTCTCTTCTTCTTCCCTTGCTTCTTCGATGCCATGTCCGGGCACATGCACCCTGCTCAAACTAGCTCCCAGACTGACCAGGTTATGGACCACCAGCCTTCCCACCCTCGCACAATCCTCCAGCCCAACACCCCGCTCAGCTAACGCGCCGCAGATCTTCACCACCAACGCCGTTCCTGACAAACCTCTTCGGCCAACCTTACCCCCTTTTGCGCGCCCGACGCCCACATCATCCCCTACGACTACCATTTCTACCTTCCTCCCCAACGCCCGCGCCTTTTCAACCCCCATGCCGAAGTTCAGCACATCACCTGTATAATTCGTCGCGATCACAAGCACACCTTTGCTCTCCGGCGGCAGCCTATGCTGCAAGCACGTTCTCACTTGTTCAGCGCCTGGAGAAGCAAAAATGGTGCCGGCGACGCAAGCAGTGAGGAGACCGTCGCCTACGAAGCCAGCGAATCCGGGTTCATGGCCAGAACCACCGCCGCAAACGACGGAAACGTTGTGAGGTTGGGAGAGAGAAGAGGGGTTACGGTACACAATTTTGTTGGGAGTGTCGAGCAGCAGAGATGGATTTGTCAGGGTGAGGGAACGGAGGGAGGAAAGTACGGCATGGGTGGGATCGGTGAGGTAGTGCTTTGCTGCTGGGGCGAGATGTCAGCACCAGGGCAATTGGGAAAGAGATGTGCTACAGCCCCGTTCCCGACATACCAGACATGTTTATGAGAGCCAGTATGGATAGCCGCTATGAGAAGGAGAGTATGGAGAGAAAACGGGAGGCATGAGGCAGCAAAATGTCTCTTCCTTCAAGCCATGGCGGGCCATTTGTCTCTCGAATGCGGGGAAGATGTGGGGCTCGTGGGGCTCAAGCAGCTCTCGGCAAAGCTTCCCCATTGGTTACATCGACGTAATGACATCGAGTCTCAGGTACTCTTGCATCTATCTATCAATGTATGTCATCGCGTTGACTCGACCTTCTTTTGCTAAGCCGTTGAAAACTCTAGCAGCTAGTGTACATTATTTCCGTGCATCCCTGCTGATGGACCCATGCTGACTTTGCTCGAAGCTTGCCGTCACACGCGCGATGCATATCCAATCGATACCCATGTGTAAGATGAACGGCTGGAGCATTACCTCCTGAATTGAACTTGACTAAAGTACATTGGTCTTCTAGGGACTGGATCTAGCAACAATTACGCCTATCTTGTGAGAGACGACAAGACGAATGATGCCGTTATCATTGATCCAGCGAATCCGCCGGAGTGTGTTCGGTCCTAGGGAAGCCATGGGGCCATTGTCTGACAAATTCTTGCAGGGTAGCTCCTGTAGTCAAGGAACAGGTTGATGCTGGGAAGATCAACCTGACTGCGATAGTGAATACTCATCAGTGAGCCCGGCTCAACCCAGTAAGCCAACGAAGATACTTATACACATGCCACAGCCACTGGGACCATGCTGGAGGAAACAAGAAGATGGTCGGCGTTTCATCTGAATAGCTACAATCCATTACTTACGACTCCGGTTAGCTCGCTCATTTCAAAGACCTCCCCGTCATCGGCGGCAAAGACTGTGAAGCAGTCACTCGGACACCCAAACACGACGAGACCTTCAAGATCGGTTCCGGAATCACAGTCAAGGCTTTACATACGCCATGCCATACACAAGACAGCATTTGCTGGTTCATGGAAGACGATTCAGAGAAGGTGGTTTTCACTGGAGATACATTGTTTATCGGAGGTTGGTAAATTCCAGGCTTGAGATGGGACTGAACGCGATATTGATGAATGGTGTCTAGGGTGCGGAAGATTCTTCGAGGGTACCCCAGCTGAGATGCATACGGCGCTGAACAAGACGCTGTCGGCGCTGCCGAATGATACTAAGGTCTATGTGAGTATTCGCGAGTTATGGAACCAAAGGCTGGGATGCTGATCGAGTAGCCTGGCCACGAATACACAAAGCAGAACGTCAAGTTCTTGGCTAGCGTGCTGCAAACAGAGCCCGTGAAGAAACTGCAGACCTTTGCAGAGAACAACGAGCAGACGCAGGGAAAGTTTACGATTGGGGATGAGAAGGTAGGATTCAGGGTCCTTGCTTACTACATACCGAAGGCTGATCAGGAAAAGGAATATAATGTTTTCATGAAATTAAATGTGAGCGGTTGCCTTTGGGCATGAAGGCAATGAATCTGTGCTAATCTGCCACAGGATCCAACCGTTCAGAAAGCAACAGGCAAAACAGATGCTGTCGATGTCATGGAGGCGCTTAGGGAGATGAAGAACAGCATGTGAATACAGTAAAACTCAATTGGTCTGCGTTTCTCCGAATTTGGGTATATGACTGATTTGGTATCGATGGATAGGCCTGCGCCAGAAAAAGCGAACTTGTAATATTCAACATTAGCGGGTTTGTGTACTATCACACTCAAAACCTCATAGAGATCCTCGGAATATTCTTCTGAGACTTGCAATGTGTATATTAACCCCTCATGACGTCAGTTCGTTTTGGGCAGCTCTGCAGTCCTTGGATGTCTCGCTCTTTTGCTTGATCAGTTCATTCCCAATTTTCATATACTTTCCACAGATGCACAACACCTGGACTAGGACAATCAACAAGCCAAAACTCACTCGATTGTGATTTTCAAAGTCGCTCTTGTTTGCTCACAAAGGTTCGCCAGCAATATCTTAGCAATCCAGAAAATCGCGTCATCATCTTCGTCATGAGTGCAACGGAGAACGTCACGAACGACGCCCAAGGGAATCCAATCACGACGAAGAGCCAAGTGCTAGAGACAGGGGCGGCAGCCGGACAGGTCTCGACATTCTGTCACTCTAGAGAGATCTTACCCACTAACAATTCGCGCCTCGTCAGAGTTTCGGCCCCATCAAAGCTATATGCGCCCATCTTAATGCCTTCCATGTCTACGCCTCTGACCCTCAACGTTGCGTTGAGGCAAACCACTACTGCTCGCATCTGAATGAAGGTAAGCATCGATCTTTACTTCTCATTCTTCATGTCTCCCAGCTTCGCACATTGCTGACATATCGGCCCACAGACGTCCGCCAATGCCTCATCTACGATACCCCTGCGCCCAACGCCCGTCTTATTGGCGTCGAATACATGATCTCAGCCACCCTCTATAAGACCCTGTCACAGTCCGAGCGCAAGCTCTGGCACTCTCACGTCTTCGAGGTCAAAAGCGGTATGCTGATCATGCCGGGCCCGGAAGGATTGCCAACGGGAATATGGGAGGAGGCAGAGACCAAGGAGATGGAGGATGTGGTGGGGTTGTATGGGAAGACGTATCATTTCTGGCAGGTGGATAGAGGGGACAAGTTGCCGTTGGGAGGGCCGGAGTTGATGATGAGTTTCACGGGTGAGGGACAGCAGGAGGGGTTGAGTGAGTTGATTGGAGAGAGGGATAGCAGGTTCAAGGTCTCGAGCAAGCAAAAGAGGGACAAGAGGGCGTATATTGAAGAGCCAGAGGTTCATGAGGGTACGGGGGATATGCGAGACTTGGGTGATTGTGTACGCTGACAACCATAATGCAGATGCGGATCGCGTATGGAAGGACTCTTCCGCCAGCGAAGACAGCAAACAGCGACCCGCTGGCGCCACCAGCGACGAGACTTCTCTCCTCAAAGGTATACACCTCTTAACATCTCCCGCTCTAGACCACCGCTTAGCTGACATTTCCCAGGCACCCACTCATCCACTTAAACTGTCCCCTCTCACTCGCGGATCTCGTACGATTGTAACAACATGTTTCCTCCAACTCCCCTCTACCAAGCAAAAAGCAAGGCGTCGAATCCATTGAAGGGCCGAGCGGGGGCCGGAGGAGTCTTGCAAGCAAGATGGGTTTCAATTTTGCTTCACTGTCCACGCCTGCGCATCCTGTAAGGTGGTGATGGCAGGTTCTAGCTATCTTAGAAGCGTTGAGAGAGATGGTACGACATGAGACATATGAAAACAATCATGATCCCCATAGAATTTGGGCCCATAAGCCAATGCGATGGAATGAGACACACGGAGGGGATGAGGATCATATGGGTATCAGGGTCCGGAAGCCCTCCCACCTAAAGACAGGCACCGCTTTTTGGTTTGAAATTTGAGCCACTTCCTCCATGATCTTAACAGTCTTGGGCGTCCGTCGCGCACCGAAGAGCCATGCATTAGAAATGAAAGGGCATGATAGACGTCGATAGCAAGGTTCCGGAGGAGAGTGCTACCGTCTAGGATTGTTGACAGATATATTAGGGGCAACGTACATATATCTGTGACAGGGCACGATGAAGCGAAGTCGAAGAGAATTTCAGCGCGGTAGATAAAACCCCGTCGCGCTAAATCACATTAGTCCCTCGCTTCCGTCGAAGGTCTTGGCGTCCCACACATTTCCCGACAGCAACCTCAGATCTTCGCATCACCGACTTCAAGAACTTATTCGGCGCCGCCAACACAGTGAGACCGTTCTCTCCTCCTATCGCTGACATTCGAGACCGTGGGCAAACCTTGCTGACTCCGTGTAGGCCTACAGACAACACCTTAATCCTCCGCTACTGCCAAGCGCGCACCGCAATCATGTCTCACGAATCAGTCTGGTACTCAAGACCTCGCGGATATGGGAAAGGGGCTCGCTCTTGGTACGGTCTCTTCCACTGCCTCCCTCGTTCTCCCCCTACCTGTACTCAGCTCGTCGGTGCCATCTCGAGCGCAGACAGATCGCGCCTTCAAATGTCTTGACACAGAGTCCCTACGCGAGAAGCAGATGCTGATAATATGGCCGTGTTAGCCGTATCTGCACCCACCCCGCCGGTCTTATTCGCAAGTACGGCTTGAACATCTGCCGTCAGTGCTTCAGGGAAAAGTCTTCGGATATCGGGTTCACAAAAGTAAGAGAGTTCATGACCCACACCGCGAGCCTGGACGGAGCGGGGACCAATAGGAGATATAGCTAACGCGTTGGACCTGCAGCACCGATAGGTCAATGGAGCAATGAGGGTTGTACGGTGGATGCGTGGGGGGGGTTGGATGAAAGAGTAGTGGAGGCATACCAAGGAAAATGATGCTGGATCGATGCTTGAGGCGTACGGCTAGTCAGGCACGATAGACGAGAAAACATGATGCTTGCACATAAGCTCCCTTGAGCCAAATCGCACATCTTTCGCACAAATGACCGTGTCCTGCCCCCAATGTTGATTTGTGGTCGAGCCGCCTACCTAAGGTCCCCCACTTCAGTTGTGGGGCTTCTTAGAGAGAGCATGACAGTCTCTGCTGGGGTCTCAAACGCGTTGAAAGTGAACTCGCCAAAGTTGAGCAAATATTAGCAAGCACTAACTACTATCTGAAAGAAAAAAAAGATCCTGGACCTGGATCGAACCCGTGACCAAGGGGCAAAAAGCTCAGGCTGGGGCCAACAACCTCAGACCGTCGGTCTGTGAAAACCGCGGATCACTTCATTGTGGTCATACCCTACGAAAACCCCAATGAAGGGATTTTATACCACAGCCCCGAAGGGCGAAGCAAATGACCCTATCTTGTCCTATATTCTAGGGGAATATTTTTTGAAAACCCCCCCCCCTTTCAAAAACCAAACAATCAATCAATCAACCGCCGCTCGACTCCAGCCAATCAACAAAAATGGCTCAGCTCCTACAAGAAACTCCAATGAACAGAAATCCCAGCACATCCCCGCGTGACGAACAGGTTTCTTTTGCCCTTCCCGATTTGATCGCGCAGTGGCACGAACGGATGGAACTACCAGGAACCCGAATCTAGAATTTTAATGTGTTCCATCCCTCTTCCATCCCTCCCCCTCCCCCCAACCTCCACTCCATCCAATCCCGTCTAATGTGTCCCATCCCTCCCCTTCCCTTCCTTTCCTTCCCATCCATCAACCACCCAACACCCAACACCCCCCCCCCTTCTCTCTCCCAGCCCTCCTTCCCACCTCCCAAGAAGGACACAAACCACAACCCACCCTCCGCCTACAGACGCTTACTCCCCGTTTCGACCCACCCACACGCACGCACGCACCACCCAAGGCAGTTCAGAGCTCTGGCGAAGCATCATTCGAAGACGGTAGTGGCAGTGGCTCTGTCAACCCCGTCCGCCAGGGGAGATAATATCCATCGAAGTGAAGGGCTGTTAGGAGGGAGATAATTTCTCGAATAGGGCTTAGAAGAAGAGATGACATCCATCGAAGTAAAAGGGTAATTACTCGTTAGAAAACATATCTTGAAAATACGTATAAGTTATAGCTGCGAGCTACAATTTTTATAAGGCGAGTAAATCACGCTTCTACGATTGAAGAGTAAGGAGATTTTGTTTCGGGATAAAAACGGTCGATGATCCCCTGTACGCCAAAGATACGTACCCGTAATGGTGCGGCGGTCCCTAATAAAATTCCATCAACCCTATCCATTAGGAGAGATGATGTCTATCGAAGCGAAAGGGTGGTTGCTGTTGAGATTTGCTGCAGCACCTGTGTTGAAGCTACCCCATATGGTGGCAAATAGGGGTATAAGTAGCCCACTCAGCACTCTCATAGCTACCTAATCAATCAATAGGGAGTTTCAGACCACTTTTTTTTTTGCTGTGGAATAGTGGAATATTCAGACTTTCAGCTATGGAAAAATGGAATTATCTAGATTAGTCTAAATACCCCCACTATTAAATAGGCTTCTTTAATAAATTTATAATAAAACCGCTTAGTTATTACTCGAGAAAACCGTATAATCTTCCTTATACCTAATCCTTTCTACCCTAAATTCTTATACGGCTATACCTCGTTTATCGAAAAAGAAAATATATAGACGTAAGCTATTTAATCTCTTTCTTATTAGTTATATAAGACGCGGTTCTAGATATTATATAACGAGAAGATAGCTGATAATTTACGAAGTATTTATAGAGTAGCGTTATATAAAGCCACGACTCTTTATATCTAAATTAGACTAGGCGAGTTATATTCTTTCTTAATATAACGACGCTCGATAGCGAGTCTTTACCTATATAAATTCTAAGAGTTTTTAGTATATTCTTTAACTTATCTCTTATAATCCTATATTTTATAATAACTTCTCTTATTAATAAGCTTTAATTAAGATATAACTTAAGATCGTATTATAGAAGCTAGAATATAATAAAAGCGTAAGTAATTATCGTTTCTTAATTAGTTAATAAAGCGTCTTAAAGAAATATATAAATAATTATACGAGACGAGTTATAGTAGCTCTATTTCAGCTATAAGAATAGTATATTCGATGATTCTCTAAGATAGAGCGACGATATAAGAGTATAGTAAATAATAATAGAAAAGACTTTCTCGAAGTAATAGAAAAGGCGGATAAAATAAATATCGTACTATTATATAAATCTAAAGACGTATTTAATAATAAAAATTTCTTTAATAAAAAGAAGAGATATATTATCGATCTTTACGATATATATAACTCGTCGAAGAGATTTATCTATATACTTATCGACTTTTTAAATATTACTTATAATATAAGAGTATAAAGTTATACTCGACTATATTAAGACTTAAAAGCTTACTTCTTAGTAAGATAGTATATACTCGTTAATAATATATACTCTAGTATAGAGTACTTAGTTCCGCTATATAAAGCTTTATATACGAGATAAAGAAGAATTTAAATATTTAATAGACGACTTTCCAGTATAAGAATCGATATCGAATATATATTCGATATTCTTAAAAGAGGAGATAAAAGAGTCTTATCGGGCTAAGATTAATCTTAAATACTAATAAGTAATACGAATATACGTATATATAAATTACTACCTACGTTATTCTTTATAATATTCTATTAAATCTTAATAATATTTAGAATAAAGAAGAAGAATAATAAGTCGAAGACGATAACGACGATAAATATAATAATAAACTTATTAGTCTTATATCGCTATAGCGATATTAGAAATATAATAAGAGAAAGATAATAAGAGTTATAGTTCTTAAAAAGACGTCTTAATTATATTTTTTTTTATATAGTAAGGAAATTAAAGTGGAGGTAGAGATACGGTCGTAAATAACGATATTTAATTCTTTTTAAAAGATATAGCGCGATAAATTAATATAGAATTTTAGTATTAGACTTAGCGCGAGTGCATTTAACGTATAAAATACACTTATTCTTAATAGAATACTTACGATATTTTATAACACTATTTTTTTATACTTTACGAAGAAGAAAATCTTCTCCGTAAGTATTTTCTTCTTCGACTATACTTTATATAAATCTTATATTTTTTTAAACGAATAGTAGAAGGAGATAATTAAATATTTATAAGAAATATTATAATCTTAGAGCGTAATATAGTATAAAATTACTATTAAATTAACTTAAGTAGAGTGCTATATATATATTCAACTTTACGTCTCTTCGTAAGTATTTTTAAAACTATTATTTAACTCTATATTTAATTATTATTCGAGGATCTAAAAATATTATATCCTCGCTATTATTCTTTATACTTTCGTATTTTATATTAAAGATATAATACTCTCTTCTTATTTTTATTAATAAGGACTTTAGAGCGAGCTATTTTAGAGATATAATAAAGATTACGCTACTATCTTTTAAGCTTAAATTACTAATAGCGATCCTCTCTTTCATCTTTAATAAGCTCTCTTTAATGAGAGTTATTTATCTTCGCTTATTCGAATATCGATTCCGCTATAATTATTCGTTCTTTATTAGGTTTTTAGCGACTACGGCGAGACTTCTCAATATTATCGCTATTCGAGTCTTTCGATATAACTAGCCGTTTAACTCTCTTTAGAATATCTAATTTATCTTTCGCTTTAAGAGCTTTAAAAGCTTTAAGAGCTTACGTAGAGACTTATTCGAATATCTTTACGAAAGACTACTCTACGGTTTTAACTAAGGCTATCTTAGAGCGATATAAGATGGGCGTTTTAGATAGCTAAGTAAGAGGCTTCGAAGAAGACTTATTAAGAATATCGTAGAGATCGATATCTAAAACTAAAAGAGGAGGAAGAATAATCTTCTTAATTACCTACTCCGCTATCTTTATCTTATCTAAAGTCGTTATAGCTAAAGAATAAGCTAAATATTTAAAGTCCGAGTCTTCCGCTTTATTAATCTCTTTCTCTTTCTTAATTATAGATTTTTTATATTCTTCTAACGCTTTCTTATTAATATTACCCTCTATATCTTTATTATTAAATTTATCTAGATTCGTCTCCTCGATAGTCTATTTATTACGCCGTAGAGATTATCTAGATTTAATAATAATTAAAGAATTAACGCCGGGATAATCGTTATAGACGCCTTCGAAGTTATAGAATTATAAATACTTCTTAAGAATAAAGTTTTCTACTATAGTACTATACGGGCTATTTAAATTATACGTCTTATAAGTATTAGTATTAATATCTTAGCTAGACCCTTCGGCCTTTATTCTTATATTCTTATAGTTCTTAATTATAATATCTATTTTATTAGAGATCTTCTTTCTTATTATTAATAGCTTATTAATTAATCTCGTATCTTTAAGTATTCTTCCCGCTATATTCGTATATATACTTATTATCTATATCTTATAGTTAACTACGACTTCTTTCTTATTACTGTCAGGACCAGCATAGGTGCGATACCAGTATGGGTGAGGTAGAATAGGATAATAAGGCTACCGAACTATGTATGTAGGAAGGAGGCATGATATAGTAGGAGATGCCTCCGCCAAGGCCCGCTAGCCATAGGGCTGAGTGGTGTGTCAAGGGTACGCTCGTAACACTACCCCCCCCTCTCAATAGCCATGGCCCCCATGGCTGGTAGACCGGAGATGCACGCCCATCGCTTGCCCTGTGTCTCCAAACATCCATAGCCCGTGTAGGCCTCGACCGGAGAAGATTTGCCGAGGTGTAGCGGTATTGCCGGGCCGCATGCTGGTCTTGACTGTGCCATGCCTGCATTGTCCTTCAGAGATCCTGGAGATGTAGCCACATCTTGCCTGCGTACCAGCAAGATTCTCCGAATTCTTCTCCTTGCCCAGTCTTCTTGCCATAGTCCTTCGGTAGAATTGAAGAAAATCCAACGCATGCATGTGTCGTAAATCCCCCCCAACACCTGTTGGCAGCCTGGCCTGGGAGCTTCACTGTAGATTTGCCCTGTGTCTCCCATGCTCTTGCCATCAAAAATCCATCCTCCGTTCCATCTCGTCGATTCGTAGGGTTTGGTAGGAAGGTAGGTGATAAGAATTTGAATGTGTTGAATGCCATTTGGTAGCAGGCTCACTATGTAAATGCCGACATGCCATTTGGTAGCAGGCTTCACTATGTGTGTTGTCGACATGCTCAGTGAAGAGGTCGATATGTGTCGTTTCGGGGCTGTTCCCGTCGCCGTTGTAGCAGGCTCACTATGGTGTTGTCGACATGCTCAGTAAAGAGGTCGTACGTTTGCTGCCTTTGTAGCAGGCTCACTGTGTGTGTGGGGTTTGTGACGATTTCTTTCTATTATCAATTCGCTAGTCGTACGAATAGTCCCTGTGCCTTATTTATCCCTCGCCCACTGTTCTGGCGAGGCCGTTCCGCTGTCCCGTTAGGCTCTTTGGAATCGAGTTACCCGTCTGGTGGGCTTACCCAGGGATACGATGGCTCAACTTGGTTTCTTGCCAAAGCCCCTGCCAGCGCATTTCTTTGAATTCGTCCGCTAATTCGAATGGAGTGTGTCCGATTGCATTTCTCTTCGCCGGGTATACGAAGGAGCCTTATTATAATGTCAGGACCAGCATAGGTGCGATACCAGTATGGGTGAGGTAGAATAGGATAATAAGGCTACCGAACTATGTATGTAGGAAGGAGGCATGATATAGTAGGAGATGCCTCCGCCAAGGCCCGCTAGCCATAGGGCTGAGAGGTATGTTAAGGGTACGCTCGTAACAATTACGACTATAGAATTATTATATTATAAGATCGATATCTTACTTTATTTATTTAATAGCGAAAGCTCGAAGCGTTCTAAGAGCTTTATTTATAAAGACTTTCTTTCGCGATATTAAAGAGGGAAAGAAGAGATATTCGCGACGGCGTAGTAGAAAGGACGATAGAAAGAACGATAGAAAAGACGTAGACGTATAAGAGGTAATAGTAATAGGAGATAAATAGTAGTAGTAGTAATAAGAAGAAAGGCCTTCTAATTAAATAGATTTACTAAGAGATATAGAATATCGATACGAGAAATTCATCAAATAGGCCGATTTTCTTTATTAAAGATACCCTAGAATACCTTTAATAAATAGCGTGGATTTTTTAAATCGTGGGAAAATAAGCGATTTGCCACCAACAGTTGGTGGTAAATTGCTTATTTTCCCACGATCTGAAAATTCCACGCTTAAAAAAAGTGGTCTGAAACTCTCTAATTAATTCTTTATATTATTTTTAATAGATTATAAGACTCTCGCGCTATTATTACGTAGTTATTAATTATTAATTTAATCTTTAAGTATTAAGTCTAGCTTAGTTATAGTAACTTCGATAACTTTTATTACTATTATTACTTTTTCTCTCTATTTCTAATATTATTACTATTTTAGTATAGATTCTACTACGGCTACTATCTAAGTAAGAGATTAAAGCACGTAGAGATTATTTAATTATAAACTTTAAGCCTATATCTAAGTAATAGCTAGAGCTTTATTAGTCTTTCTATTAGTTAGTATCTAAGAAGTAACTAGAGCTTTATTAGTTATACTAGTATCTAAGAAGTAGCTAGATTATTTAATATTAAAATCATTAATAAGCCTACTATAAGATAAATTAAATTCAATCTCTTTATTAAGTAAGTCGATATTTAATTCTTTCGATATTAGTTACTAGGTCTTAAGTCGTACTCGTATTACGTAAAGAGAAGATCGAGTCTATACTCGTATTATAATTAGTTATTAAAGAGCTATTTCGTAGCATAGAGGTGTGGTTAATAATATTATATTATAAGAGTATATTAAGATTTACTATAGTATCTATATTAAAGCTATCTTATATTATAATAGTAGATAGAGATATAAGTAGTCTACTTAGCACTCTCATAGCTATCTAATCAATCAATCCTTTATATATTTTCAACAGTTGCTCGTTAGGAAACGTATCTTGAAATACGCATAAGTTATAACTGCGAGCTACAATTTTTACAAGACGAATAAATCACACTTCCACGATTAAAGAGTGAGAACTTTTCATCTTGGGTGAACCGGTCAATAATCCCCTATACGCCAAAGGTACGTACTCACCAAAGGTACGTACTCACCAAAGGTACGTACTCACCAAAGGTACGTACTCACTCGTAATAGTGCGGCGGACCCTGATGGAATTCTATAATGGGCGCCCATTCTATAATCCTTCCTGTAATACTGTTCGCTATCGCTACGCCCTGCACAACGACCTGCACAACGCCCTGCACAACGCCCTGCACAACGACCGTAACGAACCAACGCCAAAGTCCGTCACTCCCCTTCGCATCCGTATCAGTGCATCGCCAATCGACGCGAAAAGTAAACGACGCTCTCCAAGCCATCCAACATGCGTTTGTCCTAAAGTACCGAAAGCTTCCCCTGCAGTGCACGCTTTTCGGCCACGTGGACGCAGAATGAGAGCTCGAGCTTTCCAAGCCTCCATTCTTCGCCAGATGTGAAGTCCATCATCCAACGATGCATACCAGCTTTGGCGCCGGCTCAGCCGAACCCGTTCAACGGACTCGCAAAATCGGAACTCCCGTCATCGCTTCCACGGCTCTTCTCCACTGGACTTGTTCGTCTTCCCGCCTCTTTCTCACTGTTGCTCTGACTGTACTCACTGATATTCAGACTCCGATCCTCCGATCCACGCAAATCCCAAGTACGCTCTTTCTTTTCTCCACTCTCTGTCTCAACGGCTACATATACTTTTGCCGTGAGTGGTGAAGGAGTCGTGCATACCATCTCACTGTGCGGTCCTTCCTCCATCAGCGGCGCAACCTGAGCCAATTGACTCTCGGCGATGATAGCCCTCCTCTTCCAAAAGTCTGGACTTTCTTCTTGCACTTCCTGGACGTCGATCTTGATGTCTGCGCTCTCCCATCCATTGATCTGAGCCACTCGACTTTCCGCGACGATAGCTCGCCTCTTCCAAGAATCCGGGCTATCTCCCTGCATATCCCGGACACCACCCGCCTGCTTTTCACCATCCTCCTGCTTGACAAACTCAGGCCTCTCTGTTGGTTCTGTATAGCCCGGATACATCATCTCGCTCTCCCACGACCTATCAGACAACTGCTTCAACCCCGACAACCTCCTCTCCGCCAACTCAGCCCTCATTTTCCAAAGACTCAATTCTCTCTTCGCCTTCCGAACTTCGTTATGCAAACCGCCTTTCCCAAAGCTCCCTTTCGCTTTGACTCCAGCGGCGACGGGATTGCCACCCTGAACTTCTTCCAATGCTTCAATTCTACGGTCTTTTGCTTCCTTTTCTTCGCCCACCTGCTGCAGAAGGCGTTGAAGGCGGCAGATTTCGGCATACATTGTTGCGTTGAGGGAGGCGTGGCGCTCGAGAGGTTTAAGGGCCTCACTGGCATTTAGATAACTGTTGGAGCGAGTAGGGGAATCTTTTGGGTTAACGTAGATATTGAGAGATGGAGAGTCGGGGCGAGAAGGAGAGACAGGGCGAGCAAGCTCGGCAAACGATATAGTGCGGTTGTGGACACGGCGGATCTCTGGTGGTGATTCTTGGAGATATGTGCGTAGACGACGGAGCGACTCGGCTGAACGCTGGTGGTGGTAGGCGTCGAGGAGTTGAGTCAATGGTTGCTTAGAGAATCCAATACCATTAGAGTTGACGATCATTTCGTCGTAAGTCTCTCCTTCGCCGTGGCTAGGTGAAGCTGGAGGGTTGGAGATGGTGTTTTTTTGCACGATCTCAGCATCCCGGTCTGTAATCATGCCGAAGCCTGAGTTGCGCTTGGCAGTATGTATTTGCGGTGCAGCTCGCTTCGGTGGAGAAAGGGATCGGCATTCCCTACTACGGCCAACGTCATGGACTGGTTTGGGAATGAGGGATTCTTTTGATACGTTGTTGCTCTCTGCAGAGAAGAACGGATCATCGAGACCAAGCATAGGAGACTTAGGCGAGGGTACGGAGTTGACAAAAGCGTAAATCCTAGGGATAGCCGTCTCCTTTGCGCGCTCGTTACTGCTGCGCATGGCTCTGGAAGCCTCGGCGAACCTTTGGGCAAGAAATCTGACCTTGTTGGATCTAGGGCCGCCATCAGGCACTTCGATTTGATCTAGTTGCGCTTCGCTTGCTTTCTGCGAGACATTGAATTTTGGAGGAGACATGTAGGTGTCAGCCTTAGCCTTGTATTCTGCTAGAGAAGAGTAGGTCTCGATAGGCTTCAGTGCAAGATGTTTTTCCATTGTCAATGATGATTGACGAGGTGGAAACATGGCTTTTTCATCTGTTTGCTTGGTTGGAGATGAAGGCCACTGCCCCGACTGGCGAGACGGAAAGATGGTCCGCTCTGCTGACTGACGGGGTTTGCGGCTTGAGAAAGAGTTCCTTGACGATTTCCTTGATGAGGTGTTGCGGCGAGGTGGATCGGGGCGCTCATTCCATGCAAATGGCTTTGAAGTCGCGTCAATGACATCGCCCTCAGGGCATGAAAAGGAGAGCTCTGCCCTTTGGGTGTCTCCAATGGGCGGGAGTGGCTTTCCCATGGATATCTGGAGTCGGGATTCATCTGACTCATGGCTATGTTCCGCAGGTGGCGCATCCCTCAGGGCCGTTTCAGGTGTCTTGCTCGATGAGCTGGAATTCTGGGTCCTTTGTGGTGTCTCCACAGCAGGATCTACTAGGCGAAGAAACCCTTTGCGTGAAGGGCTAGGCTTGATTTGAAGGGGTGGCAATATTGTACCCATCGCCATCTTCTCCATAGCAACATCTGAATGTGTACGATTCTCGACATCGAGCCCGATGTCGTCCGCGAGTGACATGTTCGTCCCCTCCACAGACCGTAGCTTGGTAGTAACAGCGAATTCGTTGTCTCGTGCAGCGCGTTCAGCAACCCTAGTGTGGCCAGGATTGGGACTACCATGCTCTTCGCTAGCTGCAGGTAACCAGGTGTTGTTTGAGCCGTCATCCTCGGATGGACCAATTGCACCCCGCGACATCGGCGACCTGCTTGTCATTCGTATGTTGCTCTTCATTCTGACAGCCCCTCGAAATTCTTCCGGCAGAGTGCGTCCGCGCAAAATGTCAAGGAACCTCATGTCTTCTTCAGACGTTTTCATCGTGAGCCTGCTACCAGCGTGACTTGGCATCTTCTTGAGACGCCGCTTGCTTCCAGATTTCAGAGAAGAGTTGACAGTTTTATTGATATCCCGAAGTTGCTTGACGACATCAGGCCACACCAAAAGCAGCTGTTGCATGACGATCGCAGTGCGATTAGCTCGGTCAACAAATGCAGCTAGAGTAGCACTTTGGTCCAATTTCATGTCTGAATGCTTGCGCTTGTGCTTCCGGAACTTCTTTGCACTGTCCGTCTCAAGCGATGTGCGCGGACCTCCACCGTGACTTTCACCGCTACCGTGAATTGCACTATCAGTCAAGTTTCCGAGTAATAAGGGTCCCAAGACAACGCCTAGAGACCTGTAAGTCATGAGCTCTGATGGGGCCTGGTCTGAGTCGACGGAAGCGTTCTCCGCTTGTAGTTTGTCGGCTTCATTCCCAAGATAAGACACCAGACCCAAGACCGCTTGGATGAGATATAAGCGATAGTCGGAAGCAACGCTCGAGATTGCCAGCGCAATCATCTTGGCTCTGAGACTTACGAGGTCAGATTCGGAAAGTTCAGGATCATACTCGAAATTGGTCGTGACGTTGCGAAGCGCTTCGAAGAGCTCGACCGAGCCGAGTAAACCACCTGGCAGGTCAATGAGGACTCTCTTGAAGAACGAGGCGGCATCGGGTACTGTGTGCTCTATGTGCGAGGGAAGGAGACCTGATCCTACAGTCTGTTCAACCTTAGAAGGACTTCCAGCGTCTGCGTTGGAGAATTGATGATCATAAAAGTCATATAATGCGTTGACGATCGTGGTTTGACCGGACACGCGGAATATACCAGGTGCGTTACAGCCTGCGCATTGCTTGAGTCAGCTTTGCGGACTTCTCACGACAGAACAAAGGACTCACCATGTTGATATAAGTACGTAGCTGTTGCTGAGAGACAGGTGGGAAGGGTGAGCCTGTCAACAGCAAAGTCGGGCGGAAGTATGAAAACGCTCAGTCCTCCAAGTCGGCTGAGTTCTTCAAGACTTTTGCCCTTCAGCACATTCTTATGACTATCGTCTGACAGAACAGGGATTCCCGCAAAGCTCTTCTTCTTTGATATGGGCTTGTAGGTGGTCTTGGCTTTGAGCGTGTAGGTTGAAGATGATCGTCGGAACAGCTTACGTGCCAGCCAGCCCTGGTGATGAGACTTGGTCGTGGTCTTTGTTTGGCTGTGGTTCTCGTCTATATCACCTTGAACGTCAGCATTTAGATGTGGGCCATGATCAGAGGGGCTGTGCAACGTACCATCTGGCTCTGCTTCTAGCCGAGGTAGTCCGTGCTTTTCGGCCAACTTGTTGTACTCATCTCTGTAAAATGAAGCCCCCATTGTACGTGAGCTACCAGAACAGTCTGAGAAAACTCGATGACTGACAGTGCTCCAGGTCATGCTCGTGAGGCGAGACTCGGTGATCGATTCATCGGCGCCATCGTATGTTTGCACGTTTGCATGCTCTTGTGAGGACGTTGGCGCCAGAGGTTGAGGCGATGGTTGGTGAACATGAGGCCGTGGACGTTGAGATGGAACGATGATGACTTCGCGACCACCAAAGCGAGGAGGCGGTCTCCGCACGACGTTAGGCCTGACTCTATGATGTGATGGACCATGCGGGCCTGAAAGAGGGTCTCTTCGTGGCATACACCCACCAGCCGAAGTTTCGGGCGACCACTCAAAGCTTTCGGCAGAAGAAGGCATGTTCCTTTCTGGGGATTGGAGCAGGCTTGAGTTGAGGAGCCCTTGCGTAACCTGAAGGTCAAAGGTGCTGGCTTTGCTGGATGGCAGTCTTGTGCGGCCGGGTATGACAAATGTATCGAGCGATGAGCGGCGTTGCGCTCTTGTTTGTGTTGAAGCTTGTCTCTGCTGCTCAGAGGGAGCAAAATAGGCAAAGCTCTTGGAGTATTGCATATTGATGTCTGTATGTATGCTGCATGATGAGAGCTAGGGGAGACGCGTTAATGAAAGCCATGATGGCCGATTGGTGGGATGATTGGGACGTTCCTGCTAGTTACGAGGTTCAAGTGAAAGTGAAATTGAGATCTGGGTGAAAATTTTGGATGTAGGTAAAAGTGAATGCGCGGTCCTGCCAATGATGAGTGAAGTCAATACGTTTTCACAATGACAACACCAGGGGACAATAGCGCTTGGTTTCAATTCTTTTCAATGCTACTGTGAGCGATCATGTTTTGCTTCCACCCATATTTATCCAGGTTGCTTCTATTTACCATGTCGTGACGCCGTAATGGGACTTTCCCCATGCCCCAGGGGATATAGAACACCAAGCAAATGCGCACAGGGCAGTCGCGGCCGTTCCGTTTATTGCTGTTTGCTATCGTCCCCTTCTCCTTCAAGAAGTATGTACTCGAGGATATCACTCAAGGTCAACAACCCAATCAACCGGTTGTCTTCATCTACCACAACCAGGCGATGCACCCGCGATTTTCGTATCGTGTCAAAGATCGTATCTAGACGGTCATCAATGTAGCACGTATAGATTCCCGGAAAGTCCTGCAACATTGTCAATACGGTACACTGACTCAGATATGGAACCTACAAACCTCTTGCCGTTTCTGAAGGGCTTCGCCGACATTGAGGTTGAGATTGTCGTAGTTCGTATCTTTGATCAACGTGATGACATCTACAGCCTCGAATACGTTGGTGACAACGCCTACAAACTTTTAGCTTCCCCCATCACTAGGAATGTATCAAATTACCGTCGCTGTTCAGAATTGGCACACTGGATATCGCACTGTTAACAAGCTGATGGATGACCTCAAAAACAGGCGTTTCCATCTTGGCAGTCTCAAGATTCTTGTACGTGCCAAGCTTGAGGTGCTTCAGCGGCTTACGCAGCAATTGGGTCTCTGAAACGTTGACCGCAACGAACTTCAGAATCCGATACTGAGTCACCACACTGACTACCATAGCACGTTTGGTCTCATCGTCGATGTCGACCAATGGTATCCGCCGCGCCCGAGATTCAAGCATGCGCCGACACGCCTCGTACAGCGGCTTTTGGGGATGTATGGACACAGTCTCGAGAGGCTGGACGCCAATGGCCCTCTCGATGTCTTGCGGTGATATTAGTAGTGGATTGGCGTTGCCTTGATATTCCGACTTACCGCGTAAGCTGTTCAATTTGAATTGGTCAATGCGGCTCACAGCTTCAGGATTCTGCCAGTAGTATTGGATGAGATTGAGGTAGTCGGAAGTAGTCAAGAGTCCTGCGAAAGAGGATGTCTTGGAGTCCCAAAGGGGCGCGGAGACGATGCCTATCAGAGCTCAGCGTCCTTACTGGGTACACTCTGGGCTTGCAGGAGGCATGTTACCATTCTGGATGAGGATAGTGAGGCTCTTCTTGACCAAGAGGGCAGTGTCAAAGATGATTAAGCGAAAGCTCAAGGGCAGGACATCATAGCTTGTCCTCACTTTGAGGAAGTCTCTTATTCTTTGCTGCAGTTAGTGGCGCTCCGTCAGCCTGTCAAATGGTCTCTGGTAGGCTGCGCAAGTACAGAGTCGCATATGTGCATCCACATAAAAACCAATAACGTTACATACCAAGCCGATCCTCTGGTCCCTTTCGATAGCGCTCTCAGGCTCAGCATGAGGCATTGGCTGGGATTGACCTCGTGGTCGCTGGCCCAACAGGTGTGATTTTCCTACGAGACCCTCGTGACCTGGATTGACGGGGAGACTAGCCATTTTTCTTCCCAGACTTCCCGGCGCAAGGTCAGTCGTTGAGACTTGAGAAAAGCTTGCCGGCCAACGCCCTTCTGCGGAATAACGCGGCCTGTCGGTTCTCTAACTTCCTTGGGTCTGAACTTGCGGTGACGAACTCTCAGACTCTGATTCGTGGCTGCTGATGGGCATATTGGGCCGATGCTACCGAACACTACTCGTCCTGCATACTTCGCATACTTTTTGCCTTGAATGGGGAAGACAAAGGTTTCTCGTGCGGTGATGGTGAGAAACAGAATTTGGGAGGGGGAAAAGGGTGATTTTCTTATCTCCACCTCTGTGTCAATTGGCTCGCTTCTCAACCAATCAGAACGAGAGCAATGAGTGTGTTCAAAAGGAAGGCCAAGGAGGCATCAACACTACAGTACTCGATTCCTTAATTACGAACTACTCATACTAACTATGTGATTTTCGTTCCTGTGGATGGGCTTTTAATCAATCAAGTGTTTGTCCTTGCGCTTGCTGGTTCTTTGCCGAGGTTGCTTCGCTGTGTCACTCACAGTGCGAGTAATGTATCCAGACACCGAACACCTGAGCACGGAAGATCTATGATTTTGAGTCATGATCGTTGGACCACTCTTGAAAGCTCTTCTGCTTTTGCCTCGAATTCCAGTTCAGCTTCTCTGATATACTGCTGACCCAATCCTCATTCCTTCTGCCCTGTTGCATCACGTTCGCGAATGGGTACCTCGAAGCGGATATGGTCACATAATCGCCAGGGCATAGCTCGATCCTGTCCATCGTGAGCGTCCCTTCCAGGGTGATAGTAGTCAGATTCCTATCATACCTTTCTCTTCCATCAAAACTAGCCCAGGACGAAGTCCGAGCGTCGTAGGGCACGCCAACACGCAACACAACCGTGTCAGGTAGTATGATAGGTCTGAAATTCAGCGTGTGCGCGCAAATGGCAGTCACCAATATCACAGGGTTTTCAGGATGGCATAAAGATCCTCCAGCAGCGAGGTTGTAGGCAGTGGAGCCTGTCGGAGTGGCTACGCAGACACCGTCTGCCTGGACCGTCGTGAAATGCTCGTCGTCTCCGAAGATTTCAATGGAAGACATCGCTGACAACGCATTAGCGAAAGTCTGCAGTTTGAATTTCGTGGTCACTGACTAGGATTAGGGCCTCTGTCCACCACGATATCATTCAAGATCTCGTAGGAGCCATCCGGCTTGTGCGTATAGTCGTTTTCGGCCTCTTCGCCTATCAGCTCCTCAACCAGATCTCGGTGCTGGCCTTTGGTCTGTGATCTCATGACCGTGCCCTCGAACCGCAGACGCAAACTCACGGTCACGCCGTCTTTGAAAGCCGAGGTCAGCGTTTCTCGAAAGCCTGAATAATCGAACTTGGTCAGGAAACCCAGAGAGCCCAATGAGAATGACAGGACCGGAGGTACAATTCTCTGGAAAAGCCAGCTGGCATAGAGGAGCGTGCCATCTCCGCCGAGCTTGATCTTTGTTAGATAGGATCTAGCAGGGACTTCAGGGTACAATACCGTTACAGCAAAGTCAAATGTAAGAGGGTGCTGTGCGCAAAGCTCGTTACTCCAATACTTCAGGCGACCTTCCCTTGATATGTCTGCGGAGATGATGCTCTTTGCGTCGAACTTGTGATTATGTTCCAGAGTGTCTTCAACGTATCTAAACAGCATAAGCCTAAAATATATCCTTCCTTGTACTCGGAAACCATACACAATGTACGGTGTGTCCCTCTCTTTTGACAGCAGCCATTCCACCATGTCCCTTGTGTACCCAATGAGCGACTCGTCATGCGCCTTCGTCAACAGAAATACCGTCTTGACCTTCAACCTTAGCCGCACACTGCCCAATCTCTTTGACAATTCTCGGACTCCATATGCCATATCAGCCAGCTGCCTCTTCGTGAGCATTCGAGACTGGGTAGCCGGCTCATTTTTGGTGACGATTGCCTTGTCCGCTTTCGTATCTTCATTGATGTTTTGCAGACTGTTGGTATTTGATTTCCGGGATCGCCGCTGTTTTTCGAGAAGATGATGGACAAAGCATGCGGTATTCTCTCTTCTCTCTGCTGATTCCGAGCGACCTCCTAGGTTGGGATCTTCTGTGGTGACAAGGGAGGATCTGCGACGGTGGGCATTGTCTGCATCGAAGACTACCTACTTGGGTACTTCAGTGTGGGCGACGGACGTAAGGACAGGAATGAAGATTACCTCAAGAGCATGTTGGTACTCGGACTCGCTGGCGCTGGAGTCGCCATGGCTCTTCGCGTAGTTGTTAGCTTGCTTCTCCATGATTCGCTGACTATGCGCGACCTACTTCATCGCCACGGTGTTTTGCCTCGGGCAAGGTCGTGAAATCGAGTCGCGGAGGGGCACCATCAGACATTGCTCGATCCATAATGGCGTACCACCTGGAGAGTACTCGGAGGGAGCGATTGCGCTGAGAGCCAAGCTTGTCGCTCCTTTCACTGAGAACATGAATTTATCCAAAGTTGCCTCCGAGGTTTCCAAGTCCCCCGAAGATCTGCCGTTCCCCCACCATTCATACGTAGAAAAGACTCGCACCCTCGCGCCTCACATCCATCGATTCAATTTCGAAATTTCTAAACTTCGAAACGTTCGAGCGACGAAGTGAAGGCCAGTTTGACGCAGGGTATGCTGACTGCATATTCGGTTGTCGCTTGAAGAAGAATCTACAACGGATCTATTCGGCGTCGGGTAACTTGTTTCGATGCTGCACGCCGTCGGCGATATTTACGAAGATCGTGGCAAGAATCAGAAACAAGAAGTCTCAAGCCCGCATTGAACAGCGCGGGATGATGTCTTGCATTGCATGCCGTGGGGTGAAGCTGCGAGCACTGATGTTTAGCTGGTGCCGGACGAATCGGTGCTCGTTTCACGATAGCACCCCCGTTTCGACATTTCCCACCAAGCGGGTTCTTACATGTCCATTCATATCCGATTCGGTACGATCTGAAAAACGGTTGAAGTGAGATGCTCCTCGGCTGTGCAATTACGAAACCTCATTCCTTTTGCATCTGTAAGCGCCGAGGATAGTATCGGATCATACAATCCTGTGAGCGCCGATCTGGTCTTGTTTTTGCTGGTACCCGGTCAGGATGACCAACACGCATCCTCAGCTGCCTGATCCTTTTGCTGCGCTAAAGCGTTGTTGCCCAGCAAATTGCAGTATGCATTTCTGTAGTTTGTATGCAAGAATGAGATGACTCGTTCTGATATGCAGCAACTCACCATGGTGGCGAAATTCACTAGCTCCAATTAAGCAGGCAATGGTAGCGCCCCAAGCATTTACTCGCCTTTGCTCTTCCCTGCAACCTAAAAGCAAGTGAAGGTTTCCTCTTTTGCTGTGACGTCTCAAGATCATCCGCCCGTAGCCGGTGAGTTCGAGAACATCGCTAATGGACCGAGCAGTTGCTGTTGTTAGGCTCGTATAGTTGGGTCTACTACTGGCCTCGTATCATCAACTTGAAGCGGAAACTGTCACCACGAGGCGTCCGAGGGTCCCAACTCATTTGTTAGTCTCGGAGGATTACTCTACCACTACTGCATCATCCTGGATGGAGGCAACGAATTTGCTCTCGTACGGGTACAGACTTCTACCCGTGCCTTGTTGCCGTTCTCCCATAGAAGAAAGGGTGGTCTAACGATGGGGGAAATGCTGGATGAGACGGCTGATTGGTAACTTTGGCACATAGGCGTCACTACAATCTGCATCATGCGGTGAGCAGCACCAGGATAAGAGATCTCTTGACCGGGCGCGAACGGCCGTAGTGATGAGACCAGTAAACATCTCATGCTTCGCAAGACCGAATCCTCAATGCAAGAGAGGGTGTGCGTTGGATGACGCATCCACGATGATCGTATCGAAGTGAGACTAACAGCGTGGCCGCTTTGAAATAGCGCACATGTTTATTACTCGGGTTCACAGCGCGTTACCGTATGGCATTCCTTCGCGAGGGCGATCAGCGGGAGCGATGAAGCTGGGAGGGGGTCGTTGATAGACTTGGACTCGCAGAAGCCTGTTACAGTCGAGACCACGTAGGGTAGGTATGTAGTCGTAGTGTTTTATGCGCGGCCTGCACAATCATACTTATCGATATTGTGGCCCGCTGCAAGCAGTGCTTCGACGTACCGCCGTGGTCCGTGCTCCTTGTCGCAAGATTGACTTCATACGGGGCAAGAGACCGTTTGAGGAAGAGTTATCTTGAGGCGCGGGATAAGCTGAGATGTTTTCTGCGGCGGGGTTAGAGAATCTGCAGACTGTTCCTAGTTGTATGTACGGAAGGATTTTTTGGAATTTCCTTTCATCAGCCCAGAATGCCTTATTGACTCATGGTTGAGCTAAAATGAAAATGCCGACGCCACCTTGTTCGAATTTCCGTTTGATCCCTGAGGCTGGTGCATGACGGAGAAGTCTATGCCCACCACTAGCGGCAGAGTACCTTGGCGAGACGTTCAGGTGGTAGCCAATAGCAGCAGCGTTTCTACGACTCCAGGTGCTTTTAAGGCTGTAGGGAACGGGTAAGTACGTGATTGGCAGATTCTTCGCAGCCTCTCGTTCAAAGGCCGAGGTACCGGTAGCAATGTGATGAAACGAATACGTGATCGTAGGTACTACTTGAACACGTTATCGCCAGCGTGACCTTTGAACTTTGCCGGCGACATGATGAGACCATGACCTCCGGACATTTGATCCCCCTTCTAACCTACTTCCTGTGATGCTGATTGGTGAGGCTTTCATGGCTGGCGCAGACGGAACAACAGTAGTCAGCAGTTGGACCCCGTACCGCAGATGGTGTTAGGGTACCTGCAAGCGAGGCACTTGAACGAGATGACCTCGCAGGTGATGAGATTTGTTTCGAAGTGATTGACATTATTATCACTACCACTACCACTACCACTACCACTACCACTACCACTACCGGTATTGTTGTTATTTTGCCCTTGCCTTATCCTTGCCGTAGTCTTCTGCGGGGCGTTGGGCCCTATCTGTCACACGTTCCAGGGTTCCCAACTTTGTTTTTTTAGGGGCCACCAGGGCTAACCCTTTTGCCCTTTTCAAGTCTACCGTATTTTTTTTCAATCCGCGAGGGCGGCGTGACCCCACCGAAGCCCACAAATGCAATTCCTTCTTCCCACAAAAAGTAAGCTGCATATTTTAAGGTGCATACCTTAGCTTGACCGCTTTGCGTAGCCCCGTTCAGATCTTGATCACCGGGGTTGTGCCTCGCGTGTGCCACTAACGGCCGCCTACTTTTTACTGAGGCTAGCAAAATAGCAAGTAGCAAGTAGCAAGTAGCAAGTACCAACGTAAGTAGCGAGTACCTAAGTGAGTAGCGGGTAGCATCTAAGTAGCGGGTAGCAAAATACAGTAATAGTACTCTACTCTACTCTACTCTACTCTACAGTAGTAAGGTAGGTAGTAAAAAGTGCTCCGACTCGTCCTCCTTTTTCTTTTGCCCATACTAAAAATTGGCTAGACACTGGTTTGAACACCCCCCCTCCCTTTCCACCATTCACTGTTCAACCCCCTCAATCCTCATCAATCAAAAAATTCGGAATCGTGATGACTGTGCAGCCGCGAGCCTAAAATGGCCTTTCGCATCAATGCAGAATTGGAAGCAGGAATGGACAAGGATCGTCTCCAACCCTTTCGTTGGCGTTGGCTAACCTTCTTCCCAAACCCCTTCAAACAAGAGGATGCATGCCTGCATTCCCGTTGCATGGCAATCTGTCTAAATCACTCTACGGAGTCCTATCCGCTTAAATGCCTTATCCCTTGATCACCCTGCCGTGGGGTCGGCCTATTTCTCATGCCTTGTCCCAATTCTGATGCTCCGTATTTGTGTCAGTCTCAGTAATAATATACGGGGCGGCTGTGGCTGTTTCCTTGCCTTCTCTTCCACTGTCTCCCTCTACCTCCACTTGTCACCTGTCTAGTTCTTCATCTTTCTTTTTCCAAAACACAGTAATGATCATGACCGCCGTCTTTGAAAGACCATACCGATAGCAGAAGGTACCAGATCATCCATGTACCATTGACAGTACATCACTGACCTCATAAAGTCCCCTTCGGAGTCGCCCTTCCGCCCTTCTGAAGTATCAACTCAACTCGTTGCAACACTCTCTAGCACCATGGCTTCCACCTTCCCCATGCCTTCCACAGATTACGGCGTCATGCTCCAAGATGCCTCCAATTACCCGTCAAGATCTCAATTCCTCCGCCGCCTATCGACGCACTCGAGCAGCACGTCAGGCAGCAACAAAAGGGCACCAGCAAGAATCACAAAGCAGAGCAGTGCGGGGAACAGTCCACACAATGTGCAGCGTCGGAGGACAACGGCAAACACAGCAAGGACGTATCCACCGCTCTCGCAAAGTAGCCCCTATCAGACACAGGAGCAAAGTTTGAGGAACTACTACAGCTCTCGACAGGCAATGCCAGTGGAGAGGCCCATGAGCTGGCACCCGGGGTCAGAGATGATCAGTACGCCAGCCACACAAGTCCACCTCGGTGAGCCAGGTCTTGGGAATACCATCGCAGGGCTGCAGAACCTGGCAGTCTGTGGGCGACCAGCTTCCTCCGTTCAGCAGTCAATTGAGAATGCTTTCGCTGTGGGCTACGGCATTCCCATCAGCAGGCCTCTCACGATGGACGAGCATTCACCTACCGGAATTGAAGATTATGCATCGGCGCCCGACTCCGTTTACAGACCGGAGTCATTGTACCACTCGGAGTCGATATACAATCCTTACTCGTACGATGCGTTCCAGCAACTTCAACATTCTTACATGCCTCAGTCATCAAACCAGGATACGTATCCTCCTGCCAATTATCAAATACCGCAGTGGCCTGAAGCTCAACCATTCTTTGCCCACGATTTCCAAGATTCGCAAACCTCGGCAGACCTCTGTCAATGGTCCTCAAATCCTGGACAGAGTCTCAACATCAAAGCCGCGCCTCAGGTGTCGAAGAGAGCAAACAAAGTGCTATCAGGCATCGGTCTTTACGACGACAAGGTACCCGACTCCGTATCCGGCACCAGCGGCGACCCGAATCGAGATTCAATGGGCAAAGGGCTCAAGCTTGAAGAGACATGGCAGCCACCCAAAGATGAGGACGAAAACGATGACGACGACGACGACGACGAGGGGAGCTGCTCGACCGACGAAGCAGAAGAGATGGAAGAGGATCTTCCGATCATGACCTCGGCACCACAACATGCGCAGACGGCTTTCTACCCTCCGTATGGGGATCTGTCGAATCAATCCTTCTTCTTCTCCAATGACGACGATGCGTACACTGGTGATGACCAGTACACCAACTACCTCGCCTTCGGCCAAGCCCAGTCGAAGCCACAGGATCCCGTGACGGGCAACTTTTTATGGTGTTGATGACAGGGATGAGAGGAGGAGAAGGCTGGACCTAGACGTGGCGATCAGGTATCCGCCACACAGATACGAGGCAGAGCTACGAATGTGAGACAAAGTAGATCACAGGCATGAAAGGTGGCACACATGAGGCGGATGTGGCATTACGAGCTCGACTTTCTGTACATAGATGCGAAGATACCCCCATGATCTATCCAATTCGGACGGATGATGCTAGTTACATGCATAGGACCCAATATCAATAGATTCACACCATGACAGACTTGAAACTTTTAAATTTCTTGATCGAGACGTTGAAATTGCTTTCGCTGTACCGTATTGAGCAGTTGCATAAAAGTATCTGGGATTTATGCCGCCTTGTTACCAGGTTTCCCCGATCGGACTCACTAGAGTAATCCGAGAGCCTCCTTTCCATCATACGCTAAGCTGCATCCGGAATAGATCCTCGGCTGTCTGGCCTCTTTCGGCCTCAGGGACGACACGACCAAGACGACATTTCTCCAAAGCACTGCTCCAATGAAATCGCTGCCTTGGTGATCCGACATCTCCACCGAACATTCCCTCTTCCACGCTGATATCGCGACGGGCGATTTGCTGGACGGTCTTTGGGAGGGTGCCGTTGTTATTGAAAGAGGAAGAGAGAGCAAAGCAAGGGTGCGACGAGCGACGAAGGATCCATGGTTGCCACAAACAGCCTGCCATTTTTCCGTCCGGGTGGCTAGTTCGAGGTCTTGCAGGCACCCTTAGGTTACTGTGACTAGTCTACAGGTTTGAGGTAGGGGATCGGGTGCTTCTGTTGCCAATTTGGACAGGTGCGTCGGTAACGGTTTGATGCCTGCGCAATACAACCGAAGGCATTAGCCTCCTTCACCGAGTATCATGTCTCGGTCAGCCTTTGTCGTTCTCGATGGGAATGAATTCTCCTTGTAATATGACCCCAATGAGGTGTCGAGACTGGGATCGTCTTTGGAAACCAATGCTGGGACGCCGACTTTAAGATTGCTCTTATTCTTTTATGCAATCCTAAATTTCTCCTGAGTCTTATCGCGCTGTACATCTATCGTGCCCTGTTCCCGCGCTTTGGCTGTCAGAGCTTCGAGGATGATGATGATGATGATGATGATGGACGAGCTCTCACTAAAGGCTACAGTCAGGCCACAAAGAGAACCCCGCGTCTAGTTCACGATTCTGGCAATCACAACAGCGCGTACCATTCTTTCCGGCACCTTTTTTCTTAAATAAAGGCCAATGCCAGAGCGCCTTCAGATCATCTGGACGCCATGGCGGAACCACAGCGAGCTACTGAGTGTTCGAGAGTGGTTTTTTCCTCAACCAGCAAGTAGTGAACAGGCAGATTCAGATTCAAACTCCAGGAAAAAAGCTTGCAATCACGTAGGCATCTCTTGTAATGCATCAATGATAGCTAAATGACGGGTCGAATGCAGGTGTCGGCCTGGAAATTGCGAGGCAATCTCCCGCATGCCGTCGAATCAACCTGTCTCCTCACCGAAGCAGTTTTGATCGACGAAAAGTCGATTGAGCAGACGCCGGCGTTCGCAATCAGGGCTTCTTACATTACAGCAATTTCTCGGTGCGTCTCGCCTTCTTCCCCTCCTCCTGGCTTGCTTCATCCAACCAATCTAACAAAAGCAGCTTCGTAACCGGCCTCCTCGACTCGCAACAGGAATCCAAGTACAAAGTCTCCATGTACACTCAAGCGCAGAAAATCGGCTTGCCTGCTTTGTTCGTCGATATACGGCACGAGGCTACGCATGGAGATATGCCCAATTTGACGAATTTGAGGAGTGCGGCGCAGAGAGCGTTGACGTGGTTATGGGAGGATTACTGGAAGGGCCTTGAGGAGCAAGCACCGGCGCTACCAGCAAGCCATGGGCCGACCGCGGCTCTGCCGGATGAGGCAGGGTACCAAAGGGAGAAGGTGGAAGGAGATGGGGAGGAGCAGCCTGGAGGCTGGCAGAAATGGCAAGGGAGGTGGACCCCGAAGCCCATTGGCACAGTCTGATCAATATACCCCAGCTTGGCAAAGTTCCCGCCAGCCAGCCAACATATCCATTCGGCTGTCTATGAATGCAGCATCACCCGTCCACCCCCCTTGGCCACGCACATTCGAGTTCGAGGGAGACGGTCCGCCTAGATCCTGCCGGCAGCCTGACGCTCGCCGCACGGTGCACGATCGAGGAAACCTCAACTCCACCGGTAGCAAATCTAGTCTATCCATAGCTCCCCGGGTATCCCAACAACTTTTGCCCGCGACCTTGAATCGTAGCCCCCCGAAAGCCGGTCACGCAACCACGTATGCATACGTCTCCGTGTAAAAGCTCACAGTATCTCCTCCTCCTCCTCCTCCACAGCCTTCATCCCATCCTTTCCCCTCGCCTTATCCTCCAACCCCGCCTTTCCCCCATCGACATCCACATCCACATCCATATCCACACCCTCACCCTCCCTTTTCCCCTTCCCCTTCCCCTTCCTCCCCGCAATCTCCGCATTCAACTCATCCCAATCAACCTACGCACGATGAACCGTCAGTCTCTACCCATCAAACCCCCCCCCCACCCCCACCCAACCTTATAAAGAAAAAAACCCCCCCAAACTCACATTCCTCCCCCTCCCCCTCCCTATCCCCATCCCCCTCCCCATCCCCATCCCCACCATCCCAACCCTCCTCTCCCTCTTCTCCCCCACAGCCTCCGCCCTCCCCTTGCCCCTCTCGACCCGCATCCTCTGTTTCCGCTTCAGCACCTTGCCCTTCCCGTTCCCCTTCGCCTTCGCGACGCGGCCGGGCGCGAGCACGGTGCCGGATCGGGACGGGGGCGGTGCCGGGGTTTTGGGCGGGGTGGGGGCGAGGGTGGAAGAGGGGGTGGGAGGGGGGGCGCGGCGGGAGGCGCGGGAGTGGGGGGATGGTGCTGTTGGGGGGGTTGTTGTTAGTGGGGTGGGGTGTGGGGGGGTTTTGTTGGGGAGGAGGGGGGGGGGAGGGGGAATAGGGAGGGGAGGAGGGAAGGGGGGGGGGGGGGGAGGTACCTTTGTTGGAGGTTTTGAGCCGCGCGGTTTTGGCCATGGTTTCGGAGGTGGAGGTGGATGTTGAATTTGTGGAGGCGATTGGATGCCGGGGGTGATGTTGATGGGGGAAAAATTTTTGACGGTAAAGTGTGATGAGGATTTTTTTTGGGTTGGGGTTGGAAAGGCGTCGTTCGCTACTGGTCTAAAGGACGGAGTATACTCGGGCAGATTCGAATATTGATCTCTTACGTTCTATGATATAAACGATTTTCTCGAAGGCTTTTACCGCTTCGATTTTACTTTCGATCGAGAGTCGAGTATACGAAGTTACGATTATTCTTCATGTTGATGTCCTGAAGCTTGTGATGGGGTGGGGTGGTGAGAGGGTAATCTAGGTGCTTGGACTGGGCTGGGTTGAAGGGAGTATTGGAAGGAGGATTGCAGTGTGTATGTGATGAGAATGATGTTCATCGATGCAAGCACGTATGATAACAATATATCTAGAATGATGAGGTCTACCTGTAGCTGACGGTGGGAAACACTGAGTGCCAAGGTGCGCTAGGCCCAAACGGAAATGCCAAGCGCAATCCGCAACGGTACGTAACCGAAGGGTGTACAATGATATTTGAGAATCATGGCATGGTACTGCTCAAGTTTGACGGTGATGGGCTGTGATTTTTCTACTTTGGGAGGAGCAGTTGTTGTGAAGGAATGATTGCTGGTCATTTGGTCATCATCAGCTAGAGGAGGCAAAAGACTCTAGCCACTACCACGGAGCAGAGGGCCATGTAATCCAACTCCCAAGGAACGCGAGAATTTTTGACCTGCAGCTGCAGCGAGGGCGATTTAAAATCATACTTGCAGCCATGGTACTGATCGACGTCGTGGGTTCTCGTCACGGCGTTGGTGCTGTGCGCCGTGACGAGAGCAGGCTTGGTTATCGCTAAGTGGAGGCAGCGAAAGGGTTAATCCACCACCAGGGGACAGAGGGCCAAGGCCCAGTGTACTGATTGCCCCAACCATTGTAGTATGGATTGACCTGCAAGGGTAGCACGGGCGCCGCTGACTCATAATCGCAGCATTGGTATTGTCCGTCCGTCGTGATGATGGTGGTCTCTGTTGCAAACAAACAGATGTCAGATGATGGAGTGTTGATGCGATGGGAAGGCATTGGGGATGTTGCTGTTTGTTGAGGGGTAGCTTGCAAGAAGGCAGAGAGAAGAGACGTACGATTTTCGTACCAGAGACACACGATATTCGGGTTCTCGACACCAGTTGGGCTCGTAAAATTTTTCAAATACACCACCGGGAGTTTAGGATCCCACGTGAAATTCGCCGTGCACCCGGGTGCCGAATAAGGGCAGTTGAAGTAGGGTCTGCACGCCCAGGACGGTGCTGGGTATACCTTTTTCCAGATTGTGGAAAGGGTGGCTTGGCCGCGGTCGCCGAGATTGATTGGGTTGTTCAGTGTCAATGTGATGGGTTGATTTGGGTTGTCGTAGTCAATGCCCACAACGGAGCATACGGATGTGTAGGGTACGCGGGAGCCATTCTTGTATTCCCATTGGTCGTAGGGGTCGAGGTCGCCTTTCCATCCGTCTAGATTCTCGGGTGCGACGTTCATGCAGCCTCCGTTGTCAACCATGGTCTGCGGATATGCTCTTAGTAAGGGCAGATTCGGAGGTGGAAGCCTAAGAAGACTTACCAGCCAGGTGGCTTGGGCTAGGCTGGCGAGGAGTGGGAAAGACGACGCAATTGAGATGGTTGCGCGCATGACTGCAATTGGTCAAGCCGGTAGGTATGTGGCGGATTGTTCGTCAAAGTTGATTCGGCAGAGACGATGCAAGAGAAAAAAGATAGGATTGGGGGTATGCATCCTTTTGAAATCTATCTCCGCAAATCCAACGGTCCAAGGCCAGCCTTCGATCATTGCAAGGGGAGTTTCAGATTTCAGTAATCTCGCTATGTGCTGCTCCAAGAGCGTCAAGGCTTACCGTCATCAAGAGCGAGAAAACCGAGGGTGACGGAGAATGCAACGCACATCTCGGCGGCGTTGAGATTTCAGTAATCTCGTATGTGTGGGAAATCAGCATGAGTTCTTTGATAGAGCGAGGACACCAATAAATCCTTCCACTTAGCCGAATATCGGTTAATCTATTGGTGTCCTCACTCTATCAAAGAACTCACTTCTGGATGATACGAGTACTTCTCAAGCGTGAAACATTGTGTTAGGGCTTCCCGCGGCGCGCTCTCGGGCTCGTTGACCCTCTTTACTTGACATGAAACATCTTCCAGAAGCCTAATCACGAGATCTTGCAGAAATGTCCAACTCACACGGAACTTGTGACAGGATACTGAAAGTCCAGTCACAATTACGAAATAATGAACAAAGAAGGCAGAAAGCAAGCAAGCCACCTTGTGGTAACATCGGCCTACCCAAGACGCAGTCGTCTAACCGATCCTCCTCCACTACTGTTTCGGTCAAACGCCGCTGATCTTGTCATCTTCTCTCTCACCTTCTTTGATGGGTTTTGGACTCGTGTGTATGTCCGCAAAGTTCTGCATTCTGGTTGGATACATCTGGTCGCAAGGGCATTGCTGGAATATGATGAAAGCGTTGGTGATCAAGTCGCTGGCATGAAAGGTTGTGGACCTTGTACTCTACCGGCGCGGGAGGATGTTGAGCAGTGATGATGGTTCATTATGAACTAACTAAATCCTTGAGGGTGTATGGTACCTAAGGTACGTACGCCGAGCACACTGCCCTTGATCCGACCTAGTGCCTTCCGTCGTCATCGGATACTCCGTCGCCATCAGATACTCTCGATACTTCCTTCTGATCTCAGTAACCTCACGCAATGAGTCTGAGTAGAGGACCCTTGCCAAGTTTTGTTTGGATGTGTTGATAGATACAAAAAATGGTCAGACTGGCTATGCACACTACCTGCAAGTACCCAACACTTGCGGATGTAATCTCCTCCATCCACAAGGGGTGACAGAAGTCTGAATACCGAGGTTTACCCGGCTACCTGTAGGCTTCCCACCAAAACAAACATGGAGACCCCCTGGTGATCCACACCTTTACGACTAGTATTGTCCCATTGCAGATCAGCAGCTCGCTTAGCTACCCCACGTTCAAAGACCCGTACAAGAACGAGATCACGATCACTACTGCTACGTCTGAGTCGAAAACAGCGATCTCGCTCCACCGCTTTCTACATGGTCGCGGCGTGTGCGAATGCGGTGACATCCTCGCCCAACCGTGATTCTATCTTAGGTTGGGGTCTTGAAATAAAAAGTACTAAGATTGTGAAGACCTGGATGAAAACCAAATTGAGAGCGAGCCATATCACAAATTCGGTTGTTATTGAAAGCCGGGCAGTGGACACCTTATACATTGACCCACGGTAGCAGGGAATCCACATGGTATTTCCAGCTATGACTAGCATTAGGCAGTACATCAAGAAGATCAATCGACAGAACCATTGTTCCTTGAAGAGATTATGATAGGACTGGGTAGGACCGTGAGGAACTGTGTTTGATTGTTGGATGACACTAGAGGTATCTTTGGCCCGATGGTATGGGCATTGTCGGCCTACCAGATAGCAAAAGGGCAATAGGCATGATCCTTTGAAGTAAAATCTTCATCAACGACCTAAGCAGTAGATTAACCATTCTAGGCATTGAGTTTCTCTTGACTTACAATGCCAAAGGACTGTTGGCAATGGACGAGACTAACAGCCAAGTCTGCCAAACCAGCAGAAACGGTCGTAGGAGCCCGTTAATCATCATCGTGGCCACAGAAGGGTGCCTTGAAAAACCCCATGGCCTGGTAAGCCTATATCTAAAAGAGGCATCCCGTCTCCTTTCGCTACTAGGGAGTCTGGATTGAATGTTCAACGAACCTCCATATCTCGGGGATGCCTAAAAGACACCTGATAGAAAAGAATATCTGCGTGTTTCTCGCCCACCTCAACACCTGTTCCAGAAACAAGGGTGAGTCGAGGACTATTATAAACCTCTGCCTCCGAGGCCGTCTGGATCGTGATTTGCCACCCTTTTGCAAGGAGCCAGCGCGTACAGAAGGTATATTCCCAGCCAGAAGTCCCGGGTAAAGCTCTCTATAAAGATCGGAGATTTGAAAATCTCTGACCGATATGCCGCTGCGCGTCCGGAGAGGCAAGTCACTCCCTGTCAAGGTAGTTCGTTGCAGCTTGATTCCTGTTGCGACTGGCTAACCGGCCATCGGCGAGCCTCTGCCATATCGACGATGTGTTAAATGATTTTTCGTCTGTGAGATTCGCGCGTTGTCGTGTTTCAACACCACCGACCTCTGATTCTCAAAGCATGCTAGGTAGGACGTGTCGAAGGAGAAGTGGCTGCCAGAAGACGTCGTCGTCGACGAAGACGGTGATGGAACCTTTTGCGCGCTCCAAATCACGGGCCATTTGTTTCCTCTTGCCCGCGGCAAATCGGACGAGGACTGTCACTATTGCTCTGGAGTGTTCTGTACCCTCGAGAGACTTGTCGATGAGCGCATTCAAAGGCTGTACCTGGTTGTCAATGGTCACCATGATGACTTCCAATGGATCAATGGCTAGCCAGGAAGCCAATGCTCCGACAACAAACTGGATCCCGGTGCCATTGGTGGGGATAATGATGCTGACATCCCTGGCGGCCAGATTCGAAGATGAAGCGGACAGAGCAACTGTTTTCAAGCGCTGCGAAGCGGCTTCCATGAATCTTTCCAAGGTTCTTTGCCACGCCTTACTTGTTAGTAATATGAAGGCGTGACAAAGAAATGGCAATACCAGTAGATGGCGAGTGTCGGGCTGAATCCATGATCAAGTACAAGTCATAGCCTGATTTTCTGCTCGAACAACTAACGACCAGGACACTCGCCAGACCGCCAGAGGCAGCGCAACAGAGAGCGGTAGTCGGGGGTCAAGGGGACTGTGATGGAGAGTCCGAGGATAGGTGTGACCTGCCGGGTTTGGTGCGATAGCGATGGGCAAGCACCACACGGAAGAGCGCAGTCGCTGCGGGAGGCTCTCGATCGAAGGTGACCGCGTCGAAGCCGAGGTGAACCGCGATTCTTTGGCTGAGGTGGCAGCTAGAGGGGCGAGAGGCTTGAGCAAGTCGGTCATGAGACGGTAAAGTATACGCCGATGGCGGCGCAAACCTGCGCAGAGCCTGTGGGCGAGGGAAGGGAAGGGAAGAGTCGAAGATGGAGGAAGGACAAGCGGCGGTAGGCGCTTTGTGTGGAAGTCGCACCGCTTGAGGCACCCTCGCTCGAGCTTCTGCGATTGCTTTGCATAGATAGAAGACATTAGCTATAAACAACGGCATACAGCGAATGTGAAAGGGCAATCACTGTACAAGCGACCCTCCACTGGTACCAATCATCGATCCCATAGCGTTTGTATCTTTCATGAAATAGATATAGGCCTCCGCCACTTCCTCTGCTGATCCCGCCTTACCCAGAAACGCACTCTTCGCCACCGTCCCTCTCATCTGATCCCCCTTCTCACCGCAGAGCTCGGTATCAGTGCCCCCCAGACTCACCAGATTCACTCTTGCCGGCTTCATATCCAGGGCGAGGTTGCGCGTCAACCCGTACAGGGCACTGGCGTATGGCGCGAAGACGGACCAGTTTGCAAGTGGCTTCTCCCCTACCCGGCCACCTGTCAAGATCAGGAATGAGGTGTAGTCACTCTTGACAGATTTCGGTACCAAGTTTACAATCAGCAGCGGTGTCGGCAACGGAAGTGGCGCCGCCTCAATGAGGTAGGTGAAATCGACCTCGTGGAAAGGTTTCACGACGGGAGAACCCGCTGTGTGAGTTAGATGATGTGGTCGAGAGGATCGGCAGCAGTGGCGTGCGTGAGTGGCTGCTCGAGACAGGACTCGGTGTCGTCTCCGCCGAGTTTGGCAACATGGCCCGTTACTTGACCGTTGGGGAATGCGGACTTGAGTCTTTCAACGGCATTGTTCACCTTGTTTTCACTCGAGGACGCAATGGCGACGCGGACGTTCTCGTCGAGGGTTGTTCTAGCTTTGCGACCGCGGATCCGATGCCTGAGGAGCCGCCGATGATGAGAATTGAGTGGCCGGAGATGGAAGACATCTTGTTTCTACAAACACGTGCTTCGAAAGCACAGGTTCTGCTTTTTGATAGTCAAAGTAGTCCTTCGATTACGAACAACTGGATGCTGAAACACGACTCAGGCTTGTGATTTCTTGACAGCTACACGTTTCGATTCTGTCCCAGGGGGAATGGCAGGTGTAAACAGGCATAGTATGTGGTTCTGAGACGTACGATTATACTATGCTGAACAAGTTTTACACAGTCAAGACTGCAGCTCGCTGGATAGTCTGAAGTGAATACCTTACGAGTCATCCTTGCTGGTACCGGTCCCAACGAGGACAGTGACTATAGTAGGCATTTTACCACACCAAGAACGCATGGATGGAAACATATCCTTCCATAACTGCACACCAACCCTGCTTGCTATACTGGTCTTATTGTTTGCAGATATAAATCCCTTCTTCAAAGCTCAGCACGAGGCATGAAGCATCAATGAAAGAGTTTGCAGCCTCTAAGGTGAGGAAGACCATCAAAAATTGCGCGAATGAGGTGCCCGAAGGCAACTCAATGACTTTTGCCTCCGCGATGTGCAATGCAGGGCTCAAATCATGAGCGAAGGCCTTGTTGATCGCCCAGCTCCTCACAAGGTAAGTATGAGGAGGAAAAATAAGAGTGTGGGATGGAGGCTTAATTTATACCCGAGGATTCGTTAGCGCCACGCTAAGATTTCACATCTGCTACCCGGATTCTGTGCTAAGCCTGGGGGTTCGGGACTTGAAGGAGCCTAGAGGCTATCGGACTTCTGCTGTGGCGGATGCTGCCACATCGAGGCAAAAAATGCCTGCAACACCAAGCAATCCTTCTACCTTTACTAACTGAAATAATACCTTCAATACCCTCTTCACAAGCTAATACTTGCCATGGAGTTATTGTTTACGCTAGTATCTGTATATTTCAGAGCAAAATCTTCTTGATAGGCCTTTCGTTGGCAAATTGTGTTAGATTTACAGATTTTGAGGGTGTGCAGGGTTTTCTTTCACCCGCGAGCCACCATAGAACGTGTAGCCTACCGTACGACTTTGAGACTTTCCCAATTCTGCAAGAGACATAGACAGCAGCAAGCATTCGATTCAAGCTTCCGCAACCCACGACCTGCCCCATCAGCCATGACGAACCCTCCACCAACCCTCCTGACACTCCCCGTCGAAATCCGCAGCAGCATCTTCTATCTCGCCCTGCTGAACACACCAGAGGTTTGCGCCCCCGAGCCTCCCTACCGTCATTCTCTCGACCTCTCCCTCCTATCCACGAATCGACAGGTCTACTACGAAACCCGCACCATCCCGCTCGCTCTCCATCATGTCGGCAACCAATACGATCCCCAAGTCAACTTCTTGTCTTCCCTACGCCTCCGTCCATTCCAGATAGCGGCCTTGAAAACCTTAGTTATCGAGTCCCTCTATCCTGGTCACCTGACAAATTTCTTGGCGCTCGGCAAAGACAATGGATATCTCTTCGGTGAAGAAGCGCTTGGACTTGATCTGCTGATATACGCGGAAGATTGGATTGTAAAAGGCGCTCGGCGGTGGCGTTATACCGCTTCTCCAGAAGCTGTTCACGATCATCTCCCAAAGTCCAGTAGATGGCTGAGGGCCTTGTGTGGATTGAAAGGGTGGAAACGATTGGAGATCGTTTTCGGCACCAGAGATTTGGTGAACGAGTATTGGGACCGTGGTGGGTTTATGCAGACTTTGTTCGATGATTTCAGATCACGCTTGGGAGATCTTGACGACGGCTTCACGATATGGCACGAAGGTCGAGATGTACCGAGTGAGAAGATCGTTGTGCTGAGAACAAGAGAGCTCGGGAGATACAAGCAGACTGAATGGTGGAGGGCAGACGTTGGGAGATTGATGGATGGAAGCGAGTGCGTCTTGCGTGGATCTATGGATATAAATGAAGACGATGGAGGAGGAAGGCCAGGTTTTCATGTCCAGGAAAGGTGTGGGGTTCCTGGGAATAGGAAGAATCACTGCACGAGGTGTCAGCCGGGTTGCGGATGCTATACAACCCAGCGGTAAATCGCGGCACCTTCTCTACTTAATAGAGTTCACCGGTTTTGTTGTTCTGGATATCAGGCGTTTGTTATAGCAAAATTCGCGGGTTGTTCCTATTCTCGAAAGAACAGCCTAGTGTTTGCAGAACTACTTTATGCGTCTTGAACTGCATCCATGAGTCGATTTTTCTCCTGCATACCAATCGACCATTTCTACAATCTGCGTTTACTACACTAGAAGTCTTCATCCTCTTCACCATGACGTCGACGCAGCCCAGCGCAAAGAAGGCCTCCAGCCCTTCCTATCTCACATTCATTCCGTCCAGCATCGCATTCATACTCTGTCTGACACCGCACGTAAGCTCGACAGCAGCCAGCACAATCCACACAACACCAAAGGCAGTAAGACAGACGCTACAAACCCCACAGCAGACAGACCTGCCATCATAGATTGCAACACCGCAATGACGACATCCAGCGGGACTACTCGCGCAAGGGTCGTCAATGTTAGGGTGAAAGCACCGTATGTGAAGGTGATACGCACCGAAGGCAGAACTGAAGTGGACAAATTGACGGCGGTGGCGTACATTTGCTTGTACATTCGAGGCTGACTGTGAGTTGCATCTGCCGATGGAACGAACATGGACATGGTGTAGTAGACAATGCGCAAGTTGGAAGTCATTTTTCCATCAACCGCGTTGCCGGGTGAGGGCGGGATGCCACCACCATGGGTCGTGGGTGATATGTATGGCATGAGCGAATTCCCGATGCTGTCACGCTCACCAACTCGCTCCTGGCCATCAGGCACATCCTGGTCCGAAGGTAGAGCGGACCCCACGTTCAAGATTTGAAGAGGCAAGAAGAGCAAGGTCAGGATCGACGATAGGTATAGTATAGTTGACTGCATTCGTTAGGATGTCTACAATGAAAGGTAAGGATTTCGAAGACGTCACCTCTATCCAGTTGACCGTGAATGATAGATAGAGTCGAGTAAATCGCTCATGCGCGCCTTTAGGTTCCAATTTGCTCTTCTAAAGGCGCACAGTGGACCCGAGCTCCCTCTACCTGCACTGTCCTTCGCATTCGCTTGTCGACTCACTCAATGTTACGTTTTCCCTTGCTTGTTGCATGACCAACTTCTCTCGTCCCGTCCCAGGATAGCAACTCCGAATAGACTCACTCGCTCATTTGCCTCGAAGGCACTCATCGTCGTCCAAAAGCTAGGGTAATTGCACTGTCCTGGACTATGAGAGAGGAAGAGCTTACCGCCTTATCCAAGTCAATCGCAGCCTGATACTTACATTGAAAAGTGATCCTCAGACTTGACCGTAGAATCATCGACTCCCTGTATAAGGTATCAAGGGGCGAAGGGGCTGACTCTAGTACAGATTATGGGTGCATGCTGTTCCAAAAGCACAAACTTCAGGCCGGGGTACCCGTGCATGGCTCTTGGACTCTCGTTGAGAATACTACCAAACACTCTGTACTTGGGGGGCCATGTCTACAATGCGGCACACAGTAGGCTTCCACGTATCTTGATCTATGCGAAATATAAGGGCTTTGTTTGGTCACGGCAGCATGAAGCAGGAGATGGGAGCGGAGAACAGAGAAGACCGAAGGTGCCCACCAGGAGGCCAAAACTACCAGAGACAATAAAGAAATTTTCATGTAGTGAGGTAACTATAGGGCTATGGTCCAATCTGGGGGGACTGGTGATCAATAGGAAATGTTGTAGTCTAGATCTCTGCAGTAGCCTTGTCCATTTGAGGAATGGATAAGTGGTCAAAGACAGTCAATAGAGCACAAATATCAAGCAACTTGAACTTACCCATGTACCGATTACGCTGGCTGGACATTCGGTTATCGAAGTGTGTTCACACCAGATTTGGGAGTTTTCAGAGTGTCTTTACGGTTGTCAATCAGGAATGAGTTCCACGCTAAAATAGCGCCGGGAATCAGCAATAGTTACTCAGTTCTCCGCAAATCGCACTAAAGTTCATGAGAGAGGGGCTGCCACTGAGGTATGCTCTATACTGTTTTTGAGAGATCTGATTAATTTTTTCGAGCCGATCCTCAAGCGATCGAGACTCTTGGCTGCTAGAATATCGTGAAATCCTTTTCGGCTTTTTATTGTCTGCTACGTCCGTAAGGCGAAGATCTTTATTCCCCATTTTTTATTAAACTTTCGCATAGTGTTATAACTAGCTACTCTAGTCTGACTATTTCGATACCGTTAGGCTTTGATTATTTAGCTGGATTTGATGGAATAAATGATAAAATTATTTGGGAGTTGAAGCCTAATTTTAGGTGTTTCCTGGATAGAAGACCTTCATATCGAGGCTCGCAGGGTGCCATTGTAACAAACATCTCTAATAGAACTCTACCTTGTGTACCACCTATATCAAATTACACATAGAGTCCAAACGTAAATATTCTACAAATTTGTAGATCGGGAGATGGAGTTGACGCCTTAAAGCAAATCGAAAGGAATTATTTTGTGGTTTTCGACAAAACCCCCAATTGGTTCTAGCGTGGAAAAGATTCACTCCGCCCACCCGGCACCAGTGGGGCCAAATTCTACAACAATCACATGTTGAATCACTTCAGGTCTGATTCAGGGAGCAGATCCTCTTGTGAGCGAAATGAGTGATACCCGAGTGGTGCTGACAAGCTTCTCTTTGGCCTCACTTTTAGTAGTGTCGTTGGTCTTGGATTGGACCATCGCAAAATTGGCCAGACACTATCTCTCCGCCGAGTAGTCCTCTGAGCTGCACTTATACAACCCTGACGACACGTCTCTACGCCGCCTTCTTTGCGCCATGTCTTCTAAGAAAATGACCGCAAACCCTGTCCGGCCGGCTAGATACCGCCCTGGCAAGGCAGTCGCAGAGGAGCCATCGTCTGACGAAGAAGACGCATCCGCGGGAGAAGAGGAGCAATCTACACCGGCAACCAGAGCACCAGCCCCGACGGCGTCATCGTTCCCTTCAGATGCTACGAGAATCGCCGGTAGCCTCAAGAATGTCAACCTAAATGAGCGGAGACGGCAAGCTGCTGCGCAAGAAGCTGCACGTGTTGAAGCCGAAAAGGCGGCGCGGGTCGCAGAGGAAGAAGGCTTTGTGACCGAAGAAAGCGAGGAGCAAGAAAGCAGTGATGAAGAGTCGGGGCCCGGAAGCGGAAGTGACGAAAGCAGCAGTGAGGAGGAAGCTCCAAAGGTGCTCTTGCGGCCTACATTTATCAAGAAGGACAAGCGGAAAGACAGTGTTGTCGTCCCAGACACCAAGACTGAGGAAGACACGTGGGCTGAAGAGCAAGCGAGGCGGAAAGAGAAGGCTGATGTCATGATCCAGGAGCAACTAGAAAAGGATGCTGCTGCTCGAGCTGCTGGAAAGAAGGATTGGGATGACGATGAGATCGAAGAAGTTCAGCAGGTAGACGATACAGATGACCTCGACCCCGAGATCGAACGAGCTGCGTGGAAGCTGAGAGAGCTAAAGCGGGTGAAAAGGGAGAGGGAGGCCATCGAAATAGCTGAAAAAGAGCGAGAAGAGATCGAAAGGAGACGCAACCTTAGCAAGGAGGAACGGGATGCAGAAGACAAGGACTTCATCGAGAAGCAGAAGGAAGAACAAGAAGGTAAAGGCAAGATGGGCTTCATGCAGAAATATTATCACAAAGGCGCCTTCTTTCAGGATGATGCCAAAGCGGAAGGCCTGGATCGACGCGACATCATGGGTAGTCGCTATCAGGACGATTCGAACCGTGAGCTACTCCCGCAGTATATGCAGATAAGAGACATGACAAAGTTGGGAAGGAAGGGCAGGACTAAGTACAAGGATCTCAAGAGCGAAGATACTGGGCGATGGGGAACCTCCGAGGGAAGAGGTCCTCGAAAAGCCGATGGTACATTTGACGAGCGTTTTATGCCAGATCAAAGAACTGGAGGGAAAGGTGGCTCTGGAGCAAATACTATCCAAGTTGGAGAGCGAAGACGGCCGCCGGAGGGCGCACCAGAAGGTCCGCGTGGACGCGATAGAGGCGGACGCTTTGACGAGGGCGGGGGAAGGAGAAGCCCACCAAGACGGTCCTACTCACGCTCACAGTCACCACCCAGGCGGAGGGATCATTCTTACTCGAGGTCACCGCTACCGCGGAGAGATCGAGATAGAAGTCGGGGACGATCCTACTCATACTCTAGGTCACCTCCACCGAGGAGAGATCGATACCGCGACGAGCCAAGCAGACGAAAGCGGAGCCCTTCTCCAGATCAGGACCGCTATGGAAGCGACAAGCGGCGAAGAGTAGATGTCTCTTAGTCTGTCCATCGTGCTCTTAGACCATCATAATGCCAACCTTACGAACTCCGTGCAATGCATATGCCCATTGCAGCGCCACGCTATGCTCATGAATCTACTTCGCCTTTTTTCCCTCATTGAATGTCTTTCCCAGTTCCATCGACTTGCTTGTCTATGTTCCCTACTTCGTTCCCTCTCTCTTCACAACCTCTTCTTCAAATTTAATCAAGAACACCGTCTTCCCAGGCCACATTCCCCCCTCTTCCCCAGCATTGTGCGCGCTTACCCCTGCTTTACACCCAACCCCACAACAAACCCCTTCTATTATCCCCGCAACGTACGCTGCACAATTCAATTGCGACATCTCCTTTGGCACTGATATGTACTGATTCACCAAGGGTTCATTATCTGAAATCATGTATTCATGGTTGTTGGTGGAGGAACTTTCAATGGAGTCTGCGGAGCGGGCAAAAAGGTGCCGCCAGAGAGTGTGGGCGATGAACTGCAGGAGTGGGAGGATGCGAGTGGGACGGGGAGCGGGGTGGGTGGGGGTTGAGGAACGGAGAAGTAGAAGGGGGAGGAGGCGCTGGCCAAGAGGATAGCCTGCTTCGTTGAGTCTGTAACATGACTACGTCAGCTCAGTCCGGTCATCAATCTAGCTAAAGTGAAGCTGTTCGCCTGGGTGTCAATAAGTGACGAGAAATCGTGAAGCATACCGTCGCTCCAGATCCTGTATCCCCGTCACCCTCTTCTGCGCATAACCAACCATCTCACCAAACAAATACGCAAAGCTTGCCCGACTCAGCTCGGCGGTACGTGTTCGATTGAGGTTCCGGTCGTAGATTGTTTTGCGGTTCGAGGGCGTGCGGAGTCCTGCATGGTGTTGCGGGGACTGCTGGGGCATGCGCTGTGGTTGGAGGGGGGTGGACGAGACGATGGTTTTGGGCCCTTGTTGGGCTGGAGCTGCGGTTGTCATCGTGAGAGGTGCATCTGTGGTGGTGTGGAGGAAGTGTAGCTCTGGAGTTGGAGGTCACATTCAACAACGCTAGTGAGAAGGCACTCTTTGCGGAGCGCTCTCCGCTTGATCAACATATTCCTCTACCTTTGACACTACTACCACCTTTTAGCATTATTGATCCATACTGGAAACTGTCATATCTCTCTCAAGTTAGCTCAACCCGAGATGTCTCCTACTACCCGCTTCCCGGTCTGACTCGGCTTCGCACCTTCCATAATTGTCTCGAATATACAGGCACCCCCCCCCATTTTGGCTCTTCACCGCTTCATAATGGACTTCGCAGGTGGCTACCACGACCCAAGCCATCTGCAAGTTTTGCACCATACTTCACCTTATCCATCAAGAACATCATCTACCACAGCAGCATACGGTGTTCTCTTTCTAATTTTCATCTATTACGTCCTCCAGTACCTTGACTACACAAATCTCCCAATGTCTGAGCTCCTTTGGAACTCCTTAGTCTATATAACCCCATCACAGATCTTATCGGCTCTGGACAGTGGCTTTGGAACAGCAATGGCCCACGATGCGCAAAACGACAGTACAGGTTTCAACTCAAAGGGTCATGCAAGCAAGAGTAACACCATGAGACGGATCTTTGGTCTGGATGGTACAGGCATCTTGACCACAATCCAGCGGACGAGGACGATTTCGAACGTTGGCAGCGTCTTCAAGGCACGGCCAAGCAATAGTCTACCGGGTTTGGGCAATTGGGACAACTCTTGCTATCAGAATAGCGTTCTACAAGGTCTGGCTGCACTGGAGTCTCTGCCTGCTTTCCTGAGGTCGAATCCAGCAGGGACATCAGGACCTACGCAGAAAGCTCTGAATGAGACGATTGCCAGGTTGAACGATCCAGCCAATGTGGGAAAGACATTTTGGACCCCTGCAGAGCTGAAGAGCATGAGCAGCTGGCAACAGCAGGACGCTCAAGAGTACTTTTCGAAAATATCGGATGAGTTGGAGAAGGATACTGCGAAGGCTGCGAATAAGAGACCTGGTAGTAGTGGACTGGAAACCTTGCTAGGTGTAGAACGGAGTGATACGCGGACGAGTTCGCCAGAGACGACCTCGGTCCCTCGGACAAGCAGTATTGCTTCTTCTGAAGATACGATACATGTTGAACGGCTTCCCGAAGAAGTCGCATCTCTCATAGTACGAAACCCTTTGGAAGGCCTCCTGGCACAGCGCGTTGGCTGCCAGCAGTGCGGCTACGTCGAAGGCTTGTCTCTGGTTCCTTTCAACTGCCTCACCGTCCCACTAGGTAGGCAATGGATGTACGATGTTCGATCGTGCCTTGATGAGTACACTGCTTTAGAGCCAATCAACGGAGTCGAATGTGCCAAGTGCACGCTGCTGCGAGCCAAGCAGCAGATGGAGCAGCTACTTTCTAAATTACATCCAGACACGGGCGAAGGAGAACCAGCTCCAGATGAGGCGACAAAAGCTTTGCGACTCTCTTTACGAGAAAGACTCGATATCATCACTCAAGCCCTGGAAGATGAAGACTTCTCGGATCAATTGCTGAAGAAATGTCAGATACCTTCGAACAAGCGTGTCTCAACGACGAAGACGCGGCAAGCAGTCATCGCTCGTAGCCCAAGTTCATTGGTTGTTCACGTCAATCGAAGCAACTTCGACGAGCTTACCGGCGTCCAGAGCAAAAATTCAGCCACCGTTAGGTTTCCTCAGCAGCTGGACTTGGCGCCTTGGTGCCTCGGTCGTGACCCAAGCTCGGATAACGAGGATGACAGTGTGGAAACGTGGAATGTCGATCCGTCTAAGTCTATGCTGTCGACCGAAGACAGCATTGAGAAACTTGACTTTGGGAAGATGTACGAGCTTCGAGCTGTTATCACGCACTATGGACGGCATGAGAACGGTCATTACATTTGCTATAGACGATCTCCGTACAGTTGCAAACCAGATGTATACACAAATGTTGAAAGCTCTACTACGCCTTGGTGGCGCCTCAGCGACGAGGATGTGACAGAAGTTGACGAGGACACTGTTCTGGCGCAGGGAGGGGTGTTTATGCTTTTCTATGAGCAAGTGGCACCTCTTACGCCGGAAGAAGCGCCTAGGCCCGTTCTCGACGAGCCAAAAGCGGAGTTGCAGACCATAGCTGAAGAGGGCAAAGCTTTAGACCCCACTCAAGTCATTGATGTGCCAGAGATGTCGATTTGCGATGATAGCCAATCTGTAAAGCTGGAGCAAGAAGAGCTGGCTTCTGCATCTGCACATCCAGCAAACCTTGTCTCCCTTCAAGCGCCGACTGAAGGCACAGGAAGTAATGCGCCTGTCGTCGAGAACCCAGAGCCTCAAGAAGCCCCGAAGGTCAATCCCGTCGCCACTATCCGTGACCCATCTCAACCTTTGTGCCTTGGGTCACCGAAGACTCCATTGCCGGCTGCTTCAGAAGCCAGGCCAAGCTCTCCAGCTCCAGCACCAGCACCACAGCCCAAAACAATTGCGAAAGTTGCGTCTCCTGAGCGCAAGGAGGTTGCAGTTGAGCCTGCAGAGCCTGCGACCCAAGTTGATACGCATAAGGAGAACCAGCCTGTCAGTCCTACGTCAATGCGAACGGCAGGCCCTCGAAACAGCAGAAGCAGTGGAAGCAGAGCTGGGAAGGCGATGGGATCAGTGGCTGGATTTGTGCAGGCCAATTGAGCTTGGGTCGATGAAGGAGAAAGAGCAAATGATTCTTAGGTTTTGGTTTAGCACTAGCACACGAAGTCATTTCTGAGAGTTGTTCTTATAGGACAAACACGCTTGTATTGTTATACCCCACGGTAGGTATCAAACGCAGAAGAGATAATCCATCGATCGTATTCCAGCTTCCAATCGCTAATCCTGATAGATGTTCGTTTGATCATGCTATCTTTGTCCCAGTGTTTGTTGAACATCACCTTTAAGTCTCTACTTCATGTGAAATTGCCCATATTCACAACACCGTTTTGTGCTTGGTGAGATCGTATGCTTTCTATGTTTCATTGGTCTGATTCCCTTCCAAGAGCCCAAAATCAGGGGCGTCAACCCCCGCATCTATGGCAATTTCCATGCCTTCTACGTCTGACGGCTAGGAAAACCCCGGCTCATTTCCCCCAATTCTGACACCCTAATCCCCAACATCCAGCCTCGGCGTCGTCTCATCTTTTGTCCTCCCTGCCCAGCACAAGAAAGCTGGCTGGATATCCACGGCGTCGGACGCAGACCAACCACTTGAATTCCCCGGATGCCTGTCTGTCAGACACACCCGATATCGAAGGCTCTGCAAATACAGTCTCCACTCTCTCCCCCAACCAAATCCTGCACGCAGATCCAAAAAAGAAAAAAAAGGAAAAATCTAGATAATACGCGAGTCCACACACGCCCACGCCCACGCCCGAAACCTCCCCACCACCGGCCGCCATCCTCTCCCCATCCCCATCCAGCCCGCACCGGTCGTCCCCGGGCGCCCCACATCCGCAAAAAGACCCGCGCCACCGACGGTCCGTCATCGCGACGGTGACGCCGCGGACGCCGGGGGCCGTTGAGGTTGTTTCCGCCGGCGGAGATCTCGACGGCGCGGCTGCGTTGTCGGGGTGGGGGGTGGGAGTGGGAATGCGGCGGTGGGGGGGGTGCGGATGGGGTTTTGGGGGCGGTGGGGACGGTTGTGGGGGGTGGGGAGGGTTGGGGGTGTGGAGTGGAGGGGTGGGGGGGCGTGGTTGGTGGGTGGGTGTGGAGATCGGAGGGAGGGGGGTTTGGGGGGGACCGGCGAGAGGTATTTGGGGGAAGGAAGGAAGGGGAGACGTGGGCGGTTGTGCGGGATCTGGGGAGGCAGGGGAGGGGGATCGTGTCCTTCTTCCGCGAGTGGGACGGAAGCCGAGCGAGTTTTCCAGACTCCGGGATGGCTTGGCTGAGACTTTTGACGAGTGAGGTGGTGGTACGTGCCAGCTGGCAGGTTTGGGGGGTGCGGTGGGGTTCTCCGTCCGTTGGGATGGGCGGTAAGAGACGGTGACGAACAGCGCTTGCTGTGCATCTGGAGCGATGGTCGAAGAAGGGGTCTTGAGTAAGCTCTCAATTGAGAGGACGGGGTCGTGCCATTTCGGTTCGCGTGGTGCCTTGCTTTCTTTCGCTTTCCGATGAGGTTCTTGCAATGTTTCCGGTCAAACAGGCGAGTCATATGCGAGCTCGTGTCCCTTGATAAATGCTGTTTCACGCTTTTGTTGACTAGTATGTTTCGTTTCCTGAACCGATCCTGCCGACGGCAAGTCTCTAGCTTTGCTTTCTCCGTGTCTCGCGTTTTCTCCAAGCGCATTTTGCCTGGTGCCTTATTTTTGAACTAGCTGTTCACCTCTAGGATTGTTTACCCTAATTCTAAAAATCTCTTCAAGCGCTTTTCCCTAGTGCTTTGCAATCATGCGCCTACCTCCCTCCGTGAGAGGTACACCCTGAAGGTGGGGGTACACAGGGCATTCGGACCATTCGCATGCTTCTTCGTGGGCGCAAGCGGAATTGCATGTCCTTCCAGCCAACCGGTGCGTTGCGCTGTAATATGTACAGCCGCCACGCGGTCGGGGTTTTTTCGAGGAGACCCTGCATTAAGTTCTGAGATATTATTACGAGAACACGAGCACAGTATGCCGACAGGCTCAGCTAGGCTTGGATTATAAGAGGAGGATATCCTCTTCGGCGGCAAAAAGTGGGATACGTACGACCCGGGGGCCTCGAAGTGGTCGATCATGTACGTCTGGGGGAAGCCGCACGGATTCATCCTCTCCGTCATCCTCATCTCCATCGCAGTCGCAGCGCCTTCCGCGATCCCCGTTTTCAAAAACGACGATGTATCGGCGATTGCCCCACCACAGCCTGCCCCATCGACCAAGGCGCTCTGCCCCGACCCGCTCCTCCCCAGGATCCCCATCATGCAGCAACTCCCCGCCGGCGCCCACGTCACCGTCGCCCACGGCTGGGTCATCACGGCCCGCGCCATCGCCAGCTTCATCATCCCGGTGCAGACCATGGCCGCGGTCCTCGACTCCTTCTACCACGACGCTCTCGTCCAATTGGCCACGAGCTCTTTCGAAAACAAGCCGCATCCGGGCAGTGCTTTCGGGTTGAGTATCGGCAGTGTGAGCCTCGCGCTGCGGGCCGTCAATCCGGGCGATTACCTGACGTGGGAGGCATGCGAGGTTGTTGTGGCGAGTCTGCTGCATGATGCCCAGATGGGTTTTACGGGCCAGTTCCAAAGCGAGTGGTATCATGCCGAGTCGGGGGTCTTGCTGTACGTTAGTTTGGGGGTGTTGCAGAGGGTTGGTTTGGGGCCTGTGGGTGGGGGGGTTTGAGTTTCGGTGGTGTGTGGGGATGGAGTCGTATGGGTATTAGATGTTAGAGTAGCGGACGAGAGAGAGCTGACTGTGCGGAAAGGTGTATGTAGATCCTTCAGGAAGCCAGCTTACCGATTCCGCTCGGCGGTTTGTGTCGATACTGCGCGTTTGTTTGTCGTAGCTGTCAGTCGGCCTTTGACCCCAAATTTCCTAATGAATAGCCGGGTGCAGCGATCAATTCTTCAACTCTGGAATCTCTTAGAATTCCCAGGCTTTTCGGACACGGTGTCCCAGCATTCAAAACTTCAGGTTTCTCCTCCGAAACCCAACGGGCAGACCACACGCTCAAAAATAATCACATTGCCAGTCATGGAGAACGAGCAGTCTAGCGTCCATTTCCCACACACGCAAATATCGACGCCATTTACAACTTCGCCTGGAAACACAACAACCTGGCGAACTCGGCGCCATGCGGTCCTGACGACGGAATCCGCATTACCGGCCCTCTCGAACCGACAAGCAACTCCCCTCCCCATCTCTTGTAGCCAGCCGGGACCGAGAACAAGGTGAATCCGGACCACACGTACTAAAAAAATTCGTAGCCAAAGGCGCCGTACGCGATGACAAGGAAGCAGCGGTCGAGGGAGACCGCGACGCAATGGAGGATGAGGAGATGGAATGAGAAGCCAGAGTGGCAATCTGGATACGGGTTGGACATGGATGCCGAACTCGGAGGAAGAGGTGGGCGAAGAGGGTATCGAAAGCGGGGGACCAGATCGGAATGCCGGTTGAGAGAGGAGCTGAGGGGAAGGGGTGGTGCTCGGGGATGATAAGGGAAGGAGAATGTTATTGGTGAGGTTGTCGGGTTTGTGTGCTCTGTTTGAGGTGACTGAGCTGTAGGGTGTGCGCGTTGACGGAGGGGGGAAAGAGGGAGGTGGAAAGAGGGAGGCTGGCATCGTCGTTGATATAGGGTGGGAAATGAGGATGGGGGCTCCGGTACGATATGATCGTAGAAATGGCTGGTTTCAAAGCCTTGGCAACTTGTCCATGAGAGCTTTCCGAGAAGTCAGATATTTACAGACATTCAGGTGAAAAGCACCTGAGTAGACAACAGATAAGGAGCGGTCTTTTGCATGAATCATCAAGTCCCGCTTTTCTGGATCCAGCTTTAGATTTCTAACATGCATGCATACATACAACGCACGAGGTATAAAATGTCGCTAACAAGGTCATTATTCCTTCAAATTGGGGGTATCTTTGATGTGTGATCTCCACTCAACGCCGTTTTTGTTTAGTCTCATACTCTTGCCTTGCCTGCCTTTTCTTCCTAGATTGGTTGATGCCTCTGCGCTGCAACTTCCGCATGAATTGCTGTCTGATGAAATTGCGCCTAATATAAAGGTCAGCTGCATCTCCAGGATTCGAGGTTCATGCTGCAGATCTCACATCAAATAGATCGTTACTACGAAGCTGACAGGAGCTGCGATCTCCCAGAAGTAGCTGCATGTTGTTAGGAAGGACCTTTGAGTAGGACTTTGGAGTTGGTAGTCAAAAGTTACTCACCCGTCGCCATGATTATGTGCACCAGTAAAATTGACAAAATTCATACCGAAATAGCCCTAGAAAATCAGTTGGTAGCCTTGGGCTGTACGTAGGAGCACCTACGGTTAAGAAAGTCAGAGGAAGAAACAGTATGGTGACAACCGTGAGTTGTTTCATCGTCTCGTTCTGACGGGCACCGTTCTTGTTAAAGATCAGATCAATCATATTATCAGCCGCGTGCGTCATCTGGCCAAGTCCGTCTGTAATCTGGATAACGTGATCTTCAACATCCCCAAGATACACTTGTGTCATGGGGCTGATGGTAACACTTGAGGAGACGCGTTTCGGAGGGTTGCCGCTCAAGCCTGACGCAGGAATAGGGTCGCTCGTGTGGTCTCGCAGCGCGTTGACGAGGTTGACAACAGGAGACAGATTGCTCTTGAACTGGACCACCTCGGATGTCAAGACATATAACGACGTTGTGTGGCTGATGTCCGCTTCTGTAAGCACATTGAGCTCCAATTCACCGATGGCATCCTGATAGGCTTCGGCTACTGGGATTGCCAAATCGATGATGGCATCGATGATGGCCTGTGTAATCATACTCGCATCTGCCGTGCGTCGCAGAATGGTCTCTTTACTGCTCAGTCGAGTTATGATGGGAGATTCAATATCTTGGGCCGAGGATTCGAAGAAAGAAATCACAGTATTGTCGGAGATCAGGAAGACTGAGACCTGCTCAACGCCCACGCCTAGATCTTTCGATGCGAGCGCGGAGTGCTTCTCCATGAACTCGATACGCTCCTCATTCGGGCCGCCATGGTATCGTTGAAGTGTGCGGACAGTAGTAACAGGGGTATCCATGGTAGAAGAGGAATGGGCCTTGACGAAAGCATTGCCTGCATCAGCGAAGCCATTGCTCGTCGGGTCAACGTAGCCATTGCTGGGGGTGTGCATTTCTGCCGCTGAGTCCAGGGGCTTCGGAGGCTCCTTTGCGTTCTTCTCATTCTTCTTCCTTCGGAAAAACGAGAAAAGCCCCTTCTTCTGTTTCCTTTTTCTGGTCATTCCGTCGTCAGAGCCCCACTCCTCGCATTCTGAATCGCAATGGGTATCGGAGTGGAAGTGGATGAGCTTCTGCAAAGGAAGGACGATGTAGGTGTGATCTGAGTACCAATCGGCTTTGGTTCTGTTCCTAGGGTTTATGAGATCTTCAACGGCCAGCCGATGCAAATGTTTATCATTTCCCAGCAGCTTAATCACATCCCAGCTTAGCCCGTTGACGTTGATCCATCTACATGCTGCCCAGTCAGGCCTTGGATTGTCCATGAAATCCGGCAGAGTCTCATTGTCAAGGTGTGACAGTCGTATATCATCCACCGAAAAGTCAACGATTGTTATGTCGCACTGAGCATGCAGGTTCGGCGCCAACGACGGGTGCGGATGCGTTGCTGAAGTGTCTATGCCTGGCTCTTGACCTGGATGCCAGTCTTGACCTCGTATTTCGGGCTTGTAGGTCTTGGCTGTGTTGGAGCGATTTGGCCGGCGAAACCTAACGGACTCCTGTATGATTTGGCAATTAGCAGAAGTTTTCTAGGGTCAAACCCGGGTCGTGAGAGATGTTCCAGGAGTATTTTACTCGGCGACATGTCTAGCAACTCCAGATGCATTACAACTGGGAAGATGTGACTCGGAACGCACGACTCACTATTGGAGAAATAGGTTGCTTGTATCCTTTCTCCTGAGACTGGATGGGTGACTTTGGGGACTGTGCCTCAAGATCGATGTGTGATGGTCGCATAGGCGATGACGAGGTGTTCAATTGCACCGGAGTGGCACCATCGCGGCCATAATCTCGTACCTCTGACATTGTTGCGGTCTCGTTCCTCAAGGATTGAATCTGCCAACATTCTCCCCCGAGTTCCCCCACTTTGATGTACCTTAGGCATCGGGATAGCGGCACTGGTGCCGCCTCACTAGGAGTACCTTAAATTTTACTCTACAATCTCCTCTCGTCCCCGCAGCTAGTCAGTACAGATTACTTAACCTAGGTACAGTAATGTACTTGAACCATTGTCATCTTCCTTTTCCATCTTCCAGAGCTTGAAATCTGATCCGCAATACATCTGCTTTCATCTCTGATTTCTATCCACCACTACTCGTATCCCTTGACATCTTTTGCAAATACGACTATGGTGGCTTGCGAAAAAGAGTGGCTAAACAAGATTTGCCTGTCACCATAGTCGTTTGTTAATCTAGGTATCACCGTCTTGGCTCTGCGAAGGGTATGATAATCTCGAGAGAAACAGATATCAAGTCTCTCGAGATCAGGGACTCTAAACGATTGACATGATAGATTGTGAGTAAATATGCTAACTACAAGCAAAGCAAACAGATTTCAGGGAGAACCCGGCATGCCCGTCCTTATATCTGTCTCATACAATCATTTTGTACTACACCCAAATCTGCCGTACTGCTCACCACCTTGAACCAAGAGACAGAGATATCGGGCTTCGCATCTGATTTATTCTTCTTTGCTCCATGGTCTTTTCTCTTGCCGTAAGAATCAATACAGAAGGTTTACTTGACCCTCAAAGTAAGTCCTATCAAGGGCAAGCATCAAGTCGAATTTATCCGTCGGCCAAGCGAGTGTTACGAACGCGTCGTCGCCAGATACAAGGGATTGCGCTGAGTTTCGCATCTCTCGGGAAAGAAGGTTTGGCGGGAACCCTTTCCTCATTGGGACTGGTCGCAAACTCTTTGCTGCTCACCTCTTGAACAGTGAACTACGCCTCTCCAAATCTACATGTGAAACTTCCTTGTGCCGCCCGCGGCGGCGCTGATGACCTGTGCAACAACAACGACAATAAAGATCATAGTAACGTTTCATGTTAAGCTCTGCAAGTGATATGCTTCATTATCTACTCTTGGCTGTTGGTTCTTCTGCTAATGACGAAAAATTGGGGTCCAAAGGTTGCGGCCCCGAAATGTACGAAGCTGACCACTTGTGGGAGATGCACCTTCTAAGATATATTGTAAAGATCACACGGTGCTGCGAAGCGTTCAAGCATGGCAGTGCTTGTCTTCATTCGAAATTGCCAATACCGTCCCACTCTTTTCGGCAGCAGGATTAATATCCCTGTCTTCATTCTCCAGTCCTGAATTCCCTGCTTTCAAAGGCCGCCTTGTAACTTGTACATTTGGCTCTTTTCCTTGGACACGACCAAGGAACGTAAAATCTCTCCGTTCATGTGATTCTTCTCTCTTGTAATGCTCCCTGATGCCATGGCCCCAATGCGTATCTGCACGTTGATATTTACACTTGCCTCCTCGTTGGTGTGGGCAGCTCCTCATGGCAGCTCCGCATCTCCAGCCAGCAGGCAGTCGACAGAGAAGCTCGTCTTCTGTCATTTTATGGTATTGCACCTCGAGAGCTCCCGACTGTTCATTGTATCCGGCTGACCAAGGAACTCGCATCAAAGATTGGCGTCGTAGATGACAGAACCAGCGCCTCCGACTACGACAATGACATGCAGCAAGCCAAGGCCGCTGGGATAGACGCCTTCGCGCTTAACATCGGCATAGACGGCTTTACAAGTACACAACTTGACTTTGCATACGAGTCTGCCCATTCCAATGGCATGAGCGTCTTTATCTCCTTCGACTTCAACTGGTACTCAACGTCAAACACTTCAGGCATAGCAGACACGATTGGCACTTATGCAGGCTATCCAGCGCAGCTCTTGATTGACAGCAAGGTCTTTGTCTCTTCTTTCTCTGGAGATGGCTTGGACCTTGCTGGCGTCCAATCTGACTTGACAGCCCACGAGATCTTCTGGGCGCCCAACTTCCAGCCAAATAACATTGCCTCCGCTGATGCGCTCTTCAACTGGATGGCATGGCCGAATAATGGCGACAACAAAGCTCCAGACGCTGGTAATAACTTGACAGTCTCTGAAGGCGACACAAGCTATACAACCGCTCTTAAAGGGAAACCCTACGTTGCACGTAAGCTTTCATCGCCACATCAAATCACCGACGTCCCACTGATAGGACTGATGCAGCCGTCTCTCCTTGGTTCTCGACCCACTTCGGCCTTGAGGTCAAATACAGCAAAAATTGGGTCTTTCCTTCCGACCTTCTTTGGTTCGATCGCTGGACTGAGATCCTAAATCTTGGCTCGCAGTTCGTCGAGATTCAAACCTGGTATGAGAACGGAGGCTTAGTCATTGGCACAGCCGGAAGACTGGAAAAGATGCTAACACGGGCATAGGAATGACTATGGCGAATCTCATTACGTCGGACCTCTCTCATCTCCTCACATCGACGACGGGAACTCGAAGTGGACAAACGACATGTGAGACTCTGCATCATATCGCTGTGCCGAGGGTTCGAATTGACTTGGACTTTAGGCCCCACGATGGTTTTCTTCAAATGGCCAAACCTTACATTGCTGCTTTCCACGCCGGGTCCAAGACTGTAGATAGCCACATCGAGTCTGACCAGCTAATTTACTGGTATCGCCCTACCCTCAAGTCTGCCTCTTGTGGCTCCACGGACAACTGCGAACAGCCGTGGCCTAGTCCCACACCCAATCCCAACTACTTCACTGGCAAGCCCAACGGCTATGATACCATGGAGGATTCTGTCTTCGTCATTGCTCTCCTGACTTCCCCTGGAAGTGTTACCGTAACTTCTGGCGCCAATGGGCCCGAGACATTCGGTGCTCCGGCAGGCGCTAGCTCCTGGCAGGTGGGCATGGGAACGGGCAAACAGTCATTCTCCCTGACTCGTAATGGGCAGAAAATTCTTAGCGGGGACAGTCTGAAAGACATCATTAGCGATTGTGTTTGCGGAATTTACAACTTTAACGCCTATGTCGGAACGCTGCCAGCTGGAGCGTCGGACCCGCTCTCAGCAGATGGCTTGAGAAGCTTCACCAACAGTCTGTCCGCCACATGCCAGCCAACGCCTTCTCTTGGCACCGCAACAGGAGCGGGGACAGGGGTTGTTGCTGTCCCTACTGCTGTTGGCACTAATTCTTCGGCTTTATCAATGATTGGCGGTACTGGAAACTCTACATCATCAGGCAGTGGTGGTCCCCAACCCTCAGCAGTCAGAATCGCAGTATCACCTCTTCAAGGCTCTGGCGCGACATCCTCATCCGCCGTAGCAGGAGCACCGGCAACAACATCGCAGACTCCTACAACCACGTCATCGACCACCGCAGCAATTATGGGTAGTGGAAGCAAGACAATAACAGCGCTGAGTCAGCTGTTCCCAACGAATTGTATGCATGCTGGCTTTGTGTGGGGAGGACCTCCAGGCTCAGATCCTGCTGCATGGTGTAATGGTGGATGATTCTTCGGGTCTGGTATTTGGAGGGTTGGGCACATGGCGAATCAGAACCTCTGGCACAGACTCAAGATTCCGTTACTCCTTCAAGCTGGACTCATGGTGGGGGGTCTGCCCATTGATTGACTCGTGGGTTGATTTTATGATCGGGTTGAGTGACCATTTCGAACAACCCGATTGACATGCTGAAGGAGTGCACATGAATGTTTGTGTAGCAGCTACTAAATGCGCTTTTTGTGTCGTCATACCTAAGGTAGCTCTTCCCTCAATAGTGAAATCTCGCCCGCTCGCTAGCGCCTCTTTAGCGTAACTTTCAGCTAAGGTGAATAGTAAAGTAAGGTAAGGCAAGGTCAGGTAAGGTAAACAGGCATGAAAGGTGCCACCAAGCAACTCCCAATGGCTCCCACTGAGAGCCCACAGAACAGGCATGTACCGTTGCTACCTTTCATCATCGCTTTACTGCTCGTTAAATCCAAACCGAGTAACCTCTCGGGTTCTGGTGAGCAAAGTGGCTCTGTAAGTCCGTGGAGGTCTCTTAATGATCATTTATAGACTTCCGCAAGCAGATGGCTTCGTACATCGAAAACGGGCCTCGCTCAAATCATTCTGCGGAGGTCGACACTCATGTCAACATCAGGGCATTCTGGCATTATAGATCTAATCAATTGGAGGAGGAGAAGGCTACTTTCGAAGCTAAGGTGTCTCAACTTCAAGCTAAAGTATCTCAACTCCAAGCAAGAGTCTCTGAGTTGGAAGCGAGAGAGATTCTATGGAAGTCGAAGAGCCCTGAGGTAGAAGACTTGGCTCGATCGCAAAAACTCAAGCGGAGGAGGGATGGCGAGCCAGCCGAGAAGCCTAGCAGAAGTACGAAGCGCGCAAGGAGAAAGATTAGCGCAGTGGCTTTGACTACGCGAGATGCAGTGCTCCAAGATCTTATTAGTAATGAGACTGGCTCTGAATGGGACGAGCTTGGTGAGTGGCACTTTCTGCAACAAGACCATTCGCCGCTTACGAGACAGGAAACAATCTTCTGAACAGTCTCCGAAATCTTCAAGGAAGCCCGATAGCGAGAAAGGGGAACCCGTTGGGGCCGAAAGACCTCGCCTTGAAACTATCCACTATCGCCACCGACATATGCCGCCAGGTGTCTGCGATCGATCTTCCCGCCAATCTTCACGAAGTCCCTAGTACTACACTTCTCGGCCCCACCCCAAGATCGAAGAAGCAGTTGGTTATCTATCCTCAAACAGAGCCTGAAGATACCATTGAGCAACGCCTCACCCCAATTGGACGAACATTGCCTCACTTCTTGGTCCATCTTCGCACTCTCAGCCAGATTTCTGGGAGTGAAAACCTCTATAGACAAGTTGAAGACAGATTCATCGACGCCTTCCGTGTGCTTTTCCAGCGTATCTGTGACTTAGCAGTCGCTGATGTGAAGTCGAACCAAGACAGGCCTAGGACCACGAAGTGGGATGGTGGCCGGAAAAAGCAACCTGGTACGATTCCACTCGACGAGAGACCAGCCACATCACCAATCATTATGAAACTTTGCAAGCTCGCGATAACCATGCTGTTCCATCTGGATCCCATACAGTCCACACATAAGTCGATCCTTGAACGTTGCCTTTACCTTCTAGTAACACGAGTGGGAGAAGTGCTTAAGGCCTTTACCATTGGAGAAAGACCGTTTGGGATTCAGGAAGATAATACGACATCGAGGCAGGACCCGTCTCCTCAAGAAGGACAACAGCTCAAAATTACCAGTGCAGCAAGCGAGGTAGAAGCTTCTGAAGCTCAGGCCCCCTATCTCATCTGGATATTGGACCGCACCCAGCGATTCAGCTCAAGCGTGAGCTCCGCAACCAAGGCAACCATTACGTCTCACGATGTTCATCGGCAAATTGAAATGGCCCAACCAGACAGCTCACATAGCACCACATACAACGACGCCCGCATCCGGCTCCAGCACACTTTATTGAACGCCCTATTTGGGCCCGCCGCTCGCTTTGAACCTGCTTTGGAGTCTCCACATGCCCTGCCAGATGACGAGCTCATGACCAGCTTTGAGACGCAATCCGAAACGGCAGACGTCAGGGACTGGTTCAAGAATGAGGTGTGGCGACTCATAGGGTGGGACGTGCTAAGGGGAAACATAGCATGTGACCAATGACGGTATGGCAGGACGATGAAAGCTGTAAAATTTTAGGGAAGTACTCGTCCATTGCTGAATATGCTTGATGTTACTTCATGTCGGTCACGGTTACTGGGGTCGAAGTCTGGGCATTTGGCATGATCCATGGTAGCATGGGAGAACAAGATTTTCGAAACATGGGATCGCTTTCCCAACAAGATTTTACTGTGCCAGTGCTGTTTCCATCCGAGCTCTCCGTAATAGTGCACTCATCGCCCAAAGCCAGAGACTTTCTCGGGCCCGAAGCAGACACATGTATAACCATTTTCAGGCCACGATCCGCCAATATGCAACAGTGACAAATGCCCAACCCCAGTCGTCCTCGGACTCCAAGCCGTAGAATTGAATCCAAGCGGTACAGAAAAACACAAGGTATGATCCCCACGGTACGAACAGCCCACGCAGCATGGATATTTCAAGGGTCAGAGCCCCTCCGATAATGATCATCAACCTCCAACGCGAAGCTTTACCCCCGAGTTAGCACAGGGTTAAGTATGAGGTATCGTCTCGTCGGTTCTGGCCGAGAAGCGCCGGTGGGGGAATGGCGAGTGGTTGATAACCATCATCACGAGCGACCGCGCATTCTGCGACTTGCATCCCCGCGCTCGCCTACCCGTCAGCATCAGCCGTCTCTCGGGCTGTTGTATGATGCGCTATGGTGAGACATGGCTGAGGACTGTTCCGATGGGCTAGCGGCGATAAATGCTGTCTGGGATCGGTGATGGAGTAGCGTAGCGTGTTTACTTGAGGTGAGGTACTGGCACCACTTTCGGTCGAGTCGGGTGGGATTTTGGCCGAGACGTTTGAATGCAGCAGGAGAAGTTTGTAGATGCATGCTGTGTATATGGCGCTGCGTCAAAGGTCTTCCTTCCCTGTTACGTTCTAGGCAGACAACCAGCGTATCGATGAGCGGAGTTGCAAGGGGGTTGTCGGATCGGCTTTTTACCAATGTCTGCGGTGGGGTTTGGATTGTTTCAGCTAGGGGGTTTCAGATATGGGGCTCAAGGTCGCACAGATGCGGCGAGAAGAGGCAACTTCCTGCAGAACTTCTGGCACCATCTGAACAACTTCTATATCCTCGCATTCACCCTCGTCAAATGCTTCGCCTTTCATGATGCCGTGGATATACGCTTCTCCGACCAGTCGAATACTTATGCCTTCTTCACTGAGGATGAATGGTACGTTGCCACCCTTTCACAACCAGACACAGTCGCCTGGCTGAGTTGTTGCAGGAACCAGCCCGTTGTAGCCTTTTGACGTCCTTGCCATACACCTGCCCATTGCAAAAACCATTCTGTCAATGAATCCATCCCATTCGACTGGAGGTCTGATGCCGAATCGTGGAAAGATGAATCTCTGAACAATGAAACAGTACATTATGAAAGTAATCATAAGAAACGAAGAGGAGAGGTTCGATTTGTGTAGGACTATGAGGCTTTTCATGGCTTCGTCGAAGGAAAGAAACTCCGGTCGTACTGTATTAAAAGTCTCCAATGTGCACCCCGCGCAGAGTGTCTGCCAGTATGCATCGAGCATGTCTTCGCCAGTGACATAATTCTGCTTCTTGGAGCGTACACCGGCGACTCGCTCGCAACTTAGTTGCCAGAGCAGCTTTGCGCGCCCAATATCAAGATACTGGCGCTTTGTGAAGTCGGTGGCAGCGATGCTGTGTTTGTCCGCATACCCTACGACGATTATGCGGTCTAACTGGAAGCCTGTTAGAACGAGCCCACGATTACTCTTGGGCTGCTTCCATGCATACTGAGACGCTCTGGCAGCCATGTATGTTGCGCGTGTGGAGCTGAATTCGTCGTGGAAAGTTAAAGTGTATGCCGTTCGAGGGACACTCCAATTCGGGACCCAGGACGGAAGACTAGTTGATTTTGAAGCGGACACAGCTTCTACGGAGCCGAGGATTGACAGACTCTGGTCATAAGCAAGGCACGATAACGCAACCTTTTGATAAATATCTTGAGTGGTGGTGTCGTAGCTGATTGTGACCTGATGTTGTGATGCCTTGTCTGCTAGACCGAGCACAGTATGTATTTTGTCCTCGGACTTAGCAGCCAAACTGTCTTGGTGACGCACAATAAGCTGCGAGAGATGGGGCCGTCTCGTCTTATCGAACTCTTTTTGTTGTTCGAAAATCGCTTAGGAGGTCTTCCTCCAGGGCCCATCTATAAACTTGCCTAGCACTGCCACGGCAAAGAGGGCAGCGCTGACGTCTTCCAAGTCAATGGTGAGAGGTCCACAGACCACAGTTGCCTTGCGGCAGACGGAGACCTCATGGATAACCCATATGAGCCTGAATCAGCCTCGCTGGAATATCAAGAAGAGGTCTTTCGCTGTCTCATTGAAAGGAATTAGGAGGTCATCTCTACTTAGAATATGACATGGAGTTGGGATTTTCCATGTTTGAAACTCCTCGCGCTGCTGCCAGCCGGCGTGCTTCCGAGAATGCACGCTTAGTTTGATTATCTGCTTTGCCAATTCACACCAGAACTATTTGAGCCGTCTCGTATATATGCGGCATCAAGTGGATCTGTATACTTTTTTCTGGGTTGTCCTTTTGATTGATACATATCCCGTCGACCCAGAGTGTGCGAGCTCGATCTACGTGCCGCTGATGTCGAAGAGCATCATACGGATTCTCAGACACTGTCACCAATTGATCATTACATCTAATCTCTTTCCTTTCGGCCGTGTCTCCCCAGGTGTACGAGATAGCTTCGTAGTATGGCTTGTCTTCTAGCGATGCAGAATATAGGCTGAGCGTCACTACATCTTCACGATATTCGAGATCAAGGAGTTGTATTCTCGATTGCCCTGATTCCTGGGCGAGTGGTATCTGGTAAGTAGCTGAAACCTTCCATTGCTCAGCGGCTTGGCGGGGACGCTAGTTTAGCAATCTAGCGCAGCATAAGCCAAGACCAACCTCACTCTCTAGACCCTTAGTGAATTACATACAAAGCTAATGTAAGGAACACTCGCAAGTCGCAATAAGGTGCACGAATGACTCGACTTATCTCTGCAAATACAAATATTAGCCCATTGTTGGAGGGCTGGGTAAGTGGAATAATGAGCCGAGGGAGCATACCTTATGCTACCTTAGCAAGGTTAATATTAGACTACATGACCTTAGAGCTTTGATCACCCTTATCATCTTATGCAAAGCGGCAGCCCTACAGAAGTCGCCGCTGCACGGTTCGCGATCCCCTGGGAATGACTTCTACGACAAGCCAAATCATTTTGGAGCAGCTCTCATAATGCGCTGATGCCCAAAATCGACGAAAAGTTAGACATCTTCAGTGCCTTAGACAGCAACTTTTCTGGCAGCTTGCCTGGCTGTTGTCAGTCTGAATGCTCAAATCGATGATCAACTAAACGGTTAGCTGATATTAGTCGTCCTTGCCTTTCACAAAGATGTAGCTACTTCGCATCTTACCCAGCTAATTTCAAGCGTCTAGACACGGAGTTTTCCATCAATACGTGGCCGACAACCTCTGGACCAGGTATTCCCCACTGTTGACGCCTTCATACTTCTTCCCACCTTTTTCACCTTCCCACGTTCCCGGCAACGCTTCGATCCTTTTGTCAAAGTCGGGATTGCAGAAATATGCCACGGAGTACCTCGCTGGGTGTCCGTCCTCTACCTCCCTTCCCTTCAATGGTGGCTCTACCACTCTGTGTTTTGTGCTTCTGATCAAATCGTTACTCCATCTTGCCAGCAGATCTCCCGCATTCACCACTATCGACCCTTGGATAGGCTGAACATCCACCCAACCTTCAGGTCTCTCCACCTGTAAGCCTCCTCTCTGGTCTTGGAAAAGCAGCGTCACGCTCCCGTAATCGCTATGGGCACCGGCCCTGACCCTCTTTCCGCCTTCGAACCCTCCAGGCGCTACTGGGGGATAATGCAAGAGTCTCAACGTGTTATCTCCCATTGTCACATAATCTTCGAAGAAGCCCGCATCTAGGCCCATACCGAGGGCTATCCCTCGCATGAGCAATGCCTGCACTTCTTTACACCTCTCAAAAAACCCCAGCATGGTCAGCTTGAACTCCGCCCCTTCGACGTCCATTTTGTCCGGCCATCGATTCTCATGACCTTCCTCGAACTCTCTTCCGATCTCGAAGCTCTCTTTCAAGTCTTCGCCTCCATGTTCTCGCTCTTTCGCAACGTCCGCTTTGGACATGCCTTGGCTGACTTTCTCCCGACCCATGCACACATAGCCCCTATTTGAGCGGGCTGTGGTCCATGCTAAGCCATCCTTCTGTGTCTGAGGGCGAGCGAAGAAGCGCGCTGACTGCTCGAAGACTGATGCGAGGAGAGATGGGGGAATAATTGAGGAAAACTCTGTGAGGTAGAGGAAGCCGGACGTTCGGAAAGCAGAGAGTAGTGATTTGGCTGTTTCCAGGGTCGAAGGCGAGTGTGTGAGAAGAGGTTGCAGGGAGATGAGCTGGATATGGTTGGCAACGTCTCACGAAGAATGGTTGGGACTTACAGGGATTGGAAGTTCCGGTTCAGAGTTGAGAGCCTGTGAGGAAGGCGCCGCTGTTGGAGCCAATGCAAGAGGTGACGACATCGTTTCAAAGAATTGACGAGCTCTGCGCTGTCTGAATAATGAAGCGACGGGGAGAAGAAAAGAGACGGCATTTGGAGACCTCTAAACAGCCGCACCCGATAAGCGCACGGGCCAAGTGGGGCCGCTGTCAGAAAAGGTTGTCAACATTGGTCTCAATCCCCGTATGTAGAGTACCTTGCCGTTACATTATCAAACTCTACTTGATGATGACGGTCTAAGCGATATCCAGGCCATGTTTGTGCGCGATGCAACCTAGGATATAGGGACTGCCATCTTTCCAATTCCAGCAGCCCGCTGCTCTCCTCAGGATGGCGACCACTCCAGTTGTGGATATCCATACGCACATATACCCAACTACTTACCTCACCCTCCTGCGCTCTCGCACCAAGGTCCCGTACCTCCTCGACCTTCCCGACAAAATGGCTCCGCCGCGTCTCATAATTCTCCCCTCGGACGACGACCCAGCCCTCCCTGCGCATCAACGCGGCCGGCCCATCGACTCGTCATACTCATCAATAAACCAAAAGCTTGACTTCATGAAGACACACGGCATTACGACTTCCGTTATATCACTGGCGAACCCTTGGCTTGACTTCCTTAGCCCCGAAGAAGGACCTCAATGGGCGGCGAAGGTCAATAACGAACTTGAGGACATTTGCTCAACAAGTCAAAATAGCCTTTACGCTTTCGCAACGCTTCCCCTCTCCGCATCTTCTTCACGCATCACAGGCGAAATCCATCGCCTTCAGTCCCTGGCCCATATGCGCGGCATCATCCTCGGCACTACTGGGCTCTCCCAGGGCCTTGACGATCCCGCTCTCGAGCCAGTCTGGTCAGCTCTCGAAAGCGCCAAGCTCCTCATCTTCCTACACCCGCACTACGGCCTTCCAAGCTCTGTTTACGGGCCACGGGCTAGTGAGTACGGGCATGTCTTACCACTCAGTTTGGGATTTCCGATGGAGACTACCATAGCGTTCACGCGGATGTGGTTGAGTGGAGTATTCGATCGTCACCCCAAACTCAAAGTATTGATTGCACATGCTGGGGGCACTGTACCCTTCTTGTCAGGTCGAATCAACAGCTGCGTGCAACATGAGAGGCACTTTCCAGAAAATGAAGGTGGCGGCAGGGGCCCGAAGAGAGGTCTGAAAGAGGTGCTGAGAGAGAATGTCTGGCTGGATGCTGTTGTTTATTCACCAACAGGTGTAAGAGCAGCGGTGGAGGTTGTTGGGAAGGACAGGGTGCTGTTTGGGACTGATCATCCGTTCTTTCCGCCACTGGATGAGGGGAAAGAAGAATGGATGAGTGTGGAGACAAATATTCAGGCGGTCAAGGACGCTTTTGGAGAAGATAAGCAGGGCGCCACAAAGGTGCTGGGTGGGAACGCGATTGAGCTTCTAGGACTCGATGTTGCAGGCGATGGCTAATCTCTTGTCACCTAAGCCCAAGCAATCAAGCCATATGGAAGCGAAGATGCACGGTTGTAGCGATGAAGGAAAAAGCATAAAAAGCGAAACAATAGCACGCTGAGAAGCCACAACGTGTTGAGGGGTTGATCCGAAAGAAACGGTAGATGAGTTGGCGGACGAGCCCAGAAGGCAATGAACAATACCTGCCAAAAAGAAAAGGTCTGACCCGAACCCGTTACCAAAAGCGAAAAGCTCAGGCCGACCCGCGCCTTCACAAGCTCGCCGAAGAGAAGCATGGGGAGTTGTCCGCGTACCCTACGAAAACCCCAGTGAAGGGTTCCCAATACCACAGCCACGGGCAATCACATCCGGGGCGAAGATACGGGTCTTATTGTATGTATAAAGATATTTCATCATCGGGCCTGTGCCAAAGCGTGGCACCACTTTTGACAACGCACTGATCTCTCTTCTTTGCTTGGCCTCCTGTGCTCAAGGCTGCTGCAGGAGTAAAGTGAAATGTTGAAAAGGCCCCGCGGAGCTCTGAAACAAAACCAACCCTTCACAAACCTTACAAAAGACTCAGCCGGAATCTCAAGCTTTCGAACCGTGCGAGTCCCCGTCCCCGACCATGGTAGGGCCAGACTCACGCCTAGGTAGGTAGTCCTCGTCAGATCCTCCACCTGACGGGAAGGCGGGAGAATGATCGCTATGCAGATACATGAACCGGTCGGTCTCTTTTACACTCCACTCCATTACCTACTCGTGTCGGAAGGAGGACGTGAAGCTAAGGAGTTGGAAAAAAAGGGTTCCAGCCTCTGACTCGAACTTGCCCTCCGGAATTAAAAAGCGCAGGCCGGTACCGTCCGATGAGCTAGTCAAACGACGCGGTCTATACTCTGCCTCGCGGGTGACAAAAAGATCGGAACGCCAAGCCAGACTACTGCGCGGAGACACACATACAAATTTCTATGTACGGAGGTACATATCTCTCTATTCTCGTATCCTGTCATTTGCTCCTTTACCGTCTATGACTGCTCGTAAACTAGGTATTTGGCATACTACCTATCCACTCTCTCGTCAATAAAACGATCTGGAAATATTTAGTCCACCCCTCCTCATCAATTAGTGCCTTGGTCGTGGTACTGTTGTCAGTGCGGGCTTGGCGTTCCGATCTTTTTGTCACCCGCGAGCCCTGCGAAAACCCCAATAGGAGGGATTCCATACTTACCACGTCCCCGTGAGGGAAGGGTGAGATGTTCTTATCGAAGGATACGTGTTATCGTCCCTTTTCCCAGTGCTTCAAGAGCTGCATATTCCCCTTGAGTCCACAAGAGGAAAGATTCAAGCGGTACGGCGAAAATTGTACTTTTCAAGTAGAGGTATTTAGATGAATTCGCGTGGGCATATGCTTCGCAAGCTACTTTAGCAATGCATGCAACAAACGTACGCTCGCTTTGCTTAATCGACATGCTTTTGGATGAACCCGCCCCAAGCTGAGTTGCCGTCGCCAACGCTCGCACGCAATACCTATACATTGGCCGTTAATTACCCATGTGGATCGTTACAGATACAAGGTTGAAATAGATCTTATGCCATACAACGCTCAGCGCTGCATATGCTCCAACGATTCATCCGCGGGCAAATCGCCCACAAAGTCCTCCATTCCAGCGTAAACTGGTGGACTCGAGGGTACGTCCTCGTACATAGGCGGCATCTCCTCATCCCAGCTGATTCCCATTCCAGCCCTCTCTGTGACCGTAGTCTTGAACTGCATCCGCAGCACCCTCGCCGAGCCGGTCGGCATAGCGCCCTTGGTACCTTTGCCCGTCGTCTGCTCTTCCGCGACGATGATTTCGAGGACGAGGTTATGATGTACGGTAAGACCAGTAGGCGAATCGACATCGCAGACGGGCTGAGAGCTGGGTCTGATAGCGGCCATGAATTCCAGGGTAATTTCACCGCCCTGCGTATCGTAATCACTTTTCCATCCGTCCTTCATTTCATCGCCACCAATCGAGCGCGTGTCTTCATGTAGTATACCCTTGCCCTCGCCGCCCACTTTGTTCGTATGCTTGGGACAAGCGGGGCTGATGATCTTGCTATTCTCTTCTATCTTCCAGTTCATACGTCTGATACGCCAGCGCCTCTGAATGTTCTTCAAGCTATTGTCTATGATACCAGTCATGCTCATCTGAACGGCGAATTCGCCGATTGGGTGGATGACGCTAGGTATAACCACCTTCACGTTCAAATTCGTAGGAGGGAAGACGCGGACGGAGATTTTGTCGCTGCCTGGCAGTGCGCGTTGGACTGTCAGGGTACGGGAGACAGTGATGGTATCGGACACGGCGCAGACGGCACGGCCGTCCAGAACGTAGTCTATGTGTCCAAGCTCACCGTGGGAGGTAGCGGGCAGGTGGCCTGGCAGCAGATAAGAGAAGGGGAAGGTGTGGATGCCGGGCTTGTAAGAAGTGGGCTCGGTGAGGAATTTCCAGGTAAAAAGATCGGTGTCTTTCACCTGACAGTTGGGACAGTCTTTGGTGATGGGTCTCTTGTTTGTGACTCGTGCGATGAGGGTCATTTGAAAAGTCTGGAGCTTGATCCCGGGGTCGGTGACTGTGAGAAGGAGCTGGCCGGAAAGGAGGGCACCGGTTGACTGGCTCGGGTTGCCGTAGAAGACGAGAGGCGGCGATTCCATGTCGATGGCCAACTTGGCAGGCTTTGTTGGAACAAGTTTGGGGCTGTTCTTAGGGCTGCCTTTGGCTGGAGTATTGGATCCCTTTCCTCCCAAGCCAATGCTATGTCGTTTTTCCTTGTGGAAGAAATCCATAACGGCGATGGATGATTTTCGCTCGGGGCTTGTTCTCGTATCCCTTCTTTCTTCAAGATCAGGAATCTCATGAGAATTGACTTTAATGGACTTTGATATTTTTGTAGACTTGATAGAGCCGCGAATTCCAGTTGGCATGGGCATTTCTGATTTGATTTGGTTGGCGGCGGGAATGTGGGACGGGAGAGAGACTAGAAGAAAGGATGTCTGCACAATCACAGTCGAATGGAAGAGAAACAAAGCAGCAAAAGCCCAGCTGGCTGGGAGATGGGATATATGTAATAATAAGCATGATGAAATGAATGAAAAGGTTTCCAGTTTCCAACACTTTCACGTGGTCATCGGATTGGCTTGGTGTTGTTTTGAGAGGGTAATAGAAATGAATTTTCCGAGGACCACTCAAAGGTACGTGAAATTCTAGGCACAAAAATGCAGCGCTTGGACGTCGCAAGCTCGGAGCCCGGTTTTACTTTGCTGCGGAGCACTTTCCGCTGACTCCTTCGCCCATGCTATTCGTTGGACTGAGGCAAGTCTTACGTAAAATCTGGGGAATTTTTGAGACCTAGACCACTTCCATCAAGCCCACCCTTCGATGAAAGATGGACTACAACTCTCACTAAATGGCGTGATGTCTATCCACATCAGTCTCCCTTCATGTCGTCTTCACTCCTCTCTGTTACAGTATCCCTCCTTCATGAACCATGACCAAGCATGCTCCATCAGAACATCAAAACATCAGAACATCAAAACATCAGAGCATACTATACCCCTTCCACCACCCCCACCCGGCAACCACACCCAAACACCCCACAGCCCACTCCCACCTCATCTCCACAATCGCCCACACCCACAGTGTTCCCAGTGGCGGTGCCTTCTTCATAACTGCCATATACGGGTCTTCGTTACTAGCATGAACAAGCCAAGCCCCGGCTGCCACACTCAGACATGCGAACAGTATCTGCGTGAGGAGGTGTGACGACTGAGGATGCAGGATGGACACTAGTACGAGGATTAGAACCGGTGTAGGAGAGATGACAGTGCTGGTGTAGAGGATCGAGGTAAGCGATGGCGGCGTGGTCGCGTATTGATGATGGACCAGGACAGTAAGGGTAAAGTGTAGCATGGTCAGGGTCGCGGTGTAAAGAAAGACATCGAGGTAGGGCATTGTAGCATCAGGAGAGTTCGAAGCTGAACCTGTAGTTGAGAGAGTTCCATCTGGATTTATTCTTGTGGTTGTAATTGAGGGAGGAGAGCTTTGCGACGTGGTATTGAGCAATTGGCGCTCCGAGGCGATGTCGAAGAGGGTCTTGTGGGTTGGAGCGTTACGAGATGGCTGGTGAAAAGGAATTTCATTTTTAGTAGCCGAATTGGCTCGAGCTTGAGCTCGACGCTCTCTGCGGTTGCTCATGGGATGGTTGGAAGGAGAGGTAGTATTCACGCAGGCTGAACAAAACATAAGGCCGGCTTTAAACCCTCGGAGATAGAGTACTCGTAGCCGCTTCCACAGGGCGCTGGGAACGCCTCCGATGCAGGTACCACGCGAGCTCAACGCCTCAGGGCGTCCTAAAAAAAGATAGCGAATCAAACATAGGACAGCTTTCGTTCCAAGCAGCAGAGCATGCAGCTCTACCTCGCTCTCGCCATTCCCGTACTCTTGGCAACAGCATGGCTGTACACCGCGCAGGTCACACGGACTTCCCTCCCCAGTCTCCGTAACAAGCGCATCTGCCTTCTCATCGCCCATCCCGATGATGAAGCAATGTTCTTCTCTCCTACACTGCTCGCCCTGACGGCCCCGGAAACGGGCAACCATGTCAAGATCCTCTGTCTGAGCAGTGGTTCGTTCATGCACATCATTACTCCCTTCCGAGGCTATTTCTATGCTGATTCGCTTCATACGCAGGGAATGCAGATGGCCTCGGAGAGATCCGCAAGCAAGAACTCGCTGCCTCAGGTGCAATGCTCGGTCTCCGCTCCGCCTCTGACGTCCTTGTTATCAATGATCGAAAGTTTCCGGACAGCATGACAACCACATGGCCGGCAGACAAGATCGCCCAAATATTGTCTTCCGCTTTCAGTCCTGTTTCCAATTCCACGAAAAAGAACTCACCATCTGATGAGCCCACTTCTACCATTGACACCCTGATCACATTCGACGCTCGTGGAATATCATCCCACCTGAATCATATCTCTCTGTACCACGGCGCGCGGCATTGGCTATCTTCGCTTATGGCGGGAAAGTCGGGTTGGAAGTGTCCTGTCGAGTTGTACACCCTCACAACTACCAACATCTTGCGAAAATACATCAGCGCCTTCGATGCGCCTGTGACAATGGTACTGGGAGGGTGGAGAGCGGCGGGAAAGGCACAGAGAAAGGGGAAGGAGGAGCCACCTAGTCTGTTGTTCGTGAGTGATTTTGGGCAGTGGAGGAGAGGACAGAGTGCAATGGTGAAAGCCCATAAGAGCCAGATGAGGTGGTTTAGGTGGGGATGGATAGGGATTGGCAGGTATATGGTGGTAAATGATTTGAAGCGGGAGATCATTACATGATGAGGAAACGAAAGCAAGCGAGCATCGAGTCTTATATAGACAAGACCAATACAGAGCTTGTTAGCTTAGGCCGGGACTAAGCCAATGTGGGCAGAGCTTTTGTTTCGAGCAACACCGTTTCGTTGCATTGCCCTTGCAAAAGGTTTTTATCATAATTTTTACAGAATCCCAGGTCGAAGCTTACTGTTAGCTAGTTCACTAATGCCGACCTGCGTCCGACCACTTCGCTGTTTACCGTTCTGACGGTGCAGCCGGAAAATCCTATCAGCAGAGCATGGCTTGAATCGACTCTGCAAATTGTGCTTCAAAGCTCCATTCACAGAAGGCCTCCTCTTCACAGGGGCTTCAGCATCTGAAGTCGAGATGCAGCAGGAGGCTCGGGATGTCATACAGCAACAAAACGCATAGAAGGTATTCCTTACTCAAGTAGGACCCGAGCAGGGCTTCGTGCAGGGACCTCATCTATATTACGACAGGACAGTATGGCAGATTTTGCGCATACATGACGATACTGCAGGGAGCTTTGTGAGAGCTCTGGCACCTTATAACCAAGCGCAACCGGAGTGAGTCGGCAACATGCCCACGGTCATATAGCAGGAAAGGCCGCTCCTGACGTATTGAGTAATAATTTCCAGACATTGAGACTTCTTGGTGCCCGCTACCAGACTCTGAGTATCGCTGTCGCAGCACGAGCTCCAAGGACGGACCTCTGACCGTTACAAGGTCTCAGGTTTGCCGTCAATGATGCGTACCCACTTCGAGGACTGAAGACTTCGCTTTGCAATACTGCTTATCTGAACACAAGCTCAACATCAAATATTACAGCAACGATCGTACAAAATATGGTAGCTGCAGGGGCTCATGTCGTTGCTATGACCAAGCTTAGTTCCATGATCGGAAGGGAAGAGCCAACAGAAGCTACCAATTATCATGCTCCGTTCAACCCTAGGGGCGATGGCTATCAGTCTTCTGCTGGGAGTAGCAGTGGCAGTGCAGCTGCAGTGGCTACCTATGACTGGCTCGATTTTGCGTTTGGAACGGATACAACAGGCAGTGCTCGAAGATCGGCTCTTGTGAAGGGCATTTTCCAAATGCGGCCTACCCAAGACGCGGTACATCTGGACGGCATTGTGCCTGTCTTTGAAACTTGGAATGCGCCAGCCATATTTTCAAGAGACACAAGGATGCTGAAGCCTGTCGTTTCTACTTGGTACAAGACCAAGGTTTCGGTCGCTCATACTGCATCACACAAGTCTGTCTCATTGTCTATCCCCTTGACTGCTTCCCTGTGGACAACAAAGTTCAAACGCAATTGATCGATGCGTTCCTGGACGATCTTGCGGAAACCCTCAACGCGGTCCTACGCAGATTTTCTACCGCATTTCTGTGGGATGAGACTCGGCCCGACGAGGCTGGCCAACAGAACGCTCAAGATTATCTCCAGGATACTTACGTCAACACGAACTTCCATGACTACTACTACTATAACACAGTTGAAATCCGGAGGACATACGAAGAGCGATACCAAAATCGACCTTACATTGTTCCTTCATCAATTGGAAATGGGACTTGGGCAGTGCAGTAACCCGAGCACAGCGAGATGAGGGCATGCATCGGCTCAACGTGTATGAAAAATGGTTTCTGGACTCCGCCATGCAACGAAATACAAATTAGGCATTCTTGATGATGCCAATCTCTAATTCCATGGTGAACTACCGAGATGCCCCTTCACCTCCAGTGGCACAACCGACTGGGTTCGATCCATGAATCCTATCACCAATCCTGGGCGCTCCAGACATTGTCATTCCAATAGGAGAACACGAGTACGACTCAAGGATCCGTGGACGGAAGGAATTCCTGGCGGTCGCCGTGGATGTGGTAGGCCTCCCTGGCTCAGACCTCCATTTGATCGATGTCATTCAACACTGCCTTAAGATGTTGGCGCGGCCAACAACTAGTCAGCACTGGCCCTGGGATGCTCAATGACGACGCCTGATCGACACTTCGTGGCCTGGTTGACCAGATAAAGCCTCAGAGCACGATGGCGTATTTGATCTCGTGGTCCTGATCTCAATCGTTGTTTATCTTGAATTACATGTCACATGTCTAAAACTTTCTTTACCGGTATTGTCATTTTGACCAAAATGTTACCAATTCGTCGAAATGCTCCTCAGAAAGATTCTCGTCTTCAACCTCTTTGGATCCAGTGATAGGCTTCCAACCTGATGCCGCTTGCCTGAATATCAACGGAGTTGTCGTGCGGTTTTCATCCATACGAAAAAGAATCTTAGCTTTCAATAACGACGTGCGGCCGATCCCGGGAAGATACACGTCTCGATCTGCGTTCCACACTCGTAGGGCCTGGTCTACCAACGTCAACGCGTCCTTGAAATGGCCTCGATGCATGCAATGTTGAGCGACTCGGTGGCAAACATCTGCAGCTCGATGATGTTCGCTGCCAATAGTGGATTGATATTGCCCAAGCGCCCTTTTATGCAACTTTTCACTATCGTCAGGCAGGCCCAGTGAAGCGCGGACATTGCCTAATGCATGCAGGAAACGGACGGTCCTGGCCTACAATCAGCTAGATACTTCGGGCTGTGATAGTAAAGGACGAATGTACCCGAACGACTCTTTGTCGTTGGGGCCAGACATGGCTTCTCTCTCTTCCAGCCCTTGTCCTAGGACCAAGGATGCCTGCTTCAAGTCACCGAGCAGCCAGTGCGCCGTCCCAATGTTGACTAGCGGAAGAGCCCGCGTGTATCCGTTGTTTTCTGACAAGTTCTCATACACGGAAACCGCTTTTGACCAGGCTTCAATTGCTTTGTCATACTCTCTTGCCATTATCCAACCAATCACAATTTCGTTGTACGCGATTGCGAGCCTTATCCTGCTTGCCTTTCTTCCGGGTAACCTCTTTTCGGATTGCTAGGAGTGCCTTGCCATGCTCCAGACACGACTGCGGATCATTCGTCTCAGCAGCAACTGCGCCTAGTCCGTCGTGTAACTCCTACAGCAAGTCGTCTAGATCTTCGCTTGGGTGTCTCTGGCAAACAATGTACGCCCGCTCAAACGCTGCTTTGTTCGCGTGGGAGTTACCACGCTCATGCTGCCACCTGGAGGGCATAATCACTGTCATGCTTGGAGATACTGCAACTTACCTGCCCGTTTCCTTCCGCAGTGATACTCGCTTTAACTCAGAGCTCCTTTCCAACGGTACAATACCCCCTCATTGAGGGTTTCCACGCCAATGATATGCGGAAACAAGCTTTGACACGCCTCCCAGCTATCTATTTTATGCTTCTTGTCCAACGGCACTTCTGGCCAGGCGTCATCTAATAGCGAGATTGAGATAGCGCCTTTTTTCTGACGTCGGGCCCGCACTGTATCCTGAAGTATACGATGGACCCATAGCTTCCCAATGCCTACTCGGGTTAGCTCTCATTAGAACGACGCTGCAGGAACCCCTGTTAAGAGTAAGAGAAGGTAGCATAGAATGAATCTCGAATTTTCTAGGCACCCTTCCAGAAAAGGTGACAATTTGTAGTCAATTGAACCACAAATAATCGTCCTGGGGAACTTTTTTCCCTGCTTTAGACAACCTTATTCTGTTGCCCCCCCCCGTCTTTGGCAACTGATTTAACTGTTCTCTCTTTTTCAACAACCTGTCGTGCGACATAGGGCTTCAAGCTGTACCAAACTGTATCTGAAAGCAAAGAACGCACGATGCTGTAGCGATTCAATAGTGTATCTTTAGCTTGTCTGAGCAGAGCAATGACATTGGCCATCCAACCAATCGTTCTCTTTTGCACGAGCCCTTATATAAAAACACCTGAACTCCGGTGTAGTGCTTTGTTTTCATGTCACTCCAGCGATTTTCCTTGCCATTCCTCACATCATATCAGCTCCGTCACTCCCTCCGGTCCCCACTGGCTTCTCGTGCACACCACCCTGTGCAATCCTCGTCTCCTCGCTCGTTCCTTCCCTCTCCGCCCGCCTCCTCCTCTTGTCCAAAAGGTTCTTTTTCCGCTCAGCCAGTATTGCGTTCTGCCGCGCTGACACGCCAGTCAACCAGTAGCCGAAACTGCCTCCCGCAGCGGCGAAGACGGGGTAGGCCCAGAGAGATTCTTTATTGAAAAAAGGACGCATTTCAATGCCTAGTTGCCAGAGGCGGACCGCGACGCCTGCAAAGATGTTAGGGCTGGTGCGAGACGGGGCGAAGGAATGGGAGGGGGACTACCGAAGCCGGACCAGAAGAGGATTTTGTGGACCATTGTGGCTGTGGATTGGGTTGGCTTAGACGTATGGAGCTTTGAAGAGGTTCACAAGATAGAGATCAGGGGCGAATAGGGCTTAAATGGATCTAAATGGTGCCTGAATCGCTGGGCTTGTGACTTTTTGCGGAGTGAGCTCGTGTGATGAAGTCTTGGCGGCAGATATCTGCCGCGATTAGCGCGGCTTGGCAGGTAATGATACCAACGGAGGCATCTCCATTGATTCCTACTTGAAACCCCTGTTCATTTGCTTTGCAACTCTTACTACACCTCCCCAACCCATGACAGTCGCCATCATGGCGTCTGTGGATATCATAGGCAGTAAACATGCGCTTGAAGATCCAGAATTTATCCCGCGCAAACGATTTAAGACCTCAGAGCTTCCATTCAACGCGGCACAGAAATCCACGATTGATGGACTCTTGCATACGATCAAGAAGAAGGGCGAGTATGATTCGTTGAGGAAGAAAGTGTGGTCGCAGTTTGAAGAGAGCGTACGTCTTTGATGTCTCAATGTTATCTCCCACGGCTGTGGTGATTGGCCGAGCATGTTTGCTAACCGCCAGCGCATTAGGCGGAGAAGACGGCGTTCATAAACCAACTGAATGAGCTTGCCGAAGCAGAGATTGAGCGCGACCCATCACTTCTATCTCGTGATCGTGGGAAAGCAGCTACCCTCATGTCTGGAGTAGTCGACCGCAGCGACATCTACAAAAGCGTCGAGAAGACTTTGGACGCGCTAATCGCCAAGAACATCAATCACATCCTTCAGGCGGGAAGGGAAATCAGACGAGCCGAGATTGGCGAAGATATCGCAGCTGCGGAGGAGAAGCGGGGCAACAAAACAGACGAGGAATATGCGAAAGAGGCAGTGGTGCGAAAAGAAGAGAGAGCTAGGGAGAGGAAAAGGGAAGATGCTCGCAAGCGAAGGGAGGAAGAGAAAGAGCGTCTACGGGCAGAAGAAGCTAAGCACATGAAAGAGATTGAGAAGCTTCAGAGCCAAAATGAGCGGAGAAAGGAACGTGAGGCTGCGCGAGCGGAGAGAGAAAAGGCCGCAGAAGAGAGGCGCCGACGAGATAGGCCCAGAGATGACTATGAAGCAGAAAAAGGCAAGGAGAGGGAGAAGTGCGAAGTCCAAGACCCCGACACAGTACCTCCAACGCCAGTAGCGCCACCAATGGACAACAAAGCACTCGAAGAAGCAGCGCTCGCGCTTCTTCTCCAAGAAGGCCGCGAATTAGCTGCGAAGAATGGCCCGCCAAAGCCAGAGCCAGAGCTCTCGGATTCAGAGCCCCCTCATCGCAAACCACACGTTTCGCCGCCCAAAGGCCCTGCGGCCGATCGCAACAAGGTCCCTATCAAACCCCGCCTCGGCTACAGCAGCACACCCCTTCGTCATGACTCGGGCACACCCATTCCACCTCCTCAACCAGCGGGTACACCCCGCAGCCGCAGTCCTTACAGAGCCCCATCTGCACGTCATGACCGCTCTCGGTCTCCTGACCACGCTCGTCGCCATTCTCGGTCCTATTCCTACCGTGATGATGACGCTCGAGCTCAGGCAGATCTAGATCACAAGTCGATCTACAAAGCCCAGATGCAAGCAAAGCGTGACATAGAAGCCGAGGCCTTCAAGAAGCGCGGGCGCAGCGAGCGTGACGAGGGCGAATATCGAAGCCGGAGCCCCTCTCGAGCAACAGAAAGAGACCCCGGCAGAGACAGGGACAAGGACAGAGAGCGCAGCAAGCGCTATGAGTACGATTATAGCCGCGAGGATAGCCGACACCAGGATGAACGGCCGAGAAGCAGAGATCGGGAGAGGGAGAGGCCTCGATATGAGGAGCGCGAGAAGGCTTACACTAGACCGAGGAGGGAGGAGGCGCCAGAACACATCGATCGCTATGTGCCTGGTGGGGCTGCACCTGCAAGAGAGAAGCGTAGAAATACGCTGGATAATGGAGTAGATAGGGATGACAAAGAGAGGAGTGTCCGGGAAGACACCAGGGATCGAGATGCAGGCAACAGAGACCGAGATCGAGACCGAGATACCAGGGACCGAGATAGCAGCTACAGAGACTCCAAGCGGGACTACCGCGAGCGCAGCTCTTATCATGACAGAGATCGCAATCGCGACCGAGATGATTACGACAGAGACCGATACCGGGATCGGGAGCACCGAGACCACAGAGACAGAGATCGGGACCGAGATCGTGGTGAAGAGAAGAGCAGAGGCTATGAGCGAGACAGGGACAGGGACAGGGAGAGGGACGGGCGTGAGGAGCGACCATATACGAGGCCGAGGAGGGAGCCGGCGCCAGAGAACATTGATCGCTATGTACCGGGTGCTGGTTGATGGGTGATGGTTGACGTGAGAGGAACATTCGCAGGTGATTATTGGATATTCTCATTGGGTATGATATTGGTATGATAGTCGATAATGAGAGCCACGCTTGCCCATCCATGCGCTGTTTGATGTTAAGAAAAGATTGCGAAAACTCCGAATCAAATGGTTGAAGTGCTACATTTCAGGTGTGTTACCAGAAAAAAAGTGACACTGGTCAAGAACTTTTTCTTAAAAAATCGTCATTTTGCCTGCAAGGAAATCATCTTTCATGCGTTCAATTCTTTTATTCACTATCCTTTAACAGGAAGAGTCGTTTTGTCTGGTCGATACCCACAAAAATGTGCGCAAATGAAAAGAAACAGAAAAGAAATGAAGTGAAGTGAAAAGAAAGAGAGCTTTCTCCCATCGGGTTTTGAAGGCCTGGATGCATAACTTTTGCTCGATCCTCTTACAACAACCCATGGCTTTCTGTCCCGGTGAAAGGGGCCTTTACGTCCTGCAAGCCCGATGCACGGACGTCTGGCTCCTCGGGCAAGCTGCCAGACAAGAGTGGCATTCTGAGGCACGAGATCTCCCCCGTATCACCTCGATGTTGGATATCGACCCGGAAAAGACAGCCGTTCATAGTCAGGATTGCTTCACAACAAGAGTCAAGCGACTAGCCAAGGTGTTTCCTCGCCCACTGTATACAACCTTCCACGTACATTCCTACGAGCACGGCACAGCCAATACCTTCGATGAAGTTGCTGAAGGGAAGCCAACCCCACCGGTACCACCACGTCAGCGGAGCATACCCCTCTCCCTTGGATCGCCACGCTGGCGCACCGAACCTCCGAAACCAGCGCACACTGCGACCGCTACCGTCACCACCGCCCGTATACCGAGCGAGACAAGACTCAGCGAACCGGGTGAGCCGGACGGTTCGCCCGAATTCGAGAAAGTTGCGAATGGAACTGCGTGGCCACAAACAGGAGTGAAGAGCCAGGTGTCGGCCATGTTGCAGGGTTTCGCCGAAGATTGTCAATACCGATATGCGGAGGAGAGGATTTTGGACAGCGTAACCATAACAGAGAAAGAGGAAGAGTGCGGCATCGACGAAGGCGATTGTAGAGATGTTGGATACCGCTGGCGGAGACGGCCGGATCGGATGCGTGCTACTGGGTGTCTGGATTGCAAGGAGCAGCTTGGCGAGTTGGGGCACATTGCGGGGGTGGTCTGTACCTGCAGTACTATCGAGCGTGATCGTTGGAGCGCGATTTGCGCGATTCCTAAAAGGGCGCCGAGAGCTTGTGCAACCGCGGAGCTCGACGCTGCTTGTGAGCTCCAATATCGGACTCCGGTCCGTCGGTCATGCCCGAGCTGTTGAGTAGCGGTGTGTGTGTCTTATGACCCTAGGCGCTCATGTGCCTTACGCTTTCTGTAAGCCTACTCCTGATATGGCCCTACTTGTCTTGTGGTCCCACGCGTTATATAGGCCTGCTCATGATATGTCTCTGCGCGTTTTATGCTCCTAATCCCGTGTGTTGGATCTCGTTGGAACCTGCGTGTTTTCACCCTGTGAAAGCTACGCCGACGCAGGGATGAGTCTAGGCGGCAAAGCAAGAGGCTCCTCTGCTCTGCTCCATTGGCTCCGCTCCATTTCGGAGCGAAGATCTATTTTGCTTCATCTGCTCATCTGCTCATCAACTTGCTCCTCTGCTCTTTACTCATTGTGTATCTGCAGAAGGAGATCTCGAGGGATTTGGGCCCCCGAATATTTAGGAGATCTCGACCGCTTATCCGCGCATCTGCTCCGCTTTATCAACTTTCGCTCTGTTCGAAACGATATACGTCAAGTGAAATTGAGGCAAAAACAAGAATAATATGTATGATAGGTCTGGCGAGGTTATAAAGTATCACAAAAAGCTTCTTTGTTGTGGACTAATATACTTCATTGTACAAGCACGTTATAAAGGTCTCTACTTGCGATTGTTGCTCTTCGTGCTCGACACAAAGTCCCGAAGATAATACCCATTCCCATTCCCACACGAACATGCTGTCATGATCAGTGCAAGTGCCGTATATCTGCTCGTACGTTGAGCGACACCTCGACCGCGCCGGGTAAGCAGATACGAAATAACGCTGCATTTGAGAATATATTCGACTGTTGAAAAAATGTACTAAAACCTCTCCTATTCATTAATAGCTTTCATAGCAAAGAGCACAAAGGGGATCTACTTAGGCGAATAAAGATTATCTTTCCATCGAGGGCTAATACCATTCAGAAGTCCATCGAAATGTTATACTTGTAGGTGGCCCAGACTTTTTGTGTGTGCGAGACAGAGACTTGCTGTGTATGGCTGTCAATGTTAATTATGCACACTTTCCATCCATTCACGTTTTCCAAATCCTGAACCCTTGCGCGCATTTCTTGAGCGGAAAATGCCCAGTAAGGCTCGAAGGCTGCCATAATGGTGTCAAAGTTATCGTTTACAGGGGTGTTGGACTTGACAGCGGCATCATACCACTGGTTGAATCCTGGCGGTGGCTCTCTCTTGTATCTCCGTCTGTATTCGTTGACGGCTTCTTTTGAGGACCGCGATTGCCGCTTTGTCATGTCCCAAAATTTCTGATTCGCTTCTTCCACAAGTAGCTCGATTGGATGCATGGCATTCTTCGTCAAGCCAAGGAAGCCTGTCTCGTCTGGTATTAATCTAAGAGGAGAGTCGGGAAGCCATCTGGAGGCTGAGGGGCAAAGCAAATGTGAAAATTGCAGCCTAAGATGGCCGTGGTACACAGAAAGAAGAATCTCCGGTCTAAGTGTCGCTTCAACGAAGCCAACCACAGTCACCTGGACCTGCCAAGAAGCGGTAGCGGTAGAGTGGCTCAAGACCGTTGGAAAGTCGAACAGGAAAGGGGAAAATGCGCAACGGTTGCAACAGGCATGGTCGACGTCTTCCTGTACAGCCTCTCAACCCATTCGTGTGTTGGCAATGGAATTACTTGTGAGTTGGGAGGCGAAGAGGCTCAGCTGACCGTCCCATACATAACCGAACTCTGTCAGATCGAAGCTAGGCACGTTGCTTTGCCGCACGGCGCTGGCGTTTCAAAGCCTCATATCAGGACATGTTCTGTGCTATGACTGTAACAAGCACATCGAAAATTATTCGTCAAGCAAAATGGAGACGGAACGATACTCCGAGACGAGGTTTGAAGATGAAAGTCAGGGACGAGATGGAAACGAGAGGGCCGTGACTGCGAGACTCGTAAAACAACAACGACATCGCCCGTAGATGAAACACTTATCGCCAGGCTTCTTTGCTTGCGTCTCTTCTGACCCTACATCGATCAGATTGACATCGAAACCCTCTGCTTGAGTCTGACTTTGTCTTATTGTGGACGTTTCAAGGATCCAAAGGCGAAAGCTACTGATGATGAGTTGAGTATCTGAAGAAGACGATGTTGGGAAGGTTGATTGAAACGCGCTAATCCATCTGTCTCTAGCGCAACGCCAAGCTTGTTTTGTTGGTTTTGACGGCTTATGGCCATTAGCCACGGCTTATAGCCATTAGCAAAACTTTCGCACAACGCGCACACCTTATTATTGAAATCACACCACAACCACGCATCCTACGGACCTGAGGCCTTCAGTACGGTGATCAGCTCATTATTTGGTATAGGGCCCGTACCAATAATGAAGCGATTACACGACTGTGGGCCTCGGGACCAATGACCCCCTAAATACGCGCAATGCCACACGCCTTTTCCGACAGCCAGGCCACGAAGTCTTCCTTTCGACTGGGCTTAACAGTCAATTATCACTGTCACACACCGATCTTCCCCTCCTACAAGCAACATCATCATTATCATCAGCAACAACAATACCAATTCTACTCTCTCGACACGGGCACCAGACGCCACGTGTCATTTCAGTCATTTTAGCTTCAACGTCTTTACACGTGTTAGATCTCAACATCTTGATACACTGCAACAACTACATTACACTTACACTTCACTTTACACTAATTCGCCAATTCACACCACACCGTTACACCACATCTCCCCCAAGAGACACGTCTCTTTTCCCTTCATCGACTAGCAATCAGCCTACAACGCGAGAGAATCTCCACCTTTCTTCGCGTCTTCTGAAGGTGCCTTAAGATACACAGCACAAATCGTTCGACCTCGCTCTATCGAAACGTATCCGACGTGGTAGTACCGGATCTTGAACCTCGGCCTTATCCACCGAGCAATGGATTGCTGAGGAGTAGTGACCCTCAGTAATCGTCAGAGCAATCCCGCCGAGCAGAATGATTGACAAAAGAGTTAAGATTTGGATATTGTTTTTCTACGGGACTCCCGGGCTCAGTGGAGTCCTTCATTCAGTCTACAAGCACACACATACACATGAGGGTTACGGGTCAAAAAGAAGGATACGGCACTTGAGTCAGGGGCTCTGCGATTGTAGGGGACCCCCTTTCAGCTTTCGGCTAGTCCAAAAACGGTTAGATAGATTAGTTACGCGTCTCGCATAGTCGGCCATCAAGGCAAGACTTCAGGGTAGTATGATGTAATCAATCAATCAATTATGGCCATTAGCACAATGTGGCTGGGGCTCAGCCATATAGCCATGGGCAAACATAGCCATGGGTAATATAGCCATGGGCAACAGTAGCCATGGGTGACATAGCCATTGGCAACAGTAGCCATGGGTGACATAGCCATTGGCAACAGTAGCCATGGGTAACATAGCCATGGGCAACAGCCTATAGCCATGGCTATGGTGTGCCAGGGTAATCAGTCCACTTGGCGCATATGTGGAACTAACACGCCTGGAAGGCTGAGATGTGACCCCGAAGCAATCCGATTTACTATGGGTCACAAGCCGAAATCGGATGACTCGAAGGGACGAATCTCCAGTGATTTGGCAAGCGACTTTTTGCATTTATATCAGGCCCATGCCCACTGCTGAAGTTCTTTCTTATGTTCTACCTATCTATGTATGCGATTATTTACATAGCATTCATATATAGCCCTAGCCCTAATTGTATTGGGCATAGCCTATCACATTACCAACTTGTTTCAGTTTCTGTACTGAGGGAAATTTTTCCGACCATTCTTTCAGTTCGTATTCGTATTCACCTTTCTTAGTATAGGGTTGACTACCTCTAATCAATATAAGCGAAGTCGAGGAAATTTATATGAAAATCGTCACCTTCCTATGGCATCGCGCCTGAATTGTAGGATCCTATTCAGCCATAGAGGCCCTGATCCGGAAGGCAGCGAGGACATGGATATCACCGGTGAGTAATGATGGAGACAGTACCGTAGAAATCCTCATCGGTTCTCCAACCGTACCAAAAGCCGACCTCGAGAGATAGACCGAACAAATGAGGCGTGATGCAGCCACGCCTTTCCCGATCAGCACACGTCCCATCGTGCGAGAAAATACGGCTGCATGAGAGCTACCTACTTCATAGGAGAGTTGGTCCGAGAGATGAGATGCTATGTAGCGGAGAACGTGCCGCACCGTACTGACTGGAGGCGGAGCTTTCTGGCTCTCGGCAAACTTCAAATCCACCGGATGCTGACGCGGCGTGCATGGCACAGCGGCTAGCTGGAGATTGGAATCGATGCAGAGATACTATGACTTTGATGAGATGCTCGTATCGAGAATCCTTTGTGTTTTGGGGAATAATCATAGACTGTTCCCATCGGGTTTCAAGCCGACGTAGGAGTGTTATAGCTGTGAGGTAAAGAAATGTGATGGAGTCGATGCTACTTGCTCACAAGTGTACAAGGGCAGAGGTAAGGCCATGCAGCGTATGTACCATCGTCCTGGACCACTACGCGTACGACATAGTGGAGGGACAGGCATAATTGAAAGTAGATGGAACTTACTTACTGTGGCGAATTGAGACGTGGATGGGAGGTCTGGAAGGTGATACGGAATTCTGTCTCATACAGGACGTTGAGCCGTCTTCTCCAGGCTCGGAATGGTCAAATCGGAGGTACAGGAGGGGATATCAATCGAAGAGAATACGCCTGGTATCCTCTATCTTACTGTACACGGAGTAAGAAAGCCCTCATCCAGCCATCCGTTGGGCTTCCAAGAAAAAATCGCTCCATCATTCAGGTCAACCAATCGTCGCCCACATGTACGCAACATAATTGCCGACTCCATCCGCAGGATCGTACATTGCACTTATTTTCGTGATCCCCTTGCCGTTGAGGGCCACCTTGTGGTCAGTCAAAATGTAAATGATTCCATTACCATTCGGTGATCCCAGCAATGGCCAGAATGCATTATCAAGCGATGTATCTTCGGGCGTCCATGACTGGACCTGTCCCGCCGGAACACCTGCCAAGGCCTCTTCGATGATCTCGTTGGTGTATGCGTTGTTGATGTTGCTCTGAAAGACGTATCTCAAGCCAGAATAATCGGTCGTCCCAGGCGTGACAGTCTCACAGAACCTCGTCCATAGCCGCCAGGCGATTTCGGACCAATTATCTGGGCACGCAGGCCCGGTTAGGAGGTTTTGCCTGTCGTTAAAGGCTGCAATAATGACACCGTCCACAGGACTAAATTGGTTTGTGAAATCAGCATTGGGAGAGTCTCCCTTCGGCCAGGTCACCGTTTCGTAATAATAGTTTTTTGCAATCCCAACCCCCAAATCAGTGAAGAGTGGTCGAAGGGCTCTAGGGGGAAGTGTTAATTGCGGAACTTGGATATCGTAATTGTCTTCAAAGGTACAGAAAGGTGCTCTATCGGCACCAGTCTTGGCTTGCCAATTTTGGTAATAACTGAGCCCGCTCGGTGCATACTTGGTCCAGGTCGGACTGTGGTCTACCCGAGGAACAAGCACTTTTGTGCCCTGCTTAGATCGGCGTCCATGAACGGTTCGGCCTTTTCTGTTGGGATCCCAAAAGTCTAGATGTGTTCTTTCGTTCCTTGGTTCAAGGCTGACGGGTCCATTGCAAGAACAGGCGCCGCCCTCTAAGCCGCCCTTTAAATGTTTGTAGTAGTCGACCGGGTTGATGGCCTCGCTCACGGTCAGATCAAAGTTGTAAGCTGCACTTATTGGCACTCTTGCAGTATCGTCGCAACAGAATTGACCTGCCACACATTCACAGCCGCCGCCTTGCCAAGTACCCCAACCTGCCTCGTCGTTCTTCGCTTTGCCATTTGATACAGGCGTACCTCCTGGGGCGAATATTTGTTCTAGAGTCAGATTTTGCACGCAGATGAAGATGTCCGTGGCACTGTCACTACCCCCGTCGAAATCGAAGACAGGGTCTGAGATGTCAAACAGAGCAGTGGAGGTGGGAAGACTAAGAGTGGTTGTGCTTGTAGAGGAAATGGTCGTGCTTGTTGTTGAAGGGGTGAAAGGAAGGGGCGATGGATCAGAGTCTGATGTAGTTTTCCAGGTCAGTATCTCTCTTTGCGGACAGAAAACTTGAGTCATAAGACAGAATCGAGGAGTATTGGAGCTGGAAACATGTTCTGAGACCCTCTTTTGTGCCCGGATTGAAAAAACGAAAGGGTAGAGAAGACCTACTCGCTGGGTCACCTGTCGTAGTTAATGTAGTTACTGTAGCGAAAGCAGCTACTGCATTACACGCTCCACTGGCAAAGCTTGTGGTAGTTGTACCGCTACCGCTGCAGTCTGTAGTGGCTGCGGAACAAGTAGTAGTGCAAGAAGTTGTTGTTGCTGCTGTTGCCGCTGCACAAACTACCTCGCAGTCGGTGACGACCTTACTCACGCTGCATTCCTCCTCTACTGAACTGGGAGTAGGCACAAGATTGTTTCCGATGGTAATGGTTGGCCAACTTGGAAAAGGGGCAGGCGTCGGTGGGGGATAGATCTAGATGACTTAGGTAAATATTATTCGAATTGGAGTATGACAGTACTTACACCAGGAGTTCCCATGCCAAACACTATGATACCTCCACCATCCACTCCAGGAGGGCAGAACAGGCAGCCCGGCCCACCTCTGATGAAAGGGTATGAGCCGGGAGGATGAGATCCATCGCTTGTGTAGATGACGGTATTCGACGGAGGGTCCGGCGTGATTGACGAGACGACCGAAGCGCTTGGATTATAAGACGTGGTGACAAAAACCAGTAGCGCTCCAGCGGATTGGGTTGAGGGTGCCTTCGCTGAAGACGTAATGACATGACCCAGTACCGCCCCAGTGTATCCGGTTGAGGTTGCCTCCACAGGGTTTGAAGGTGGCAAATCTGGAGGAGGCAGCTCTGGTTGCCCAGTGGGCTGGTTTGAAGGCGTCCAAGCAATTCCTCCCGGGCCGATCTCGACTGTGAATGTGCTACTCTGACTATTGATAGACGTTGTTGTGATCGTTGATTGGAGTGTCGCATATTGAGAATATGTAGTGGGCACAAAGGTCTCGGTAATGACTGTCGGGGATCCGCTGAAAATTGTTGAGACAGTAAGGACGGTGGCCCCTGATGGCAGCGTCACGGAGGAACTGGCATGGAGTAGTGGGTTGGCTAGATCGAGCGGGTTGCCTACTGGAGCAGGAAGTTTAGCGTCTCGGATGCACTGATGACGGATCTCGCTTACTCGAATAGTTGACTGAATTTACTACCACCCATCCTCCCCAATAAGGTGTCGACCCCAGTACGCATGCGTTCAAGATTGATTGGAAATTGTCGGTACAAGCTGATCCTGATGGACTACCAATGCCTACCACACTCGTAGTATTGAAAAAGTAGCCACCATCAAGAATATAAAAGGTGTTATTGTTGGGTCTAACGGAGGTTCCTTGCAAGTGGGCGTTGCAAGCGTCGCCAGTTGCATTGGCAGTTTTGAGTACATTTGCAATATCTGAAGAAGATGGATCTGCGGATGAGCGTGGGAAAGTGCATGTTGGGAGCACAGATCTTGTTGGTAGAACAGCTGAAGTAGCCTTACAGCTCTCAATGATAGCTAAGAAGGAAAGTAGAATGAGAGAAGTAACGAAGGTAAATCGCTCCATGGCGATGCTAGCAACAGACAGATAGGTTCTGCCCGTAAAGACAGTGTATGAATGAAATACGAAGAGAAAGACAAGATGGAAAGCAATATCAACAGCATCATCGTAGGCAATGACGCGGCGTCAAAGTGCCTTGGTCCTTACATATTAACTCCGAAACAAGGTTAGCAATTAAGGTGAAAGAAGAGACGGGCAATAGATTGATTTAAAGTCTCAAGAAGGTGGATGAAACAAATTGACAGCGACGAAGTAGTACAGGTGTGTGTGTGGGGGTTAAAAAAAAAAAAAAAATTTTTATAAAAAATAAAAAAAAAAAAAAAAAAAAAAAAAAAAAAAAAAAAAAAAAAAAAAAAAAAAAAAAAAAAAAAAAAAAAAAAAAAAAAAATAGATATTTATAAAATTAATTAATTTCAAATAAGAGATACGTTCGTTAATTCGAACTACGAAACTATCTTACTCTTTAAATTTTTATTACTCGATTAAATTTACTTAAGCTGGAGGCCTATTTAACTAGATAAGATAGTTTACGTAAATCTATTATTACTAAGATATCTATATAAATATCGTTATTTCTAATTTATAATTACTATCGTAACGGACTAGTTGTTTGACGTATAAATTTGATACGCTTATTAAGAGAAATTAATTTGCTATTATTTTAAAAAAGTACTACTAAAATATATACGTTTTATTCTTTTCGAAATTATAATTATATTATAAAGCTATTATTAAAAGACGATAAATCTTATTAATTTAGTTAAGATACGATTAGCGTAACTTATAGCTCTTCGTAAGATAGTATAAGGCATAGTATGATCGTTTTAGAGAAAAAGCATAAGTTAGGTAAGTCGCGGCTATTTCTATTTTCTTAATTATTTACGAAGATAATATTAAAGTTCTATATATACGCTAAATCTCTTGATATACTTAGTAAATATTCTGAATATCTTAAATATTCTTAATATTACTACTTTTTATTAATAGCGACGTTAATACTATATATACGAGGTATATATATACGAAGTATATATATACGAAGTATATATATACGAAGTATATACGCGTTATAGCGACGTTACAGCATATATAAAGAGTATATTTATCGAATTATTTTTCTTCTTATTAGATATAGATTCTTATCTTAAAGCTTCTAAAATTCGCTTAGAAGTATAAATAAGAGCGACTTAATATAATAGTTATGAAGATAAGACCTTAACTTATATATTAAAGTATTAGAAAGTAATTTATACGTTAATAAATAGTATTCGAATACTCTAATAGATAACTCTTCGGATTTTAATATAATCGAGCCTTATTAACTATAGATAAAGCGTTAAACTACTCGAAAAGTTACATTAAGAACTTATAAAGATATCGAGAAATAATAGCTATATTACTAAAATTACAAGCTTATATAAAGAGGATTTGGGAGTAGATAGAGCGAATATCGAGATATATTGCGAAGATTATTCGTCTTAAAGGCGGTAACGAGTATAGGGATAGTCTTAGTACTTAGACTCTATTCGAAAGGGTTAGTAGTAGTAATAGGTCGAAAAATCCTTTTTTCCGGGCCGAAATTTCGTCATACCCTTCCCTTAGAGTCTGAGTAGAAAACCCTGGAATCGCTACATTAACCGTTATTTTGTATAGGATCCTCACCAAAATTGACCGAAATAGAAAATAAACAGTTTCTTTTATATATAACTTTTATTAAGAATTCTAATAAAGAAATAGTCTTTTATAAAATAACTATTTATTAAGAATTCTAATAAAGAAATAGTCTTTTATAAAATAACTATTTAAATATCGTAGATTGTTTTTTTCGATTTTTAATAAAATAGCTTAATTAATTATTTTTAAAAGATTTAAATTAGAGTTTTAAAAACTATATTTTTAACCCCCTCTTATTTTTAAACGTGCACCGATAAAACTCTAAAAATAACATCAAAATACTCGTTATAAATATAAGTCTATTTAAGAATATTATTATAGAATTCTCTAGACTAGATTTTAACATTAATATTTCTTATATTTTTATTTAAAATTTATTTATCTAAGCTATTATCTTAAATAATTTATTAAATAATTTATAATTTTAAATAATTATTTAATAATTTATAGATATAAGTAAAGATATATAAAGTTTTATTAATATTATTTTTTAATTTATTTAATTTATTTAATTATTTTAAGATTTTTAGAAAAAAATTAAAAAGCTTAATAACTTTAAAGACTTCGAACTTTAAATTTAGAAAACTTAATATATTATTATTATATATATTAAAAATATATTTATAAATTTTTATAAAAGTAATAATTCGATTATCGAGTAATAATATATCGAAGTTATAGATTATTAAGTCTTTAAAATAATTTCGAAATAGCTTCGAGGTAGCTCGCTTCGAGGTAAAGCTACCTCGAAACTTATTAATACTAATATATACTCAGGGGTAAATATCTTATATCAGTTAAATTATTAAAAAAACGAGACTTAATAGAGTTTTTACTTAGACTTACTACGTAAGATCTTTTCTAAGACTATATAGAGAAGATCGTAAGAGAGATAATATAAGACTCTATAACTCTACGGGCGAGTAAATAAGTATATACGTAGCTATATAAAGCATTATTACTAGAAAATAAAGCTATCTAAGAAAAGATTAGTTTTATAAAAATATTAAGTATATTAAGAGATTTAGCGTATATATAAAACTTTTAATATTATTCTCTTTATAAATTATAAATTAAATAAGAATACTTAGTAAAGCTAATTTAGCTCCGCCTTCGACTTTTTATTAGCGTTATTTATAGAAAATTATAGAGAATATACTTACTACTCTTATAATAGCTATTATCGTTTATTATCTTAGTTAAATATTCGTAATATCGAAGCTAGTAAGTATTATTAGGGATACTGTGTAGAAGCATGCATGTACTTCTGGAAAGGGTTTCACGAAGAAGGGAAGGTGTTTCTTGGTTCTGATTGGGATTGAATGATTGATTGATAAGCTAAAGCTATGACGTTCTCGAAGAAAGGAAAGGAAGCGACATGCCAAGTCCGCTAGTAAGGTTTCTCGAAGAAAGGAAAGGAAGCGACATGTCGAGTCCTCACGCTATGTCGGGAACGTAACGGGATATACGCTTTTTCTAATATTTTATCTCTAATTTAGACGTATAATAGCTATATCGCTAGCCCTTACTTTAAACGCGATATTATTATTTAGAAAGAATCCCTCTATACGCTAGCGTATCTAATTTTACTCTACTCGAACTTATTAGCGATCTAAAGTCGTAGCTATAAATATCTATTTTAGTATATTAATAGCGTATCGATAAGAGCGAAATCTTACTATCTATAATAATATTATAATCTCTCGTAATAGATATATTTATATATAAGGGCGATATCGTAGCCTCTTATCTACTATTTTAAACGCTTTTTTTAACTATTAGCGGGATTTCTAAAGTATATAATCGATATTAGTGACTGTAATAGATTTACGATAAAGTATTTCAAGTAGAGTACTATAGGCTATATATTTGACGGCGAAATTAAGATATTTAAACGAGATTTAAAGTATTTAACTATAAAGATAATAGAGTAGTTATAATAAAATACTACGTAATATTAATTAAAATTCTTTATCTTCTCTATAATCTTTATAAGGTAATAAGTATATTCTCTATAATTTTCTATAAATAGCGTTAATAAAAGTCGAAGGCGGGCTAAATTAGCTTTATTAAGTATTTTAATTTAATTTACAACTTATAAATTAGAAACTAAAAAAATTGGTTTTAGACCCTCTTATAATTAAATATTAAAATTTGAATTTCTATATAACCTTTCATCACTGTTTTTAAGTCTAAAAACTTTATAAAATCTATTACTATATTAAGAAATCTACTTTTAAATTTAAAAGATTTTAATTCTAATCTTATAAGTGAGATGTAAAAGCGAGGATATATCGCGAACTTCAAAAATTTCCTCGGCTATTTTTTTACCGCCAAGACTATCTCGGAAAATCTAAGAATTTATTAAATTTTTATTCTATAATAGAACGAATAATTAAAATCTTCTTAATTCGATATTCTTAATCTCTCGTATAATTATTAAAATTAAAAAGTTTTTGGCGTTGTAATTATCGTTGTGGTTTTAGAAAGCCTTTTTTTTTTAGATGGGGTGTAAATCCGTTCTTTTCCAATATTAATATTAGCTCCTCGTATTATGCTCCATCACCGTTTCAAACCCAAATCTGCAGTCAATCGAGGCGACATGAAGTTGCAAAGCAAAGTCAAAGCCAGAACACTTCCATAACTCCCATCTACCGTCTCGCATCTCGAAACAACGATACCTACTGTAGAACACTGTTTCATCGCTCGCATCAGGCACGCAGTTAGGTCTAGACTCGATGAGCTCCCTATTCATCGCCAAAGAAAAAAGAACAAGAAAAAGAAAAAAGCTTGTCTGGTGGAATGTGACAGCGACGAATACGATGTTTGTGAAAAAGGGACAAGCAGCCTGTCATCGATCTAGGGGCTTATCGGAGGAGGCACCTCGTCGCTTTCATCAACTGTCCAGGGGAGATTGCAACTGCAGCTGCAGCAAAGTGAGGGCGATTGACCAGTCCACATTCATACTGCCATAGCTTGCCTCTGAATAGAACGGGGATTGATTGCAGGGGAAGTATTTGTCTTGTAGCTTGTTGGACATCTCGTATGAACACCTCATTATGTACATATAACCGACAGCATCAAGATTCGTCTTCACTACCCAAATATTCTTCAAACGCCTCATTGTACTCTCTCCGTCTTCTTCCCCTGTCGCCGTCACGGAAGACTACAGCTTGCATTGCACGTTTCACACTCATGCGGAATACGCAAGTTGAACGCATGTCCTCAACTTCGAAACTTTTCTCTCTTGACAGATCCTCCTTCTTTGTTTCATTGATACCATGGGCCGTCGCGGTTTCCTCGTCCTTGCACACGAGTAGTACTCCCCGCTCTCTCCAATCCTTGTGATCAGCTACCATAAAGAGATTGCAGAACGTCTCTCTCAACTTAAACAGCCCCCTTTCCCTAACATGCCCATGCTTCGGATGGGATTTCGTATACTCGGGTGCCAATACATCCAATTCGAGCATTGCGAGCCGCTCGCACAGCCTCTGATGGAACGACACCATCTCCGCCATGTCCACGGGTGGGTAGAAGCGCATAGACTTCCCAAAGAAACTATCGAAGGAAATGTCCCTCTCCCTATCCCGGTGCGGAAACCACTCCCTATACACAAATTCGAGAATCTCAACATGGACCATAGCGTTCACGGAGGTGTTGCAGTAGATAGGGCAGTCCTTCCAGCAGAATTGTCTGCAATCGTCTGGATCCAGCTGGGCGATGGTCTTGGCGACTCGTTTGTGAAATTGGTTTGGGACCTCGAGCGTTTCTGAGCAGGGACTGATGGATTGGATGATGAATGGTCGAAGCCAGGATCTACGTTGGGCCTCATAGTGATATTCTTCGGCGCATCCGCGAAGATGTTTGGGATCTTGCAGGGCGGCTTGCATTGCTGTTAATGGTTTTGCCATTTTGGTGGTGGAAGAGCGATCCGGATGAGCGATCATGCAGAGAGATTGGAAGAGAATTGCAGTTTCATTGGCTTCATTAGCTTCAAATGTCTTGGAAGTTGCAAGCGACGGGCCGATGTTCTTCCGCTTTCGGCCTGAGGTAAACGAAAACCGTCTCCAGGTCTATTCATATGTTCAGCCAACTTGGTAATAGAGCCCCATTGTCCGACTCTTAGGCTAAAGATACCATAAATCTTAGATTGTTTGACTATAAAATTGCCTTAAGAGGCTTGGGGAGACCTCGGTCAGACTGGAGTTCAGCGTTGTATCCCATATCTTACTCGTATGACCTGCCAGAATCTAAAATAACTACCTACTTACAATGAAACACGGTACTAAAAGGCCTGGATTTGAAAACACTAGGAGAGTTCTGCCTTAAAAGTGATTTTAGCGGTATACATCGACTGGATACCGTATCTAAGGGTAGGTAGGGTATATCGTAATAAGTAAGACTCTAAGCTTGATTTTATGCAAGTGGAAGTTGGCAAACAGACGCACGAAGAGCGAGACGGTGGACCTACTTGTAATGCCAGCGTTTCTGGGTTCTTCCGAGTAAATCTGCGAGTTGTGGTTGTCGACATTATAGCTCTCCATTGCGTCACTCCAATGATCATTTTGTGCCCCTCCAAAGGCTTCTTCAACTAGCTCCATTTGTCCTGTCGCTTTAAGAGCAAATACTAGTACCTTTCTTAAGCCTCATCCTTGCTTGGTGAGTTTGTTTGTTGATGTTGCAGTGTAGATGGCTACTGTACGGTGGTAGCTTTCCCTGCAGGGTATCCGTTCGGATTCACGTCTGGTGATACTGGGGTAACATCAAGAGCATCATTTTGTTTGTCAGCAGACAGAACGAGGGATATAAATTCCTTGATCTACGTGGGCATGCATCCTATCTTCTCGACATGCGCGTGAATTCTCATGTAGATCCTGCATATTAGAAAATATTACTTCTGCGAGGCCGAAGGTTGCCAGATACCCTCCAGTCTAAAGCCAATGTCTGACGTACCATTTCAGTTGATTGTCACCCTAATCCCTTTCGAATCCAACCTCGGAGACGTATTCAAAAAGTCATGCTTCAGCTCCACATCGCTAATGTCTGTCTCAAAAAGCTCCAACCTAAATCTTCCAGGCGCAAACACTGCCGCAAGCGTCAGATATAACTCACAATAAGCCAGGTTCAGCCCTGCACATTGGCGACTGCCCCTACTGAACGGAATAAGGTATTTGCGCAGTGACGGCTGCTCTAAAAAGCGTTCGGGTCTAAAGGTGCGAGGATCCGGGAACAAGGTTGGATTGTCATGGAGGAGGACAGTTGTCATGCCTACAGGCGTCATAGGAGGGACTGAGTAGCCATTGCATTGGAGCACCGTGTCGGGAAAGAGGCGTTGCATGCGATGAGACACGCCGTAACCGATGCGGAGGGCTTCCGTTATGACGGCGGTCAGGTAAGGAAGCTGTTCGAGCTGTTGCCACTGCGGTGATGGGCCGGTCTTTGACATGAGGTTTCCGAGTTCTGTTTGTAGCTTCTCTAGGACTGGGGGATTGCTGATCAGGTAAAATGAGGTGACGCCTAGAATGTGACCTGTGGTAACGGTGCCCGCAGCAATGATGGTCTGGGCTTCGTCTTGGAGGTGGCCTGTTTCCTTCTCCTGAGGCCGGACTTCATCATTTGTAAGTACATCGTAAAAAATGGTTTCTTGTCCGATGGGTTTTTCGCCTCTGGCAAGTCCTTCCTTAGCTTCGATGACTTGCTGGCGAAATCTCTGCAACATATCAGCATGGTTTTTTCAGGTGTCGGGGAAAGAAGCAGACCCGCTGGAATTCGAGAAGAGTCATCATCTGGGGCTGAACTACTTTCACGAGCCATTCTGGCATAGCCTTCATCAGCGGCATCATCCAGCCGAACTGCTTAAGGATATGACCGTTCTCAGAGACGCCCATAATGAGTTTGTGCCAGTGTGGCGAAAAGTCCGGATCATCAAGAAATCCGTACGTCTGCGCGAACGCATACTGTCCAATAACATCCCCAGTCAGACATGCATATACGTCAACCAAGTTGACGTTCCTGCCGGATCCTTGAAGGCCTTCGAACCGTGAGACTAGCTTGTCCAGGACGGATTGGATGCCAGGTTCGAGTCTGAGCAGGGTGGTTTTCGACAAATAGTGGGCAAAGATGCCTCTGCGAATGCGGTGAAGCTCATGGCTCTCTGTTGCCAAGAATCCGGTCTTCAATCCGAACATCTTCTGGCTCCAGCCATACTTCATACTCCTCTTCTGTTGGTTTGGATATATCTCATCAATCATTTCGGGATCATTGATGTGTATTTCATAAGGACTGATTCGGACGATGGGTCCTAAACCGAGTCAACAGATTTGACTTTCCTTTTCGTGGTCGATGCCTTGATCAGATGCTTACCATATTTATCATGCATCTCCCAGATCTTCCAGGTGTATCGGCCTTTCTTGACAACATCGTAGTAGAACTCGTACCAGAGACTTGCGGCAGCGAGCTTTGGCCCAGGAATCTTGGAAAGGGGATCAAAATACATGCGATAGACATACAACCCGAGGACGTAAAAGACAGAGAAGACAGACAGCAGTCTGAGCAGGGTTGATAATTCCATAATCGATAAGATTTAGGATATGTAGGAGAAAGAAGATGATCTGCTCACACGAAGATTGACGAACAGAGGTCTAGATTTTGGTATTTACGCCTTCTCCTACACCTGGCTAATAAGACTCGATTGTCTGCCATGGCAAGAGCGGGCGGCGGGAAGGGGGGCCTTTAAGTATTCCCTCGATTCTAGGCGCATGCTCGAGGGATATGCTAGACATGCAAGCGGGGCATGATCGTCGATAAGCCCCACCAAGCCAGCACATGTTGTGGAGCGGCACATACTTAAATGGGGCAAGACGTCTCGAGAAAAACTCCGTGTTTGCCTCAGCGGCTGAACAGGTTCTTGATTGTCAAAGATTTGTGGTGGTGACTCCGTTGTTAATGTGCTTCCAGGCCTAAAACTTGGATTTCGAGAGAAAGCGCCACTTTTGGTTTAGCGTGCCATGAATAATTCTGATCCAATCATCCAAGCCGATGATTCATTAAGCTGTAGGGCTGAGTAGTGTAAACCTACCTTACTTAGAATTACTCAACAAACTCTCCAATATATTACGGTCCAGTCCAAAGACCACAGCATCCGTATATCGCTGGCAGATATCCCTCGTCCCAAGCCATGTTAAATGGCAAGAGGCTGTCCATCTCCCGACACAAAATTGTACGAAGGTCCCCTCTGTGAGGAGCATATGTGTCATTCTTCCCTGCTCCAGGCAGCAAAGTTTGCCCAATACCAATAATGATCCCATTGCACCCTCTTGCTCTAGAGGCAAAATTCCCCTTCAAATGTCAGTCACCCTTTGTAGCCGTATACTCTGTCAAATGAACCTCAACTCAATGGCTGCCAACTCAAGAAAAGTCGTCGTGTTCAGTGGTGGTTCGGCGGCGAATAGCTTGGTGGATGTCTTCAACGAAGTCATAGAGAAAAACAACTGTGCCTTGACTTATGTTATACCGATCAGTGACAACGGTGGTTCCTCCAGCGAGCTCATTCGAGTGTTTGGAGGGCCGGGCATTGGGGATGTCAGAAGTATGAAAAATATTCTCTTTTGGTCTCGATGCCCACTTCAAATTGGACATTGTATGGTTTTATAACGGTTGACTGTGCAAACTTGGAAAATATCATATAATTAGAAGCTGTGCGTGCTGTTCAATGTATCTCTGCTTATGTGCGTCTTCCCAGGCCGTCTTGTACGCCTGATTCCTCAAACTCACGTTCATATTCTCAACCTCTTCAATCATCGTCTACCCCCTTCTTCCGACTTGGCCGCATCTGAATTCCTGACGCTTCTGACCGGCACATCACACCTCTACCATTCGGTACCGACACCGCAAGCAATGCTTATCCGTTCCATCCTCTCGCATCTTCACCTCGAGATCCTCAAGCGCAACCGGCCCCCTACCTCGACTTTCAACTTCCAATCTGCGTCAATAGGAAACCTGTTCCTCACCGGTGCTCGTCTATTCTCCGGCTCCTTCGAGTCCGCAATTTACCTTCTTGCAATCATGGGTGGCGTCGACGAATCGAAAACCGCTGTGCTGCCTGCTATCATCAGCAACTTCTCGCATCACATATCCGCTGGGCTCGCAGACGGAAGCGTGATAACCGGCCAGAACGCTATCAGCCATCCCAGCGAGCCGACTGCGCTCAATAGTAATATCGACCATGCCAATCCTCTCGCAGATCTCAACGACGCCACGATCGAAGACGCAAACCTCCCAGGCTCCTTGCCAACGCTTCGCCAACCCAACATCCATTTCTCCAAGGGTTCCGAGGAGCCTCTTCCCGCCCGAATTCAGCGGCTATGGTACATCAATCCTTACGGCCAGGAGATGCGGCCTTCGCCCAACCCCAAAGTGCTTGAGGCCATCAATGTTGCAGAAGGCTTGATCTACAGCATCGGCAGTCTCTACACTTCCATCGTCCCATCGCTCATATTGCAGGGTGTGGGCGCGGCGATTGCTCGTTCCGGCGGTCCGCGCTTCAAGATCCTGATTCTGAACGGTAGCCTCGACCGCGAGACGGGTGGCTTCTCTGCCTCGGACTTCATTGCTGCAATCGCTAGAGCTGGCGAAGAGAGTCGTGGGATCACCTTCAATCAGGGTGAGGATGTGGAAAAGGAAATCTGGGCGAGGTATGTGACGCATTTGATCCATCTTGAAGGCGAAGGCGTGCCTCGAGTCGACAAGGAGGAGTTGGGAAAGTGGGGTGTGGAATGTGTAAGGCTGTACGGCAGGAAGGCGGAGGATGGAACTGCGAGGTATGATGGAAGAGCGGTATGTATATCTTTTAGGTAACTTCTTCTCTGTTCGGATCACTCCTCCGGTTGCAGGACATGTTCCGGGAGCAACAGGCTTTTGATACACCTTTGTCCGAGCTGTCTCATTGCTCGGACTCCTGCCTCGAAGAAGAAATACTGACTCTGAAATCAGCTGGGGCAGGCGCTGGGGGCAATATTGGGAAGGAGGGAGAAAGGGGAGAAGAGCAGGAGGAATACACTCGAAGGGTGAGAAGGAACGTAGAGAAGAGGGGATTGGTAGACAATGTTCTTCGCATGCAACACGGTTGTTGTAAAAAGAATATTCTACAACCTATGCTGTAGCTCTGAAGGAAACAATTTCAAGCGCATAATGCTTCCTAGCCACCTGGTGGCCTCCTAAGGGTATCTCTCATAGCAATGACTCGCTACGCTACCGTAAAAACGCCAGTGTAGATGCAAGAATGTTCTTTTGCGTCTTCGACGCTCCAGTCCTCAGGTATAGTCCCCATCAACAGCCTTTCCTTTTCCCTTGTTGATCCTACTCTTTGTCTTAAGCTTCATCGCAAGCGGGATTACATTGTGGTTCTCTTTGCCGTGATTACTTGGTCTCATGACCTTCTTCCGGCACACTGGACACTTGGGGATGCCTTTTCCGGGTTCGGCACCCTGATTTTCACCAGCTATCAGGGCTTCCATGAGACATGCATGGCAGAACAGGTGACCTTGAAGAAGACAGAATTAGTGTTCATACGGGAGACTGCCCTGAGGAATGACGTACCGCAGTGGGTAGCTGTCAGGTCTTTCATGTTCTCCATGCAGATAATACACTGTAATGTGGACAATCTCACGGGCTTGTTGGCCTGTTCTTTCTGTGCCTTGATGGTAGCCATGCGTTGCTGCTCAAGAACTTTGAAGAGGCCTGTGTCATCGTCTAGGTCCTGTGAAAGGATTAGCCCCTCTCCTTTTAGACAAATTTTACGTTTAAATGCAAGTTGTAGAGGGGAAATAGCAAGACGAGAGGTCAAAGCCTCATTTGTGCACCCGGAAAATGGTTCTTGCAACTCCTGTTTGTACCTACTCTAAGATCGACCTCCTCGATTGTATGTGCCGCATTGCTTGACTGGGAAGCCTCGGTCTTCCTCCTCTTGGCGGGATTCGATGGGACCGAAGACGTGTTTCTGGACATTCGTGAAGGCGGTTGCCGACGTTGAGAGTTCGCTGGCGGCATGTTTGGTGGAGTTGAATCAGCGGTGAGGTCGACAAAGTCACTGAGATCCTCGGTATCGGGCCAAGGCGTGTCTTCTCGATCGGAGCTGGAAATGGCGGATGACGAGGACCAGAAATCCTCAGAAACGAAGCTAGTGGGACGCGGAGGTGCTCTGGAGGGAGTCGCGCGGCGAGGTGGCGGAAGAGCTGGTCGACCGGAAGAGTTGGACGCTTCACCGAGTGGGCTCTAAAAAGATTTTCGAGTCAGTTTTCTCCTTCCAGGCCGTATTCTGAGCAATGAGGCAGCTTGAAAGGATAGTAAGAATCACTTGCTCCCAGACCATGTCTTGGAACCTGCAGAACAGTCTGGTACAGTAACACCTTGGTCTGAAAATATACGTACCGCTTGAAGAGGAAAGTTGGGCAGGTCAAGGTGTGAACGACTTCGATTGACGGTGGTGGACAGAGGATGTCGAGAGGATGAAGATGAAGATTTGGTAGAAGCGGTGGTGTTATGGCCCCGCTGTTGCTGATGGGACTGAGAATTTGGCCAATTTATGTGGTTGAGAGGCTGCGAACGTAGGGAGTTGAAGTTTGGAAGTGGCAAGTGTTCAACGCGATGTCTCGGCTCACTGCCCCATGATTGGCCGAACATGTCGTTCATGTCGTGGTTTGAAAAGACATCTTCTCGGAGTGTAGGAGACCAGACATCCTCATGGTTTGAATCATCTGAATCCTCCATTGGGCGAAAGCAATCACTCTTGCTGCAAGCGAACACTCTTGGATTTAGCAAATGGTCATGCCACTTTCTCGGCAAGGTGGTCCTGCTGAAGGCGATATGTGTATGGACTGTAGCAGTGGTAATGGAGGCTTGCGAACAGCTTTGTGAGCCTAATGCTTGCCCAAACCATACAATCGCCTCCCAGAGAGCTGTGACACGGTAAGACGGTGTGAGGGGCACCATTCACCAGACTGTTCTCTGATCTGGGCGGAATGAAGCCGCATGCACGGAAAGTCGGCGAAAATGTGACGCTAAATTGATCAAATATCATGTCCATATCGCAACACATTTCGATTGACGTGATGGCAATTGCACATACGAGATGACTGTCAATAATGCTTTGCTCCTTGTGTACCAGGCAAAATGGTCTACTTCGGGCACACTTAGTCCATGGCTTCCGTGCTCACATCCCACATCCAGCAGTCTTTGCCTTCAAATGCAATCCGCCTCGGAGGCGACAGTATGCCATCGAGGTCGGATCAGGTATATCCCTTGAGAAAGGGGACCGCAACAGCCTATCTCGTGAGTGCTACGTCCAATGTATCTTCGGATTGGTCAGGCTGACATTGATTCGTAGTGAATGCGACGCCACGATTTAACGAGATAGGGGTTCAGCAGCTTAGCAGTCATGTCCATCCTCAGATTTTCTCTGGCCCGCCAACGACGCCCCCACAGCATCTGATAGATCTCAGTAAGGACCATCTTAGCAGGCACCAACTGTTGGGCAAGAACCAAGAAAATGCGCCTCCAATCGCCTTTGATCTACCTGCCCTCCACGGCTCCACGTTGGACGAGCATTTTCACAAGCTGGGCAGAGACGCCTCCGAGCCATATTACAGTCAAGCGTTGGACTACGCACGTGCAGACCTTCCTAGAGCTCCGAGGACGTGGGTCAAGCAAAGTGGATGGACAAAGTACAATGAAGATGGCTCACATGTAGTAGTGGAAGCACCGCAGGAGGAAATGCTGACCTTTGATACTGAAGTCATGTGGAAGGAAAGCTCGTTTGCCGTAATGGCCTGCGCTTCTAGCAAGACGGCATGGTACGCATGGCTCTCTCCTTGGCTCATGGGGGAGTCTGAGTCGGATCGGCATCTGATACCGCTGGGCAATCCGGACCAGGCACGTATCATCATTGGACACAACATTGGCTATGACCGGGCACGAATAGCTGAAGAATATGACGTGCGACAATCGAAGAACTTCTTTTTGGATACCATGTCCTTACATGTAGCAGTCAACGGGATGTGCTCTAGGCAGAGGCCGACTTGGATGAAACACAAGAAGAATAGGGATATGCGAGCCAAAATCGCCAGCGAAAGCAATTCTGTCGAGCTATCGAGTTTGCTGGAAAACAACATCCTAAGCGAAGAAGAGGAAGAACTGTGGGTCGGTAGGAGCTCTATCAATTCGTTGCGGGATGTTGCTAAATTCCATTGCAATGTAACCATTGATAAAGCGCAGCGCGACCAGTTTGGAGAACTTGATCGAGCTGGTGTTCGAGAGAAGCTTGATGAGCTATTGGACTATTGCGCAGCTGATGTCGCAATTACCCATCGCGTCTACAAGAAAGTGTTTCCCGGGTTTCTGGAAGTCTGTCCACATCCCGTTAGCTTTGGTGCTCTGCGCCATCTATCATCTGTCATCCTACCAGTCGATAAGTCGTGGGACACTTACCTGGATCGGTCAGAAGAGACCTACATCCGACTATCGAAGGCAGTGGAGCAGCGACTCAGTGATCTCGCGGATCGTGCGCTGGATTTGAAAGGCGATCCAGGTAACTACAGCAAAGATGACTGGCTTGGGCAGCTAGATTGGTCAGGTCAAGAGATCAGGATGGTCAAAGGAAAGAAGAAAGGGGACCCACCGAGACCAGCAGCGCGGCAAAAGATGCCTGGCATGCCGAAGTGGTACAAAGATCTATTCGCAACGAATGAGGCAAACCTCGCTCTGACAGTCAGAACACGTATCGCACCATTACTGCTTCGCCTGTCATGGGATGGACATCCCCTCGTTTGGTCGGATAAATATGGGTGGACGTTTAAGGTGCCTGTTGCGTCAGCCGACAAGTATACTGATAAACCAGTGGTCGATTGCAACATGATTGACGAGAAGAACTTGGACATCCGAGACGACAGGAAGCATCGATACTTCAAATTGCCCCACAAAGACGGGCCGCAAGCACGGTGTGCGAGTCCGTTGGCCAAAGGCTATCTGCAATACTTCGAAAGCGGAGTTCTTTCTTCGGAGTTTTCTTACGCAAAGGAAGCTTTGGAAATGAATGCGTCTTGTTCGTACTGGATCAGCGCAAGGGACCGCATTCGGTCACAGATGGTGGTCTACGAGAAAGATACTGTGGGCATACACCAGGCAAATGCATCAGAAGATCTTGGCTTCATTCTTCCGCAGGTCATTCCAATGGGAACAATCACTCGCAGGGCCGTAGAGAATACCTGGCTGACAGCAAGCAACGCTAAACGGAATAGAGTTGGTTCGGAGCTAAAGTCGATGATCAGAGCTCCTCCAGGATACTGTTTTGTCGGTGCCGATGTCGACTCTCAGGAGCTGTGGATCGCAAGTCTTGTGGGAGATGCGCAGTTTCGCCTTCACGGAGGCAATGCAATTGGCTTCATGACCCTCGAGGGTACTAAAGCAGCAGGTACCGACCTGCATTCAAAGACAGCAAAGATTTTGGGGATTTCCCGGAACGATGCTAAGGTCTTCAACTACGGCCGTATATATGGAGCAGGCCTCAAATTCGCTTCGACGCTACTTCGCCAATTCAACCCCAACCTTTCAGAAAAGGAAACCCAAGAGATCGCCACAAGGCTCTACAAAGAGACGAAGGGTACCAAGACCTCCCGGAAATTGCTCAACGAACGCTCGTTCTGGCGCGGGGGAACGGAGTCCTTCGTTTTCAATCGGCTTGAAGAATTCGCAGAGCAAGAGCGACCCCGAACGCCAGTTCTCGGTGCTGGCATTACCGAAGCTCTAATGCGCCGCTACATCAATAAAGGCGGCTTCATGACCTCCAGGATCAATTGGGCCATTCAATCTTCAGGGGTAGACTACCTTCATCTCCTGATCATCTCAATGGACTACCTCATTCGCCGTTTTAACATCGATGCACGCCTCGCAATCACTGTCCATGATGAGATCAGATACCTGGTCAAAGAAGAGGACAAGTATCGTGGCGCAATGGCTCTCCAGGTCGCGAATGTGTGGACGCGCGCCATGTTCTCCCAACAAATGGGCATCAACGACTTACCCCAGTCTTGCGCCTATTTCAGCGCTGTTGACATTGATCATGTCCTGAGAAAGGAGGTAGACATGGACTGTGTCACCCCGAGCCATCCCGAGAAGATTCCGCACGGAGAGAGCGTCAGCATCAATCAGCTACTCGACAAAGGATCGGCCGCCTACCTTGACCCAGCCGTTGTACCGAAGAAGCCAATCGATCTAGACCAGCACCCCTACACACGCCGTCCATCCGTCATGGCCGAGCTACGTGAACGTACAGATGTCGACTACTTGAAGGCGCAGATCTCCACCGATGCCAAGGAGCTCAGTGAACTCATCAAGGATATCTCGAAACGCTCCTCTAAAAATACGACGGCTTCTCCATACACGGGAAAGCCATTCGCAGGGAGTAGCAGCACAAGAAGTAAAACCTCTGCGTCCATTTACGCGCAGCCGCAGGAACCAAGACTCGTTGATGCACCCTATAGCTACGAGGGCGTTACACGATTCTGGGAGCCGGCGAGTACCAAGGGAGGGCAACATGGGAAGCCGTGGATCCGGACGCAGCTGACAGGAAAGCCGATTTTGAACGATAGGCCGTGATAGATATGTGCATGTGCTACTAGCGAGGCGTTATGGATAGTGCATGTGTGATATTGGGACATGTATATAGTCATGACATGTGGCGTTGCATGGAAGGATCAAAAGATATAGACATTGGTATGTACTTGTACAAGTGATGAGGCAACGGCGTTGCAGAGCAACATTCAGGTGCAGTGTACAAACAGACGGCGCGCACGTCCTTCAATGATGCATGTATATTCTATCATTTCATCAAATGCTTTGCGTTGAACTTGCCAACATCATACCTAGCCCAACATCAGATCACGAGCCGACGTTCCCAAATGAAATTGCTAAGCATTCGGATCGGAATGAGACTCTCTCTCTCTCGCCACTCAAGGGGATATGATGCATAATTCCTTCACTGGAATTTCCGTAAGGTGTGCTCACATCATCAATGCCCCAGCGTCAATTATTAAACCCAGAGAGTTGACGCAGGGAATCAGCCTGAGCTTCTCGCTATTTTCGAATGTGTTGGTGGGCGACTGCAGGCTGTTGTTTACTCGTTTTGGGTGAAAGGACCAGTGTGTGCACTCTTCCGTGCATGACGATTGCTGCACTGCGGAACGGGTCGATTTGAGGGAGGAGGGATCCAAATTCTAGCTTTTACCGCTCTGAGAAGCATATGACCTGATTGACGTTTCGAGCCGGCAATTCGTGCTATCTATGGTAAGTACGCCATGGTTTAATACTCTTGAGTGAACTCGCTACGTGAAAGCTACAGATAGTATGAACAAGCACTTTGCAAAGACAGTATGTAACGCCATGTACAACATGCACAGCCCCTTCTTGTCCCAACTCATCCACTCATCTAAGATTACTTCAAACATAAGCAGCCCACCCAGCAAACAAAACTGCCAAATTCTTCTCATCCGTTGCCTGCTGTATCAATTCGTTGACCGTAGCAGTCACGCTCAAACTCTTACTCAACTTCTTCGCCACGACTGTCAAAGCTCTATCCGCTTCTCCGGGCTCGTTGTCTTTCTTCCCTCCCACTCCCTCATTACCGGGCAGCGCCGGATTTTCAGTCTGCGCATCTTGCATTTTCTTCAGACGCAGCGGGGACAGCGACCATTGGTAGAGTGGATCGTAACGCAAGACGTCCAGTATGGTCATGATGCTGTATGATTCGTTCCTCAGAGCTTCGAGAGTGAATTCGCAACAGCGCCGGAACACGCCTTCGGTTTTGGTAATACCCATACCATCGACCAGATCGCGGGTCAAACGGAACGGTACGACTTCGGGGACGTGCAGGACGCGGCCTTGTTCGAAAGCGATACCGAGGTCGATGTGCACCACTTCGCCAGTTTCGTTGTCGAGTAAGATGTTCTGGCCATGTCTGTCGCCCAGGCCGAGTACGTGGCCGAGAATAGAGCTGGCCGCCACGGAGCGCGTATATGCGAGCCGTTTTTCGAACCAGACGTCTGGGTTTTCGAAACGTTCCATGAAGAAGTAGCGCAGGACGGGGTGGAAATGCTCACAGACATTGCGGTAAATCTTGATGCGTTGGTCGACAGATTTTGTCTGCACGTCGGCGATGAACTTGCGGCAGTTGTTGGGCTTGAGGTCTTTGGGGAAGTGGCGCTGGTGTGCGGGCAAGAGGTAGTCGTGCAGTGGGATAGTGTTAGGAACGAACTCGATAATGCCCGCCGTGGCTGTCAAAGGGAGGACTTTGTAGGTACGAATGCCGAGGTTACGTTGGCGTGTGGCTCTTTGGGATTTCAGGAGGCTGCTGACTTGATCGAAGACTTGCTCCATTATGGAGTCTTGTCGAAGATCATCAGTGCCGCCCTTGAACTTCGAAGTGTTAGCTTGCTTCCTTTCTCCACAGTCATAATGACTTACTAATTGTTTGTACTTTAAACCGTCCGTGCCAATGGCGGTGATAATCTTCGGCATACTGATCCCTGAAGCTACGGTAAATTGGGGCTCGAATCTTGCAATTACCGGAACGTCTCTGTAGTCACAGTCCGGCCGAAGCTCGATTTTCATGGTTGGCGGAGGCACTCTCGACTTCTGTATGTCTTGTTCGATCCTCTGTCCAGTAGCGAACCTGCGTAGAGGCACTTTAGATCCCTGTTTGATCGCCGGATCGTCTAGGCGTTCGATAGCAAACTTTACAAAGACAAGGTTGGTGTTGTGCAGAGCAACCCAGGTACTATTCTGTATCTTGCTTGCTTTGAGTTCCTGCACAATATTACTTGCAGCCGCGTGTCTCTTCACAGCGGCGTCATCCTTGCCTTTGGTTTTGAAACCGGTGAAGATCTGATACATTCCATGGTACGGATGATCGAGACAAATTCTGAGCACTAATGAGGAGAGCAGCGATTGGAATTGTCCAGGCTTTTCCAATAGTCGTGAGGACCACTGGTTCATCAGAGCGGCAAATTTTCTGCTTCCGACTTGGCCTACATGCCTTGAAACCGCCTCGTTGGCTATGTCGCTCTCGTAGTTTTCGAGCCACAGAGCGGAGAATCGCAGAGCGTCATTTTCGTACTTATCGCAGGCCTTGAGACAGAGGAGGTAGTTTTCCAAGCTTTGACGGAGGAAAGTCTGTCGGCTCTCACGGAGCCGTTGGAATTCTCGATCATCTATGTCAAACCATTGTTTTGCTTTCGCACGGTAATTCTTCAAATTGTCTCGCTCCTTTGCTTGGGAGCTTGCTGACTTTATCATCTTATCGAGGTCGCCCACTTCTGCGTCTTTGCGTTCGCGAAGCTTCTGTATGCGCTGGAAGTCTTCCAATCCGTCTGCATTCTGCAATTGCTTGTCACAGAACGATGCAAACTCGTGAAATACCACGCCGGCTTCATCTCCCTCGGACTCCCCGCGAAGCTCCTTAATCGCGGGTCTGAGATATCGAGTGATGATCTCGTCTGGCTTCTCTAGCCTGGCTTCTGACATCTGATGTCCCTGAACCCTGTCAGTAATTGGAAAGTGGGTATACCGAGTCGATTCAATGCTTACTAGCTTGGCAAGAAGCTCTGGCTTGCTGACTTCTATCAATTGAACGTGCGAGTCTAACAACCCTTGAAGATCTTGCAGCACCCGAATCGAAGCTGTCATTTCACCTTGATCCCACAGCACATTTGCGCTTGCCAGTCGTACGGCAGCGCTGATATCGACACCGACTTCTTTGCACGGCTTGACTAGCTCGGTGAGGTATGTCACAGTTGATAAGGCGTTCTGAATAGCGCCATGAGCCCGGCTCATGTGAGAAGATGCAAGGAGTAGATGGCTCTCGAGGGAACGAGCGTCTCGCGGATAGGTTTTCAGCAGCTCTTGTAGTTTGGGCTTCTTACTCAGTGAACTGAACAGAGTTTCGCGGCACGAGATGATTGCCTTGACATGTTCGTAACTGCGTCGATTTAGCATTGGGAACAGCATCATGGTATAGGATCTGAGTCTCACCTCTCAGAGTGCATCCAAAGTTCGCGGTCTTTAAAGCGCCCTAGCACTTCGTACAGCTCCTCAGACCTTTTGGATGAGAAGATCTCGTCAGCTTCTGTCACTATCGCCAGGCTGCCCAAGATGGCGTGTGAAGAGGATTTTGCACCCTCGCCCACCATGAGCTGATTCATGGAGTCCGTGAACCCAGTATTTAGGGAAGTCTGCAGACTCAGAGAGTCTACGGCGTTGTTAATGCCTTGAAAGACTCGGAATATTGTGCTTGCGCTGCTACTGTGTGATGCCGGTACTGATATATCCCACTGTTCGAGCTTTCGAGCAGTACGGAGCACAGAATCTATAGCGTTTGGCCCAGTGGTGGTCATTTTGCTAAGTACTGACTGAGACAGTCCATTGAGATCGAGACTATCAAGAGCCCTTACCATACTCTCTTCGTCGATGTGGTCCTCTCCACCTGAATGACGAATTTGGCCATCGTAATGAGCACCCCGAAACGACAGACTTTTGAAGCCTGCATGCTCGTACTCAAGTCGTGCCATCATAGAAGACAGACTTGACGGCTGTTGTACTCCATAAAATGCGTCTTGCTCATCAATATTCTGAAAGATATCCAAGAGGAGTTCCGTTGGCTCTTGTACATTGATGGCAGATGACCGCCTCCTAGATGATTTTGCGGCTATAGAGAAGTCGATTTCCAAAAATAGGAGCGCTGTCTTATACATGGAGCATTTGAGAGCCACGGCAGCTGCTTGTTGGTAGTCAAGATCAAGCCATTGAGCCCGATCAGCTTCCGTTGTTTCGTGGGGTAACGGCTGCGTTCTCAAGTACAGGATTGCCTTGAGGAGGACTCTTGTTCGATAAACGAGAGTCCCATCAGTCTCGTTGCTAATGCACATTTGAAACAAGTGTCGACATGCCTGTGACATGACACGCTTCGTGGTCTCAAGACCATCAGCCTCTCTGAGCAGCACCAAATGCAGGATGTACGGGAAGGCATCTTCTGCAAGATCCTTGAGACATTGGATGATTTGAGTGAGCTCTGACAAGAACGGATCATCGGTAGCCGAAAATGCAAGGGCTATACCAAGTTTCTGAATCCATTCTGAGCCTTCCTGGTGCTCCTTCAACGCTATGCTGTCTTGCAAGTCTGACCCTTCTCTATTTCGGAGGTCTATCGTCGGCAAACGGTACTGTTTCCAAAGCAGGCTTCGTATCCAAGAGTGCGGAAGAAATCGCTCACAGTCTAGATAGTCGTCTGTATTGCATGTCCCGGTGACAATTGATCGCAAGGCCGTTTCAGCCATTCCCGCTTTTGTACTCTGCTCGCGCATCAAAACATCGCACAAAAGCCGTAGAACATTGGATCTGGAGCATGAAGACGGTGACATTGCCTGTATCGAGTTTAATCTCGATTCGGGCCCAAGTTTCGTTTCGAAAGCTAGCTCCCAATCAATTAGACCTTTACTGGCATACGCACGTCCGAGAACTCGTCCAGCCCATAGGAGATAATTTGGCGAGGAGATAGCTCGTTGACAAGTTTTCCACACCACTGACGCATATCGCGCCGCTTGCTCATCTGACCCTAGGATGTCGTCGCGGAAGTCTGAGGGTACCTCAAAAGGCGTGCACAGGAATTTGAGTATCGCATCTTGGCTGGATTGATCCAGTAGGTTTCTTCCAGAGCGCTGATCCTCGAGTAGCTCCAGAAGAAGTTCGCTTTCGTGAGTACCGAGTCTTGCGTTACCGCCATTCTGAATATTGCTGGAGGTTTTGACTATTTTTCTGAAGCATTTTGCCGACTCTTCGGTCAGATGCGGTGACGAGTATCTCTCCAGGAAGTCGACAAAGCTGGCATGAAAAGCTTGTGCTCTCGACATGGTTGCCTTAAATTGGCTTTCTTGTGTCGTACTGTCTTGTGTAGATTCGAAGAACGCTTTCATTGAGGTGAGTGTGGAGACGGCGTGACCAGTGAGGAAAGAAGGGACCTCTTTTAGGTAAGAAGCTCCACAATCGAGTAGGTATTGGACAATTGCAATGGCGTCCTCTGAGCACTGTGCGTCCGTAAGGAATGGTCTCAAGGAGTGAAGTGTCATCTCCAGTGGATAGCCTTCTAAAGCAGTAGTCCCAGCCATGCATATCATTATTCTGATTCTCCGCAAGACCACGCATGCACTGAGAGAGCCCAACTCTGGATGTATTGTGTTCAACAGCTCTCGAAATACGTAGACGTACAGCTCTGGCGACCACAATGATTCTGCGTCATAAATCGTACGACGGCAGAGACATTCGATCTCGTCGAACAAGTATCGGGCCTTGAACGTAGGTTGCTGACCTGGTGGTAGCTCTTTATTTGCGGGAACTTTCGAAACAATTTTTTGGTAAGCGGAATATGCAGTCGCAGATGCCGGACGTTTCTGAAACCCCTTTTCTATCTGTGCGTCAGGATCTATGGTGATGTAGAAAAGTCCCAGAATCTTGGCAAAATGTACGGTGATGAGTGAACTGTATCGCTCTTTTCCCAAAACGTTCCGGAGATGTGTCTCAGCTTTTGAAATCTGAGTACTGGCTGACGTAGGCATTGCAAAATCACGACCAATGCTGTAAGCCGCGGCTCTGCTGAACGATGTCTCTAAGAGCTTCTCCAAAGACACACCAAGGTCGTCAGCAAGTTGCGCTGCTTCGTCGTCTTTGCCTCGCATAACAACATGCCCCACGATTTCATCTTGTACGTCATGAAGGAGTTCTGCGAGTGTAGCGTATCCAAATACAGTGTAGGGAATGGAGCTTAGAGGTTGCGTCTCAAGCCAGGTGTAGAGGATTTGGGATACAAACAGCTTGAACAGATCTTGTAATTTGTGTAGCTTGAGACTTGTGGTTATATGATTCATACAATTCTTTGCATATCCAGCTGAATCAGGAACGGCTGTTGGCGTCTCGAATATTGCATAGACACAACGTCGCAGAAGCGTTGACCAAGAAGCTGCCAGGTGGGCGAGAACAAAAAGTCGCAATGCGATTCCTTCGATCCAGTCACGGTCTGTCGGGAGACTCTCTATGACATCTTCAAGGATGTTTTCGTGTTCTTTGAGGACAAAGAGACCGAAGATATCTGCAATCTTGTTGCCGATGTAAAATTTAACCGCTACATTCCCTTGAGCCAACACTTCAAAAAGACATGTCCTTGCCGATGCCAACGAAAGACTTCTGGCGTACTCGGGCCGGATCTTGATGACTTTTTGAAGGAGGTCGGATATGCAGATATGGACGTGGGGTGATGAGATGCCCTTCTTGAGGGCAATGCTGATGAACCATTTGTACAGCTGTGCACCTACCTCGGCAAGATCGCTGCCTTCACCATTAATCCACATTTCCGCCAAACCAGTCAGGACGTCCAAACAAACACCCATCGAAACTTCAGACCTCTCCAAGTCGTATGGGTGGATAATTATTTGTGCAAGATACTCTAAGAGCGTATTTGCATCGTCTTCGGCAATTCGTATCCCGGAATCGAGGAGTTCTCGGAGAAAGACCCTACACACAAGAAAATCTCTGGCCTGCAGAGAAGTCAGGTAATCTATGGTGGACGAGATAGCTCGAGATGCAACAGTTGATCCGGGATCTTCAGGTTCCTTCATGTTGGATAAGAAACATATCTTAGCAGCAACACACGCTCGAAATGCAGTGACATTCGTGGACGCGTCGACTTCGTAGTGAGTATTATCCAGAAGGTTATCCCTCTCCCTGTTGGTGCTTATATGAGATTCAAATTCACTGTCCAGATCCATTGCGTTTTGTTCGATATCTACAGCACTTGGACTATCAGAACGCAGAGTTTCGTGCCAGAATTTCTGATCAAACTCTTGCGACATCGCAATGGCGCCATCCATGAGTATGTCTTTCCTCAGTGCTAATTGATCGATGGGTCCAAGAATTGCATCAAATGACTCTAATAGACCTTTGATACATTCTCGATGATCGTTGTGGTGAAACATGCATTGTTTGAGGCCTATCTTCAAGTCCTGAAGAATGCCTTGGAGTTGTTTACTCTGGTGGACATCATGCAGTCTTGGGCTGGAGAGCAACGCGTATCCGATTATACTGAAGGAGGTGGTGATGCGTATGACTTCCACATTCGTGCCAGATGCAGATTCCGTAGCAGAGGAAAACTGATTTCGCAGAAGCGCTGAGCCCTCACTAATGAAGAAGTTGATCACGGAAGTGGCGAGTATCTGAAATTTCGAATATGCGAGCCTAATGTCTGATGTCTGCAACTTGGAGATGGAGACCTTTTCCTCACATTGCAGTGGGTCGTCGGCTAAAAGGATATACTTCATTAGCTTTCTGTCTCTTGAGCTTCTTAAGCTTGCTTGGGCTAGCATGCCCAGATTGAGAGCTGACTGAGAGCCCATGGAGGGTGTGGGAAGACCGAGACAAATGCATATTAGTCTCAAAGTGCAGAATGTTGAGAAATGCTGAGCGATATACAGTGTATTACGACGGTCACGCCTCTTTGCTGTACAGGTGTGAACTCAGCGTTCCTGTTACATCGCTTGGAATACATACCTGGGCTCCATCGATGGAACAACCAACGAAGAATGTTTTCAGATGCCTCAGACGCGGAGCCAAGATTCCCTCGTCCTTTCAAGACTACCAGTATTGTCCAGAGGGTAGTCGCAGACTCGTCACACTCCGCTGGGCCGTTGAGATCAACAGACTTGGTCATACCATCGACAATGTCAGCGATATCAGCGTACTGTATTAGCGCCAGATCGAGGATATGTGACATCAGTTGGCATGCTGCTCTGCACGTGCTTGTAGATGTTATGAGCCGCGCTGCAATCCGCCAAATTCGAAGCCAATAGTCCTTGAGGCTGAGTTTGCGAGCAGCAGTCTGGCTCGCCGCCCTATGATTTTTCAGTCAGCGATGACAAGGCGGATTTTGGAGAACACTACGTACGAAGTCATAGCTAACATAGCCCATGATACTATTGAGCCGTCACTTTCGGATAGCAATGGCAATAGCACGTCTAGATGACACTGCAAAGTGCCTTCATCGAATGGTAGGCTGTCACAAACGAAGACAAACATCTGCAAGCCATACAACTTCTCCGGTAACAATGACCCTTTTACATGGTGGAGAATGTCATCCAAAGGATGTTCCAATTTCTGTCTTTTGGAGTCTTGGACTTTATCTCCGTCTGACAAGTCCCCACGAACGATCACAGCATTTTCGAGTGCTACCGTTATAGCCGCGCTCATAGAAATGAGACACCAAGGAGACTCTGCTCTAAATCCGTCCAACCGTACCTGAAGAGTCCTGGTCCTCAAAGGCATTTGCCTCGATGTGGAACGGCAGGGATCCAAAAGGACAAGGTCATCCATTTGTAGTTGTCCCCTAGGTCTGCGTAAACAGTAATCATTACGCAAGACTTCAACCAGTGCCTGTAGAGTGACATTGCAATCGCCTGTCTGATCTTCGGATATCATACGGGGCAGCAGGATCTCTCCGTATGAGAGGAAGGCTAGGAGTGTATCGTTGAGAGTGGCAGCACCCTCTTTAGGCTCCCAGCATCGTCGCAGCAGTGGGATCACCCTCTTCATGGTTCGCAAGGAAAGATCGAGGTTAATGGCAACAATACGAGACATTATTGAATTGATGCATTCGAAAGCAGCTTGCTGTGTCGAGCTGGCCTTATGATATGACTGAAGAATTTCAACCAATGTTGCAAGAATCAAATCTGCTCTGTCGGAAATGGGTGCGTTTGGCACTGAAGCAAGATGTTGTAGACAAAGAACGATTTGATCATCGCTGCCCTTGAGTTGGGAATGGGTAGCGCGCTGGGAGATGTTATTGCTTGACTTACGGCCATGATCACCAATCGTGCTTGGCGTTGCCGAACGACTATGACTGTTTCGATTGGACCTTGAGCCATTGAGAAATCTGCTTCCACCCGACAAGCCAGACTCGTTTGGCTCGGAGGGTTTGTTCAAATCACGAGCCGCTTGCACGCAGAAGTCAACTACTTCGTGCCAATCATCTCCAAGAAAGTGTTCTGGATGAGCCTTGTATTCAAGCAGCGTCGCAAGGGCTCTAAAGTAATCGGGGACCAAAGGCTCACAGTAGCCACCATCGGCGGTTTGTAGTGTTTGAATGATATGTTCCACAAGAGCCTTGACTGTTTTGTAACGCAACTTTCTTAGGCCAACCTCGACAACGGTTCGGACCAAGGCTGCACAAGCGGATAATCGACCTTCAATTTTAGTCTTTGTAGACTTGGCAGCTCTGGCATAGTTGGATTTTTCAATCTTGGCGGCTCGGAAGACAGACTCTAAGACTGCGTGATAAGAATCATCTTTGGCATCCACCCTGTATTGGCATGTCAAAACCCAATTTCTCACTATGGTGGATGAGGCTCTACGTACAAGTCCACATTCTCACGATTCGAGTTGATGATTCTTCTCAAATCTATTTCTGATCTTAGGGACATCGGGGCTGCGTGGGAGACAACATACCGATAAGAGCGACGCTTCGCTCATCCACTCTCTCAGAACGCAAGTTTTCTTGTTCTGTTCAGCTTGTGATGACGAACTCTTTCCAAGGTTGAATATCAACTCACCAATGGCTCCATTAAAACCGGGCTCGTCCTTAAGCCTCTTGACGCCTTTAACCCGCGCCATCATGCAAAGTGCAAACAGAACGTAGGGAAAGTGTCGAGGCAGACGTTGGAGTCAGCATGTTTATAAACTCGGTGACTAGGAATTGATGCGTCATGCATGCAGCTCGATTCAACACACTCTTTGATCATATATTCAAGTAATTACATACACTACTACATAGTGGCCCATACCAAATGATTGTGTTGTAAGAATTGGAAAGCGAGGAAAGAGCATCTTCAAACTTTTGTCGGCAGAGTTTCCCTTTTAGCGTATGCAGAATTCTTTGGAATTCTTGGCAGTGGGTGGCTGAGGCCGAGAAACGCAGACGCGCGCTAGTGCTTGTGGCACGAAATACCCACGCCGCTATAAGGGTGGCAGGGTGACAGATTTCCAAAGGGACGCTTGGCTGACTTCTTTCGATTGTATGTCTTTGATTCTGTGTGACCAACTAGCTTGTTGAATCCGGATGTCTCAGGGACGAGATCTCCCAGCGAAACGAAAGTCGTTCGCTCTTTTGTCTCTATTGAGGGCTCCTGGACACTCCCCGTATTCCATGGAGCTGATACCAGCGATGTGGATTTGACGAACGGCGTGTCTGCCTCGGACACCTCTGTTAAATGAATCTGTACGCTGACTTCCGCGGGGCTGGAAAATCCGGAGGAGCAGGACGTCCATTTTGACTTCGGCAAAGACGGCATCGAATCGTCCCCTGAAGATCCCTGGCAGTCGAGACCTGGAAGAAAAGTGCCGCACGGCAATAAAAGATGAGACATTCGCGAAGCATCAAGAGCGTCGTGAGCTATGGGTTCTTCGTGTTCGCTATTCGCGCAAGAACGTGCGCAGTACTGGATTCGAACAAGCAGTGCGCATGGCGACGCAGAAGGCGACTTTGATGGATTTGGCGCAACTCAGGCGTTGGGGGAGACTACGTTTCATACCAGAAGAGGACTGGCTTTTCGGAGGATGCTGAAAGGGTAGGAAGGGCAAATGGAGAAATTGGCAAGGGATGCAGCACATGTCAGTGTGCCGCTGCACGCTTACACGAGATTGAGAACACAGCTAACAAATGAGGTCGTCATCATCCATGAGTGATGTCTGCATAGAAGACGTCCGCCCCAGAGTGTAAGCTCTGCACACAGCCACAACCTTCGCTTGGAGATCACTCTTTCAATTACTATCTCTGAAGGTGTTTGGTGGACATGGGATCAATAAGATACTGGGCCAACAGAAACTATGCTTGCTTGGACGATGCATGGTGGATGTAGGGCGTCAGCCTATAGACTGCGCTTGCAATCACAAAGAGAAATGAATGCTGAGAACCATTGTTTCGCAAGGACTTTCGCTAAGTTGTTGCTGAGTGATGACTTCGAGACGATGAATGTCACAGGAACAAGACTCAGGACGAGCGGGGGGCAAAAGAGAATGGTCATTGTCAGGTGTTGAACGGTCCTGACAGAGACGAGCTAGTCCCGAATAGGAATGCATCTCGTTGCGATGTAGCGAATCAGAGAAACAGCCACCATCTTTGATGTTATTTCCGTCCTCGTGTACGTGATCTGTGTTAGGAGTTATGCTGACTGCATGGGATCGCTTCGTCACGTTAATGTTGTCCTGAGTCATTGCTGCTTTTCTCGTCTTTGCATTTGCTGGTTCATAGTGAGTCGGATGCTCAAAATCCGACTAGACCCTGTTGGGAATGCGCGGCGCTGAAGTGCGTCCATAAGACGGACGCTTACGTATATGTGTATGTAGCATACTGACTGGGGCAGCTAAGCGTAGCCCAGGGAAGCATCCATATTGATCGAGAGGATATATAGAGGTGGTGTAGAACCACATATGATTCAATCAACCTCAAATTTGCTTCTCTGAGAAATCCACTCCTTAGGATGTCTCCTATTAGCATGTCATCAACCATGAAAGCAGCCACTGCGCTTCTACTCCCTTTCGCCTATGCGGCACCAGCATTTCCACCACCTGCAGAACTCATCCAAGGTGTGGTCAACTCTAATATTAGCTTGATTGCAGGGGGTACATTACCAAACAATACGGCAGCGGTAGCCACAGGTATAGCTGTAACGGGTTTGCAACTATTGGCCTCGCTCGAAAATATCGAAGCATTCTTTTATTCAGACGCCATCCAAAACCTGACTAGTGGGGTGTACACCACTGGTGATTTGCTTTTGAACGACACTATTGAAATAATCGAAAAAATTGCTGCAGTATGCTTGCTATCCGCATTATAGAATCCTTTGGGTTCACCACTTCACCATTAACATGATAAATAGCAAGAAGAAGTTCACGTTGCCACGGTTGGCGCTGTTCTCCGCCTAAACTCAGCGCCCGTGGTCCCACCTTGCAAGTACACGTTTCCAGCCACGAACTTCGACGAATTCCTTGGGGTTGCCAATCTTATCACTTCTACCAACTTTGGCAGCGTCATTGGACTACAACAGCAACTTGGCGGAAGTGCTCCTGCTCTTTCCCCAGCAACAACTGCCATTTTAGGGGTCGAGACGCGCCATGACGCTTTTCTGCGCATCCTTCACGGCGTCGTTCCAAATCCAGCACCCTTTGACACCGCGATTCCTATCGCATGGGCATACAATATCGGGTTGCAGTACACTGTGCCAGGCAGTTGTCCTGTCGAAGTTCCTTTACCAACTTACCCACAACTGTCTTTCGATCCTGCCGAACCGCCATCATTTGCGAGCGCCTCCTATCCGTCAACCATATCATTTGCATGGGATGATCAGCAGGCGTGGGTGCAGCGCGAGACGGGAAAGCAACTGTATGCAGCCTGGATCAACCAGTACAACCTGCCAGTGTACACACCGGTGACAGTTACTGGGGCAGGATCCGGGATCACACCAGTGCCGAAAGATATGCAAGCTGTTGCATTTGTGGCATTGACGACGTTGCAGCCGTTGGATTTCACGGATTTGCAGGACGCAACACTTGTTGGTCCTCTTGCAATTGCAGTCTCTTGAAGTAAAATGTACTAGAGCAATTCGGGAATGTACGCTACAGTGATCAGGGAAAAGCCGAAGTTGAGTCCACGAATAGATGGCAGCTCTTTGTACCGGTTGATACGTAGACTTATGGATTCAAGGCACATATTGCTTAATTGAGGAGACGGCATTTGTGATTAAATGTAAGCGGAGCCGCTCGATGTGAAGGATGGCGATTTATGACTGCGGAGTAAATCTCATCCTCAGTCTTAAATCTTGATAGGTTACCTATGTTGATGTTCCTGAACCACGATTCCGCCTGTCCTCCGCCTTACCCGACTTAGACTTTACTTTAGCAGGTGCTGTACTTACTTTATACTTACGCTAATTTTCAAGCGCGTTTGCCGCAAACAGTTCGCGTTAGCTAAGACACTCTCAATAGTCAATACTCTGTGACAACATATTTTCCCACACATATTCACTCCCTTATGGAGAATTCTGGGGGATTGGCGGGTCTGCGAGGTCTTCATCAAGATCTTCTTGCCTTGGAAGCATCCCGGCTGCGCAACGTCGAACGGCTTTGGGCTGATCTTGAGGCGCGTGTCAATGAATTCAGGCAACTTCTTGACAAGCCGGCAAAGAATGAGGCAAGCCGCAAAGCGCTGTCGTCAGGTAAGAATTCTGAAGGCTCAAGTTTGTGGTCTTGCCGTTGGAAGAGACTGACTCGAGGTTTCTGCACAGGGCCAGTTACCGTCGATGAGGTTGAATATGACATGAACCAAAAATTCCAGGAAACCGCTGCACAACTTGCCGATACACTCGATCTAGACGAGCTTGAATCAGCACGGCTCTTGATTGAGTCCGGGCAAGATGCAAAAAGGCTTGATAGGTCGCAAGGTGCATCTGCAATAATACACTTCCACGAGCGCCGACTTTTCCTTCTCGAATGCATGCGCCTTCTGCTTAGACAATCACACGATCTAGAAGGTACAGAAAGTGTGCGAGACATAGCGCGTCAACTGGTCGGGTTGATCCTTGAGACCAAGGACGGCCCGGCTAGGAATGGCTCCCTATACACGCAAAGATGTTTCAATGCAATGGCTGGGATTGAGAAATGGCTCCAGTCCTTGGGGGAGCGTCATCAAGGAAATATAGCCCTGGGACAAACGGCAAGGACCGAGTACACGGAGATTCTAGAGTACCAGCAGTCAAGCCTTGCAGAGCAACACGAATCGTTAGGGGCAATTGTCACCTACCTAATCAAAGCAGGTCATACTGGTGTTGAGGATTTTCACAAACTCCTAGATTATCTTCCACTTTTGGACAGATGGAACAGTATAGCCGTTCATTATGTACCGATGATAACAGCGTTCACATCCCAGTTTGGGTCACCGGATGGAGGCGGGGTGTTGCGGGACGCGAGAATGCTTAATAGCAAGATATTGGACAATAAAGACAAGGCACCGTGGATCCTACAAAATCTTCAAGCCGCTATGATCACCTGGTGGCTGTCCGAGTACTCGGGATGGTATCTCGAACAGCCCATAGGATCTCCTATACAGAACGTCGATCTCGAAGCCGAGGCCCAGGCTCGGTCAGAGGCATTTTCCCAGGCCTTGAGAGATGGCGCATTTGAATGCACTCTTACCGTCTGCTCACAAGTCATCCGGGAGGAGTGGTATGATCCAGCAAGGACGGGATTGCTTGACCTTTTGCTTCGAGATTCGGTGCCTCTGCCCGACGAATTACCGTTGTATTCGACATATTTCCAGCAACTAATAATGGAGCAATTTGAGGCATTTGTAGACACCTTCGTTACCAACATGCCAGACACCTTACGGCGCTTTAAATTGGAAGAAGATGACCAAAGAAAGAAGCTCCGGTCAGGCCTTCCGATGGATGGTGTTACAGAGCAAGCTTTCCACTTGGAGAGGTTTTTAATGGTTATCTCTTTTGCCTTCAGCCACCGCGCCGACGCTGCGCAAGCTTTTTGGGGTGACTCGGATAGCAATCTCTATGGATTCCTGCAGTGGGCATCAAGAAGACAATCTACGCCATGCGTAAGTGCTTTCTGCGAAATGTTGAGTTCAATCTCGGAAGGCGAAGAATCCGCTGGATCTGCGCATCGGTTTCTTCTTGAAGAAGGTAACGAGGTAGCTGCCAAGATACGCAGATCGACCTCATTGAGCTGGACCCAGATCTTTGCCGAGCTAAGCCTCTACACCTCCAAAAGCCGTGAGCAGCCAACTGCCAATCGTTCTACAAACCACTTTGGCGGAAAACGTAATCCGGATGACATCGATGAGCCTGAGAGCGCATACATGCTGGAAAGCTATCTACGACTGACGACCCATCTCTGTGGGGAAAGTGCAGAAGTAAGAGCTTGGATCATGGCCCAACCAAGGTTTCCCATTCTCGAAGTGCTTTTTCAGTTATGCAACAGCACTGTCCCAAGCCGTCTACAAGCGTGTGCCTTCAAGCTCGTTCGATCCTTGCTGACGGAGAAATCGGTAGAGGTTGGCTTGACTGTTTGGACGTCTCTGGACCATTGGATCTCTGGCGCCTTCTCTCCTCACAACTTTCCTAGACCGCCGAAGGCCACAACTCCTGCTGCTTGGGCAGAAGAAGTGACCTTTCCAGCTATCGCTGGAAGCTTTGAGCAGACGTGCGAGTTCATTTGTCTGTTACAGAACCTCGTGCGTCCAGCTGTCCCAGATGCGGGGCTCAATGACCAGCTACCGTTTCCAGAAACATTAGGCTCTGCATATCGAATGGCAGGCATTGAACCGTACATTGACTTCGTATTTGACCGAATTTTTGCATCGAGGCTACCACATGGAGAAGACCAACTCCAGCATAGGATCATGACCTTGAACATCTTAAGTTTTGCAGCGCTCTGTTTGCGTACTTTTAACGAGGACCTCGTAATCCTGGCGAATCGCTCGACAATGGCTGTCGACGAAGCTATGAATACATCTTCTTTGTTGACATATGTCCGCCTACACCCTTTCAGCCGCGTAATGGAATGGATGTTCAACGACCGCGTGCTATATCAGCTCTTCGCCTGCGCTGAGTATGAGATCGAAGAGGTTTCGAGTGCCTCCCCTAACTCTCCGCTCGTTTTTGGTCTTCTTCGCACTATTGAAGTCATGAATCTTATAATCGATCTTCAGTCTACGTACCTGGACATTGTGCGGCCTCTTATCAAAATGCAATCAGTGGGGCGTAGACGACCGGTTCTAAATCCGTCATTAGCATCATTTGAGGATACCGTTGCATTAAAGGTGGACCTGGTAGTCGCCTTGGGTCTTTACTCTGGTGTTGGTATTCAGGAGCTCACGGTGGGCTCCCTGGAGCTTTTGGGGAAACTTGCAAGCTCAAGGAAACTCAACATCCAAGCGACTCCAGGACTGAATCAAAGACTGTATGGTAATCGCTTGATCAGCGCTGTAGAACAGCACGATGGTATCGATCCCATAGCCCGGTCATTGTGCCATGCAATGGAATTGGACTTGCGAGAACTAAGCCAAGGGCCCAGTGCTCCCGGGTGGACCATCAAGTCAGTCATACTAGACTTTTTGATCCACTGCTTATCTGTCTCGCCTGACACACCCACATTAGCACATGCTTTGCTGGGTTTTGCTTGCAAAGGCACGAATGTGGATGTAGAAGAGAGCAGTTCATTTGAGGAGAAACGATCTCTTTTCCATGCCGTTCTAAATCTGGCTATCGAATATCCGGATGGCGATGGAGAGTCTTTGCAGGCATGGGCGCTTGGCATAAAACAAAAAGGCATGCAGGTCCTTTCAATCTTGTGGGCTTCGCCTCTTACATCCTTGCTCACCATGCATCAACTGCAGGCCGATGAAAGCCTCTTCGCATTATTTCTGAGACAGCGGACGGTTGGGCCCCACACCGTATGGGATGGACGGTCAATTCGGGATTCTGATTTCTCGTACACCGAATCCGTGGAGGCGCTGGAACATTGCCTTTGGTATCGTTGTTCTCTGTTTGAGTACACAAGCACGGCAATTCGCTTGGCCGTTGCTAATGGCGCATCATCTTTGCGGGCCAAAATCTTCTCTACCTTGCTCGGATCAACGTTGATGCCAGACGGCGAGCAAATACCAAATGCCACAGTGTTTGATCTTTTCGACTTCATTGAGCTGGACATTGGAGGTGACATTTCCTGGCCTCAGCTTGATTACTTTGCAAGCTTAGATTTCAGCATCAGTACGGGGCCGGGACTCCAGAAGCCTGTCGAATGTTTTGATATGAAGATGATCCACGAAATGATCGCGTTACGAGCAAACGAATTACGAAAATCTGGACGCTTTCAAGATGCAAACGAAGAACAGCGGGCTGGTGAGGAGGCGCAACGAATCTTGCATTACTTCCAGACAGAGAACAGCCGGCAGGTCCTGACATTTGCAAGCTTACAGACCACGAAGGCTTGGGCTGAACTGCTAATCCTTTCTATCGGCACCTGCAGTCTCGACCCAGCGGGCAAAGCAGCATTGATTCTACAGGCCCTGCAATTGAGCACGCCAAAGCTCGAAGGTTACGCCTCAACGAACGTACAAAAGGCTATCGAAATAGCCAAACTCATCCTAGCATTACTTTTCCAGCTTGACTTCGAGGCCTCGGCTCTTGATCGATCCCGGGCTGGAGACGTCGCGAACGACAGGCTTTTTCAGGTCTTCCGGACTGCCTTGCGGGCTGTCAATCGTCCCAATGTCGACATGCAACTTCGCGAAGTACTTTACAAGATTTGCTATCGGTATCTTGGCAGCATGGCTGTCGTTTCAGACGCTCCAATCCGTCGACGCCACGGTATACAGACTGTGAGGGCGACTGGCGAGAGGACTATGAATGTTGTGTGCGATGACGCTTTTGGCGCATCCGCACCTTGTAGGATATCCGCATTGCTTTTGCTGGACTCCCTAGCCGCTATGGCCAAGGTCGACAAGTCAAATTACATCATCGACTCCTTGGTGAGGACGAATTTTCTACAGGTCCTTGTCGAAAGTATCGAGAGCATACCACAAGAATTACGGCAAACAAATGCGAAGGGTAAGAGGACTGATCGAGTATAGATGATGCTAATGCTAATACTATCTTCACAGATATTCCCGTTCTACTATCCTACTACGAGACCAAACTAGCCCTACTGCTGAGCATCTCCCAAAGCAGGAGTGGAGCAGTTCATGTCATGAACAGCGGACTATTCCAAGCGGTACGCGGATCTGGACTGTTCTCCGTCGATCCAGACATTGGAGTTGGTAAGTGTTGCAGTCCAGCCAAGACAATCATACTAACAAATGTAGAAATCGACAACCCAGAGGCTCTAGCCAAGTACTACAGGCTACTTCTGTCCATCGCACGTGTTATCACCTCCGTGGTCCTTAGTCGAGGTCCTCAAAACGAGCAAAGCATCGAAAGCGCAAAGGTATTTCTGACGGAGAATCGGCCTCTTGTCGTATCAATGTTCAAACGGCAAGCTAGGATAGGTGGAGTGTCGTTTGACGATGCAGGTGTTGATATTGAAGAATTGGTGGAGCTTTTTATGTTGCTCATCGGGATGACGGGCTTTTTGGATGTGGGTTATGCAGATCGATACCTAATTGATCGGGTTCAGGCTGACATTGTTTTTAGTATGAAGAGCAACGGGATACCCAGAAGCCACGGAGGACAGCCTTCACTTGATGTTACCTGAGAAGTAATACTGAATGGGGCCGCGGCTATCGACTGCTCCCCGGATCGATCATTGAGAGAGTTTGTGTAGCCAATGTTTCAGGCCTCGGTGGGTATAGAAGAACAGTGTCTAGCCTTGATCAGATTAAGTTCAAACACAGTAAAATGGCTTCCAATACCATTGCATCTCGATATATTGAAAGCCGAACTGACTGCTGACACCTTAAGTGAAATTCCATAAACCTTTCATTCAAGTTCAAAAAGAACGAAAAGGTATAAATGAGGGGTAAACTGGGAAGACACCGACGTCTTGTAAGCATCGACAGGAATCCGCCACAGGCTAAGGAGAGCTTCAAACACCAGAAAAGGTCGCGCAAACAGACACACAAAATCCACAAACACAGCAAATAATACGTCAAGTGGGACTTAAACAAGGTTACTGCGGTTCCGAACATACTATCAGCTAGCTTCACTTCTCCCGTGAATGGATATGCTGTGGTACATTAGGCTCACTATACCCCAGATGGCGCCTGACACTGTAATGTATATTGCCGAAAACCGCCAACACTGCTGTTTGAGGGAAATAGGAGAGTATGCGTGCCAAGCGGCGGCGTGGAGGCCTCCGTAGCAGCCGGTTGCGAGGCTGAGAATTGTAATGGGCACCCATGTATTTGCTTGCCCAACAGATATTTACCGGCCCAATTTTGGATTTCAGGGTCGACGAGATTGTCATTGAGAAGGCTTGCGGGGTACTCCCATGCGTGAATACTGGTATGGAGGACCTTTGAGAAGTTGAGGAGTGTCCGAGAAAAAATGCCGAGCTCTGTACTGATCCCCATTATATGTACTGGTCCCGCATGACCGATGGAGCCAATTTCCATCTCGTTAACGTCGTGGTATTCAGTTCCAATTCGACAGGAGGTTCGTACCACCGCGATACTTTACCATGAGCAACGTTCCTTTTGCCTAAGTGGATACTCTCGGGCTTGGGTCCGATTCCGAACTGGCGGACGATCTCATTTTCCAGAAGCTTCAGATGATGTGGGAGTCGTCGACTTTTCGTAAAAAGCAGATGGCCTTCAATCTTGCCAGATCTAACGTTCAAGATTTGTAGGTCTCCCACGTCAGCCGCACTAGAGATGTTTCCGGATTGGTTTGCAAGCAATCGGTGAACACCATCCATTTCTATGGCTACACCACCAGCTTCGATGTCTTGCGAACCAGGAGTATCGTCTGCTACCCGCTCAACGTCAGCGCGGCCAGGGAAGGAGATGGACCCTGTTCCATCTCCTGTTCTTAAGAAGGACACAATGTTGTTGTTGGACGCAGGAATACATTGTGCGTCGACTAATATTACTCTCTCGATCTCCCGCTGTTCGAAAAAGGTTCGTCTGCCTTCCTTCCTTTTCGAAGTGCTGATCCGGCTGAACATCCACATTTGTTGCACATAGGGCCGGAACCCTCTCACCTGTCAGCGCAAGCGGTTCATGGATATTATACGGCTCTTCCATCCGCAGAATATACATGATTTAAGCGCACATGACATGAGCCGGGGTATTGATCTCGTTCAGTGTGAGAGGTAAGCGCGTTACAATTCGGGCAATGCACTCGATGAGAAGCCAGCTCGCCTGAACGATCGCAAGAGTCTTGGCAACATGGTCGGCTTTACTCTTATCGTTTAAGGGTTCTTGTAAGATATCAGGAAGATGACCATGTTCTGCAAGTATCGCAACGCCTTGTGCTGTGATTGATTGCCGCGGCGAGCCCGGCATATATGGATGGAGATCACTGTCATTGGTCTCGATCACGAAGCCGCCCATCCCGGCATAAAAGTTATGCACCATGGTCCAAGGATACTTCCGGCCGGAAATGGAAGGATTCTGTGACCTCTGCGGGTTACCGATCAGTGTCACGACATATCTTGGGTGTATTGGGACCTTAAGTTGACGATCAAGAAGCTCATGATTTTGCAGTCAATTTTCTTGCCAAATTCCACTGGCCCCAAGCAGTATATACGACCAATTCCGCGCGCAAGGATCCCCATCATACCCAGCCGAATCTCTTGCTGTGGATAGCGGAGTTGCTGGTGCCCGCCTGGGGGATATTGAGGTGCACAGCTGTATATACGCAGATCGACAATGTCACGATGCAGGTACGTTGAAAGACGAAACGTGCCCCGAGTGGGCGGCTCAGAGCTGTGCAGAACAAATTGTCAACACGATTTCGAGTTGAAATTGCCATGAAGCAAGTTCAATAGTAGCCAGCCGTTTGGAGATTGGGCAACAAGTGCATAGAAAGACAAGTCTGGGCATAATGATGAGGGAACCGCATGTAAGATGAAAGCAGGGATACTTTACAAGGAGACATAATTCTCCCAAATCGTAGACGTAGCGGAAATGATTGGACTGCACCCATACCTTCATCCTGTGGTCTCAACAGCATTCGTAACATTTGATGCCATACCAGGATCTTAGATGGAGGAGCAAGAGGTGAGCTGGCACTGACTTGCTCATAATTGCGAGCACGAGTGTGCTGACTAGACGAATCGAGTGGCCGTCGGGCAGTTCCATCTTCAGGTACTGTAGACTTGCACAGCCAGTGTGTTGGTCCTTCGACGAGGCTGAAGAATATCTCTAAACCGTTCATGTAAATCCGAAGCTTAAACCCGAGGTTCAACCTCTTCGCGTCATGCTGATCGAGGTTCACAGCTCAACCACCGCCACTGTCAAACTTGCATTGTTCTCTTGGGATACCGCTCAGATTCTCTACAGGGAATTATAGAAAAGCTCACATATCTCTCTGTGGATGTCTAGATGCCATCTGCCAAGCTCGGCGGCAGTCAAGCCATAGAGCAAAGAAAGCGCAAGCAGTCCAATCCTACCGAAGCCAAATCCGAACCCTATCCTCAAAAGACCATTTCAGAGCTCTTTGCAACATCTAAGCAAGGAGTGAAAAGCCTGGAGGCCAACAATCTGCCCGGTGCATCGCCCAGCAAAAGACCAAAGCACAATCATTCTACAGTCCAAACCGACAGCACCTCGGCGCCAATGCAAACCCTACGAGCCGAAGACATGTTCAAATTCCCCAGTCCTAAACCTCGACAAGCCGCTGAAGTCGTAGATCTCACTACTGAATCTCCTAAAAGCAGTCCAGTCAGGAACAAATTCAATGGCATCCGCCCCCCGAGAATCGGCCCACACACAAGCCCTAACAAACTTCAAGTGAGGAACATGAAACCTGCTCTAAAAGCAGACCCGGATGAGTACTACAACACCGTCTGGAAGCGATTGGAAGCTTCCTTGTTAGCAATCTTTGCGGATGAGAAGCTGCCATACTCGAACGAGGAGCTTTACAGAGGGGTGGAGATTGTGTGCCGGCAGGGGAAAGCCGCGGGTTTGTATGAAAAGCTGAAGAACACGTGCAATTGGAACATGCTACACAACGTTACCGAGCCCTTGACTCGGATTTCGGGCAATGATAACGCGGTGGTCGTTTTGCAGTCCGTGGTACGAGCGTGGTCAAGATGGAACAAGCAGCTGGAGACTCTTCGCTCCATCTTCTATTACCTCGATCGATCATACCTTCTTCACTCGGCTTCGTTACCATCGATAGAAGAAATGGGGGTCACCGAATTCCGTACGAACATATTTATGCCTCAGCAGCTCAAGTCAAAGATACTACAGGGGGCTTGTGATCTGGTCAGTGCTGATAGGAGTGGAGATGAATCAGCGCGCAACGACAGCCTTTACCGTGATGCGATCAAGATGTTCCACTCACTGGCAGTATACACGAAGTTCTTCGAGCCAAGGTTGATGTCCGAATCAGAGCAGTACTATGTGTCATGGGCTGAAAGGACTATCTCTGAAACCGATCTAGCTGGCTATGTCGAGAGCTGCGTCAAGCTCATTGACGAGGAAATCCGCCGTTGCGATATGTTTGGTCTAGATCAGACGACTAATAAATCGTTAGAGCAATACCTTGAAGACATATTGGTGGATCAAAGACAGACACGCCTCCTAGTGGTCGACGACGTTGGTGATCTTCTTGGAAAAGACAGACCGGATACCATGTCACAGCTCTATTCACTACTGCAGCGTAGACGCCTTGGCGGAAAGCTTCGCCCTGCCTTCGAAGCCTTCATTGTCAAGCAAGGCTCCGAGGTTGTCTTTGATGAAGAGCGAGAGCAGGAGATGGTCGTGAGGCTATTAGATTTCAAAAAGAAGCTTGACCTGATATTGGAACAATCCTTCCAACGGCACGAAGGACTGAGCCATAGTCTACGTGAGGCTTTCGAGACCTTTATCAACAAGAGCAAGAGAAGTAACATGACTTGGGGCACCGACAATCCCAAGCCTGGAGAAATGATCGCGAAATACGTTGATATGGTTCTCAAAGGTGGAACCAGGGCCATTCGTACTTCTGGCGTTGGCACAGAAGACGCTCCAAAAGCGCCTGATAACGAAGATCAAGAGGGCGAAAGCGAGGATGAGGATGTGGAGATCAGTAAACAGCTAGACCAAGTCCTAGATCTGTTCCGCTTTGTGCATGGTAAAGCTGTATTTGAAGCTTTCTACAAACGAGATCTTGCTCGCCGGCTGCTGTTGGGGCGAAGTGCGAGTTCCGATGCAGAGAAAAGCATGCTTACTCGCTTGAAGTCGGGTATGCTTGAATCCAGACCCTATTCGTTCGACAACGCTGACGAGCCTTTAGAGTGCGGTGCTGGCTTCACACACAACCTGGAGCAAATGTTCAAAGATATCGAAATGGCGAGGGAAGAGATCTCGTCTTACAAGTCTATGCTTGAAGAGAGGCAGACTAGGACCACATTTGATCTGAGCGTTAACGTTCTTTCCTCGTCCGCTTGGCCGTCGTATCCTGACGTTACTGTCAACGTGCCTGAAAATGTCCTGAAAGCTACGAGAAGCTTCGAGCAGCATTACAAAATGAAACACTCCGGTCGAAAGTTGGAGTGGAAGCATGCCCTCGCCCATTGCCAGCTGAAGGCAGTATTTCCGAAAGGCTCCAAAGAAATTGTGGTTAGCTGCTTCCAGGCTGTGATCCTGACCGCTTTCAACAAAAATGACTCTGTGTCATATCCCGACTTAAAGGCCTTCTCTGGCCTTGGTAAGTTCTAAGACCAAAGCCTTGAGTGACATGCGTTTCCCCAAGACGCCCTGCTAATAGATCCTAGATGACACCGAACTCAAGCGGACGCTCCAGTCCCTTGCCTGCGCTAAGTACCGCGTCCTCACCAAAGAGCCACGAGGTAAAGACGTCAATGACACCGACACCTTCGCAGTAAATCTCAACTTCACGCACCCAAGGTATCGCATCAAGATCAACCAAATCCAAGCCAAAGAGACCAAACAAGAGAATCAACAGACGCATGAGCGTGTCGCTGCAGATCGTAATTACGAGACGCAAGCGGCTATTGTCAGAATCATGAAGAGCAGGAAGAGCATCACACATGCGGAATTGGTGAGTGAGGTTATCTCAGCAACGAAGACCAGGGGCGTGTTGGATCCGGCGGATATCAAGAAGAATATTGAGAAGTATGTCGATAAATCGTTGTGGTTCTATGTGACCGTGCTGACCGATACAGATTGATCGACAAGGATTATATGGAGAGGGACGAGGAGGGGCGTAACGTCTACAACTACGTTGCATAGGGGTCCCAGTACTGCATCTCGAGCGATCTGGCGAACGTTTTCCTGGGTATCCTGTCACGTTCATATAGATTTCAAGCATCGTTGATCCAGAAGAGGTCCTTGTCCAGTGCTCCCATGACATAGTAAGATGGTGTCGCTCTGGTTTATGCTAATCCAATTGCTTCTTAGGCATATTCAAGACCTGAAATGCTGCGTATCTAAGATTAGTCCCTACGAATAACGCCTTCCCGGTCCACCAAGCTCGCCGAGATTGAGAGCGATTCGGAATGAAGGAGATAATCAAGGGCATGGAGCCTTGAAATTCATCTCAGTTACAAACACGAAAAGAGCGGAGTTCCACATGCCTGGAACCTAAGAATCAGGCCCTTTGGCATGCTTCTTGAGCCCAACGTCATGCCTCAGGGTCGCCTAGTCTGAGCTTGACGCCCTTCTCCATACTTTCTAAGACTCTAAGCGACCCATTCACAACGAAACACCCGCACGATACATGTCTCTGCTTTCCTCAAATCTTTATTCGGTATAAAACTTGTAGTGTAATCGAGCGTCCTTACCCAATCCCAGGAGAGTTCCTTGATGACTATCTTGCGTATCATCTGAGACTCAAGAGACAAGTGCAAGACTCGAGGGTTGTCAGCTCACAACAAATGTACAGTGAGCATTAGGTTGTCTTGGCCCAAGAAAGGCTAGCGTGAAGTCAATCCAGAAACGCTGATATGAACCTCCGGTCATCTTTCAATCGGCCTCAATGTTGTCGGGATTGCTTGTCCTACATCATTTTTGTTGGGCAGTATAACCGTCGCTTCATGCCGACAAAGTCGCTGACAAGTCGTCGTTATGAAATTTAGAATGCGTTTCGACAATGGATGAGGGACAGGCTCCCTGCATATATATATCATCCGTGTCACCCAAAGGCCAAGAAGTCAAATCCTGAGACTACTGGAACAATAAAGCTCTCAATAGAGTCATCACTTGATCAATTAGACCGCCGCTTCCCAACGCGAAATCTCCCATCGACACCTAGCCCACCAATGCCCTTCCTCTTCCCCGAGCTCCCGGGAGAAATCCGAAACCAGATCCTGCGTCTGCTCCTCACGCACACGACCCCCATCCTTACCAGAAACGCCCACCAATTGGGCCCCCCGACGCCCACATCGATGGGCCTCTCACCCAACATCCTCCTCGCCTCCAAGCGCACGCGCGCCGACGGTCTCACCATTCTCTACGGCGAGAACATCTTCCAGGCCCACCCCTCCTACCTGACCTCCATGCTCTTCGCTCTCGACCCCGCACGCACCGTCGCCTCGACCGTGTGTCGGAGCCTGATCCGCCGCTTCCACGTCCGCGTGCGCCTCGATTGCGACACCTTTTACGACAAGCAGGATGTGAAGAGGGTCTTTGACGGGGCGCATGTGCTGGAGGTGGAGGTTTTCCGGTCGAGTTGGGGCGTCGGCGGGTACGAGGCTCTGGAGGGGTACAGAGACGTCAGGGGCGTGAGGAGAGCGAGGGTGCATGGTAGTTTGCCGGCTTTGACGGCGAGGTGGTTGGAGGCGTGTATGGAGGGGGCCGGAGAAGAGGCGGTGGAGGGGTGGGGCTGCGAGGAGGACGGGGAAGGGTTTTGGGACCGGTGAGGGTTTATGCTCTTGTGGGTCCGGTGAGACAGGATCCGGCAAACCATTGGGGTCTTGAGCTGGTGGATTCGCAGAGTTGGAGGCTTGAAAGACGTCTGAATTGAGGGATTTCTTGGGGTGCTGGGTCAGGGGCTTGCGCTTGATGGGGGTATCAAAGGCTTAGAGAGGGTGGGTGGGATACATGTGGGTTGAAGCAAGAGTGGGAAGGGCCTTGTGGGAAAGAAGTTTTGAATGGATGGAGTTTGAGGTACGTCACATTTAGAATTGAGCTGGAATTCGTTTACCATTCAAAGTCAAAGAGGTGGTCGACATCAATGTGCTTGAATGCATTCGTTCACAATCTCGTCCCACAAGCTATATACCTCCTGTTTCTGAAAGCGGATCTCTGTTGCACCGATGAGATTATTGTTCACGGTATCCCTAATCCGTAACGCGCTCTTCCTCGTCTTCCTCCATCCCCTTGTCGGCGTCTTCCAGCTTTCTCTTTGCATACTACAGATCTTCTCTCCGGGTCTTTCTTGTAAACATCGCACCGATCCTCCGCTCCCTTCCTCGAGCCTTCTTTTGCTCCATCTCGCCATTCCTCCATGCCTCATGTCAACTATACGACAAGCTTGCAATCAAAATGAGAGAGCCACTCTCAGCCCTGATACTCTTCGCCTTGCGGGGCCAAACTCGCCTGTCCGGTGCAGAAGAAGCAAGAAGGACACCATTCGATGCCATCACGCTTGCTCTTGGCCTTCGTAAAGGTATATCGATCGTGATAAATCAAGTATCCAGCTGAGCTCATCTTGACAGGCAAGCGCTGCAGTCGAACTTCCTTTTCGACCGATATATCAGTACAACAACCCATAGGAACCGAAGGTTGCTGAGGAGAAGGGCGTGAACTCTGTACCCGGAAACGGGTGAAACCAGGGTTTTTATTGGATAATGTGTGCATTCAATGGTCTCATATCATGTAGAATAGTTATTCTATTGTCATGTTCTGTGAAGTATGTAGGAAGGATGGAGGTGGACTACGTATCTATGGTGTGAAGCCCACGCTAAGGCCATTTGCCACTTGTGTCATTGCCACCATGAGGAGTAGTCACAACACCTATTTGGAACTTAGTAGTGTAGCCATGCTGGCCTCCTATTGGCTGATTCCAACACTCCCACACAGTCCAAATGGTGGGCTGGAAACACTATTAGTTCCAACAGGTTGTGTTTGTTGTTGAAAGTGTTGGTAATACCTCGGTATGCATTAAGACCTATCACTAGTTATGGTATTCCTAATAATATCTAAGGAAGAAGAATTCTATATAGGAAAGGCCTTCATATACCAATGACTAGGCCGAATGAGTACTAGTGGTAGCGAGTGTTGAGTCGTTCCGACACTGGCAAAAACCGAAAAAGATGAGGCTACTCGCATGCTATCAAAACATTCCTTCTCCGTAACCTTTATGACTGCAATTGCTCCCTTTGCTGCAGTGGGCGTAGATCCGGTCATGCTAGGCGTATTTCTAGTAGCAATGGGAGAAATATGATTGATCGATATCTTGTCTTTCCACCCACCCTTCCAGATCTAGGTCTAATTCTTTCGTGTCCACTAGTCTTTGCAATGCATCACATCCCTTGTCCTTCGTCATCGCATCGGCTGATTTCTTGTCTCCTTTGATCCAGAGAATCTCGGTAATTTCCCGTCGGTCGTAAGACTGTCTTAGACATAGGATGTCTATCATCAGTCTCTTCTCCTGAGTCGTCCCAACAGAAAGCCATAGCTTGCGTGTTGTTGGGGATACATCGACCCAACGGAACCTGGTTGGAATGGCTAAATTTCTCAATGCGACTGTAGTTGCTAATCATACTTCGAGGAATAATAGTTGAATATTCGAAATGAAGATCGTAACCGAAGTCTGCTTGCTGATGAGGGAAAGCAAAGGTTGGCTGCGCAGCTTGAAGGCCGACATGCGGCCATGAGGGATTAACGCCCCTGCCAGTGTACTGTGTATAGGACCCCATTTGCTGGTTTTGAAAGCCGATATACGGCTAGAAAGGGTTGGTGCCAATACCAGTGTACTGTGTACGGAAATCCGTTTCCTGATACTGAAATTGGGTATCCGGCAGGAACGGGTCGTTGATGATGCCCGCATCAGGGGTATACAGAGGTTGATGCGAGACAAAGTCTGTGCGTTGAGGTTCTTGGGAACCCTGGAAGCGCGTTGGTTGCGTATAAGAACCATGGCACTGTGAGACTGGATAGGTCCCTGCTCTGAGCACGAGGGTATTTATATAGTACCAAGGAGCAGAAAGTCGTGTATAGGAAGTGCGCTACGCATCCTATGCGTGCCAATGACTTCAGAAGCGGCGACTGCTCGGTGATCATGTTGTCAATGTAAGTGGTTTTGGCGAAGGGTCTCATGGTTGTGTGCGTCGGCTGGCTGCGATCCTTCTTTCTCAGAGTCCTCGGCGTTCCTTAGGCTTTTGGTAATATGTTGCCGGATCTTAGATACGCTTTCCGCTAGGTATGACTTGATCATGCCGAGCTCCTGCAGCCGGGCACTTGTGACCTCTATGGTGTGGCTTGGCTCGATTTTCGATACCTCGGGGTGACTTCTGGCCGATGTTCACCGCGAACGTTTACCTCGTAGATAGGGTGACTGACCTTGCGCCGCCGGGTCGACGGACCACGAGGGGGCTCCAATACGTCCTTGGGCTTGGGGTAATTGCTTTGGCCCTGGCACCGAAGGAGGATCAATGGCTTTGTTTTCTCTTCCGCCAAAGTTTCTGCTCCGCTGTAAACGACGATCAATCAAAGGAGGCAGGATTCCCGACCTGGCTGGACCACCACTCAATCAGCTCAGCCATCAACGCCGTTGGAGAACGTTCTCTGCACCGCCACACTCACTATGGATGTTGTTTTCGCTTGCTCTTTCATGAGAGCGTTTTCTCCTCTTCGACCATGTGGTCTCTGCTATTGAATTACGGTCAAATCTTCTCATGAGCGTAGTTCGGACGTTGCTACGCCCTGCGGTCACAAGTCGCTTGGCGCATGGGAAGGTTTGGCAGACAGTAACGGTCTCCAGGAGCACAGGGAACGACCCTGCCATCGAGTTGAGCATGTTCAATTGGCCTGCACTCCCAGTGCAAATGTTATGGAGAGATGCATTTGCATGATATGGCCAAGGGCACGAATGTTTTTACTTGGTGGAGTTGCAGGCACTGCGATATCTTTGCCGCAGTACCGTGTACGTATAGGGGTCCATGTACTTCCTGGATCGTCATCAGCTGCGGGAGCAGAGCGAAGGTTATTCACTGGACCTGCTGAAGCACCGTGGCTTGGCCCGATGCTTGTAGGGTGAACAGCGCTTGGACTGGTCCAATGCTGTGTCTTGGATAGGTACAACATTTTTGAGGTCCCTCTCCCTAGACTTCGTAAGCGGTCCTTTCCTCTCACTGTTGTCGGTAGCGAGCCTATCCTCCTCGCCCCACGTCCTGCTAAGACGCAGGCATCCCCGCAGCATGGGTGAGCTCATCCTGACTTATTAAGAAGCTCCGACAACACGCATCCCGGAATTTCAAGCTTCTGATTTCGTTCGAGGAAGTCCACAAGGTACCCTAGGATGTATCCTAATCTTCGTCCCTGATCCATAGCCATTCTCACGTTCTTTCCACAACCGCTTGCTGGGCGGCCAACTCCTGTCTGATCCTCTCAGCTGCGGCTAGCATGGCTTCATGTTCGTCCCTCCTATGCTTCAAGTCAGAACGGGAAGCTACTTCGTGTCCATCGTGAAAGTAGCTCGTCATGAGGTCGAGTAGGTCTCGATCCATGTCCTCGTAATTGTGCCGGATGATATCGATCGCTGTCGACATCTTCTCCCAGGCCACTCCCCTGAGGCTGAGCTCGTCAGCGAGCTCGCTAACCTTTGTAAGGATCAACCGCCGTCCGTGCGTCTCTTTGATCCTATAGCAATGTTTTCAAGTGGTTGCTGAGGGCCAGTAGCTCTGTGGTCGGCTTTCGAGTCAACGAGCCACTGTTGTTGCTGTTTTGTGCGGCGAGAGTCACTCGCAGGACTGTACGAGCACTAGACCGCCTGCAACTTTTGTTAGCAATGTAGGCAAATAAGGTGCTTTACGTACCTATCAACCAGGTCAGGAGCCCCGATGAGTTGACCAGGGCACTTGACGGAATCGCCTGTATAGTAACCTATTCCAAGGTCAGGCGAGTTTGCTCGTATGAGTCTGTCTGGATGACTCATTCACAACTGACCAACAGAGTCCAGAAGCCGGTCCAAGCAGCACAAGCAGGGTGAGATCCAGGCCAAAGGGAGGGTGGTTGACGGGTACGGGTGGGAATGAGACAGTGGCGGCGGATTATTGACACCGAATAGGGAGGGGTCGGGGTACGAAACCACCCTGTCAGACGGGGAAGCTGCCAGAACTGTAAGTTCTAAATCGGTGTATAGACCGATGCTAGGACTTATAGAAATGGTGTTCAGTTGACGTTCGTAATGAAAGGCCGAGACTGAGAAGCGGGAGAAGGTCTGTCAGATTGTGCAATGACAGGTATTTTTATTTAGGATGTACGAGCTCAGAAGGTAATGTGTGACAGCAACATCATCCTATATCAATATGTAATAGGATGTCATGTTTGTTGATGGTGAAAGGTTGCATTGCTCAAAGATGAACTCATCATGAACGATATGAATGGGTAGCTCCATCCAGCATGAAGGACCTGGTGGACAGTGAACATCAACGATGATAGATCGTGTTCACCTAAGGAAAGATGTGTCGATGTGGGAGAAAGGAACAGGGAAAGAAGTTGGAAAACTTTGGGGTTTATATACCCGGAGATGCGGGTGGCGAAATGTGTGATGCAAAACGCCTTGCGTGATGTAAAAGAATGAATAACTCCCGACTTCATTCGCCATATGCTTCATCTCCGATTCGATTCATCAGCAGTCTGCGTGACGCCTGCATGGATCATGGACAGTGAATAACCACAGCTTCCCTTTGCAACAACACCAACGACTTCATTCGCTATATGCTTCATCTCCGATTCGATTCATTGGCAGTCTGCGTGAGCTCATTGACTAGCCTGGGACAGTGAATAACCACAGCTTCCCTCTGCAACAACACCAACGACTTCATTGAGTGTTAGAAATGAATGGCAGCCTCCTCATAGGGCGGATGGTCAATTTGGGGGAATCATTCCCCAGCGTCTCGATTCATAGCTCTACAGCAACAGAGTGAATTACCAAGACTGAATGACACACTTCCCCAGAGATTGGGCATGTGATTGAGGCGACATCCTCCATAGCTGTATTATCCAACAGTGACAGCAACGGCACAAACTGTCAAACATAAACAACTCGCCTTTTAAAGGGATCTCTGGGTGGGGCTACACCCTTGACACAATTGCACTATTGGCTTTTCGTTCTTCAATGAAGAGACAAATGAAAAAACCCAACTTCTACCCTCATCAGTTGTTCACCTGTCTGACAATGGGCTTTGACTTCTCAACATGTAGACAGATAAACGGAGTCACAAATCCTGATTGGTCCGTCGTTGGCTTCATCTGCCTACCAAACAACAATGATTTTAGGCTAAGCTGCGCAACAAGTTTAAAAAATGAAAAAGTCCGAGATCCGATTTAAAATCCTTCTCCACATAACAGTCAAGAAGGAGAAAAATTGAAGCCATAATCCCTGAATCGAACTGCGAGGATATATTGATATTCCACAAGCTGAACAGCGAAGCTTCATGTTGCGAAGCTACGGAGAAGTGAAATAGGCGCGCTCTCTTCCAAATGACTCGAATTGCCTTGACATGAAGACTCAGAAGCTCATGGGTACCTACCCCTTGCCGTATAACAGTACCACTAAGCCTATTCTCTCACTACTCATCTCCGGGGATGTTCGCATGCTTAAAGTACTTCATTCCCACCCAGGCAATTGTCACCCACACCCAAGCCATGACACTCGTAAGAATGATCAGCGCAGGATAATAGCCCACGACTGGTAGTGTAGGATCATCCTCCAGCTCTGGCGGCGCATAAGGTGTCTCTCCTACATCCCAAGCCCAACTCCACACATCAAAACAGCTACCCATTCCCACAACGAAGAAAATCCAAGTCACAATGAGGATGATCCATCCCCACCAGCGTGTTTCGGAGTAGTCCCATTCCGAAGGAGGGGGGGAAGGGACAGTAGGCGGAAGCGAGGCAAGTGGGGAGGACCGTGAGCTCACTGTAGTGTGTCGAGTAAGAGGGCGTACGAGCTGAGGTGGGAAATAGCTGTCTGGTTTGCTTTTGGGCAGAGGTGGAATGGCGATTAATGATGGTGCGATTGGGGATTCTTCTTCATCTGTGGTTGAGGCGGTCGAGTCGGCGGTCCTAGGGCGTTGGAGGGATGGAAATATTTGGTTCACTTTCTCCTGGGCTAAAATCTTGGATGGATCGCCATGGATTGGGTGGGTTCCAATTGGCACAGGAGGCGGTACGCTAGATATTGGACGAGGCGTTGACATGTCATACGGAGAAGGCGAGTTCATTAAAGCGACGCCTTCCGCAAAGGCGCTATCGTCCTGTATTCCTTCGACCGAGTCGACTTGTTCCAATTGAGTCCCACGACGCTCTTTGCCCTCAGTGCGCAGCTTGCCTGTGCCTAGCAGAGCTGTTTTTCGAAGCGACCCTTTCCGTCTTCGGATACCCTTCTGTTGGACGGCCATTGCCATAGCGCTGGGTGGTCTTTGAGGGGCGTCTTCCTCGGAAGGTGTCGTGGATGAAGAGTCTTTGTTGACATGGCCAGAGCCCTGGCTCGAAGATCGCTGGAATAGAAAAGCTGAGAGACTTCCTGAGAGACTTCTTCTATGACCGCTGCCTTTGCGAGTGAGGTTACTCGACTCTTGCTCGTGACTACTCGTCTCGGCGCTGCCATCGTTGCTCGAGGTGATGTGACCATCGTCCATTACTTCCTCAGCCGCAGCCCATCCATTCACTTTTGCTATCTTCGTATTCTCAGCTGCCAATGGTCTGAGCTGCTCATCCTGTCCTCCATTCCCGAGGAATATCTTAGCAACTCTCCATCTGGTTCAGTCAAAAGAGTTGTCAAGCGTAGTGCAATTGAGGCAGCTTGAAAGCTGAAGAGAGAGCTGCCACGCGCGCCACACAGCCAAGGAAATCTCGAAATCTTGGCGCCCACTTAGCCCTATCGAATATCAAAAAGTTCGAGACCAAAAAGACAAGAGGATTTTGGAACTTCAAGGACTTCCCCTACACACCACACCACAATAGAAGCCTCTCACGATGCCGAAATCAAAGCGCGCCAAAGTGGTGCACATGTCCAAAACCACCAAGAAAGGCAAAGAACTCACCATAAGACTCTACGCCAACATCCAAGAATGTATCCCCAAATATCCCTACATCTACGTCTTCAGCGTACACAACATGCGCAATACGTATCTCAAAGATGTCCGGACGCAATTATCAGATAGCAGGTAGTCTCCTCACCCCCCCCCCTTTTCCCTCCCACCAAAAATTCTTTCTTTTCCCACACGAACACAGCAGACTGACCAAACCCCCAGACTCTTCTTCGGCAAAACAAAAGTAATGGCCGTCGCCCTCGGCCTCAGCCCCGAAACCGAACCCTACCCCCAAACCTCCCTCCTGACCCCCCACCTCCACGGTTCCGTCGGTCTCCTCTTCTCCCCCCGGCCCCCCTCCGCCATCCTCTCCTACTTCTCAACCTTCGTCCCCCTCGACTTCGCCCGCGCCGGCAGCACCGCTTCTCGGAGCTTCGTCCTTCCCGCCGGCATGTTGTACAGCCGCGGAGGGGACATACCGGAGGAAGAAGACGTGCCGTTGGCGCATAGCGTGGAGCCAAACTTGAGGAAGTTGGGGCTGCCGACTAGGCTGGTGAAGGGGAAGGTGGAGTTGGATGGGGAGTTTGTGGTTTGTAGAGAGGGAGAAGTGTTGGGAAGTGGGCAGACGACATTGCTGAAGATGTTTGGGGTCGCGATGGCGGAGTTTAGGGTGGGGGTGGAGGCGCATTGGGAGAGAGAGACGGGGAAGGTTACAGTGGTGGGGATTGGATGTTGAGGGGATGAATGTTGGAGGGGAAGAAAGTGAGGATGTGGATGTGGAGTCATGATTGGATGTCGGTGCAGCGTTTGGCTGCAAGCTGCATAGCGATGGCGTTAGCGATGGGATATGAGCTTGAGCCTTTGAAAAATGCTACGAGCAATGTTCTACGGAAAAGCCGGAACATGAGGCCGCTTTTATGACTTCCTCCACCACGCAATCGCTAGTAATACAACTGCAAGAATTTATCAGAGTAGGGTCAGTAAGAACGACTCTGGATGGCCAGACGATCTTACCCGACCTTACCTAAGTGAAGCACGATGCACACTGCGGCATTAATTACATACCTACCGAGCAAAGGGAATAGAAAAATCATAGCACAAGAGAATACCACCACCTTCCCTGCTGAGCCTGAACCGTGTTGTAAATCTGAGTCGAAGGATGAGAGCACTGCTGTGCTATATTGGTCCCTCAAATTTGTTGCAGAAGGGTGAGAGATGTCGGTTCCTGAGAAGTGTGACTGATGAAGCTGGAGATTGCCGAAGGTGTTGTAGCATGACGACCGGCTTACCCATCCAGCTGTCGAGGAAGTGTGAGTCGAAAATTGCATGCCTTACCCCGACGAAGGGAGAAAGAAAATGCTGATGCTGAAATGCTGAAATCGAGGGGACCCACCCAACAAACCAGATTTAGTCGGGAGACTAATACCTTCGTTTGCGAGGATCATCATACCCATCACCGTCGTACTGTCTCTTGCGATCGTCACGACCGCCGCCATAGCTTCGGTCTCGATCTCTGTCTCCGTATCCGCCGCCATCTCTTGGTCTTACCGGTTCACGGTTGCTGCCAGTGATACCTCCTGAGCGGCCATCACTGTAACCGCCACCACCACCTCCTCGGTAGGATGATCTGTCGTCGAAGTCATTGCGTCTCGACTCACCACCACCATACCCACCACGAGGTCCATCCACGGGGGTTGGAGTGCCGTTCATACCACCGTTCACAGGAGGACTACCATGCCCACTGCCAAAGCCTCCACGGTTTCCGCCAGGGCCAGAAGGTGCATTCGGGGGTGCTGCTTGGGCATTACCGTGGCCATTGGGCGGTCCACCTCCATACCCACCTCTTCCTCCACCAAAGCCGCCTCCGCCTTGGTATCCAATCCCACCTCTTCCACCACCAAAGCCGCCGCGGTCGCCACCTCGGAAACCTCCTCGAAAGCCGCCACCGCGAGGAGCGCCACCAAATCCTCCTCGGAAACCACCGCCAAAGCCTCCGGGTCCGGCCGGAGCAGCGAGGCTTCCGCCGACCCCTGCAGGTCGAGCCGGCATAGCTTTGGTATACCCACGGCCTCCGAGTCCTCCTCCAAGGCGACGAGGTCTCCATCCTTTGACTGTACGGCCTCGCTCGACGTCGACAAGAACACGTCTATCTTTGATGCGGATACCATCGGTTTCTTTGTAGGCAGCTATATTCAATCATAAGGCACAGCCCCAGTGTCAGTCAACTATACAAACCTCGAGATGCAGACGTTGAGGTCACAAGAACTTGGCTTTTACATCATGCGGACGGGAAATGGAAGCAGTACCCTTCATATCTTTCTCACGCTCATACACCACGAAAGCATACCCTCGATGACTCTTTTTCTTTTTCTTTGATTTTCCATTCTCTTCCGCTTGAGAGGTGTCTGTGACGATGCGTATCTGGGATGGCAAAGTCAGCTAAGCAGCTCTCCCAACTTCACCAAAAGCTTAATGTACCCTCTCAATAGGTCCAAACCTCCCAAACTCCCTCTCCAAATCCTTCTCCGTAGTATCATAGCTCAATCTCGCTACGAAAAGCGTCTTGAACGCGTCCCCTCTCACATTCGGATCATCACCGGGTTCTATCAAAGTCAGCCTACAATCTCAAACAAGTTAAATGGAAGGAAGGTGGGCGAATCGCATACTCTGCGATAAACCTTCTTTGATCAATTGCTCCTGCTTCTCCTTCTTCTCCAGCTTTACCCTATCCTTCCTCTGCAGCCAGCTTTCCGTTGGCTCGTAGGATATGTTCTCTTTGTAATCCTCGACTGCGGAGATGTATTGCGCGACACCGCCGATGTTGTTGGTTTTGCGCTCCTCGGGGGCATGGTCGTTAGGGGGCAGGTAGCGGAGGGCTGGGCGGGCGGCGAAGAGAGCCAAGAGGTTTGGGGGGAGTTTGTGCGTCATGTTAGAGATATGTGAGGTACTGATTCAGGTTGTAAGAGGATGAGAGATCTTGGAGTAGTCAAGGATGAAGTGTGCTCATTTGCAAGGAGGTGAAATTCGCGTCGTATTTGGAAAGCTCTAAACTTTTGACGCTAGACCGCTTTGGACTGCCAAGATATGAAATTCGATTACCCAAGAAGACTCTCTTCTGCTTCTTCAACGTAAGTACCAAATAATGCCGCGACGGTCACGGTAGTCTTAGAGGATGCCTGTATCGGCTCTACGAACGACATCGACCGCCCAAGTATGTTCGCTGCTGTAAGAGCCTGTCAAATAACTGACATCCATCTCAGAATGGCGTAGGTGCATTCATTCTCCAATGCAAACGCCTCGACTTCCACTACTGCGACAAATGGGGCAGCTCTAGAGGCATGAAGTACGTCTCTAGTACCATCACTCATCAAGATTTCCTCTCATCTCTCCCACTTGTACTAACTCTACACCCCTCAGTACATTCCTCCGCTCTCCACTCATGGCGTCATTCGCAAAAGCCCACCCCCAAATCACCATCCACATCTCCCCCCGACCAAATACACATCCCATAATACGGGGCTTGTACATCAATGGGCGGGAAAAGGTCATATGCGTCCGAAATCTCGAGAAAGAGCAGATCTTGCAGAAGGTAGAATTGCTGCGGGATGCGAACGGAGAGAAGGTGACGAGGGTCAGGGGGGGCAGGGTCGTGGGAAGTTTGAACGAGGGGGTGAGAGGGCTGTGGGATCCGTTCCATGGGGCAAAAAAAGGCAGACTAGACGAAATACTGGGGGGTATGGGTGTGTCGAATAAAGGGGTGTAAGTGGTGAAAAGTGACAATTGGTTGGCACAGGATTCTCTCCCAGGTGATGAGTGGATTGAGTGCTATCAATCGAGGCAGCCACAGCCATTGTATCCTGCTATTTATCTTGACCGTCTGATCCGCACTCACAACCTCCACTGAGCGATTCATTGTTTCGCATTAATGATATCAACAACTGCGAACCCAAGTCAGCAACATCCAGAACAGGTCGAAGGAACACACTTACAAGCAGGTTTCAGACTTGCCCCTCCCACGAGGAAGCCATCGATATCTCCCTCCTTCGCCAACTCCTTGCAATTCTTCTCACTCACGCTGCCGCCATAGATTATCCTCGTGGCCTCCGCTGCTTCTTTCGAAACGGTCTCGGCCAACCATTTTCGTATTTCAGCATGGACTTCTTGTGCTTGATTTGTGGTGGCCACTTTCCCGGTGCCGATGGCCCAGACGGGCTCATATGCGATGACAATCTTAGACCAATCTTTCGTCTTTTCCGCCACGGCGTTGAGCTGCGTGGTCACCACTTCGATGGTCTTGTCGCTTTCCCGTTGCTTCACCCCCATCAGCCTGGGAGTGATTCCCACACAGATTTAGCCCTGCTCACCTCAAGTGTTTCTCCACAGCACAGTATGACCCCCAAGCCTCCATCAAGTGCTGCCTTCGTCTTACTCGCAACGAACTATATCCGACAAAGGACTTGTCAGCCCCATTTCCATTCCCAATATCGACACTGAGCTTCCCCGAAGTTCTGTCTCTTTTTGGCCTCCCGTTACTGGTTCGAGGCGGATGGGATAAGTTCTCTTACATCATCCTTCTCCCCAAGAATAACCCTCCGCTCACTATGTCCGCACAACGACCACCCAATCTTGCTGTCACTCAATTGCTCCGCGCTAATCTCTCCCGTAAAAGCGCCATTGGGTTTGTCAAAGACGTTCTGGCTGCACACTTCGATTTCATTCTTGAGGTGTTCGCGAACGAGGAGTAGGAAGAGGCCGGGTGGGGCGATGACGACTTCTGTTTTGGGGTCGAGAGGAGCGGAGTTGAGGTGGTGTACGATGTCTGTAACAGACTTGATCGTGCCGTTCCTGAGCAGCTCAGTCAATTGGACGTTCTGGCGTGTAATACTGACACTTCAGCTCTTGGGGAAACGAACATCTTGAAATTCCCACCGACGAAGAATTGGCGTCCCATGGTTGCGGTTGGGAGCTGATTAATGTATTTAAGATACTTGCAATTGAGTTGAAAGTACAATGAGACGCAAAGAGAGAGATCTATGTAGGCAAGGTTGTGTTTTGAAGTTGAACGTTTGTTTTCAATCGAGAATTTCTTTTGATAGTGGTGGTGGTGGTGGTGGTGGTGGGGCAAGCTCCGAGTCTCGGGTGTGGGGGCACTGGACGGAGGATGCTGACAGCTCTCCTGTAAGATAATCTAGGATGATTACTCTACTCTACTTTACAGAATACTGCTCTCTGGTCCATCTACCGGAGAATTGCTACTGCTAGGTTGTACTATCTGAATAAGACGAATTGAGGCACTTGATGGGAAGTAGGTTGAAGAGTTGAACGGATTATCCTCCGCATCGACGAGTCAGCTCAAGCTATCAAGAAGACAGTTTCATAAAGGACGTTTCGCATAGCCGTATTACCTCCCTGACTAAGATTTTCATGTCTCTTTTTTTTGGTTTTCGACTTCGATGGAAAGGCTTCGGAAAACAAAGCAATGTTGCGAAGACAGAGTCCAAATCCTCCTGGTATCATAACAACATGAAAGAAAAAGCAAAGACCAGACATCCGCATGTCAGACCCCGAATCAAAATTCAAACGTCACCATGGTAGTTCTTTTTTTCGGTTAAAAGGAGCAACATCAGTAGCGATCATCGTGATAACCGTGCAAGTGATCGTCGTGATAGCCATGCATCCTGTCCATTCGAGGCCGAGGAGGCGCATGATACGTCCTCTCTGAATCCATCCTTTCCCTAGCCGCGTCTCTGCGAGCTCGTTCCCTAATCCTGATAGCCTCTTCCTTTTCCCAGATTTCTCTGTCCAGCATGTCATGCCTTCGTCGCTCTGCCCTCTCCTCGTAGGGGTCGACTGGTTGCGCAGTGCTAGTAATCCTCCTGCGATAAATAGTAGGCCGCCGACCGAGTCCTCTCATGTCATGATCATGAAGACGTTCATCGTCATAGCTCATGGCCCGATGATGATAAGGAGGACGTTCTCTGGGGTACATTGGCTCCGGCCTACGGTGAGAGGTGACCGCGGGCTCAACATAAACATCTTCATGTCGATAGCGGGATCTGTGAGACGGAGGAGGGGACGCCAGCCTGCGCGTGGGCTCTTTCCGTTTGTGTTCACGATAAATCATTTTAACGGGCTCATGCTCATGGTCGTGGGAGCTTGATTTGCGGTGATGCTTGCCTTTATGGTGTTTCTTGTCCTTCTGATGGTAGTGGGAGCCTTCGCTGGAGATGATTGTGTCAGGTGTTCGGTCGGTGTCACCAGAGGACGACTCACTGTCGGACGATGAGGAAGAATCCGAACGGTGATCGTGCAACTTGTGACTCTCGTGTTTTGAGATGAAGACTATCTTAGGAGATTTAGTCTCTTTGCCCTTGTGCTTTTTGGCCTTTTCTTTTTGGCCATGCTTAGTATTGTGAGCCTCCTCATGGAATGGAGGATGATCCTGATGAGGGTGGAGGGGTTGTTCTAAACCGTGGGCATGTTGATTGCCGGGGTGGTCATGGCTATGGGCATGGGTGTTGCCGAAATCGTGGGACGGTGCGTTCTCGTACGAGTGAGCATGGTGAGCCTGAGGTCTTCCGTCAGGATGAACGACATGCACCCAAGGCTCACTCAGGTGGCGCTCAAACGGGTAGGCTCCAGGTTTGTGACCATTGGAACTGTTCTGACTTGACTTCTCATAATCATCTGCGCCCGAAAGATCAACGATCCCACTTAACGGCAGGCGAACGCTGCCAAAGCCCATGACAGGGCCTTGCATGTCAATACCGGTGCGGGGTTGGCGTTTCAAGATGACTTGCATGTTTGATGTCTCGAGGCCGCTTTGTCGTCGCCTTGTGTCGCGCCTAATGGAGGCAATGATGTATTCGAACCTCGGGTCTGGTTCCATTGCGACACATTCTCGAATAAGTTCGTCAATTTGCTTCCGCTTGAAACCTTTCATGTCGGAATGCATGTATTGATCTAATCCTGTAACACCCCTTTTGCGGTGCTTTTCGATTTGATTTTTTAGGTCGGCTTGGGAGGCCGGCATTGGCTCTTTGTGAACAATTGCCCATGTCTCCTTCTGTCCGACGTGCTCAACAGGGTTCTTGGTGAAAATATAACCGGCGTAGCCGACGGGGGGTTTGCCATTGCTAGGGAACGAGCGAGGATCGGGCATGTGGCCATACCCAGGCGGTTGAATGACTTGAATGGCAGGTTGGTGCATGTTGTGTTCGAGATGATGACCAGGGTCAAGGTGGACATGCCCGAAGTCATTGGCCAGCCCAGGCATACCTGAAAAGCCTGGCCGCATAACTGGCGGCGGCGCTGGGGGAGCATGTGGCATTTGATGCTGCTGCATATTGCTTTCAAAGACTGCCTCGAAGAGAACGGCAGAGCTGGACCCAGATTTGAAGGGATTCGAAAGAAGGCACAGCGAGAGCTGTTCTATATAAAGATAGAGGGGAAGGGAGAGAGACGGGACCAATTTGGCGGCAGCCTTGCTGTATGTATGTGGAAAATATGCTTCACCACCCTGGGGCTTGAGACAGCAGCGTCGTAGTCTGTAAAAAGATTCGGAAGGACACAGCAAGGCAAAGAATGAAGATGATTAATGAGGATGGTAGTGGGAGATGCCTTGTATTTAGCTTCGAATTGGCACAAGATGGTGTCGTGATCGCCTCGCAGGATTCCTCTAGTGAGTGCCCGATTTCCAAGAGCACCGAGTTAGCAATTAGCAACCCGTCTAGAATATGAGACGAAGAGAAAAGACGTGGAGTTGAACTTATAAACAGGGTAGGTACATATAAAGTTGCGATAAGGCGGGGATCACATTGGACAGCCTGCCTGCAGGACGTTCTACCTACGCCCCAGGCTCCCATGGCTCCCGTGACCGCAGTCTGCAGCCGTTCGAGGCTTGGATGGTGCTGAACGAATGAAACGCTTACAGCTTGCATAAGGGCCATCGAACCCAGCTGACGAAAATTGTCAAGGATCAGACAAACCAAACCCTAGTCGATGATTGACTTCAATTGACAGCATTACATTTGATGAGGTGTTCGAATACCTCTTAGGAAGTCCTAGGTCATACCTACTACTGTACATATGTTATGCATCAGTATCTGCATATTGTGCTTTACCGTCATAGATGAGCAGGCCTGATCGTCAATGCATGAACATGAACTATTGCAGTAATATATTCCGGCGAGACTCCATAATGACATTGGGGAGAAGAAGAGGGCGCTTCCACGTAGCAAGCAGGGCGCCGCGTTTTCAGGCATCCCACCACTCAGTCCTCATGGCCCCATGGTGTATTGGCCGGTAGCCCAGTAAGCGGCGAAGCTTGGGGGCGTCATGCATCGGGCAAGTTATGGAGGAGAAGTGGATTGGAAGTGATGCTCTGAGCATGAAACGTGCCAGGCCGGTGAATGAAAGGGAGGGGTGGCGAAGCCCATGAGGCCTGCAAACTGGGCGTTTGCAGGGCGCAGAAGCGCAGAAAGCTACGGTAACGGAGGTGACTACTGCAGCCTTGGGCAGGGCAGAATTCCTTTACCTGAGGCTGAGGCCGCCTCACCTTCGTGCGCCCGATGGATGCCGATGTTTCGTCTCCCCATCCTTGGGATACCTACCTTGATGTTCCTATTATCAAAACAAAGTGATTATCCAATCATCAAGCAAAGCTGAATCTGAGACATCAGAATTGGCTACTCTAAATTACTAGCTGCTTGATTGTTTCGACCAACAGAGGTTGCTATTTCTATCCCAGCCCCAACACTGAGTAGACACATATGGCAAAGGCGCATACAGAGTGCCATATTTTTCCGTGTCCGCTGATCACTACTCTTCCGATAACTAGGATGGTCAAGTGGTCAAGGATAAAGTGAATGCTTTGTGCTTACTTGTACACTAAGATAAAATCTTCCACGGATGAAGATGTAAGATGCATTGCATGTACAGCTGGCCCTGTATCAAGCGACATGAACAAAGACTTATCCTTCTCAAATTGCAAGTGGACTGTTATGTTGTTAAGGATGCATCAATTGAATTTTCTGTTGCCTATTGGGAACTAATAAACAAAAGGAACGACCCTCCTTTCCCTCATCTTCACACCAGTCGAAACCCTCGGCAACCGAAATCCGTCCGTCCACGTACTTCGAAGAACTTCGAAGAAGGAGTCGGACTTCAGGAACGACAAGCCACGTTTAATAAGACAACTGAATGAAGACTTGCATGGGAACAAAAGGTTTGACGGACACAAGGAAACTTGCCCCTCTTTTGGATCTCTTCCCCATCAACCTCCGCCGTGCCATTACGTGTTATCCACAGCATGTGTGTCGTTCGCGATAGTGGTATCATCAAACAAAAGCAGTCCAAGCCACAACAACTGAAAGGGGGTATCTAAGCACTGCCGCTCAGGACTGGGTTGCTCATGCCAAGCGTGGTGTGGCCGGAACGAACGTTGCCGTCAGTTAAACCGCCGTTGGCAGCTCCGGATGCGTTCTTCAAGGAGTAGTCATTGGCCGAGGTGGTGTTGCCAAATGACTGGTCAACTTGGCTGCTGAAGCCAGAAGAGCCGTTGGCCTGGTTGTAGCCTTGTCCCGTTGAGCCGTAACCCTGACCACCCTGGCTGTAACCCTGACCACCCTGGCTGTAACCTTGACCACTCTGGCTGTAACCCTGACCACTCTGGCCGTAGCCCTGCTCAGTTCTTGGCTGAGCTTGACCGAAGGTAGATTGGCCCGCCTCAAGATTCTGGGCACCTTTCACACCACCCGAGGCGGCATTGTGTGGCTTTCGGCCAACCTTGGCAATGGTAGGAAGGTTTCTAGTCTCAGCTGCTGAACCAATGCCAAAGATAGGTGACTCCCATTTGTCGCCCTTGGCGGCAAGTTGCTTGTATTCGGTGGCCTTGGATGAGATGCCGCCTGGTAGCTTGATCTCGGGGAAGATGGAGTCCATCTGGGTCATGGCAACGTTAGCCTTCTTATCGGCAGCGGCGTCTTGAGCCTTCTGTTGTTTCTTGGTGAAATTGTTCTGGGCGGCGGTAACATAGCGGCTGTAAATGTTTGGCGCGTTCTCCGGGTCGTTCTGAGCAGCGCGGCCGGCCTTGTCGGCCTCTTGGTAAATGGCATACGCTTTGGCATCGGCGTTGTGCACTTGATCCTTGATCAACTTCTCAAGAACCTTGCCAACAGCGGGTCGAAGAACGGCGAACATCAACGGTCTGAAAAGGTTGAAGAGGGTCTTGTGCTTGGATTGCTTCAACTTGATGGTAAGGCTCTTGATATCGACGGTGACGGTGTTAATCTTGAAGAAGTGTTGACGGTCAGACTTGTCCGCAGTCTCCATAGCTATCTTGAAGCTGAAACCTGAGCCACCCATAAAAATGTCCATAACACCAGTGTCCTTGAGAGAGGGGAAACCCTGTTTCTTGTGGACGTAATAGCTGACGTCTTTCAAGTCCATCTGAACGCCAGATACCGAGACCATGACCTTACTCTTGTTCTTGCTGGTGACGGTCTTGCGTCCCCAGCGGAAGTAATTGTCGCTACTGAATTCGAACGAGTTGGGTGCAAGGTTGTCGCTCTCGATGACCAAGTTCTCAATGATGGCGTCGATCATAGGGTCGGTGTACTCGATCCTAGGGACAGGCACGTAACGCACGCTCTCAAAGATACTAGGAATGATTACAGTGCTAAGATCCTTAAGAAGGTGCGGCTTGAAAGTGGGCTTGCCATTTTGGTCATTGCCGAGGTCGTTGAACAACTTTTGCATAGACTCGGCGAAGCGATGGTTCTGTGCATCTTCGTCGAACTGTTGGCCGAAGAACTTGAACTCATCGAGAACGCGGTTGGTGTGGTCGCGGTAGCGCTCTTTGAGGAGGAAGTTGCCCTTGTCGGACAGCTCATTCCATTCTTCGGTCGCACGGTCTTGCATGATGAAGCCAGACTCCTTCAGGCATTTGCGCACGTAGCGGTCTATTGACTTGAACCATCCTTTGAGCTCGGGATCCTTGTCAGCATCACGGTAGACGGCATTGATCGAGTCAACAAGATCATCGGCCGATGTAGAGTTGGCGAAGCGCTCGAGTAAAGTCTTGATGGAGGTCAGCATTCCGCTGTTCTCGGACAGGAAACCTAGAACGGACCTTTAAATCAGTCTCAGCGGACGTCAAAGCGGTATCGCTATGTGCACCTTTCACGGTTCCTGCACCCTGTTGAGAAAGATTCTTGCTGTGTCCTCCGTACTCCTCGGCAAGAGAGAGAAGTGTCTCAACCGACTGCTGGTCTAGAGATGTGTTAGTCTGAAGCATCTTCTTGGTTCCGATCGTGGCTTACAGTCTGAATGACTCTGTATTTCAACTATCATCTTCTTCAAGCGAAAGATGGTTTGATCCCGACGCTCCTTTGGCACCTTTTCCCTCATGTAGTTCTTGGTCCTATCACGGCCATCGCGCGCCTTGTCCTTGGTCTCGTCTGGAATGTTCGCCGAAGCTTGATCACGAAGGTTGCTCGCCGCATTGTTGGCACCGGCGCGAGGATCCATTTTCGAATCAGTTCCCTGATCCCGGGACTCGGCTTCGAGCGCCGCAGCATCTGCAGGGTCACGAGATCCCGATGGGTGGGCGGATTGGGTGGCATCCCCAGCTGCATTTTGCACATCATTACGAGAAAATGGCTTCTGCTTGTTGTATTGGTCCTTGGCTTGAGACTTGAGGTTGGAAGCGCTCAAGTTAGGGACATCGTGCCACGTATTATCATCGGCTGGATCGTCAATCTGGTTTAAGGCATCTTCGGATGGGTTGATCTTGGTGGCGGTTTTCTGGGCGGCGTCACCAGCGATGTCGCGGAGCAGGACGGAAGCGTCACTCACTGGGAAAAGATATCAGCATTGCATCGGAAGGGGAAGAGAGGGGAAAGATAGTGCTTACAGAGCTTCCGGAATTGACCGTTGGAGAGTACAAGCGTGCCGAGCGTCCTCAGACCTTCAAGAGCCTGGTTGCCGTGCTGCTGAGCGGTGTTTCTATCGATTGGTGCTCCTGGCAGCTTGGTTTGACCACCGGAGACCTGGCCAGTTTGGTAGATGAAATCTTGCAACAGGTTGCCCTCATTCTTGGTCAGAAGCAAGACCTTGGCTTGCTCGATGACATTGCGAAGGTCAGCCACAAGATGACGGCCTTCTTCCGAGAGCTTGGGCGAGGGACTGGACAGGGCTTTGGATGCGACGGCGGAGTTCAGGGCAACATCAATTTGTTTGTTCTGAAAGACAAGAGATTAGCATGCAAGGACATGGGACAGATGAATACTGATGACTTACCGATGGGACTTTGCCATTTGCGAAGGCTATTCGGATGGAAGATGTCAGCCGGTAATTCCTCCGCAGATCACGTTACCCAGCGAAAATGCAGCGCGATCACGGGCGCACGTACCTGAGTAGATGCCATATAGCTGAAGCTTTTGATTCACATCGGCCTCTTTTTGCTTGACCTGCAAAGAATCAGTAGGATATCCTGAATGGAACACAGGCGGAGGCGGTCACATTTGTTGGGCGGTTGACGGTCGTCATGGTAGTGGAAGGAGCTTTGTTGCTGTGCTGTGCTGTGCTTTGCTGTGCGAAGATAACGACACTGGGGGGTGGGGGGGGGTATCAAATGCAATTAGAAGGTTGTACAATTAAAAGGCTCTACTTGACTATGTTGTTGCCAATAGTAGAAGAGGAATGTGATAATTGATTTTGGAGGAGTTGTGTGATGAAAAAGAGAGATGCAGTGTTGAGGATGGAGAAGTTGGGTTTTGGGCGTCGGGTCAGGGCGTGATGGGAATTATTTTGGGTCTTGGCACTGAGAAAACAAGGCAGGGGAGATGGAAGGGGGGGGAAAGAAGGATCGACCGAATAGCAAGATGAGGAGAGAGGTCAAGGACTAGGAGAGAAAGCAAAAGCGGCAAGAAGACTATCAGTCGGTTGGCAAATTCTAATTGGTCAAAATGATGAACGCAATCTCCTCTGAGTCCTGAGTCCTCCCCTTTATTGCCCTCAGCCCCTTAATTGCTTGCTTTTCTTTTCACCCTCACGGCTCCAAGTTTCACCTCATTTCAGGCTTAGGCGAAACAGAATCTCCACGTCATCATCACCATTACATAGTACTTTTGAAATCATTAAAGTATTAATTCTCCATTCGGCAAAATAACAAAACGCGTCCACCTCAAACTAAAGTAATATTAAATGACGTGACGCCGTCTATTGACTGCTCCTAAGATCTCGTACTCCTTTTATTATAAGTTAGCCACCATACTTTACTCATGTCGATTGGCCTGCTACTTGATCCGGTCTGACCCCTCAATGCATGTCCTAACTCCCTGGCTCCCAGCCCGTTGCTGTAATTTAGCCGAATGCTGCAGCTGATGCAGAGGCGATAACTGCTACTCGTATGATCAACGATCTGGCGCAGGCCATTTCGTCATTATGGCCCGCTCATAACGCCCTTGTTCAGACTTCGGAGCGATGATGCGCTTGGCTTCACGAGCCACGCTTCCTGCAGAACGCCACACTTATCGTGGCTGATCTCCACATACGAGGCAGCAAAGCGCGCCAGTTATCAGCAATAATGACAACTGCTCTAGTGACGTGCTTGGGAACTACCTTAGGTACCTAGTCGAGATTCAAATAACACCGAGAAATGAAAGTCACGTGATCAAATATAAGCCCTGACTCCTCAGGGGACATCGGCTTGTATTATTGAAGCGGCAGCAAGTGCTGGACTGACAGAGTGGAGGAGCTACGCGTTCATTGCGCCTAACATAGCCAGGCATCGTTGCTTTTGTCGAAGCAGCACCAGTAAGCAGACATCTATGCGATGCCTTTCTATAATACAAAGGCATCCTTCGCAGTCGTACATACCAAGTCTCTGTGCCATGATACCTGCTCGTAGTTAATTGAAAAAACCCAAAGCTTAAGCGGCGTTACATACTTTGGAATCCTACCAACACCTCAGCGTCAAGCGGTCTCCATAAGGCCTCAGTCTACGGAGAAATACGGTAAATGTACGTGACTGCTCGTCTCTGCCAATGTACCGGAATCCCATCATTCCATTCCTTCTTGTTCATCAGATCTTCAAAGTAAAACTTCGGAGACCATACCCAACTATCTGCAATCTTTCGATAGCCGGTAGCCCACGTTTCGTATGTTCTGTATACCTGCTGCATCGTCTTTTCTCTTTTTTTACTGTCATGTTCTGCTTGACCCTTGGACTTCCCATATCTGACGCAATTCTATGTCCAGAAGCCAAGAAAAAATGTGCAGATTCCTCGTGTACAAAGGCAAAGATGAGATCCTCCTCTCAAAGCTCATCCTCGAACCACAGCATTCAATCCTGACTCAGTCCTACGACTCACGCCTACGCATGGTAAGCAGCCATGCAAACGTCACTTCGCAGGGAAGTGAACCCCAATTGACGACACTTTCTACGGTCTAGGACCACCGCCGCCCTCACAACGGCGACGGCTTCGGCATTGGCTACTACACACCACCAACCCTCGGACCCGACCCCTGCATTTTTACCAGCACAACGCCCGCTTGGAACTGCATCAATCTCTCTCGCCTCGCCTCCAAAACCACATCCTCTTTGATCTTCGCCCATGTACGCGCGACGACCGAGGGCAGCCTTTCCGACTCGAACTGCCACCCTTTCTCCCACGGCAGTCTCATGTTCATGCACAACGGCAACATTGCCTGCTGGAGACATGTCAAACGAGAAATCGCGTTGAGCGTAGGGCAGAAATGGTTCGTGGGAGTTCAAGGAAATACTGACAGCGAATGGGCTTTTGCCCTCTTTCTGGACTGTCTGGAGAAAGCCGGCTTTGACCCGGACAGTGAGGAGTACACGGCCAATGGTTTCGGGCACACGGTGCTCAGGAAGGCGATGCTTCGGACGATCAAACTCATCAACCGCTTCGTGGACGCCACACCGTCGGAGCTGAGGGACGAAATGATGGATAAGCGGAGTCTTCTGAACTTTGCCGTGTCTGATGGTCATAGCGTCGTGTGCACGAGGTACGTGAGCAGTACCACCGACGAAGCCGCATCTCTGTACTTTTCCTCCGGTACGAGCTGGAAGCAGGGCGAAGGACCGGGGCAGTACAAGATGGAGAGGAGAGACAAAGGGGCCGATATCGTGCTCGTGGCTAGCGAGCCCTTGACTTTCGAGAGAGGTAGGACTTCCGTGCCCCCCTTTAACATACTGTGTTTGGGTGCCTTGTTCGGAGTCCTGACAAAATCCTGGCAGACAATTGGGTCACTGTCCCCACGAACAGCACCATTACAATACACAAACAAACAGTCATGATCCACCCTATCATCGACGAGTACTACAATCACAGCCCTTCATATACGAGATCAAGTGGCTTTGCGGTGAGCAAAGGCCTCGTTAGCAACGCGCCAGGGGCTACGCAGGCAATCACGCCTGGGAATTTGGGGAACGCTGTAGCAACGTAAGGTTGGAACGACGTTGACATGAATCCGTAATGACAATCATCTCCAAAATTTCGATGCCACAATGCACTGCTCTATGCTCTATGCAACGCTAAGACTCCAACTCTAAATGGTATCATGCCGCGTTCATAGCCTCGCCGCCAGGGCACAAGCCTCTATGTGCATTGAGAATCCTTCGTACTCAAAAGCGATCCAAATCAAACTGTACACTGACCTCCCATCTCGTCCCTCCACCTCCGTATCCACCACCCAATCTCCCCTTCACTAATCCTGTCACTCTGTCCCTCAGTCTGCTCAGCCCCTCCTCGCTACCCCTGACCCTCAGCGTCAGACACGCCATACACAGCCCATAATGTACCTGCCAGAACTTCGCACCCTCGATCGCCGTCACCGACGGGTCGGACTCTATATCGCGCATTATATCGGCGACAGTGTTACCGCTGTCATAGGACATGAGGAGCATGAAGCCGAGGGTGCGCACGAGACGGAAGCCGAGGATGCACATGGATAGCGCGATGGTGGTAGAGAGGGCACGGTCGAGCCAGAGGTAGACCTTTATGCTCAGGAGAGGGAGGAGAAGCAGAAGAAGCGAGCAGGAAATGGTGAGGAAATGCGAGGGGTTAGCTAGGATCGACGGTAGAGATTCGATATAGGCGAAGCGCATAGCTTTTCCTATACGGGCGTGATTCTTGAGGCCCAAAGCGGATACGAGGGTAGCAACGATGGCAAGCACAGAAGCAGAATCGACTTCGCCGGCTGATACTCGCTCATGGCCATGGCTGTGGTGAGCCTCATGCGATCCCAGACCCTCGAGCACATGCTGTAGATTGTGAGAGATGAGATCTAGGCCCATAAAGAGAAGGAGGACCGACATGGCGAAGCCGGCGAGAACTTCCGCGCGCTCGAGTCCGAAGGGATGCCGTATTGAAGAGCGTTTCCACACTTCAAAATTGCCGAGTATGTCCACGACAACGCAGAGCATGGCGCCCAGGGAGTCAAAGAGGATGAGGTGGGAGAGGGCAGTGAGGGCGAGGGAGCCTTCGGCTGACCATAGAGTGTAGGCTGCGACCGCCATGTGGCATATTGACCACCAGAAGCGGGTGTTTTGATCTTTAGACATGGACTTCTGGCATTCTTTGAGAGTAGGGATGGGTAGGGAATTTGGGAGAGCAAGAGGAGCGCGCGGTTCGTGTTCAAGGAAGAATTGGTGTGAGACGCTGCTGTGTTTATACTTGTGGCCTCTTCTTTGGCCGATGTTCTGGAAAAAAGGGGGGATTAGTACTATTGATGTGTAAATGTTCGAAGTGGGCGATTTACAGATTTTGTGACTGGCGCTTTTGGCATCAACGAAGGCTGGAAGTTGAATACGCCCTTAGAGTCCTCCACCATGAGTGTACTGCCGTAGCTTGTATTGCTTTCGACGGACATGGGACTGTTCATGGCATTTGGGTCGGAAGTACTCAGGGGGAGAGTCGTTGTCGCATAGCCATCCCTTGAACTGTACCGTTGGACAGGGAAGTTCTCATCCATGGGTGATAGGGAGCTAGGATCGAAGACCGACTTGGTGGGAGAATTGGCGAATCTGTCCAAGTCTCCATCTTCGTCGAGCGGAGGAGTAGGCGTTCGAGGGGGAAGGAGAATGGTGGGATGCTCTGAAGCCATCGCTGCTTTGTGGAGGTTATCTAGCGCCGTAGTATCATTGTTGAAAGCAATTCATTATTGAGCCGCTTGCAGACACAAAATGGTACGTCGAACGTATTGAGACAACAGGAGACTGCTCTTGGAGTTGGGTGTCTGTTGATCAAAAGCACCTCGGAGATTTCGGCGACATGACTCCCGCATGGGTCAAGAACGGCCTGACGGCTGACAGCAGGCCTAACGGTCTTCCACAAAACCAGAAGATGCTGTTCTTCAGCCTATCTTGAAGGTTTAGCAGTTGTTAATCAACATGATACTGAGGAAAGCTTGAGTATCTTGACCCAAGATGCTTGGGTTCATGGACTACGTCCAGAATGCCTTCTACGAAGCATCCCGCTGGGACAGGGACAATTCATATGGCACGTTGACCGCAACATCTAGAAGTAGGTATACATATCAGACAATATTTTCAATTGTGCCTCCAGCTAACTGTGATAGATATCCTCGACTTCTCGACGCCCGAAGGCCTCCGCTTTCACGTCTCCTCACTCTCCTCTCCCAATTTTGCTACATCATATACTCTGGGCAGCATCGGCCTTGTAGATGGTTCGCTCTCATACCTCTACTCATCTTTGCCTCTACCGAGACTCGCCGCCAAGAGCAGTGCCATTGATCTCCATCATCTCGTTCCCGGCTATCGCCAATTGCAGGATCTGCGCCAGCCTGATGAGCCTTGGTGGTGGGAGATATGGCACCAAGGGAAACGAATAGATCGACGAGGTTAGTCAGTCCTCATGGAAGGCTTTCCGTACACTTTCGCTCATCGTCTTATTTAACAGAGGCTTTACTCTACGGCCGTTTATTCTTGCCTCGTTCTACCCTCGAAGCCCTCTACCTTCGGCGCTTGAGCCCCAAGACACAGCTCAAAGTATCCTGCGTCAGCGACTCTCGTCTGCCCAATGGCGGCACGATTCTTGCTCACCTCCAGCATGACGCAGCAAAGCATAATACAGAATACATCTACAGCACCGATAGCGCGCTGTTCGGTGTTCGTGGGCTTTACAATTTCGGACCTGATCCTGCTCCTACGCGCCCTCTGTTTGAAGCTTCGCCTGACTCCACTATTTCTACGGCAAATGAGGCAGCGGCACTTACCACAGCCCAAACTCCCAGCCAACCGCATGGCCGTTTCTCAGCAGGCGGTGAGATCTACTACGGCTTGCTCAACAAGTCAGGTGGTATATCAACTGGCTTGCGTTTTGCTACCCTACCATCTCACACTGGCTTCCCGTATACGATGACCCTGACGCTGAATCCACTCATGGGTAACCTGAGTAGCACTTACTCTGTGCTTGCCTCTCCATTACTTGCGCTGAGTTCTCGATTTGACTTCAACGTATACTCGTATGAAAGTGAACTGCAGGTTGGCACAGAACTATGGCGGCGGAAAGAGAAGCCATTAATAGAAGATCTCAACTGGGCGCGGCTGAAAATGGGCCAGAAGATTCTTGATGATCCATCCAAGGATTTAGACAATCCGAATGGCATGGCAGGATGTTTCAAGGCGCGTGTTGATCAACGGGGCGGCTTAGGACTGCTCTGGGAGGGAAGAGTGAAAGAGCTACTCTACAGTTGCGGTGCCACGATCGATCTTAGGGGTGGAGAGAACATGTTCAGAGGCTTTGGCGTTGAGGTCCAGTATTCGTCATGAATCTGAGGCCATTCCTCATTCGCATCTCACCTTTTGACCGCTTTATGAAAAGAATGGAAGCAGTGACCGTCTGTTGGCTAGGCTTACCAACTTCAAGCCATGTCTTCACCATATATTGGAACAGGGGAGAGCGAATGCCACCAATTACCGCTCTCCACTGAGGAAGACATCACTCGCTTGGGATATGCTGCTCTATCTGGCTGATTGATCTCGATTCCAACACGAGCCGGAGTCGGACTGTTCTGAGGATTTCTGCACCTGTGGTCAATCATTTCAATAAACAGGCCAGGTGCCAGAACAAGTGGCAACCGAAGCATTATAAACCCTAAAAATGTCGACCACTGCAAGATCAACGCGAAGATTTTTCCGTCATCTTACGCCCTTTCAGAAGCTATCTCAATGATAAACGACTAGTCTTTTCATGTTGAATAACATGAATTCAGCCCCTCAGACCACCTCCATTTTGACAGCTGGCCTACCAACCTCCACGCCGGCGTCTTTCTCGAAGCAAACCTTGAAATCTTCTCTCGATATCACTATGTCCAGTTCTTGTTTGGAAATCTAACTTTCAGGAACGGTTGGACAGATGTGTAATAGTGCCAATCTCGAACCAGGGAAAATAGAGAAACCCAGAGATCGATATACACTGCACCCTCATCCGAAGATCATCGATCATTTGTCCCCTTAAAACCTGATCTCTGCGCTGTTGGCTCTCGTGTTCTTCGCTGTGAACGATGTTAAAAGCTCTTTGTAACCAATTCACTGGTTGACAAAAGACGATTTGTGATCTTGTTCCTTCTGACCATGCTATAGCTGATAATGCGAGCTTGAGTATTTCCAGCAAGCTCAAATACATGTTTATCGTTGCCTCAGGGTCTGAGGGTAATGACAAGATCAAGCTTGCATATGCAGGTCATGAATGAGGTAGCACTTGTGGAGGAAGCTATCAAAATTGCTTCGCGAGCAATTATGACAGAGGCACAAGGACTTGATCTAATGATACCGGCAGAAAGCGAGAACGGCTGTCAGAAGATGACCCTTCTTCATACTCTTTTCACTCTCGTACGCTACGCTTGTCCTGGAAACGGCACAACCTTATGGTCAGGCTCCTGTATATCTCGCCTCTCTCTTTCCTGTTTCTCAAAATTTGGCAGCATATTGTATTCAGTCGAGAGCAGCACTTTGGCAAGATTGACGCGAAACGTCTCGATGGTCTCATAAGGACAGGAGACCACAGAACAAAACATTGATGTGCTGTAGACTCACGAAAAAGGAGCGAGATCAGGTTTCCACATTCTACTCCTCAAAGTATCAAGATGTGGCAAACTTCAAACTTCGAGCTGGTACAACACTTTCTGTATGCAAACAACTCAATTGTATAGACACATTTCCACTATCTTCTCCCCCTATTCCAAGACCACTGCTGTCATCTCCTCTACTTAAAAATAAATATATATCTTGAAACGGTCATGCTGGTGAAACGCAAAAGCGTAAAAGCACAAGTCTTCCCGCATTCACATCCGTGAAGCTCAAAGCATTGACCGCCTTCTTCCTTAGTGTTATGCGTGCTTCGCAGCACGTCACGTGGAGACGTATTCATATGCCGAACCTCGTCAACCCAACGTCACTCCCAAAACCCTCACCACACCTCCACCATAGCCGTCTTTAGCATCTTCTGAACCGCTCACCATACCTCATCCATCGCTATCTTTTAAAAAGCGCCCTCGACGATGGCAATGATTCTGCAATGCGTCGGGAGTGATGGCAGACCATTACCATACTTCTTCAGAGGACCTCCCGGAAAGCTCAACACCTCTGCTTGTTTGACGTTGGACTACAGTTATCCCTGCAGCTACCACTGCATCGGTTTGTGCATGCCATGGAAAGCCGGCCATGCCACGGCAGTGGCACCGATGATCCTGGTGGATAAAGCGAGGCTGTTGGCGGAGGACGTACGTACTCACTCTTCCTGCTTTGCTGGAAGGTCCACGTTGGTTCTAACGCTCTTTTCAGCAAGCAGAGTTCGGGGTGCAGCCGTATGCGGACTTGAAGCCAGACGAGAGAGCCCAGTGGTGGCGCTATTACGCCCGTGAGTAGAAGCCTCGTGCCTATTTTGATGATGGGTGCCAGTTTCCTGAGCTGATACTCGCCCTCATCCCAGGATTAGCGGCCGTGGGCATGGACCACGACCCCGACGATCCGCAAAATGGGAAAACTCGAGCTAAACTTCGAAAGCTGCGTGGGCTGGCGATCGGAAGGCATGATTGGTGGGCGAGCAAGCGACCGTTGGCACCAGCACCTCCGCCGCCGCCAAATGCAGGCATGCCATCAGCTTGAAAGGCGTACGTGAAGGGATCTATCCAAGGAAACCCATCTACCTAACGGCTCCATCACAGCTGTGCGGCAACAACTGCAACGAAGCCTTTCATGGGAGCCGGTGCCTCTGCAACACACCTGCAGTCCCTTCATCACCGTACGCACCACCGTCATCCTGGAAACTCCGCGGATACTCCCATCAATGTCCGGTATCTGCTCTGATTGTTGAAGAAGTTGCATGAGTCATTTAAAAGCGGGAGCGCCGCAAGGGTTCCCAATGTCTGCAGAGATTTGCGAGACTTGGTAGCATGGAAGGAGGACAGAAAGGAGGAGATCGGGGCGCCATTGCCACTACTCGATCAACCGTGGCGGAGCACTGGCATCCAATCGGGCTGGTTCAACATGGCAAGGGGGACCGAGATGTATTTTTACTGCATTTCAAAATTCAACTCAATTATACTGGTGATACTGTAGGTAGCGTACCCAAAGTCTTTGAAAAAGCCTTCACGATAGGGTGAGAGCCTGGCCTTGTAGATATGCGCTGAATCCTTGAATCCACTCGTAGTGTTAAACACATGCCTTAGTAGAGGCGTTCACTTCGCTTCACACATATTAATCGACTTCACACATCGGTCGACTTCACATTAGTCGACTTCACACATCGGTTGACTTCACCTTAGTTGATTCACATATCAGTCGACTTCACACATCGGTCGACTTCACATTAGTCGACTTCACACATCGGTTGACTTCACCTTAGTTGATATATATATCGGTCGACTTCACATATCGGTCGACTTCACATATCGGTCGACTTCACACATCGGTCGACTTCACATATCGGTCGACTTCACCTTAGTTAATTCACATATCAGTCGACTTCACAGTCACCGAGGCCTATTTAATCTCATTTCTCGGCGCCGAGCATTCTTCATCGACAACAACAACCACACCTACCTTTTCACCATGTCTGACCAAGACCCAGACCGTTCACCTCGCCGCGTTCTCCCTCCTCAACCTTATCAGCTCCTCGATAAGAATGACGGATTCACGCCATACTACGTGCCACCCGCAGAAGCGAACCGTTTCCCCGGTCATGTCACCCCTTACCTGTCCAACAACCTGAAGCATCCGGCCGAGGAGTTTGCGGGGCCGCGTAACCTATTCCCGGGCAGTGACCCCATCACGGATGCCAGACAGGGGGTATGTTACCCCTCGTCTTTGCCGTTTATGTTGTTCACAAGCTGATCAGTGTACGTGTAGGATGGCGAGAGGCCCGGCCAATTGAGCTACGAGCAGGTTGCAGCCCTGAAAGACGTCAAGGATATGACCGTTGTCGAGAGGCATGCACGTGATGTTTGTGGTCCCATCCTTTGATTTTGTCACAATGACTGACTTGCGCATCTTCAAACACAGGCGAAGGAGTTCACTACTTCCCCGCCCGATGCCCTCCCGCAGGCTCAGAAACAACGCTGGGCTCAACTGTACACAGGTAAGCTTCCCGGGCTCTTCGTTGTTACTGGATTTCATGTTTGTCCTTTTCAGGAAATAGCTGACGAGAAAACCACGAATCAGAGCTTTTTAAAATGCATGGGGAGTCCGAGGATAAGGAGAAAAAGCCGAAGGACAAAAATGAAATTCCAGATCAAGATCCGTACAAGATACGTCCCCGTGCTGAACTGCGCAAGCTCAAGGAGCTGGCAGACTTGGCTGGAGGAAAGCCGGAATGAGCGGACTTGACGAGCTGCATGCAAGAAATTTGAGGAAAGACACAGGCAGAATGAGGAGCAATGGCATGTGAAAAGAGGACATGCAATACTTAGCTTGCAGATAGAATTGGAATGAAAGAATTGCTCCCTGCCTCATGATGCTTCCGACTGTGCTCTCGGCTATCTTAATCCAGAACATTGTAGGAAACACTGATCGGTCAAGATCATACCTCACCCATCATCCAGCTGTTTACGACATTCTTACGATTTCTTACCCAAAGATTTGTCAAGAGTCCTGGATTCCATCCCTGAAGTTTCTTCTCTGCAGCCCCTGTTTCCCCATGAACATCTCCCTACCAGTCTGGCTCACTCGTTTCCATTCCTCCAAAAGCACCATGATCTCAGATCTACTGTCCTCTACAATTGCATCCATCTTGATATCATTTCGGTCATAGCCAAAAGGATCTTCCAACTGCATGCCAATACCATCGATACCGTAGAGTGTAAACATGACAAGTACGACAATAGGCACTGCCCACCAGCTCATGTCCTCGACAAGGGCGAAGGGCAGCACGCAGCCAAAGAGCGCCAAAACTTGTTTCTGATGGATCCTGAGCTTCGATCAGTAGAGAATCCTTAGGGCGAAGAAGAAAGGGTTCGGAGCTCACAGATGAGCAACTGGAATGCTGGTCAATCGTATCGTCTCCATCCGCCCATACGCATCTGTCAATGTATTCAACTGCACCTGCATCTGGCTGGCCTGCGGCCCGTGGAATATGCCCTTGTCAAAGAATTTCTTGATATACTGTTCCACAAAGAAGGTCAATTGCAGGGGCAGTCCTACACCTCGGCCATCCAACCCCGTCAGTCCTTGGGGCAGCAGCTCGCTGTATTCTGGTATATGCGTAGCACTACCAGTGTTCACGCTGATGGCTGTGCCTGGTATGATTTCGGCACCCCATTCCGCTCGTAGGTGATTCTTCGTGGCATAGAGTATTGCAACTAAGATGCGGACAACGCGTTCAGTGTCGGCTCGGTCCGCGAGAGTTTGGTTCGTACTGGAAGTGATGGCGCTACAGGCCAGAAAGGAGCGTGTAAGATTACGGACGGATGTAATGATCACAGTGAGGTAGTTGCGGCCGTCCCAAAAACGGTTGTAGCACGTCTGGTTACGGAAGACCTTCGTGGCTTAGGCTCAAATTACAGATCTCTCAAAAAAGAGACAATGGGACTTACCAGCATGAGACCAACGACGATTGACAAGCTTGGGATCTGGAACGCTGTTAGCCTGCCGCTGTATGGAGGCATTCCCTGCTTGTGCTGACATACGATGCTTGCTGGAAGGCCTAATCTTCCGTCTAGATGCTGGTCAAGAAAGACGACCAAAGCAGCGAATAAGCCATGCAGGGCCACTGGCAGTATGATGGCACCATGAATGGCGCCCTTAATAAAGCGAAGGGCAAGTGGCCATCTTCAGTATACATCAGCATTCATGTCCCATATGTGTAGCTGGGTGACTGGACCTTCTCGGCTTCTGTCTGGTTGAACGGGCAAAAGGAATGGTGGGTTGCCGCTGATGATGTCTGCCCTCATCATTTCCATTAATATGATTGACCATAGTGTCCTGTTGTACTCGGATCCAACTTGCTCAGGCTGTTTCTCATCGCCTTTTGTTGAACGGGGCATTACTGAAAGGAACAGTTCTGGGTTTGTCGCTGCACAGCCGGTCGACGTTTTCGGCCGTCATTGATTTGAAGAATGTTGGACTGAGACACGATAGTATGGTATTGTATGGTATTGTATGATATTGATAGGTTGGTAAGAATGACACTGGCCAGTGGGAGGCAGGAGAAAAATAAAACCGGAGTACTATAGGTATCTAATACCGTAATATATTATTCTTATGTCTCCAAGTGAGAGGAGTCGGAAAGAAATCACTAGAGAGGACGTTTGTTTCACGATTCTTGGCACTTGTCTCAGTTGTGGCTGTGCCCCGTGCCCTGTGGTTGTGGCTGTGGCTGAAAGCCGAAAGCCGAGGAAGCCATCCGAACTCTAATTCCATCAATCATGCACTCAGGAATAAGAAGATCATGCTTTAAAGCCGCTGCAACGAGGGCTAAATAATTAATTAAGATTAGAGAGCTAAGGGGTTTAAATGATGATAATAATTTATAGTTTTTATGTGGATGGGTAGGTAAAAGTTGAATGTTTTGCCTCTGGTGGGAAAACCTCTCCTCTCGGTCTCTTGGCTTGTCTCTTTGTCTTGGCTGTGCCTGCCTGGGCTGTGGCTGTGCTACCTCTCCTCTCCCCTCCCTCTCCTCTCCTCTCCTCTCCTCTCCTCTCCTCTCCTCTCCTCTCCTCTCCTCTGGTGCCTCTGCTCTCCTCTCCTCTCCTCTCCTCCCCTCCTTTCTCCGTCCCCGCCTCTATTTGTGCACTATCATAGCAAACATCACATAGCAAAGATGGCGTATGCTTGCAATACAGGACAAGCAGTTACTGCACTAAGCCCGAAGCCCGTTCCAATTGGCAGCAATTGGCCCATCACCACATCTCCTCTACAGAGCTTGGTCATCATGGCTTGCTTCCACGCGTCCCGAACAACGTGTATTTCCGTAAGGTCGCCCACAATCTCGCAGTCTGTCCATGCTTCTGACAACATTGAAATGGCGTCCGTGACCTTCTATGGCTCGGACATGCCAATTGTGAGGATTCTCCACTCAGCCATGGTGGTCTGCATTCCAGCGACGATACCAATCAAGGCAATCGGCGTTCGCAACCGATGCAGACGTCTTAACGTTGGTGCCACATAGAATTTGCTTGACAGCAACCTCGACCCTGGACACTACATTAGCTCTTTGATGTCAAAGTCACGATGAAGAAGAGACGTGAAGCTCACTTCTTGCCGTTGATAGTGACTGGAACCTCTGGGCATTCATCGACAACCCCTGGTACATGTCTTGCACTAAGCTCTTTCCGTATGACTGATTTGACCTTCTCCCTGAGCTCGCCTGAGAACTTTGCCCCTCGAGCCAACCTCAGAAAGAGGACAACAGTCTCGTCAGTATCACCTTCTCGTCTCCTGCCAATGCAGAGACCATCTTCGATCTCCGAAAAATGCTTCAAAATAACATTGTAGATCTCCGAGCTGCCGAATCTTACTCCAGCGGGCTTCAGGACGCCATCACTGCGTCCAAGCATGATTAAACCGCCTGTCCGTGGGTTGAATCGAACAAAATCACCGTGATGCCAGACGTTAGGAAACACCTTGAAATAACTCTTCTTATACACCTTTTCGCCATCAGCACCGAAGAACATGACTGGTTGACAAGGGAAAGCTTTAACGCAGACCAGGTCCCCAGGTTCGCCAGAGTTGGTGACATCCTTGCCTTCGAAGTCCCAGGCTTCCACAGCCATTCCGAGGCCTCGTACTTGGATTTCACCTGCAAAGACAGGCGAGATCTGGGAGGGCGCTCCGAAAAGAGAGATGATATCCGTTCCACCTGTGATGCTTCCAAGATTGATGTCTGGGCCGAAAGCCTTGTAGACAAACTCGAAGGTGGAAGGAGCCAGAGGACTTCCTGTGCTGTATATTGCTTTCAAGGTCTTCAGGTTTACTTTTTGATTCGCCATGACACTCCTTTGTTCGAGCAGCGAGAGATACTTTGCACTCGTACCAAAGTGGGTTATGCCAAGCTCTTCGATCAAACGAGGCATGGCGAGGTCACCGCTACCTTTAGGGCCCAACGGTCGAAATGGAGACCCATCGTAGAGAACGAGGGTAGCACCAGTCGCCAGGCCGGATACAAGCCAATGCCACATCATCCACGTACAAGTGGTGAAATAGAATAGACGATCTCCCGGCCGGATATCACATTGGATATCATGTTCCTTTTTATGTTGGATCAACGTGCCAATCGCACCGTGAACAATGCATTTAGGCTTTCCCGTGGTTCCTGATGAATACAGTATGTACACTGGGTGGTCTGGCTGAAGCTGGACGAATTCAAGCTTGGCTTCATCTGATGCTGATTGAACAAACTCAGAATGGCTACAAGCTTTCCCATGAGCGACTGAGATGTCTTGAAGATCAATCTCATGACCAGGAATGGTTTCAAACACCACACAAGCCCTCAGTTGAGTTAGTTCTTGGGCAATGTCTTTCAACTTGTCGTGGACCTCATGCACCTTACCATTATACATCACCGCGTTGTCAGCAAACAGCACTACGGGCTGGATTTGCTGGATTCGATCCAGCACCGCATGGGTACCAGTGTCAGGAGAAATAGCGGTCCAAATAGCACCTATGGAAGTCGTAGCAAGCATCGCTAGCAAGGCATTGCAATGATTGGCAACATATGCAGCTACACAGTCTCCTTCCTTGATCCCTAGGTTTCGCAATGCTACTGACAGTTCTCGCACCCGCTCCCGGAGCTCACGCCACGATACGTACCCTCGCGAATTTTCATTAGCCTCGATCACGGCGAAGGAGTTCTCATTCGGATTGCATTTTGGGTAGAGAAGATTCTCGGCAAAGTTCAGTCTGGCATGTTGGAAAAAGGCAGGGCGGGGGAACATGGGAGCGGTTTCGTCGACAGCCTGACTTTTCTATCAACGAAGCCAACAATGGAAAAGAACCCCTTGGAGATCGATGGGTACCTTAGTAAAGGGCACTGAGGCCTTGATGCCAGTGAAATCCCACACTTCCTCCCAGAATCGATTTATATTTGAGATGGACCATTGGCGTAGTTCCTCGTAGGTCACAAATTGATGGTTGTATTTTCTTTCTATTCTGGTTTTGAAGTCATAAGTGCGTGTTTGTGTTGGACGGCTATGTGTCCAAAGACACTTGGCTTGGCAAGCGTCCATCTCAGTGACAGATTAGCGACAGTCCCCCTCCGACAGTCCCCCGTCTATACTAATGCAGCGTACCGGCTATATCCGCAGCCACCCGGCTTGATATAGTGGATATCTGACTGGTGGGTGCATTGTCGATATTTCTTTTATTCCACGATATAAATATCTAAATAGGACGTTACACCTTAACGAGTGAGGGAGGCCTCATGGTGTAGGTTTCCAGCGATGACTTTTACCACAATTCCAGGAAGGCTGTGAGTTCAAATCCACGATGTTAGCAGCAGCCCCACGGGGGCCCTGCGGCAGCCCTACGGGGGCCCTAGGGGCCCCCTTCAAGACCGAGCGGCCTACATACGTCAAGAATAGGCTAGACTTGAAGCCTTACAAGCCAAGCAGACCGTCACTCAGCCAGCTCACCAATCCACTCAGTTAGCCACTCAGCCAGAGCACTCAGTTAAACAAGAGGAGGAGTCACTACAACAGGCGAATGCGGAGAACACTGCGGAGAAATCAAGCGGCAGCAAGGCCCCCAGCACCAAGAACGCAGGCCTACTCTCCACGATCCCGCGTCAAGTCATCAATCAGCAAATGGAGAATACTACTACAATTTGGCCTGCTATCTCTACATGCCTAGGCAATATCGCATTGATATGGTATATCATTGAGTTGACGACGCAAGAGAAGGACCTACTGCGGCGGTCACAGCCAAATCACTATGGCCAATTGGGTCTCTTCAGGACGGAGTTCGGACGATGCATATTTGGACGAATTGAAACCGCCTGATGTCTTGTTTCGACAGCCATTTCATTATTCGAAAGATTTCACTGCGGCAGGGGCACCACAAATTGGCCTGGTGTCTCCATTCCTTTCCAGCATTTCGAAAAACCATGCATGCATACTTCTTGCCATGAGGACATGGCATTTCTCTGTTTTTTGTGGGCAATTGTCATGAGATGCCTCAGGGCTACCCATAGGGCCACAAGCGTAGGCTTGACACCGCACATATCTGCCCTGCAGGCACATAGAACAATCAACAAATTTACACCACACACATAATATGAGTCAAACCATAATGATTCCTTAACAATTTCATCCGAACTTGAAGTTTCTCACAATGTGGTGTACAGGGTTGGCGCGGCCCCTTATCTAAATTAGGTGGGGCCTAAAGCTTAGTGTGTAGATCGTGCGCGGGAGGCTGCATTAGTATGGACGGGGGACTGTCGGAGGGGGACTGTCCGCAGTTAAGTTGGTCCATCTCAGTGACAGATTAGCGACCGGGCTTATAGTAGTACATTCAAGAAAAGCTATTTGACAGCTCTGGCCCACAGATTCTACCCGCAAAAGCTATGAGTATGGGTAATACGTTCAGAAAGAATAGGGTACTGCAGAGAAGCGAAAGAGGTCTATGACGTTTATTATCATCTACGTCGTTCGGGATTTCTACAGGGGGGTATGACGGAATCGGCTCGGCAATATAATGTTCCGGCCCCCCAAAAATGTAGAGTCTGAGTACTGAGGCTCGTTCGGGATCCGGGGTATCAGCCCTACGGAGGAGGATGCCCTATTGCCAAGACAAGGAAATCACAGCCGGAAGCCGATGGTGCCGGGAAGTAGTGTGCAAGCAATGGCAATTTTGATTTGAATTTTTCCAATCAGCTACGAGTACGGAATAGTACTGGTATCTTGCTGTCTAATCTCCCCCAAGCATGCCTACCGAGCTGCGTAACATAAGCTGCTGACCCTTTTTATTAATAATTCCTCCATTCCTTCCTCTTCCTTCCTCTCTTGTACTGTACTGTCTCTCTCTCTTTGTTCATAAGCATTCGGGAAGCAGCGGGCATTATTACCATCTCGGTCCTTTCCTTTGAAGCGGCGCCACTCCAAGTACATTCCACTACTCTCTCTAAAACGGACCGCTACGAATCCATTGCGTCAGATCCGACCACTGGTGCAGTGAAGTCAATTCATTATGATGCAAGCAAACGATAGGACGCCTTCTTTCCGAAGTTGATAGGTACAATCATACCGTCGTGTGACCGACAAGATTGAAGACGCACCCAAATTGCCATCGTCCATCGAATTTTGGTTCTCGGTCTTCGGAAAGCTCATCTCTCCTCCGTCTTCCTCCGCGACTTCTTACTCATCTTGCCAGCGACGTGCCTTTTGGCATTGTTCCTACCCTCTCACCTCTACACATTAATCACTCTCCATAAGGAATTGGCTTGCCCGTACCAACTCTTCTACACGTTTCACTTCCACGTTGTACCTTAATAGATCGATTCCCGGCTGCTTCGCCTCGCAACACTGCCCGGACGAGGACGACAGCTTCCACTTCCCATTGATCAGCCTACGATTTCTCGAAACGCGCTTCCTACCTGGATTGACTCTTCTATCCTAATTGCAGAAGCAACCTACCCAAGTGTCCAGCTCGATAGCAAGCATCATGTCGCGCAGACTCATGAACCCCTTCGCAAGCACCTCCCCGTCCTCGACCACCACAATCATTTACAATGAGAAACACGAGCTTCCCCGGAGAGCATCTTCACCAAGGATAAAGAAATTTCCCAATTTCTTTTCAACCTCGCCAAAGTCGAAGAGCGAGACACAGACGGCTACAGCTGCGCTCCTCGCCGCCGCGCAGCAGCAAGCCTTTGTGAATTCGCCCTCCCAGCAGATCAGCTCTCCATCACTGTCATTACCGACCATATCCTTGTCTACAGCTAGGGCAGATAGTGCCAATATGGACGAACCACCAACGACACTGTTCCAGCCACCTTCTCCGGCAGAAGTGCGCAGAATAGCGAGGCAGCATGCGCAATTCGGTCCGCTGGGTCACCACACACACAGATATACCAGCCGCCACCATGGCGGAGACTTTCCAGAACCGGTCATGGACGAGCCTCCATACTACTACTTGCTTACAACGTACATTAGTTACTTAATCCTAATCATATTCGGTCACATTCGAGATTTCTTCGGCAAGAGATTTCACAAGGATCACTACCGGCATTTGCAAGCCATTGATGGCTACGCAGCATTGAACAACGGCTTCGATGACTTCTACGTCAGGCGGTTGAAGATGCGAATAAATGACTGCTTTGCAAGGCCAGTCACTGGAGTGCCTGGCAGATACATCACACTTATCGATCGACAGTCCGACGACCACAATCTCCACTTCAAGCATACCGGGACAACTACGGAGACATTGAACATGAGCTCGTACAATTACCTCGGCTTTGCCCAATCAGAAGGTCCTTGCGCCGATCAAGTCGAAGAGAATGTGAAGAGGTATGGTTTGAGCCTTGCAAGTACGCGTGCAGATGTTGGTACTTCAGATCTCCATGTCGAAGTGGAAGACCTGATTGCGCGATTCGTTGGGAAACCATCCGCGATGGTCTTTTCCATGGGTTTTGGGACAAACGCAACTGCTTTCCCTGCTCTCATTGGCAAGGGCTGCCTGGTCATTTCTGATGAGCTTAACCATGCATCAATACGCTTTGGTGCTCGTCTATCCGGAGCGACAATCACGATGTTCAAGCACAACGACATGAAAGATCTTAAGAGGCTTCTGAGGGAGGTTATATCCCAGGGCCAGCCACGGACACACAGGCCGTGGAAGAGGATTCTTGTCGTAGTGGAGGGCCTTTATTCTATGGAGGGCACAATGTGCAATCTACCTGGCTTGATCTCGTTAAAAAAGAAATACAAGTTCAATCTCTTTGTTGATGAGGCACACTCGATTGGAGCGCTCGGTCCGAAGGGCAGAGGCGTTTGCGACTACTTCGGTATCGATCCCTCCGAAGTCGACATCTTGATGGGCACCCTCACGAAATCCTTTGGCGCCAATGGAGGATACGTCGCGGCCGACAAAGCTATCATTGACAAGCTCAGACTCACCAATGCTGGATCAGTCTATAATGAATCTCCAGCGCCTGCTGTGCTAGCTCAAATATCTGCTGCCCTAAGGATCATCAGTGGCGAATTTGTTCCAGGTCAGGGCGAGGAACGTCTTCAGCGATTGGCGTTCAATTCACGATATCTCCGACTTGGGTTGAAACGCCTTGGGTTCATCGTTTCTGGTCACGACGACTCTCCGATCATACCTGTCCTCCTCTACAATCCTGCCAAGATGCCAGCTTTCTCACATGAGATGCTCAAGCGCAAGATCTCAGTTGTGGTTGTCGGCTACCCAGCTACGCCGCTCGTTGCATCGAGAGCCAGATTTTGTGTGTCTGCTGCACACACAAAAGATGATCTGGACAGACTGCTTGAAGCCTGCGACGAGATCGGTAACGTTCTGCAGATCAAGTTCTCATCTGGGATTGCTGGTGGTGCTGAGCCACTTCCGGAAGGAATCACACCAGAGATGGAGAAGGAGTGGAGGCGGACCGAAAAGGGTGGGCCACACGGCGAACTGGTCTACCAGCCGCCACGATGGAAACTGGACGAGGTGCTGAAGAGGGGCGTGCAAGATGTCAAGAGCCCGCTGAGGTGATCTTCAGCTCTTGCTCCTTGTCCGCACCAAACTCGCCTCCAGTTTGCGTAGCTCTTCTTTTCGGCACAAACATGGCGTCGACGATGCGTCCAACCTTTGATCACCTCTACCTTGAATTGGCGTGTGACCCATACGATCGTTGCTCCTTAGCAATCAATGGCGTTGCGTCCAGGCGCTCTACATTGGCATGGCCTTTGTTTGTTGGAGTTCGGCATCTAGAAGCCGAGAGTATGACGGAGGACTTCCTCTGTCTTTGCATTTCATACCTCTGGCTCGTTGCTGTCCACGCGGCGCCAGGGGTTTACCTCCACGAGCGACAGCTCTTCACGCATTCGCCACGGAGCTGGCTTCTGTTGCGATTGCGATACAGGATGGGTCGGGCCTTTGGCTTTTGTACAGTGGAGATCGAGAGTGTTTTCAGGGACTGGTTGTAATAGAATAGAGAATGGGTATCAATCATTATAGATAGCAATTGATCCCCTGTCAACATCACCTAAACGTCGTTGGTCCCTGGTTCTTTGCCTTCACATACGCATTGCATAGAGTATGAGTTGGCAGGCTGTCAGGCCGTTAATTCATCACATCCATTAATTCTGCTGATACCTGAAGTCAGCCCTATGATCCTATCTCCGACACACCATGAGGCTGTAGGCATCATCTCCCCCTTGCATTGCTGGCGTTGGGTATTCGACATGCTCATCTTCTTTTCTTCCCAAGCCAATTTCTCTGCGGCTTCCCTTGTTATATCTTGACCTTTCGAGTGGTAGATGTGAAGCTTACCACCCTCCAAAGATGGCCTCTACACGAAAACCGTCACCCGTTTCTAAGCTACGGATATCCTCCTTCATCAAGGCCATTTCTATCCTTGGCATCATCATCGTCATATTCAGTTACATCTACTGGGGTCACCTTGCGCGCATAAATACCGCTTTCGACTACCAGAAACTGCCCCCTTCTACAGAACTCCAAACCGACAATCCTTCAAGCCAGGAATGGACACACAAGATATGGCAGACGAGCAAATACCCAGTCGCCGCAATGAGTGAGGAGGACCGGACCCACTTCCAGACATGGACAGATTTGAACCCTGATTGGGGACATGAAGTGCTGACGGATGAGGTAATGGAGAGCTATGTCCGAGATCATTTCCATGAAACGCAGCCTGAGATGGAGGAACTATATTTCGAGGTCAAGGATTACATACTGAGATCGGATTTGATAAGGTACTTTGTAATGCTGGCAGATGGTGGTGTCTACAATGATCTCGACGTGGGCTGCGAAAAGCCTATCAGCACCTGGATACCCAAACAGTTCGAAGACACCGCTGGGGTCTTGCTTGGTGTCGAAGTCGACAACAAGTACGGACCTGACGGTAGGACTTTTACCAACGGAGAGGATCTCTTTGAATTGGTAAATTGGACCATCATGTCAAAGCCTAACCAGCCATTTATGGGGTTCTTGGTCCAGCGTGTGATGGAGAATATCAAGAGCCTAGCAGCTTCGAAGAACCAAGCTATTTCAGAGATGGTTCCTACAATCCCGGACGTTCTCGTTACTACTGGTCCGGCGGCTCTTACGACGGCTTTCTTTGATTATGCTTCAGGTCTGACCGGCAGGAATGTCACATACAAGAACTTCACAAAAATAACCGAGCCCCAGATCGTTGGCGAGGTTGTTATCCTTCCAATTCAAGCTTTTGGTGCTGGTCATCAAGTTCAGTGGGCAGGCCTCAAGCAGGATGGCTCGCAGCTGGTCCATCACTACTTTGCGGGATCTTGGAAAGGGGACCATCATGATGGCGGTTGGCAGGATGCAGAACACAAGGCTCTCGAGGAGGCACGAAAGAAGAAAGAAGATGCGATGGCTGCGGAAAAGGCACCAGACAAGGCTGCTGAAGGTGTGACGACGGAAGAAAACCCGGATTTTATACCAGAGAATAACCTGTAAGGGTCAAGGAAATATCGAGAGCAGGCTGGAGGACGTACTGCTGACGGGGATGATAGAACGGTTGAAGAAAAGGTACTCCTACCACAGACAGCAAATACCACAATATCGCCAGGGACTGTAGCACTCTCCAAGCCACCAGTTGTTGAACAACCAGCAAACTCCAACATCACTGAGCTCAAAGTAGCCGTTGATGAGACGTCTTCAATCCAAAATAGCAGTGCAGCGGTTGCAGACACAGTTGCAGTCATCAACTCAGCCATCGCAGACGCGGCTCCAGCTCCAGCTTACAGCGCAGCGGCAGTGAACAGTCCAACCACTGAAAAGCTAGGGTCGGTATCAAATGGGAATGCTCAGGTTGAGGACATAACAGTAATCAACAAGCCAGCCGAAACAGTCCCAACCCAAAGAGGATAATGTAGCGGTTGGAGACACAAATGCGGTGGCCAAATTGGTCGAGCCTAACCTGTAGCTGACGGGCTAGCAAAGGAAAAGCCTGCAGATACAATAGCCCTAGAGGCTGAAACAAAAGGAAAAGCGACCGGGAAAGCAGAAGCAGAAGCAGAAGCGAAAGCCAGCGCTAAAGCCGCAGCAGACGCGAAAGAACAGGCTGAGGCTGTGAGGTTGATGCAGGAGGCTGGTGAGCCTGAATGGGCTCCACTGGAAGCGGTGGGCGAGAAGAAAGTATCGAATCATTTGGCGGACTACGGGGAAGATTACTCCGTATCGGAGGATTGACTGATGATGGACCATGGCATCTCGGTCATGGTACTTTATTGAATCGGAGCTAGAATAGAGCTTGTGGCCTACTTGGCCGCCAGGTCGCGAGGATTCGAGCCACGTAATTATCTCCCAGAAGCAGTCGCTTTGAGAAATACTGGTAGCAGAGAAGGTAAAGCCACTCTCATCAACGATACTTGGGATTCTTCTGCATGACTCAGAGGTACAGTGAGCATCGCAGCAAGGCCTGCAGGATGTGGATGGAGGCATGGTGGGATGAAAATGATGAGATGTGAGACGGGCCTTGCGTCTGGCGGACTTGATGCACCACTGGATGAGGCCTCGGTAACCACGAACGCATCGGCGCCCCAATATCTCGCAAGGATAGGTACGAATGTCGTAATAGCCTTCATAATAGATAAGACGTCAGTCCTCGATCTCTGCCGCCATTTGCCATTCGTTCTCGCCTCCTAGTACTGGTCAGCTATTATCGAATAAGTCATGGAAACATCTGGATTGTAGTGAGTGGTAAGCATCAGAACATTTGGGTTGGAGTCAAGAGTTTCATTCTTGGGTTATTGATACAATCCCCACATGCTTGAGAATGCAATTGCCCGCTTTTTGGAAGCATCCCCAGCCTATGCATGCTTCTTTTCTATCTGTCAACACGCACTCAGTCACTCGTTTGCTTCTTTCTCCTTCCCCTTGCCCTTCTGCTTGCCCTTCAAACTGCTCTTCCCCTTCCCTTTCCCCTTTCCGTTGCCCACTTCTTCCTCCTCTTCCTCCTCCTCCTCCTCCTCCTCCTCCTCCTCCTCCTCCTCCTCCTCCTCCTCCTCATCTGCAGCATCAGTATCATGGAGCCGTTGTTTCTTCTTCGGTGGCTGGCCTTCGTTGTTCTGATCATCCGCTCCATCGTCATTCTCAACGCCGTCGCCGTTGTTGGAGTCCCATCTGTCAAGAGCCGCGTCTACGTCCCAACTTGCTCGTGCGAGCTCGATCAAGGCTTCAGGAGCGCTCGCACGTGGTCGTGCGAAGTCAAGGAATTGGACAGCGAGCCTTGTGATCGCCGTCCTGTCAGATTCTCTGGAGCGATCTGGCAGATTCTCCCTGCGGTAGTGCAATGCCAGCAGGAGGGTCTCATCGTTGTTCAGCGCCGCACTGATGATGGCATCTTCCACCTGGCGGGTCATGAGTGTCCTGTGATTTTCTCTACGAGGCGTTTCGTGAGGACCACTGGGAGCAGCCCTGAAAGCTGCGGTGGAAGGGCCAGCTCCTCCTAATCCAACAGTAGCGCTCTCGGCCAACCCGCCTGCTGTCGTGAAAGGTGGTCCACCTGCCGCTTGTGGAACCCCTACTGTGGCGGTCACTGCTGGAGGTCCGACCGTCACAGTACGACCAAGAGCCCTCGCAGCCAAAAAAACTACCGCTTGTCTGGCACCTCCCCGGTGACGAAGAGCATCTGGCAGGCCAGTGCCGACGGTATTCACTGATGCCAAGTTGTGGGCCCCTAGATAGGACTTCCACAGAAACAGTGCCTCATCACTCTTGTTCACAGGTTCGAAGCCTATGGTGGCCAGATGCAAATTGTCTTCAACACGTTGATCTCTGCTGTAGCTGGTATCATTTAGCACTGCTTGTCACATTCAAGGGCGGTTCTGGTTTTTACCGCGAGAACAGACTGCGGTCGCTTGCGTATTCATTTGCTATAACTCCGCCAAGGAGTCTTCTAGCTACATGCTGGTTGAAGTATAACCAGGTGAGTTCGTGCAACCAAGGTGTCTGGGTGCCTGGGGGCTCCAGGTGACTCCTTATGGCGTCTATTTCGTTGCGGACTGAAGGAGCGGTGTCGCGTTAGTAGATACCACCTGAGTGGGATCCGCGATAAAGGATTTACCCCGTCTAGGGGGAGGTACGGTTAACAACTTACAACTGTGAAGTCTCTGCCAAGTCATCGTAGCTCTCGGGGTCGACCCTCGCGGAGCCTGTGGAATCGGAGCGGGATGAAGGACCACCCGTGGTGGTGCTGATGTTGGTTTTTGTGCACGAGTCATGGTGGAACTCTCTAGTAGTATGTAGGTCGGGGTTGTCTTCGAAGACTCTGAGGGAGGTGGAAGTTCGAATCAGAAGAGAAGTGCAGAGTGTTGTGATATGTGAAGAAAAAGACGGGGATGTCCAAACTTATGATCCTCGCACAGGTACTAATAAAGGAAGTACTAAGGAAATTACACGATGTCACTCAAACCCTAAGACAAACTCGCTTAAGAGTGTAAACACTGAGCGTCAAAAGAACATTGACTCTTTCCCGGCCGTGGGCACAGCATCATGCTTGGGACGTGGGAAAAGATGAAGATGGCTTATGGGAGTAAGCAACTCGAATGAATCAATGACCTTTGGGGTCTCGATACGTAAGCTAAATTTTCACGTTCTCGAGACCTAGATCTAGCCAACAAGATCCATCGACCACGCAAGCTCGAACACATTCTAAAAGCCTTTGCTCGCTGTTCACGATCGCAAGCTGATCCACAACATCCTTTCTTTGTCTGCCTTGCTGATTCGAATCTCCTCCAGCCCATGCTCAGCTTGTGCCCGATAGTTGCCCGAACCACGGTCATTAGCCCCATCATCGCTACCGCTTTCGTCACGGTCTCTCTCTCTCTCTCTCTCTCGCCTCTGACTCCTGTCCCGATCGGGGGCCCCCTAAATAGGAGGGATAGGTATGCCTTGGGCTTCCGCTTTCATTTCTTTGAGACGACGTTTGTCCGCCGAGAGGCTAGAAGTGCAGTTAGAAAGTCGCGACGATAGGGGAAAACCTACACCATCCAAAGGCAACTCTAGCGAACTAGCCGAGTCAAGGTGCTGCTCCCTTGGCAAGAACAGAGGAGCGTTGAGGCTATGGACTCGAGGGGAGGGAGGAAGGGTACCCGATCCTTTTTGGAGCTGTCAAACAAGGAAGAATTGTGATTGAAGCTTTAATGGCCCGCTCAAAGAAAATGTTTCTTCGATTCTGGCCTCAGCCGGGCTCAAGAACACCTAAAATCGAGCGACTCCAAAGACGGTATCGAGGTCTTCAGAGTCCACAATGGCCTCGAGGGTAGGAAAACATCCCGGAAAAGGGACATCGTGCCGGGGTTTCCTGGTCGTTACTGCAGTCCCATGTGCTTAAGGGTCCATTGAATCAACGCATGGGACAAAGTCTATACAAGCAGTTCTCCAACTTCATAGGTCATCTTTCCTTGATCGCTGTGGTGATAACTTCTCCTCGTAGCTCTCAAGGGAGCATCCTGTTGCTAAGCTGTCTGCCAAAAGCGGCCAAGTCCCCTCGAATCCGATGTTGGATGACCCGTAAGATCGTACGAGCATGGGACCGCCTGGAACTTTTGTTATCAATGCACAAGCAGGAGGTTGTTTTTCCTGCCGGTTAACAAGGCTAGGAGCCCCGATCAGTCGACCGTGTTGCTTGGGAGGATGGCCTGTGTGGTCGGCAATCTTTGCGAGAACCTTGACTAGTATCCGCATGATGTGAAGATCAATCAGTTTATGAGCAATGATTGGGTTCTTCCTGGGCTACTTCTCGACCCAGGTGGCCTCATCAGCGGTCACATGGCCAAATGGATAGCAGCTTGGGATCTATGTTTTTTTTTTGTTGGATCTGATATGACTAGGATTGTGCGGCAGCGGAGCGCTTATATTGGGGAGGACCGCTGCCTGGAGGTGTGTAGTCAGACCACTAAGGATTGCCGGTCCGACGACCGCAAGAATCTGTGCTGGAGGAGCATCATAGGGTGTCGCTGGTGCTAGATACGAAGAAAGTGTCGGTTGTGCTGGGGCAGCCATGTTGCGATTTTGATGGTTAGGTGCGAGGTGTAGGGGTGTTGCGTAAGCAGATGAAGTAGCATTGTGGGAATATTTGTCAAGAGCCAATACCACCGCCAGGCTAGAGAATTTGTGGAGGAACACAATGTCAGACGCACGTGCCCAGAGAAAGATTAACGTAGGGGAAATCCGATGAGGGTTGCATGCTTCTTAAGGTCCTGTGCCCTCTAGGCGTAGTCATGGAAAACAGCCTAGCCAGAACAACATCTGCGCTGCAACAACAAGGGGAGCACTCTAGGGCAATCATTGGTCAAGAGACCTCACGAATCACGTAAAACAGGGGCTAGTAGTAGATCAGCCAGCGAAGAACAACTCTCATTCTTTGAACTATCCTACAAAGAAATCCCCCCCCCCCCCCGCGATCTTCCCTCTTACCGCCTCTTGACATAGGGCTCTCCTCCGGCGCTCTGCCACAACTTCCTCAACTTGATCCGGGCGCGACACCGGCTAGAATAGCAAGTGCATCAGCTATACGCCCGAAAAGGGTTCCGATCAAAAGAGAACTCACCGGCTCACCGACGAGTGTTTGCGTATACCCTGCTGGCCGTTGCGAAGGCCGATGCGGCTATGATCGAACGACACTACGCAACCCGATCAATACATTAGACTTCAAAAGGTTAACAACGAGGGTTATTACACAGCAATTGCTTATCCCAAAAGGCGATATCGGCCACGTTGGTGAGCTCGATTGGGGCCTGTAGCCCAGAAAACAACGCCGGAAAGGGCTGCAGTCCCCTAGCAGATAGGCGCGGAGCGGGAGAAGGGCCAGCGATGGGGGCTGGTGCTGGAGCGGGGGCAGCATGGGGGTTAGGCCCCGAGGAAAGGGTTGAGGGGTAAGGGTGGGAATGAGGCGGCGGCGGCATATTAATACCAAAAAGGGAGGGGTCTGGATACACAAAATCCCCGTCGGGCGGGGAAGCTGCCATAATGATAATTGTAGGTTTTAAATCGGTGTATCTACCGATGCTAGGACTTCTTCGATCACTTGCGATGGATCATATCCCTTGAGAACAGCAGACGCCGCTTGAAAATCGCTCCCGTATTGAATGCTTCGTTCGGCTTCGGGCCCAATTATTGTGACGCGATGGGGGTAGATCTTGCGTATAGCAAGTGCAACTAGAGACGGGGACACGTATGATTGACCGTGTATGATAGCAAGATACCTATTGAGGTCAGTATATGAAGGGTATATAACTATAGGAACGCCATACTGGACAAGATTGGTGAGGTGCTGAGTTGCTCTAGGCGATACCCCGCTACCAACCGCTCGATGCAATCGAAGGAATGTGATAATATTTTGCTGATACGCCTTGATTTCGGCCGTCAAGTTGATATCCTCGCTCACTTCGGCTAATTGTCTGATCTCTTGTTGCGTGAAACTGTGCGGCGGTACTATGTCTGATGAGTACTGAGCACTGGATCGATGGATGACGGAAGAGACGGAGGCGTGATCGTCTTCTATCCACTCAGAGGCTTCTTCTAGGTTGGCAAATCCGTCTTCTTGACTATGGTAATGCGATATGAAGATGTGGTCGCGCTAATAATGTTCAGCGCACGCCTGACAGCTGTCAGCTACGAGACCAACCAGATGATGGTTGAGACGAGGCTCTGAACTCGAGGTGACCAGGACAAGAAGAAACGTCTTTGGTGCTGTATGAATAGCGGTATGGGTGAATATGCGTTTGGTGCGCAAGAGCTCAATGGATGGTCAGCTTTCAAGCGTTTGAAAGTGGCTTTCTGGTGGCTTACTTCCAGAGCTTGAATTTGTATATCTTCGCTCGCTAAAGATAGGCCCGTGATCAGGACAACGTTGGCGATACTTCGATCATCTTGTTGCCTCTCATTTTGCTTTGTGCGGATTGGTTGTATCGGACTCGCAGAGCGGCGTTTTGCCGGCCCATAATGCCTTCGCGACGACTAGCGCGGTTTAATCAGTATGTTACTAAGGCAGATCCAACGCAAAAGAATCCACGGATCCATGACCCACATCAGCGGGCCACCCGATACGCCAATTAAATGTACGACATTACAGCCGAAAGATCAAGTGAGAGAGCCGAAGGTTTCGAAAGAGAAAGGGAATGCCAAGATCTGAATGCAGTATAGATACGAGGCTGTATGCAAAGCCCACTTATAAGAGCTTCACGGATCAAGAGGAAGAGGGTAAAAGCTTTCAGCCAGACATCCAGCTGAAATACAAGACCTTTCGCTCCTTTCTTGGGGAAATGAGAGTGTGCACCTAAGATCATTAAGAGAACAACACAGGCTTCTCGTTACGTCTCTCGACTGTTCAACACCTCGAACCAGAGCGTCTCCAAAATGCCACATCAGTATAATGCTTTCTTCCTACGAGAGCTGGTGGCCTTGACTATCTGCAAGTGCATAACGCTGAAAGAGAAAGATCTTTGGAAAAATAGGACGCGGAGAAAGGCGATCAATGTATATTTTTTTAATTCATGCACAAAAGCAGACAAGGATCCAAGAAGACAAAGGCTGAAGATGAGAGGCATTCAAAGTTTCAAAACCTACCTGGTCTGAATCCATGCTTGTTCCCAGTTCCCCATTGTCTAACCAGTCACTGGGTTTGCTGTCAATAAGGATACCATCCCTGAAGTCTTCCAGGGTGGTTGAATGGTTGCAATGAAGCACAGTATGATATAAGGCAAAGACATTGGAAGCGATCTGTCAGTCTCTTAGCCAATAGAAATGGCTGGGGGAGATACAGTCCCTAGTACAAGCTGAAGTTCCTGCTCCAGTGAGTCCAAGTCATCTTGCTCTGCTGCTACGATACAATGCTGACCAGCCACAAGGCTCAGAAGCATTGCAAGCTCGAGGTCAGTGAGTTCTTGCACTCTCTCAACCAGTCCAGAAGGGTCCACTGTGTCTGGCATGGTGGGGAACCGTCCGGGGTTGTCTTCTATTGGCTTTGCTCTCATGTACTTGAATATTCTGACCCCGTTCTTTGTCCCCTCTCACACTGGACTGGACCTTTCCTTCAATCATTTGCAATACTATCTGGGCTAGTTATGTTATCAGCGACGTCCAGACACACTTGCTGGTTTGAGGCTCTGCGGAAGCTATTATAGCATGAACGTTCGGATAGGACGGTAGTACTACAACGACGACACCCGCTCCAAACTCCTACCACGTTATTTTTTACCTAGTCACTGCATTTAAAGACCCTACTTTGAGTGTCACGAAACTCAGTATGCTGAGACCGTCTTCTTTCCAGTTTCAGACCAATGCCGAACCCCACTGCTGATTGGGAAAGAGTTGGAGATAGATTCTACCGCAAAATCAAGCTTTACGATGCTGTTTTTGACCAAGATTTGGAACTTGAGAACTATGTGATAGCTGGGGCTCCATGTGCAGGAGCGATCGGTAGCTCTTGATGTGGATGGCGCCTCGAAACCAGAAGCTGATGACTTTCTAGCCTTGTACCGGGACGAAGACAAGCTACATACATACCGAGGATCTCAAGCCTCCAAATCTGGCATTGATATCTATAGCTGCGCAGGGAAACTAATACGTAGAATCAATGTGGGTGATACATACCCGAGTACTAGAGGTCTAAATGTGCAGTGACTGATATATGCAGTGGGACAAAGGCTCAATACGTGGGCTAGGATGGTCAGAAGATGAGAAGCTACTCGTCGTTACAGAGGATGGCATAGTCAGATGCTACTACGATCTGCAAGGCGATTTCACCCAATTCTCTCTTGGCAATGTATGTCCGTCGGAAGCAAACCTCGGCTTCAAGGACTGATCAACGAAGCACTAGGGCGCTGAGCAACACGGAGTGAAGGCCTGCCGCTTCTGGTCCACTGGCTTCGTTGCGATCCTTTCGAATAATCGCCTGATAGCCGTGTCACACTATAATGAACCACGGCCCAAGCTTCTTGCCATTCCTCCTGAAGCCACTGTGCATTCGTGGACCGTGATACCCCCGGCTTATACTCTTTCTCGCTCCGTGGAAGTTCTGCTTGCTATTGGTCAGACGATCTACGTGGTCGACTCAAGCGAAGCCGAAGACCGAGTCCTCCCCAATGGACCTTTCAAATATGTCAGTGTGTCTCCGAACGGACTTTACGTGACTCTCTACACAGAAGACGGTAAGGTCTGGGTGATTACCAGCGATTTCCAGAATAAGATTGGGGAATACGAATCAAAAGCAAAGACCATACCGAAAGACGTCCAATGGTGTGGGAATGATTCTGTCTTGCTAGCGTGGGAGGATGAGGTCCACATGATAGGACCGGACGGTGCGCTGTTGAAGTAAGCTTGTGGCAACTTGAAGCACAGTCAGAGTTCTAATACTTTGCATTATAGATACTACTATGATGGATGGGTGCATCTGCTGGCAGATATAGATGGTGTCCGTATAATGACTAACGACGTATGCGAATTTCTGCAGAGAGTTCCCAGTAGGTCTATCTGCATCCGAGGCCTCGTACATGTCTGACATTCATATAGGCACTACTGAAGATATCTTCAAACTTGGATCGACATCACCAGCTTCCGTGCTCTTGGATGCCGTCGACCAGCTGGACAAAAAGTCACCCAAAGCAGATGAGAACATCCAACTGATACGACCAAATCTGCCCGATGCTGTGGCTGCTTGTGTCTATTCAGCAGGTCAGGAATATAGCACGCATTGGCAAAAGCAGCTCCTCAAAGCTGCCTCATTTGGGAAGTCAGTGCTCGACCTCTACAGTAGCGATGACTTCGTTGACATGTGCGAAAAATTGCGAGTGCTCAACGCTGTGCGGGATTACCGACTTGGCCTGCCACTATCGTTTGAGCAATACGAGCGGCTCACTGCTGAGAAGCTCATCCAGCGTCTCATTAACCGCCGAGAATATCTCCTTGCTATTCGGTTATCAGACTATCTCCGCCTTCCCACCAACAAGATCTACGTCCATTGGGCCTCACAGAAAGTAAGGAATTCCACTGCCGACGAAGGCGCTATTTGCGAAACGGTAGTAAAAAAGCTTGCCAACAAGCGAGGAATCTCCTTCGAATACATAGCCCGTGCGGCCTACGATGAAGGCCGTAGTCATCTTGCCACTCAGCTCCTCAACCATGAATCACGGGCAGGCAAACAAGTACCCCTGCTCCTCTCGATGTCTGAAGATGAGCTCGCCCTTGACAAGGCAATCGCATCAGGAGACACCGACCTTGTCTTCTTCGTTCTTCTTCACCTCAAGAAGACCCTTCCCCTGGCCTCCTTCTTCCGCCTTTTGACCAACCGTCCTCTCGCCACCGCCCTCGTCGAATCATCTGCCCGGGACCAAGACCTGTCCCTTCTCAAGGACCTCTACTACCAAGACGACCGCCGCCTCGACGGCGCCAACCTCCTTTTTTCCGAAGCACTCGCTCAAACTGCCCCTCAAACAAAAGTCGACAAGCTCAAGCTTGCAGCGAAACTCATAGCAGACAACACCAAAGACCCAACCACCTCGCTCTACCACAAATCTTTCTCGGAAGCCCAAGCTCTAATTCGTCTGCAAACAACCCTCGATAATGACCTCCACGGCGGGGAGAAAGTCTACACCGGTCTATCACTGAATGCTACCCTTCACCGCCTCATCCTCACCACCCACGCCAAACGTGCTACGAAAGTAGCCTCTGAATTCCGCGTGCCAGACAAGACTCTCGCTTGGATCCGACTACGCGCCCTGGTAGCAAAGCGCGACTGGGCAGAGCTTGAGGAAATCGCCATCAAGAACAAACGATCTAGCATTGGCTGGGAACCCTATTTTAACGAGATTCTCGGAGCCGGCAATACGAAGCTGGCGGGTGGAGTTTTCGTGGCTAAATGTACTGGACTGACTGCGAGAGAGAGGTCGGATATGTGGATCAAGTGTGGGATGATTACGAAGGCTGGAGAGGAGCTGCTCAAGGCAAGGGATGCGGAGGCTTTGGAGGATTTGCGGAGCAGGGCGAGTGGAGGCGGGGTAGGAGAGATTGACAAGATGATTGCGCAGTTGCGACCGAAGCGATGAGTGGAATCGAACGTCTAAACGGAGAAGGTAGAGGGAGAGATACATGTCACGCGTTATTGATCAAGGAGGACGAGCAAGGAGGACACCATTCGATGCACAGATGCTTTGCGATTATCTACACCTAAGCGCCTTGCTAAAGTTCGAAGCAGTTACAATCAAAACGCAGTCCAGGTATCCTATTGCCTCGACCAATGCCGCTTCATGGGTCAGTATCCACAAGACCTCTCAGACACCCAGCGCAGAAGGTCAATTGACCCTGACCTCCCCCAACGGAGGCCTCTGCCTCCCTATCCCAAATCGTGCATGATCATCAGCCACCTTCCGCTTAAACAATCCCAAGTCCTTCAACAACTCCTCCATCCTCGCCTGCATCTCCACAGCTTCAGTCTCGGCCCTGTCATTGTCATGCGGACTCTCTTCCTCGTGATCTTCCTCTTCCTCTTCCTCGAATTCAGGAGTATTCTCCTTGTCCGCTTCCTGATTCTCAAACGTCTGCTGCTTGAGGTCGTCCTGCACAACGCTCTCTGTCTGTGGAGCTGGAGGGGTAACGGCTATAGGATTTCTCAAGCTCTCCACTGCGAGTTTGAGATGCAACCTCAAGGCCTCATTTTGCTCGACCAGCTGGCGAATTTTGCTTTCCCCTACCAGTCTCTCCTCTTCCATCATGCGTTGCATCCGCTCCACTTTACTCTGATACTCTTCGAGCTTGTCGTCCCTAGCTCCCACACTCTTATCTGCAGCTGAGACTGCTTCTCTGCTTCTGTTCGTTCGCTCACTGGCTGCTTGATTCGCTACAGAGACTTGGACTTGCAATTCACGTATCGTATTCTGCATCTCCAGGATCTGAGCATCTCGCTCCGCTGCTGACACAGAATCTTGATTGACGATGGCACGCGTGCGGATGTGTTTGGCTTGATCCGCATACCGAAGAGTTGACAGAGTCTCATCGTAGTCGGAGGGGGCGATGCAAGCAATCATTGCTGTCTTGCTGTTGCCTCCAAGGCTGTCCTTGAGCAGCCAGGTAAGAATCGAGTCTCTATAAGGCACAACGTCTTTGCTTCGCGTCTTGCCGCCATTGTGCACACGGCCATGGCGAGGATCTGCAAGAGCTGCGATGACACGTCCTAGGGTGGTCAGAGACTTGTTAATATTGCTTCCTTCCCTGAGACGAGCACCAGTGGCTTCTGTCGCCTTCGCCCTCTCGCTTCCTGCCAGGTCAACCAATCGAATACGAGCAAGGCGTTCGGTGGTACTGTCTGTGGATAGGTCGTGATGAATTTGCTTGAGCATGATGGTGAAGACGGCATGAGAGCGGGAAGATGTATCATTCATTTTGGTGGATGCTGTAGTCCGACTGGCGTCGCCGAGACGCATGTAGCGGAGGAGCTCGGTGTAATTCTTGACAGGAAGATCGGTCAAGTCCTTAACGTACGGTCCTTCCGTTGGGGACTCGCGGATCTTGAGATAGTAAGGGTGCTTTTCTGACGATTGGCTGGGAGGGGCCAGGAGATCGCGAACATGCTCATTGTAGACTTCGAAGTAAGAGACGCGTACGGTGTATGAGATATGAGGAGAGACGCTAGATTCAATGCGCTGGAAGAGATCCTCGCAGGTCCGAGGGATGAGTCCTGGTTGGGTTGGAGTCCCCATCATTGTGTATGATTTGCCTGAGCCTGTCTGGCCGTAGGCGAAGATGCAAGTATGGTAGCCTTCGAAGTTGTGGTCCAGGAACTCTTCTCCGAGCGCATTGTAGATGTCCTCTTGATGCGCATAGTGCTCGTCTTCTGGTTCGTGCGACCAAAACGAATTGTCGAAGATAAAATTCTTCTCCTCCACTATCTTCCTGCTTTGGGTGCGCGCATTGGCAGCGTCGGTAGTATTGGGTATGAGTAGCTTGGTTCCTTGGGTATCTGGGTTCATCTCCACGAGACATTCTGCTCCCCGGTCGATCTCTGGACCACTGTCAGCAACAACCTTTTCCTTAGGAGAGAAGAGTCTACCTCGAGGCAAAAAGCCTCTCACTCGGACAACCACCCTTACATTCCCTCCTCCATTGTCTGGTGTTGCTCTGCCCATTGGAACGAGCTCGGATTCTCTTGAGCGCAGGGAAGGTGTTGAAGCTGAGGATTTGAGCTGGCGGACCTCAGAAGCAACACCGGGGAAACCACGAGGATCCAGCGCCATATCTTGCAGCTGACTTAGGATGTCGCTGAAGATTGAAAGGTAGCGCAATCGCTGCAGTGCGTACATTCAAAGCTCGGTCCGTCATTCAGTAAACACAGGGATGATCTGCGGCAGGGATAGTGTCGCTACGCGAACCGCGACCATCGAAGACGTATTCGAATTTTCTTCTCTTTTCACTGTTGACACTTTTCAGTGATCTCGTCGCAGTGGGATGACTGTTTCGCAGCGGCTGTTAAGTCGATCTTCACTGTTTCCAGAGCAAGAAGATTTCTCTAGCCCATTTGTGGAGTGAGAGGCTGCGAGGCGGGAAGTTGGAAAGGCTCAAACGTCAACAAACAGCCGCAGCGGCGCAGGGTGCTTCCCTGCATCCCCTCAGGAGTATTTACTCCAACCATCTACCGAACGAATTGGTAACTCAATAATAAGAATGCCTTTTTTTCTATTTGTTTGCTTCACTGTAAAAAATGTCTTATTCGGCCGAGGAGATACCTCCGCTCCCCTTATTCTAGTTGCTGGGGTCGCTCTTTGAAACTCTAGTACTTTTTTCAGGAACGTCTATAGCAACGTCTACAGCATTGAAACACTGCAAGAAGCCGAGGAGTCGTGTATGTGTATGTATCTCTCTAGGCAGTCATTATTGCCGCAACAGAGTGATCTTGTATGCAGACGCGCTGCCACTTGCGACTCGACCAGTGATCTTCCAAATCTTAGCATACGGGTACAATATCGTGTCAGCGTTCTGGACGGATAGGATACAGGACAGACATTAAGTCCCCGCCTTTCCGCAAATTGTACTCATTTAGCCTACAATAATAGTGACATGCATCAGATGGGAGCAGGTAGCAGGTATCTTCTATTGCGATACATCGGTATGGAGAGTTGGATCGAATACAGCAAATGCGTGATAGCTGTGATGGGCAGGGGTTCCCCAGGGCGATGGCTCGGGTACGTAGACATTGAGGGCGTAGAGGTAGCAGATATTGTGGGTTTCTTGGAAAAGGGAGAGCAAGGGAGAATTGGGCGTCAAGCAAGAATAAGTGGATTATGTGAGACCTCTGTCACACGGAGTTTCGATTTTCTTGCACGTCGGACCAAAGCATAGAAATCGATAGGGCATTCACCGGATGAGCAAAGTGGTCGGGTCCTAAAGACCGTTACGGTTCTTGTTTTATCTCAGACCAGAGCTCCTATTGAAAAGACAATGAGCTCGAATTGCAACACACGTATTTCGTTTGTTCAAGCTTTTGGTACATGATGGGATGTGCTTGTCATGCCTGAAATGCGCCCGCAGAAGATCAGCCATTTCCTAAGCTCCTCTCGCTTAATCGTTGGATCGTAGCCTATGGATGATAGCCCTCCTCATTTGATACATGATTGCTGAATGCAAACTCCCAATGCCATTTCGAAGATGGCTGGGATAGAGTGAATGATGTAGTAGAGGCTCGAACGCCTCAACCTATTCCAGATGTCGATGATACACTCGAACGTTCTCTTCGCTACCGAACGATCTTCTCATTCGTGAAGTCCCAGAGCTGGCGTATTAGGCTATCTGGAAGGGTGTAGAGATCCACTTGGAACTCGCCCTCTGCGGAAGCTCGTTAGTCCTGACATATCAACAAGGTATCTAGATGAAACGCTTACGCTCAACATCATTTTTGGTCCAGGTATCTGCAGTCTTGTTGTCGTGGATCATCTGCACCACCAGCAGCAGGTCGTCTTCAGTCATCTTTTGCATGTTCTCGGCCAATTTCTCCATGTCAATCTGCACCCAGAATTCTCGGTCAGCGTTGACCTTCACAGGGACCTACACATTGTGAAGGATTTGTTTGGACTAACCCCTTTATCGGGCCTCTTTTTCTTCTTTGCTGACTCGTCGCGTGCCTTGACTCCGTTTGCATCACCTGGAACAGGTCCCGACTCTTTCAGGATAGCGAGAAGGGCGGGCTTTGGGTTCTTGAAAACCTGCACAAGTCCTATTGTGTCAGCTTTGTGTTAAGAGTGAGAGTTGATAGCGTAAGGACCTACGATGGGATGCTTCGTCTCGTAATGCTCGCTCTGAAAATTCAGATCGTGCGCGACGGTGATCTCAGCTCCCTTGTCCTTTGGAGTTAAAACAAGTAGCATGTCAAACTCTCCCCATCCTTCTTCCTGGATACGAAATGGAGGCATCTTGAAGGCTATGCGGAGAACCCGAGTCAGCTCAGGCATTTTACTGAAGAGAGATAAAATGCGCCAGCTTGAGATATTTTCTCATGTACTTACTCTGGGTTGCCCGTTGTCCGAATGTTTCGTGAAGTTTGTAGACGACCTTCTCAAAGCAGTCCGCCGGGATATCCTCGCCATGGGGGCCGAGGAGGTGCAACTCAATGTTCCATTTGCGCAATGGCATCTCCAGAGTCGCATCGCCACTGCAAGTACGAAGCCGATGAGTTAGCCAATGAGGAGGAAGTGAGAGCAATTGTTGCTGGCCGTCTTACGTGACTTTCTGCTCCGTGATAATCTTGAGGGTCCGCTTGACCTGTGTTACCCCACTATTAGTCCTGGTCGGGCCATATAAGCGCTAAAGATGGAGTAAGAAAGCGGTGACATCTTACTTCAGGCATAATGGCAGCACCCACTGGGGTCTGGACGGAGAGATGTGGGACTGTCGAGATCTAAAATGTTGAAAGAAATCAGATGTGCAGCTCGTAACTACAACAAACGGCGACGATTGAAGCTAATGAACCCCACCGGCTCGTCCCGCGGCGCGTTTCGCGTTTACCCTCGCTTATCGTCAGGGCTAAATAAGGGTCAAGTCAAATGCAAAGATCACTGCTTTATTCCGAATACCCATTGAACTAAAGGCTGTCACTTCCACGAATCTCATCAGAAGTCACCACCAATTTTACGAGTGGCAGATCACCACGTTGTTTGTGCATTGTCAAAATAGCCCTTATGTCAATAGCAGGACGCTAGTAGTGCTACTCAATCGCGAAAAATATAGATTCTTTGAAGTGTCGGCTCACTCTTACCCCAAGATTATGATTCCAAAGCGCTCAGACCACGAGCTTATCCCTCATGCCTCGATGTCCTAAAAACGAGGTCTCCAGCATCTTATCTCTTTGAAAGTTGCTAATACGATCAATACCCATTTCAGAAACAAGCATATTTGGCGTCATTAAGCCCTTCCTCAACTATCCTGATCACTCGGTCGATATGGTCCATCTTTGCCGTTGACACCTGGGTAAATTTCTCCATTTTATTACAGCAATCTGTCCAGTAGCAGACATTGTTCGTCTCGCCATGATTGGCCACTCTTCCAACGCTCACGGCGGTGATCTAATAGACTGCTTCCGCTTCCTCTTCATCTTCATCAAGGTAAACAGTGCAGATGCCGGACCCAAAACGGACGGGGGATTAGGGCCCACAGTCTTTCGAGTGTGGCGAGGTTGGGGGGGTGGCAAACGGTGATATGGGCGACATCTTGGAAAAGTCCGGTATGATGCGGTACATAGTCTCCTGTCTCGGTCAAGGCGGGTTGAAAGCAGGAACGGAATGCTCAAGGAGGGTTGCCTTGTCGATAGCGAAATTCACTGTGCCTTTTTTGCACTCATCACGCCAGGCTTTCTTTCTGTAGGGCACGGTAAAAGCCAGGGGACAAGCTTGAGCGCGTAAGTCGTTTGAAGAAAAAAGATCCCGTAAGACGCAAGAACGGGAATTTCATCATTCATCACTAGGGCGGCTCTTCCGGACCAATACAGACCCAGTTCAAAATGCAAAAGCTCACAGGTGCAGAGTTGTTTGAGTAAACGCAACAGGTCTTGTGGGAGTGGGAATGTGGCTAGGAAAGCTCCGAAGAAGCATAGCGACTCGATGCCGAGATAGAGTCGCTGACAACACCTATGTCCCAAAGGCCAGTCCAGAGGCTTGTATTTGGCCGGATGGTATGTTACGATCCAGAAAAATCATTATCGTAGTAACCATGGCGGTCATCAATCCTATTTGGCGCCTGCAGAGCTTGTCGCCCGTCACCAGAAATGCTCAAGTGCTGCTTCAATCCCTTCTGTCAACCGCTTTTCCTCTCATGACCTTCCTTCTCTGTGCAATCATATGCGTGAAAAGGATATAACTCCCTGAACATTAATTAGCCAATTCCTCTCCCTTCTCCCATGCGAAAATAATTACCTGGGACGTAGACCCCTAACAGCCCCCAAAACACCAATTGCAAAGGCCTCTCCGCAACCATGCTTGCCTTCCAAATGAGTATGCACTCGCTAGAAATCCCAATTGGATACAACACATAGAAAGTGTTATATCTTGACCACGTTACGAATCCGGGTACGCCGCGTCCCTGCAGGTTCCAGACAAAGTAGCTGTAGCGTATGACCTCTGTGACGGACCAGGCGAGCAGCATGAAGCTGTAGAAGGGGGAGGATGCCGTGGGGGAGGGGTAGCGGTTGACGACGGCCCAGATAAGGAGGAGGCGAGAGGAGACTTGCAATATGGTTGTGAGGAGGGGGGAGCGGACGAGGCCTGGCGTGCGATTTCAGTCAGCTTTGACTCTAGAGAACAGCGGAGGATAGAAAGCAAGAAAGGCGGAGAACCTCAAGTGATCATACCTAAGGCCGAATGCAAAACCTCAAGCAACGCAAGGGTCTGCGTCCATTTTGTGAATTCGCCTACGCCACCATGTACATTCCCAAAGCCTACGAGGGGTACCAGAAATATGACACGACCAAGCACAGCTGTCCAGAGTACAGCGCAGACAAGGTTATAGCCGACTAAATACCGGGTTTGGAGTTGACGATTGGGGGTTGAACGGGTGTCCATTGTTCGACAACTGGGATGTCAATTGTCAAACAGCGAAGGCACAGAGAGAAAGCTCGGATACAAGTTAAGGATAAGGGCTGACGGCGGGTAGGCGGAAGGCCTGTGTCTCGACCAGCTCTCTCTGCTGGAACTTGGCAGAAACTGAGATTTTTTCCTCACCGAGAATTCCCCAAACGGGAGTTGCACCTAGCCTGATTGGGTAGGGACGGGCTGCATTGCATGATGCATGATGAGCGCAGTAGCGAAGAAAGTATTTTAATTAGGCTTTCAAAAAAAAAAAAAAAAATAAAAAAAAAAAAAAATTAAAAAATAAAAAAAAAAAAAAAAAAAAAAAAAAAAAAAAAAAAAAAAAAAAAAAAAAAAAAAAAAAAAAAAAAAAAAAAAAAAAAAAAAAAAAAAAAAAAAAAAAAAAAAAAAAAAAAAAAAAAAAAAAAAAAAAAAAAAAAAAAAAAAAAAAAAAAAAAAAAAAAAAAAAAAAAAAAAAAAAAAAAAAAAAAAAAAAAAAAAAAAAAAAAAAAAAAAAAAAAAAAAAAAAAAAAAAAAAAAAAAAAAAAAAAAAAAAAAAAAAAAAAAAAAAAAAAAAAAAAAAAAAAAAAAAAAAAAAAAAAAAAAAAAAAAAAAAAAAAAAAAAAAAAAAAAAAAAAAAAAAAAAAAAATCCTACTCTATTTTAGTAAAAATCTTATTTAGCTCTAAATTTATATCTTATTTTAACGACTATCTAGATATATTAGATAGTATATATATCGCTATTTATATATCTATAGTAGAGTATATATTATAGCGAAATAGAAAGAGTACTCTTATTTAAAACGTTTTAGCCGTATATAATTTTAATATACTATTTTACTATATATTATTTAACTAAAAAGGCTCTATATATAACGCTCTAGTATTAAGAGATACTACTTCTAATTATAGCTTTTCTATCTTAGCGGATAAGTATTATCTCGTTAACGCTAGATATTCTAATTATAATTAGCTATTAATTCTCTATATAAGTATATAATATTATCTAAAGAAATAATAATGAACTAAAATAAAGCTCGAGAATATAAAGAAACTATTTAATCTACGTTACTCTCAGCTACGAAATATTATTAAAAGAATATTTAATATACTTAAACGATGATTTAAATCTATTAAGAATTCTATAGAGTTTAATATTTCTATTTAGATAATAAATTAATATATCTTAACTATAATATATAACTTTATTATACTATATCGTTCTCTTAATAATATTAATTTAAATATATAACTAGCTAGCGAGTTAAATAGTAACTCTATTAATAATTTAAATTTATTAAAGAATAAATACTCTATAACTATTAAAATAAATAAGAAAAGAGATAAAATCGCCGAAGTAATATAAAAGAATTATTAAGAGTATATTTCTTAAAGAATAATTACGGAGATACGTATATAAGAAGTCTTATTAATAAAAGAGACTTCGATATATAAGATCTAAATATAGTAGTATTTAGCTAATTTACTTCGATATACTTAATATATTCTTTCATCTACTTACGCGCCTCTATTATTTATCTCTATAATTAATCTTTTCTAATATTATTAGATATTATAATATATATAAAAGTTTTATTATAATTTAAAAATACGTTTATAACTTCTATATAATTATTATAATTAATAGAATTAAAGTCTTTACTTAATAGAGCTATAGCTTTCTTAATAATAGCTTATAACGTTTCTTTAATTCGCTATATTTCCTTCTATTATCTTTATAATATATCTTTTTCTCGCTATTTTATAAATCTTTATAATAAACCTTCTACTTCTTTAATAGTAGAGTTTATAAATTATTCGCTCGTCTTCTTAAGACGCTTAATTAATAATATATATATTATTATTATAAAGCTCGTATATCTCTTCTTCGCTACGGTTTATAATATATCGATATCGAATATAATATTTATATCGATAGCTTATAAAGTATTTTTCTAAGTATTTTTCTAAATATTAATATATAGAGATAGAGAAATCGTTTTAAGAGTAAAATTAATAAAAAGATTAAGAGATATTATATAGCTTTCTATTACTATTCGTCTAATAGAATAAGTATTAAACTCTTTAATATATAAGAGAGGAGTTTAACGAAGCTCTTTTATAAGCTTATTCTTTTATAAGATATTAGCGAAGAATTATTAATAAGATAGTCTTCTTATATCTTAATTTAGACTTCTTATTAATCGTTATCGATTATATAAAATATAATTCTCTTATTAAAGTTCTAGTTATTTAATTTATAGCGAAGATAATAATAGAGAGTTTATTTAGTCTTATATCAGTATATCAGTATATATAAAAGAATAAGGTAGGGCTGAACTAGAAAACCTTGAATTTGTATGTGCAGCCAATCATCAATTCGTCAGGTCTACGCTTTTTGGTTAGACACCGCGGGTAAATAAATTAGCGTCCGCAACCATCAAAAATCTATGTGCAGAAGTCTTCCCCTCTGAAATAACCAGCTCCCTACGGATGCTATTACTTCATAATTTCGTAAATTGTAGAGCTCAGTTTGCGCTTTCTAACGCTGTAAAAATTATGAAGTTTGGCCTACTATTGGTGGGTTAAACTGACATTCAAATATCGTAGTCACACCAAATGCGTCCGCGACGGGATCGGATAATAATCCTTCCACCTGTTTGTGTAACTATTATTCTTCCACCACTCTACCAATTCTACCAATTCCATCAATATGAACACAATCGTCTTCGGTAGCCCTCGCCTAAAGGTTACTCAACGTCTCAGGCACGTACACCCCTTTTGCCCGCCTCTTAGAGCCCCTACTGACGCCCCCAGGCCACCCCTCCGCGAATCCGCTACTGCTGGCAATCGATCCCGCAAGCGAGCCCAACAGCTACCTACTACTGCTCATAAACGCGTTGGAAGGCCCTCAAAAAGAGCCCGAACGGATACGTCCTCCCCTACAGATTCCTCCCAAGCCAGCGGTGGTGCACCCAGCGATGCTACCTCCCAAGACGCGTCTTCCTCTCATAAACGCGTTGGAAAGCCCTCAAAAAGAGCCCCCACTCAGCTAGCCACTCAGTCTAATACTCTACAAGAGGAGGAGCAAGAGGAGGAACTACAACAGGCAAATGCGGAGAACACTGCGGAGAAACCAAGCGGCAACAAGGCCACCATCGTCAAGAACACGGCTCAGCTCTCCAAGATCCCACATTATATCAGTCATCCACTCAGTCAGCCACTCAGCTAGCCACTCAGTCTAATACTCTATAAGAGGAGGAGTAAGAGGAGGAACTATAACAGGCAAATGCGGAGAACACTGCGGAGAAACCAAGCGGCAACAAGGCCACCATCGTCAAGAACACGGCTCAGCTCTCCAAGATCTCACGTCATATCAGTCATCCACTCAGTCAGCTACTCAGCTAGCCACTCAATCTAATACTCTATGAGAGGAGGAGTAAGAGGAGGAACTATAATAGGTAACTGCGGAGAACACTGCGGAGAACACTATGGAGAATACTGCGGAGAAACCAAGCGACAACAAGGCCACCATCGTCAAGAACACGGCTCAGCTCTCCAAGATCCCACGTCATATCAGTTATCCACTCAGTCAGCCACTCAGCTAGCCACTCAGTCTGATACTCTACAAGAGGAGGAGCAAGAGGAGGAACTACAACAGGCAAATGCGGAGAACACTGCGGAGAAATCAAGCGGCAACAAGGCCACCATCGTCAAGAACACGGCTCAGCTCTCCAAGATCCCACGTCATATGCTCTCCACGGTTCCACATCAAATCATCACTCAGCAAGCGGAGAACACCACTGCAACTTGGCCTGTCATCCCCACTGCATTGATATAGTACATCACTGCGGCCTCTGCAGGAGGAACATCGGACGATGCATATTTGGACGAATTGAAACCGTCCGATGTCTACAGCTATTTCATTATTCGAAAGATTTCACTGCGGCAGGAGATATTGTGGGATTCACACCACTAACTGGCACGTTATCTCCATTTCTTTCCGGTATTTCGATACTTCTTGCCATAAGAACATAGCCTTTCTCTGTTTTTTGTGGGCAATTATTACGGATCAATTCTCTACACTCGATATACCTTCCTAATTAGGCCTTAGCGCACCTCTCTCCGCACATATGTGCCTGTATACCACATAGATTGAATCAATTTTGTAGTGGTGGAAGTAGGTCAAAAACGCACAGCAAGCGATTAGAGTTCGATTTGACTTAGGGCTAGGGCTAAAATTCGATTTGACTTAGAAAAATCCAACTCCATGAATTTAATTCATGGGCCTTTACTTGTATAAAAGAATAAGGTAGGGCTGAACTAGAAAACCTTGAATTTGTATGTGCAGCCAATCATCAATTCAGGGTCACTACGCTCTTTAGTTAGACCGGCTGAGTCAGCCCGCTAGCCCTCCCGAGCTCCCTCATCAAAAATTTGTGTGTAGAAGTTTTACACTCTGAAATAACCAGCTCCCTACGGATGCTATTTCTTCATAATTTCGTAAATTATAGAGCTCAGTTTGCGCTTTCTAACGCTGTAAAAATAATGAAGTTTGGCCTACTATTGGTGGATGAAATAAACATTCAAATATGGTAGTTATGGTAGCCACACCAGACGCGTCCGGGATCGGATAATAGGGAGCTTTTAAACCTCAGCCCACCCCCACGGTAATATTACCGGAGAACGATTAGGCCGACCCGCCGGATTAGTAAGGCCCTCCCATAGTAATTTGGCAGCCCTCCTTACCTGTTGCACTCTTCTTCTCCATACCTCGCTGTCGCCTATTAATTTTTTTGAAGCTATCTATAACTCCGCCCCGCCCACTATGACCTCTTAAGAACGCGTCGTTCGCCAGCCCCCGTAATACGGGGGCTTCGAGGATACTTAGGAGGAGCTGGATTGGTACGGCAGTAACCCTGAAGGTATTAATCGGGATCGTCCTCTACCAGAGGTTCTCTCGGAAGACGATATGGCTTTGCCGTAGGAGAAGGATGAGAGTGACCTCAGTGATGCTGAGTGGAGTCGCGGCACGTACTCTGACGCGTCTAGATCGCCGTCGCCACCATTCAACACCCTCCCTATCTTCTACCACCCCTCTATTAAGCGAAAAATCTCTGTCAGTCTTAATAAGCAGAAAGAGCCGCGAAACGGGACCAAACGCAGCAAACTCGCGCCTATGATACCCTCGGAGGTCGCGTCAACAATGCTGAAGTTGCCCGTGGACACTCCGAGTACGATGGATTGGGGACGATGTAAGGGAGCGTATTTCCGCCCAGTGGGTGGAGGAGCTCGCCGGCGATGAACATAACATAGCCCGGCTAGAGGCGCCAGCGAGGCGGAGTGGGAAGGATTAGACTAGACTATATAGGCAACACCACCGATAAAGTCCTCTTCCCCGTGGAAATCCCCAGCTCCGGTGGCGGCGAGTCTCCTTTCCGCCCTGTATGCCTCGGGAAGGCGGAGAGCCTCTATTATACGAATAGCCTCATCGGTAACTGTTGGAACGACTCAACACTCGCTACCACTAGTACTCATTCGGTCTAGTCATGGGTATATAAAGGCATTCTCTATACATAGATATCCTTCTTCCTTAGACATTATTAAGACTATTATATTTAGTAATAGATCTTATTATAGCAGTAACTATATATCTAGGTATTTATTAACACTAATTAGTATACTTTAATACTAATATACAGATTAGCAAGGCTATACTCTTAAAGAAAGTCTATCTCGATATCGCCGCGGTACTTTACACGGTTCTATATTACTTAATCGATTTCGCTTATTATAACGATTCGATTAAATAGAACTATAATTTCTATAATTCCTACGACTTCTACTCAGCAGAGAAAATATCTAGAAAATATTTAAAAAATACTAAATATTATTAAGCTTTACACTATATTAATATATAATATATATTAAAATAGATATTAAAATGGCTATTAACTCTCTATCTATAATTATAAGTAAGCTAGAGAAACTATAAGAAGCTAAGCCATTAGACATTAAGGAGAAACTCGAAAAATTCGTTCGTTAAAGGGTATAATAATATAAAATATATAAATTTAATATACTCTCTAACGTCTTTATTAACGACTTTACTCTATACGTTAAAGAGAACTTCGAGGTTCTTAGTAAGAACGTTATTATTAGTTTACGAGATTATCTATGGGTTAATAGAGCCTATATTAAGAAAGAAAGAGAACTCTCGATGGCTAAAGAATTAGCAGACATAATTAAGGAAGAGATCCCATGGCCATTAAACGACGAAGATCGTCTCCTATTAAAACCATCTTATTACTACTCTTAGTAATCGTTTTAATTAATATAGAAATAATAGCCTTATCGATTAAAGAATACTATTTCTCTTCCCCCGCAACCGTCTTATTAATCGAAGAATTCTACTTTAATTCTCTCTCTAATACCAGCTTACGACTTAAATTATCGAGTCTTATATCTACTACTCTCGCCTTATTAAGTTATTTAAAACTTCGATATCGAATAAAACTATAGTTATAGTAAGAAACTTATTATTCTAGTTAAATTATACACTATCGAGAAGAAGTATAATAGAAGTTCTATCGAGAGTCTTAGCTATAAATTCATGATTTTTATAAATCTTTATAAGAGAGCCGAGATTCCTTAATAGATCCTTCAAATAGCATTTTCAACTATACTAAAATCTATGATACTAAAGTATTACTACTCTAGTTATTAAGGAATTAGCCTTATTATTTAATAACTCTTCGATTAATTTTAGAGCCATTTCGAGAAAGAAGAATATTATTATCTTATACTTTATAAGTAAAATAGTATTAGTCTAAGAGGCTTACTTCGAGCTAATCTCGAAAAGAATAAGGGGACTATCTTTAATAAGATGATTTAATAACTCCGCTAAATCTAAAGAGGGCTAGACTACGAATTTCAGTTAGATATAGCACTTCGAAATAAGATAGTCACCTCTTATAGTAATATCTCTACGTATAGTATTATAATCCTATAATAGATAACTATAATTACGGGGCTAATTAATAATATCTATATTATAATCGAGAATTACGAAGAAGCTATAAAGACTGAGAGATTCGAGCTATTTAGGCCTATAATATACTTTACTAATCGGAAGTATTATATTAATCGACCTTTAAATTAGCCTTTAAATTAAGGTAATTATAGTAGATCGTCTTCGAAAATAAACGGCTTTTAGAAGTGTTATATCTGTAAAAAGACACGCTATTAATTAATTAAGTATATTAATAAGAAACGCTAGAAGTCTCGAAATAAGTTCGCTAAGCGGTTTATCGGCTCGATTAATAAGCGATATAACTTCTATATTTAAGAGTTTAAAGGTTAAAAAGATAAGACCGAGGATTTCGAGGCCTTAACTCTCGACGTTTAAGAAATCGACTTAAAAGAAGCTGAAAACTTTATTACAACTACTTTTATAGTTACATCGAACTAAGTCTAAGTACGTTACTTAGAGCTTTTCAGCTATTTTATATATTATAATATTATTAAGTCTAGTAGCTTTCTCAGTATTAGTCGATATATCTTAAAGTAGTTTTATAGTATTATACTAGATATCGAAGTTATATATATATCTACTATTAAATATAATTAAGTAAAAGTCTATATAAGGGAATTTAATATATAATTGAATATTACTATTAATAGTATTATCGTCTAATTTAAAATTAAAATAATAGTATTAATTAGAAAACTTATAGTAAATTCGTTTATTAGTTAAGTCGATTTCCACGTGATATAAACTAACACCTTATTTCTACTATATATTCAAGATATGAATAGGCTAGAGATCTATCTAAATAATTTTAAGAATTAAGTTATTTTAAGGAATAGATCTATGGTTTTAATTGTTCGCTTTTACGAACATCTATTCTTAATATAAAGTCTTATATTAGTTAATTATCTAATCAATATCGAGTTATATTAATTATATCGTTAATTCGATTATCTCTTAGTTAATAGACTTATTTATATCTTAGAGAAAGTCGAGTATAATAACTTCGAATATCGTTATATACTTAAATAAATTATCGAGTTCTATATACTCTATCAGAAATACTCTTAATTCTTAGATCGTTTCAAATTCTTACTTAAGGATAAAAATAATATCTATTTTAATTATATAATTATTATTAATATTCTTTATATTAATAATAGCCTAGTTCTATAAGTTATTAATAAGAAAACTTTATTTTAGACCGCCCGATAGCTAATAAATATAATTATCTTTTATATATAGAATATACTTAGATTATATTAAATAGATATCTATATCAAATCTTTAGACGTTATTATCCACGACGCTGAAATTAACTTTAACAGTACCGAGTTTAGATAAAACGCTAGAACTCTAAGTATTTAAATAAAATGCGTATTAGTTAAGATCGCTAATTCTATCGACTTAATAAAATAATATTATACTTTATTAAGACGAGCTTATTTAATAATTACTACGGAATTAAAGAACTAAGATATTAAAAAGGAGATTTATCTATAAATGGCTATTAAGACTATTAACGATATAGCCGAATATAATAGCCTCGTTCCCATATTACTAGTTTTTAAAATCTTTCCCTATATCATAAACGACGATATATTTACTTTATCTACTATCGAGAGAGTAAAAGCTATTAATATAGTAATAATCGAAGTTATAAAACTTTACGCTAAGAGATAGATTAATAACGTCTTATATTAGCGAAACGGCTCTTAGACGATAAGAATATATAATACTTTAATTAGTTCCCCGGTATTGGTCTAGAGAACGCATTAAAAGAAGTAAACCGGATTATATAAATTGCTAAT